GCTCTGACTGAACACCAAGAACTCAAACGGATCATCGGATCTGCATCTCTGCGTTTATTTTCCCGCCAGCTGAGTCGGAAACAATCAGAGCCAATGAAACGAGGCAGAAACAGACGAGCGGGCGATGGACACGCCTCCACGAGCGTTCAGTGAGCAGAGAGACAAACATGAAAAATAACTGAAGGGGGTTCATGCTCCCCTGCAGCTGTACCTGAAGTAATGATTGAGGTCAACCGCCACGGCGCTCTGCGTCTGAGTGACGGCGACGGCTGTACTGAGATCAGCTGACACCTGAAGGAGGCAGAAGGAGGGAGAGGAGGACAAGAAGGAGGAAGAGGAGGAGATGGGGTCTTCCTCCTCAGGGCTGGAGTTCAGGTAGGCGGGGAGGTCGACGGTGGCGAGCAGGCGTCCATCAGAGACGCTGAACACGGCTGCAGGTCTGAGTTAAAGAGGAGTCCTCAGAGACGGGACACGAGAGAACACCTGCACTCCTGAATTTAACGGGAATTTAACTCCCTCTGTACCTGAACGCTTTTTATTCACAGCGTCTGTCAGAGAAGAAATCAAAGCTCAGCTGAAGTTTAAAGGGAGATTCTGTCAAATTAATTTAGAGTCAAACCCACGGTAACACCGAGTTAGACCCCGCCTCCACAGATGAATGTTGTCGACCGCTTCCTTCTCTAGTTATACCAACTTTAGTAACGACCGCAGGATAGAAATACAGAGAGCCACGCCCCCAACCAAAACGCCACTCTATAGCCACAGATAATGCTCAGAACAGCAGCTAACTTCAGAGTTTCCTGAAATTCGCTGATTTCCTCCAAAGACGATGAGTCGTGTCGGTGTCATCCTGTCATGGCAGCGTCAGTTTTAATAATCAGGCCGCCATCGGGATGAGAGTCTGAGAAATCGACCAATCAGAAAAGAGCGAATAGAGACAGACGTGAACAACAAGTGTGAGCTCACACCGACTTCAGCGGGAGGAGGAGATCAAGATCTGCACGAGTTACTTAAGCCGAAAAGATATCGACATTTTCCAACGACCATAAAATCCTGAAAAAAAGACGTTTAAATGTGACGATGAGAAATCAAGATCATATAAGAACAAGATAAAAACAGTCAAGAAATCAGCTGAAAAACAGGCGGACAAGATATTATCAGGCGCACAAGATTTCGTATAAGAAAGTCGAGATCATTTCTTCATCAGACGGAGACGCTAAGACAGAAGAACTACCGCGTCTGTAAAATGATCAATATGATGATTATTACTTCAAGGAAATGATGAAGAAATAATCATAAATGTTCTTCCTTGAGCTGCGGCACCCCGCTGTAGTCCGTAATGGACTGGCCTGAGGTCTCTCTACAAACAAGCGTCTGCTGGAAGAGAGTAGGTGAGTTGTGTTTAGTCTCTTTGCTAAAGAAATGAGTCAAAGTTAAAAAGATGTTTGGTGTCTAGTACTATGGCTGTGACCCTATATGTACTAACCTCAGTAGAACATGGTGTAGTTCCGTTCAGTAACAAAACCTCATTGGAAAATTAGCTGATTTAACTTTACTGTGCTCTTGTTCAAATATATTAACTCGACAGCACATAAATCCATACCTGTTAACAAAATCATGATTTTATTGATAATTCGGCTCAATAAAAACACCTTTACCTTTTCATTTTACTACAGTAGAAGTTTATTGGCCCAGCTTATAGACTACAGAAGTGGAGAAACGCCCCCGCTTAAGTTGATGTTTTCTGAATATAGTACTATGTCTGTGACCCTATATGTCCTGTTGATGAAGTTAGGTGCTGTTCTGAGCATTATTTGTGGCTATAGAGTGGCGTTTTGGTTGGGGGCGTGGCTCTCTGTATTACTATCCTGCGGTCGTTACTAAAGTTGGTATAACTAGAGAAGCAAGCGGTCGGCAACATTCATCTCTGGAGGGGGGGTCTAACTCGGTGTTACGGTGGGTTTGACCCTAAATTAATTTTACGTCAGAATATCCCTTTAATTTGACTCTTCTGGTTGTCAGTTTAATGTTTGTGTAAAGAGTTATCTACAGTGTCACAGAGTCTTTGTGAGGGACGCAGCATCTATGTCAGAGGAGGAGGTGATCAGAGTGTGTGTGTGTGTGTGTGTGTGTGTGTGTGTGTGTGTGTGTGTTATCATCAAAGTCAGGATACAGATGGTTCCTGTGCTGCTGAGGGTGAAGAGCGTCTCTCTGCAGACACACTGATGAACGGCGGCGGCGGTGGCGGCGTCTCTCTCACTGTCACTCAGCTGGATCCTGCAGCAGGACGTCGTCTGTAGCTCCTCCTCCTCCTGATGATACTGCAGCTGCAGCAGCCAATCAGAGTTCAGCAGCAGGCAGCAGCGGCCCGCAGTGTGAGACAAAACCTGGAGCGACTGCAGCTCACACACACCTGGAGATGAAAACCCCGTCAGTGTTTCAACATTCAGGTTTTTAATGAAGGTCGGACTCTGATGGTCCAGGTCCTGGTCCTCACCTTGGTCCTGATCCCTGACGGTCTGCAGCAGACGCTCAGCAGGACAGTCAGTCACAGGGGTCAGAGAGATGGAGGCCGATCGCTCCACCTCCAGCAGCTTCAGCTCACACTCAGACCCCACAGCCAGGAGTCTGACCCCCCGACCGTGGACCGCCACCTCCTCCCAGGAAAAACTGAGAACAGAGAACATGAGCGGGATCAGTCAGAGCTGTGGTTCTCAACCTGTGGGTCCTGACCCAAAAGTGGGTCGTGGACACATTCTGGACGGGTCACAAACAGCTGGTCAAAATATTTAGTGTGTGTCTGATGTTTGACAGGTCTTTTATTTTGGAAAATATCTTATTTTGAAAGGCATGTATTATGTCCTGGTCCTCCTCAGTTTCTTATTAATGTGGCCTGATGCAGTAAAAATAAAAATACATGTTTTTTTTTTTGTCTTTATTTTGTTTAATTGATATTTATTCACTTTTGTCCTCCTCAGGTTCTTCTGAATCTGCTCTGAATCCAAATAAGTCATTTTTTTATTTTTTTGGTCTTTATTTTGTGTAATTTGATATTTCCTGTAAATGTAACTTCAGTCGTTGTCGTCCTCAGTTCATGTTCTCTGAAATACACTTCACTCACTAAAAACGGTGAATTTATGTCAAAGATTTGAGTCTTTAAAGGTTTTTATTTATGATAAAATAAATTTTCTTGGTTTGAATTTTATAAAAGTGGGTCGTGACTGAAGGATCATGGGAAAACGTGGATCCTAGAGTGAGACCAGCTGAGAACCGCAGGTTTAGAGATTCTCTAAAATAAAAACCAGCAAGAATCAAAGAACCAGGAACCAGGAAACCCAGAGGTGGATTCACTCAGAACCAGAACCAGATCCATCTTCACAAAGGTTAAAGTTCATCAGGATCTCCTCAGCTGATAGACCGTGAGGGTCTCTAGAACTTCCTGGTCGACTTTAGGCTGCTCTGACCCTGGACCTGATAAAACACAGTAGACCAGCAGACTGAGGAAAACCCGAAGCACCTTGGATTCTGGACCTCCTAGTCTGACCAGCAGTCAGCACCATGACAGATGTTGAGTGGACTAAACTAGACTGAGGGCAGGTTAATGTTCTAATATCATAGATCTATGTTGTGTAAACATAGATCTACAATATTAGATTACACTAACGTATTCTCTGTGTGACTCTTTATTGTAGAGTTTCTCTAAAACCAGGACCCTGGTCCTCAGACTCACTCGGTGTATCTCCCGTCCACAGCCGCCGGAGGAGCCTCTCTGTCGGCCGGGTCCCACACCACCAGCCGCCCCCGGGCCTCCAGACACCCGAGCAGAGAGGATCCGGGGGCCAGCTGCGCTTTCTGGATGTCCTGTACCCGTCCACAGTGCTGGTTCTCCGGGATCACACAGACCTCTATGGAGGTGTCCTCCAGCCGGGGAGACTCCAACATCTTCAGCCGGTAAATGGGAACTATTTACACCGGCGGAGGGATCAGTGTCCACCGAGGAGACATTTTAATTCAAACATGTTAGTGAGGACCGGAACCAGAGACTGTCAGGTAAACAGCAGCTGAAACTCGGGGGAGTCACATGATTTCTCTTCCTCTGTCAGCTGACTAGATCTGACCAATAGAAACACAGTACGCAGGCCCGCTTAATCGAGTGTCGTATATAGGAAATGATCGTCTGCAGAAGTTTGATATTTTCCGCACACGAAACTTCAGCAGTTGTTGTCCTCAGTTCATGTGCTCTGAAATGCAAATGAACTCTAAGCAAAATTTGATTATGGGGCCCTCTATTTCTGCCAATAATATCGATTGATTGATCATTCACACACCTTAATAGTAATAATAATAACTTTATTTTTATAACACTTTTAAAAACAGAAGTTTACAAACTTCTTTGATATACAGTCATAAAACACAGAACATCAGCAGATGGAAATAAAAACAAAAGCTCTGTTAAAAAACCTCAGAGTTGAAGGTCAATTTCATTTTTCATAAGAAACCCAAACAATACAAGAACCCTACAAAATAAAGTGAGACCATGAGGACCGAAATATAAACATAAAATAGGAAAGAAGAAGAAATGTAATAAAAAGGGGGGAAGAAAGCAGGAAACAGGATAGTAAATATAAAAAGATGATATTAATAAAAACATTATAGTGACGGAAATAGTATTAATAAAATGGAATAACAAAAATGAGCAGGAAAAAACAATAAAATCAATAAAAGGCCTAAAAGGTAAAATAAGAATAAGAACAATAAGAAGAAAAATAATGTTGAGGTTTTCAAATAATTTATAATCTGTGTATTTGATAGATAGAAACTTCAAATTTTGTTTTATTAAAAATGCTTATTTAAATTTGATGTAACTTACTTAAAAAGTGTAATTAATCTTGATTTTTAAGTATGAAATGTCTTATTGTCGCCGTTTTACTCTCTTGTCAAACCTCCGCTGATGTTTCTCGTTTAGTTTCTTTATCATGTTCCTCTCTTGGTTTGTTCGATTGCTTTTCCTGGAGAACGGAAGCGGAAGTGCCTCGCCTCTCCTGATTGGCTGTCTCAGACTCCGCTGATCTGTAAACACTGTGCTCCCTGCGCAGACTTAGCTTCTTTAGCTAACAGGTAGTTGTAGATCTACGGAAGCCGCGCTGCTACCGCCCGTTAACAGTCGTTTGTGTGTTTTCCTGTCAAAGTCAGTCTCTGCTCCTCGTTTGTTGATCATGGCGTTTCCTCAAACATGGAGATAGTTTTCAGCTTCGTGTCTCTAACCGTCACTAAGATCTTAGAGTTCTCCGGTCTGCTGGATGACAGGAATGTCCTGAGGAGCAAGAAGATGGAGGAGAAAGCGTTGGAGGTTTACGGTGAGTGGAGCTCCAACAGGCCTGAGAGAGAAACTGATGTTGGAGAAGTTCAGACCAACTCTGGAGCTCCAGAGAACTTCCTGATTTAACACAGAGAGATTTCACGTTAACGCGGATTTACAGAGACAGGAAACCTCTTCACCAGTCAGCCTCTGTACACAAAGTTCATATGAGACGTTATACACAAGAATAATAAACACAAAAGGAGTTAAAATGTTTGATTTTAACACCAAAAGTGGGTAAAGTTTCAGACACAAACCCGAGATCAGACAGCAGACTGGTTCAGAGAGTCACGTGAGAACTACACGAGATCCGGGCGAGATTAGCTCGATTTATGACGTGATTTCTTTGAAAAGGCCAAATATCTTTCTTTCTTTTTTCTTCATTCATCTCAAACTTTAACGACAACAACGACAATGACGCCTCCTCTTCTTGTTCTCTGTCCTCCTCAGATGTGATCCGATCGATCCGGGACCCGGAGAAGCCCAACACCCTGGAGGAGCTGGACGTGGTGACGGAGAAGTGTGTGGAGGTGAAGGAGCTGGGAGAAGACGAGTATCTCATCATCATCAAGTTTTCTCCCACCGTCCCTCACTGCTCTCTGGCCACTCTGATCGGTGAGTCTGAGTTCATCTACAGACCAAGAACCAGCAGAGAGGGAGGGTGATCAGAGTCCACATTCAGTCTTCTCGGTGTTATGGAAGTGAATTCAGAGCGTTTGTAGAGAACAGACCTCTGCTAAAAAACGAACCAGTGCAGCAGCAGCATTAATCTGCCTGATTCAGCAGATTACCTTCTCCTCCTCCGTGCTGTAATCTTGTAATCTTAACAGTGAGAGCCAAAATACAACAGGGTTTATCGACTTCTTACTTTATCAGATACTTTAACAGCTCAGTGATTTTTAACTGAGACCTTTAGAGGACGGAGACCATGGTCCTTTAAGAGAGGAGGTCAAACTGTAGGAGACAGGGAGGAGGTCTGTGGTTCACTTTTGTCCTGAAAACCAAAATGAAGATCAAATTAAACCTGAAGATACCAACTCTTCATCTCTGCTCCGTCAAGTCTGCACATTTTTAGTGATGTGGTCCAAAACAAGCAGATTGACCTACATGGACCTAAAGGGGGCGCTCTAATCAGCTTTTTAGATTCTGCAGGAGTCTAACACTGCAGAGAGGCGAGAGCTAACTAACTAACTAACTAACTAACTAACAAGCTAACTAACTAACGTACTAACTAACGTACTAACTAACAAACTAACGAACTAACTAACTAAATAACTAACTAACCAACGAACAAACTAACTAACTAACTAACTAACTAACTAACTAACTAACTAACTAACAAGCTAACTAACTAACGTACTAACTAACGTACTAACTAACAAACTAACGAACTAACTAACTAAATAACTAACTAACCAACGAACAAACTAACTAACTAACTAACTAACTAACTAACTAACTAACTAACTAACTAACTATCTAGCTAACTAACCAACTGGCTAACTAACTAACGTACTAACTAACTAACGAATGAACGAACGGACGAACTAACTAAGGAACTAATGAACTAACTAACAAGCTAACTAACTAACGTACTAACTAACAAACTAACGAACTAGCTAAATAACTAACTAACCAACCAAAGAACAAACTCACAAACTAGCTAACTAACTAACTAACTAACTAATGAACTAACAAGCTAACGAGCTAACTGACTAACTAACTAACTGACTAACAAACTATCTAACGGACGAACTGACTAACGAACTAGATAACTAAATAACTAACTAACAAACAAATGAACGAACTTACTAACTAACTAACTAACTAAATAACAAGCTAACGAACTAACTAACTAACTAACTAATGAACGAATAGACTGATGGACCGACCAACTGACTAACTAACTAACTAACTAACTAACTAACTAACTAACTAACAAGCTAACAAGCTAACGAACAAACTAATTTACTGACTAACTAACTAACTAACTAACGAACCACACCAGCAGCAGACATGATCAGCAGGAATGAAGAAGAGTAAATTCTGAAGATCGGTCCGGTGAAATTTTCTGAACATTTCGTTGTTTTTTAAAAACAGTAAACAGATCGTCTTTGTAAAACGAACCTGTCAGTTATAAATATTTACAAACATTTACATCTCTGTCAATAATCGGTGGAGCAGAAACGAACGTGTGTTTTCATCCTTTCGTTTTCTGAATCAGTTGTTGATTCAAAGTTCACACACAGTCCTTCAGCCTGTTAAATTGGTTCTGTGCGTGAAAGCTCGACCTCTGACCTCATTACTGCTGGCGGCTGCTGATGGGTCTTATCTTTGAGCTGCAGATGCAGAACCGTTACAGAGTGAAGAAACCCGTCCTTATCCTCGTTCATGTATTCAGATCTGTGTGACGAGGTCTCCTCATATCTTCGTCTCTGTGGGCTCACAGGGATCTTCTCTCTACACCTGCATGCTTGAACCTGTTCTCTGTCTCTGCAGGTCTGTGCTTACAGGTGAAGCTGCAGAGATGTCTGCCATTCAAACACAAGGTGAGGATCACACCAGCCAGGGTTAAAAACACAGTGGAGCTCTGCAGTTCTGACAGACAACCGCTTCCTCTGATTACTGAGAAAATTCACCCTTTCATTCAAAACTAAGTCAGAGGGGTTTTACCTGAAACATGTCTGTGATCAGTGGGCAGGTGAATCCCAGAAAATGTGACTATTGCGAAGACGTAAAAGTCAAAGTTATAAAGTTTTAAAGTTATAAAATTCAAAAGAGTAAAAAAAAGTCATATAACTTGAAAGCAGGGTTCGACAGTGTGGCCGTTTCACTCGTATTTAAGACTAAAAGTTTCAGGTTGGATATATTTTCCTATAAATACGGCAGTGAAGTTAGTTTCAGGTTGGATATATTTTCCTGTAAATACGGCGGTGAAGTTAGTTTTAGGTTGGATATATTTTCCTGTAAATACAGCGGTGAAGTTAGTTCTAGGTTGGATATATTTTCCTGTAAATACAGCGGTGAAGTTAGTTTCAGGTTGGATATATTTTCCTGTAAATACGGCGGTGAAGTTAGTTTCAGGTTGGATATATTTTCCTGTAAATACGGCGGTGAAGTTAGTTTTAGGTTGGATATATTTTCCTGTAAATACGGCGGTGAAGTTAGTTTTAGGTTGGATATATTTTCCTGTAAATACGGCGGTGAAGTTAGTTTCAGGTTGGATATATTTTCCTGTAAATACGGCGGTGAAGTTAGTTTTAGGTTGGATATATTTTCCTGTAAATACGGCGGTGAAGTTAGTTTTAGGTTGGATATATTTTCCTGTAAATACGGCGGTGAAGTTAGTTTTAGGTTGGATATATTTTCCTGTAAATACGGCGGTGAAGTTAGTTTTAGGTTGGATATATTTTCCTGTAAATATGGCGGTGAAGTTAGTTTCAGGTTGGATATATTTTCCTGTAAATTGGGCGGTGAAGTTAGTTTTAGGTTGGATCTATTTTCCTGTAAATACGGCGGTGAAGTTAGTTTCAGGTTGGATATATTTTCCTGTAAATACAGCGGTGAAGTTAGTTTTAGGTTGGATATATTTTCTTGTAAATACGGCAGTGAAGTTAGTTTCAGGTTGGATATATTTTCCTGTAAATACGGCGGTGAAGTTAGTTTTAGGTTGGATATATTTTCTTGTAAATACGGCGGTGAAGTTAGTTTTAGGTTGGATATATTTTCCTGTAAATACGGCGGTGAAGTTAGTTTCAGGTTGGATATATTTTCCTGTAAATACGGCGGTGAAGTTAGTTTCAGGTTGGATATATTTTCCTGTAAATACGGCGGTGAAGTTAGTTTCAGGTTGGATATATTTTCCTGTAAATACGGCGGTGAAGTTAGTTTCAGGTTGGATATATTTTCCTGTAAATACGGCGGTGAAGTTAGTTTCAGGTTGGATATATTTTCCTGTAAATACAGCGGTGAAGTTAGTTTTAGGTTGGATATATTTTCCTGTAAATACAGCGGTGAAGTTAGTTTCAGGTTGGATATATTTTCCTGTAAATATGGCGGTGAAGTTAGTTTTAGGTTGGATATATTTTCCTGTAAATACGGCGGTGAAGTTAGTTTCAGGTTGGATATATTTTCCTGTAAATACAGCAGTGAAGTTAGTTTTAGGTTGGATATATTTTCTTGTAAATACGGCAGTGAAGTTAGTTTCAGGTTGGATATATTTTCCTGTAAATACGGCGGTGAAGTTAGTTTTAGGTTGGATATATTTTCTTGTAAATACGGCGGTGAAGTTAGTTTTAGGTTGGATATATTTTCCTGTAAATACAGCGGTGAAGTTAGTTTTAGGTTGGATATATTTTCCTGTAAATACGGCGGTGAAGTTAGTTTCAGGTTGGATATATTTTCCTGTAAATACGGCGGTGAAGTTAGTTTCAGGTTGGATATATTTTCCTGTAAATACGGCGGTGAAGTTAGTTTCAGGTTGGATATATTTTCCTGTAAATACAGCGGTGAAGTTAGTTTTAGGTTGGATATATTTTCCTGTAAATACGGCGGTGAAGTTAGTTTTAGGTTGGATATATTTTCCTGTAAATACGGCGGTGAAGTTAGTTTTAGGTTGGATATATTTTCCTGTAAATACGGCGGTGAAGTTAGTTTCAGGTTGGATATATTTTCCTGTAAATATGGCGGTGAAGTTAGTTTCAGGTTGGATATATTTTCCTGTAAATACAGCGGTGAAGTTAGTTTCAGGTTGGATATATTTTCCTGTAAATACGGCGGTGAAGTTAGTTTCAGGTTGGATATCTGACGGACATTCTCTGAGGATCTACCGGTGTCTTCTCACTCTCCATAACCGGGAATAACAACAGCAGCGCGGTTAAATCTACTCGACACCCTCACTGTCAACGTCGGTGTTGAATAAGGGACCGTCAATAAATTACCGGTTGATCAGAAAGAAAATCTGGTCACAGTGTTAGGAGGTTAACGTCATGATCTTCACTTATGATAAAGTCTTTATAAAAGGAGGATAAAGTGATGATGACCTCAATATGACCTTATTTTCCTGACACTTGGACTTTAATCTCCTCCAACATAATTCTGGTAGATTAACGACTTATTTCTCAAAGTCTCATCTTTATTTTTATTGATATGATTTTTCTTGGATTCAGCTGTTTAATTATTTTAGATCTGCAGTTTTTCTTGGTTTCTCCTCTGACCTCTAAACTCCATGTAAAGACATAAACACTGAATTTAGTTTCAATTTTAAAATCACAGAAATATAAAGAAACTGTTTTTATTTTTTATCTTCACAGCTGGAAATTTACATTTCAGAGGGAACCCACTCGACGGAGGAGGACAGTGAGTCTGATTATCCAACTCAGCTGTGTGTGTGTGTGTGTGTGTGTGTGTGTGTGTGTGTGTATGTTAGAAACAGTTGTTCCAGGATGTGTTTAAAAACATAATTATCATAATTCACTCAGTCACTCCACTAAGTCTAAAAGTCCAAGCCAAGTCTCAGACAGAGGAGTCAGGACCACCTGAGAACACTGTAAATACCGTATTACCTGTAATAGAGGAGGCTCTGGTTCAGAGGAAACTCTTCTAAGAGATTTACAGTCCTGTGAGGAGTCATGTTTGATCATCAGCATCTCTGTGTCTCCAGTCAACAAGCAGATCAACGATAAGGAGCGAGTGGCGGCCGCCATGGAGAACCCCAACCTGAGGGAGATCGTGGAGCAGTGCGTCACAGAACCCGACGACTGAGCCGACCAGAACACCTCTGAGCCCGAGTTTGTGTGTGTGACGGTCGGAGGCAGACGTCCGTGTCGGATTTTTATTCTGAAGAGAAACAGCAGCTCTGAAGACATCATGAAGCAAAGATCTGAGTGTGTGTGTGTGTGTGTGTGTGTGTGTGTGTGTGTGTGTGTGTGTGTGTGTGTGTAGACCCTGTGATCATTCCTGCTGCTCAGATCTTCGTCATGGTCAGTTTTTCCTCCTTCAGTCCGGCGGCTCCCTGGATCCTCCTCTGCGGTGACTTTTTACAGACGTGTCCTTTTTCTAAAAACACTCACTGAGGACGTTTCAGAGAATCTGAATCTTTATCGACGGGATTAAAAAATAAATTAATCTGTGATGTTTAAAAAAATCCACAAGTAAAAGTTTCTTCAAAACCAGGTTTCTGCTGAGTCGGCTGTTTGACCCACCAGGACATGATTCAGAACCAGGAGGTCCGTCACCAGAACCAGAGAGGAGGTTTTCTTCTTCACAATACATCCTCCACCTCCTCTTCCTCCTCTCCTCTCCTCCTCCTCCTCCTCCCTCTCCTCCTCCTCCTCCTCCTTCATCCTTCTTCTTCTCCTCCTCCTATTCTTCTTCTCCTCCACCCCCCCTCCTGGTTCTCCTCCTCCTACTCCTACTCCTCCTCTTTCTCCTCCCTTTCCCCCTCCCTCTCCTTCCTCCACCTCTTCTTCTCCTCCTTCTCCTCCTACTTTTCTTCCTCTTCCTCCTCCATCCTTCTTTTTCTCCCCCTCCTTCTCCTCCACCTCCTCCTTCTCCCGCCTCAGCTCCTGTGGTCTGGGTTGTAGATGTAATGACGGCTCTCTGCCTGTTGGGGGAGCTGTAGTTCTTGCTGTGTGTTTCTGCTCCGTTCTGAACAGTGTGTGTTTTAATGTTCCCCTCACACACTCACACACTCACACACACACACACACACACACACTCTGTGATTATTCTGGACCATTAGACCGTCAGAATCTACATGAGGAACCAGACTGTGAATTTTCCACGCCGTCATTATTGAAAACAGGAGCAGAGTGGACGTCCACGTTTGACCCACTAATGAAGGTTCTTCTTCTCTCTCTGGTTCTGGCCGGTCCAGTTTGAAGATCCAGGTCCTCCTTCAGCCTCATCCTCTGGTCTGAATCTGTAAATAAACCCACTCAGACTTTCACCCTCTTCACCTCAAACCCCACCCTGCAGGGCGGCTGCTGTGGACTGTGGTATCAGCTGATGGTCTGTGGGTGCAGCCTCAGTACCGGGGTCCTCCTGCTGGTTCCTGTTGCTCTGAATTCTGGGTCGTTACAACAAACAGTAAATACAGTAATAACAGTAAAAATCCAGCAGCATGAGTCCACCTTCAAAATCACGACTCAAGCGTGTAGACTGCTTCGTCCACAGGGGGCGCCAAAATCAACACAAGCTGAAAGTTCCTCAGAGGAGCTTTAATTCTATCACGGAGGATCCTGCTCACCACTCCCTTTAATTACAAATGTGTATCTGCTGAATAAACGCTTGAATCGTCAGCATACGTAGAGAGGTGTGACGTTTCCAGTCCTGAAGGAAGACCATTACGCCGAATTTTCACCACATCTGGAACGGCGGTGATTTTCGCCGTCCAACAATTCCTACTGGATCCGTTTGTGAGGCGAATTTTGTGGCGGATTACGGACAGCAGGAATCACAAGAACTCACAAGAACCCGTGATAACGAGTTGTCTCCATAAAGACAGACATATAGACATATAAGCAGTAGATTGTGTCCTTCCAGAGGAGGAAATCTACTTCTAGACTTCTAGAATCAGCATCTCCTCATCCATGGTGTCATCGGGGTGAAATGACGTCTAAAAACCTTTCACTTGTTCGTCTCCGCCCGTTTGCATGGTGTGAAATACGATCCTCCTGAAACACGGAGTGTTTTATTTTGAAAAGAAGCCGGATGTTTTATTTTGAAGTCTGTGCCCGACTTCCTTTCCAGCACGGGTTAATCTGTGCTGAATTTATCCGCCATGCTCCGGCGTCCAGAAGAAATAGAACTCTTGTGATCAGCTGAGGAGTCCGGCGATCCGCAGAGGAACGGAAAGAAGTCGGTGTAAATTGACACGTTAACTTGAATGGTTACGATCAGCTACGATCGGAGGATACGACCTTTTAGGAGACGATCAGGATGAAGGGGGAGGTCGGGGGTCAGTGAAGACTGTAAAGAGCAGTCAGCTGATGCAGCTTCTCTGAGGAACTCCATGTTTCACAAACTTCACTTCTGAACATCTCCCATTAAAACACCAGTTTCCTTCGATCAGTCTATCGGCTGTTCCTCCATGATTTTATATTTTCAGTCAAACACTTCAGTCTCTCTCAGCAGTGACTCCTGATCAATAAAGTCCGAAGCTGCAGAGAAATCAGGTGTTACAGCCCTGATTGTTTCCTTCCTTTGTGCCCCTCTGAGGGAGTATTTAAAGGTCATTTCTGGCCGATGTTGACAGCCCTCCGCTCCTGAGATTTCCTGTTTATTACCAAATGGCGGTACAGTCACGCTGAGCCCGGCCCAGCTTCTTAAAATGCCAGACAGCCCGCTTTGGTTTTCCAAGGACTGTGCTGCAAAATCCCCCCAAAGGGCAAAAACAAGCTCCAAGTGTGGAGGGGAGAAGGCTGGTGATGGAGGCAGAGCTTTGCATTAATGAGGAGCATTAAAGTGGTGAAGATGAGAGCGAGAGGAGATCAGTTTACATGGACCACCTGCTTCTGAGAGAGAGCTGTGATTGGTTTGAGAGGAACTACGTTTACATGCACACCATACTCAGGCTCATGTGTAGATCTGGATGAGGTGTTTACTCAACAACAGAGAGTTAAAGGTGGGGTAGGCAAGATCTGAGGAAGGACCAGTTTTTGGGAGAAATCTTGAATGTAAAGTCCCGCCCACAAACAGACGCTCCTGCTCGCTCGTATCGTTCCAGTTAAATTCAGATATAATGCAGATAAATCCTTTAGATCATTACAAATGGGGCCCAGTCAAGGTGAAAGTCAAAAGCATTGGTGCTACTGTAGATGCCAACAGACTACCAGCAAACACAATGTTTGCAGGACTTCTACAACGAGGATAAAGTGACATAGTCCAGGACCCGAGGGAGGACAGTTTAGCGATGGCGCTACAACACGCTACAGCAGGTCCGTTTGACAAGAAACACTTCTGTTACAGACACTTGTCTTACTTTGTTAAAGCGGTTTACCTGTCCAGCAGAAAGGTTACAGGGTCACCAAGATCCCCAAGCGTCCCCCATCGTTTATGTTGACCCGGCTTTTTAGCTCTTGTCCGGTCTACCTCCGTTTTAAGCGCCCGTTATTCCTCCAGAGTCTCCGGTATTTACTTTGTTTTCTTGCTTGTGTCGGCAGTCGTGGCTAAAGGAGGATTCAGACAATTTTCCGAACTTTCTGGTTGGTTTCTACTGTCCGATATTGTAGCACGCTAACTTTGTTTGGGCTCATGAACGACACGGGGAAACAGCATTTTCTTGCTGACTGTTTTCTTGCTGACTGTTTTCTTGCTGACTGTTTTTTTGTTGACTGTTTTCTTGTTGACTGTTTTCTTGTTGACTGTTTTTTTGCTGACTGTTTTTTGTTGACTGTTTTGGTGTTGACTGTTTATGGTTGACTGTTTATGGTTGACTGTTTTCTTGTTGACTGTTTTTTGCTGACTGTTTTCTTGCTGACTGTTTTCTTGTTGACTGTTTTCTTGTTGACTGTTTTCTTGCTGACTGTTTTCTTGCTGACTGTTTTCTTGTTGACTGTTTTCTTGTTAAATGTTTTTTGCTGACTGTTTTCTTGCTGACTGTTTTCTTGTTGACTGTATTTTTGCTGACTGTTTTTTGTTGACTGTTTTTTGCTGACTGTTTTCTTGCTGACTGTTTTCTTGTTGACTGTTTTCTTGTTGACTGTTTTTTGCTGACTGTTTTCTTGCTGACTGTTTTCTTGCTGACTGTTTTCTTGTTGACTGTTTTTTGTTGACTGTTTTGGTGTTGACTGTTTTTTGCTGACTGTTTTTGTTGACTGTTTTGGTGTTGACCGTTTTCCTGTTGACCGGTTTGGTGTTGACTGATTTGGTGTTGACTGGTTTGGTGTTGACTGTTTTCTTGTTGACTGTTTTCTTGTTGACTGTTTTTTGTTGACTGTTTTCTTGCTGACTGTTTTCTTGTTGACTGTTTTTTGCTGACTGTTTTTTGTTGACTGTTTTGGTGTTGACCGTTTTCCTGTTGACCGGTTTGGTGTTGACTGGTTTGGTGTTGACTGTTTTCTTGCTGACTGTTTATGTTTGAGTGTTTTCTTGTTGACAGTTTTTTGTTGACAGTTTTTTGCTGACTGTTTTCTTGCTGACTGTTTTTTGTTGACTGTTTTGGTGTTGACCGTTTTCCTGTTGACCGGTTTGGTGTTGACTGGTTTGGTGTTGACTGTTTTGGTGTTGACCGTTTTCCTGTTGACCGGTTTGGTGTTGACTGTTTTCTTGCTGACTGTTTTCTTGCTGACTGTTTATGTTTGAGTGTTTTCTTGCTTGTGTCGGCAGTCGTGGCCAAAGGAGGATTCAGACAATTTTCCGAACTTTCTGGTTGGTTTCTACTGTCCGATATTGTAGCACGCTAACTTTGTTTGGGCTCCTCAGTGAATGTTGAAGACTTCTCCTCTCCTGGTCCTGAAATGGGGCCCGGCTGCAGACGGATCAGTCTTTCCTTTAGAATTTACCGTAATACAGAAATAAAGTGCACTTAAAAAACATCCTGTTTGCCGACAGCAGCATCATCAACGTGAAGCTTGTTAATTGTTCGAGTCTGTTCAGGTCACTCTAACATCTGATCAGATCCTCAGGGCGCCCTCCTCTGGAGGTTTCCTGTAACTTCACACTCAGAGGAGACCGTCGGGGATCTCGCTGGAGGGACTGTGGACCATCTGGTCTGGAAATGTCTCAGGATCACCCTGAGGGAGCTGTGACCTTCTCAGTGACCTTCTCAGCCTGCTGCTGCTGTGGAGAAGGTGAAGAAGGTGGAAATGTTGGAGCTTCACGGCATCGTCACCAGCTCTGACAAACTGTTCCCCACAGAATCACCAGGGTTAGTCCGCAGCCCAGTAAATGATCAAATCTGCAGAAAGGTTCTGATCCACCTACACCCACGAGTCCTGCAGAGTCCCTGCTGAGATCTGAACCTCCAGAACCTCCAGCAGCTCAGAATTTGCATGAGGTTGAAAGTATTTCTTGGTGTTGATAGTTTTCTGGCAGCAGGAGCTCATTAAGGTCAGAGGAATTAAAATGTTTATGTGATCAAATGTGTAGGCAGAGGTGGAGAAGATCTGCAGAACCGTGCAGGAGTGAGGAAAGAGGAGGAGCTACAGGCCATGTAGGTGGAGAAGGTTTAGCAGCAGGTGCAGAGGTGTGTGTGGTTCAGGTGACAAAGATCTGAAACCTGACGCGGTCTTCACAGAATGATGGAAACACGTTCTCACTCACAGGATCTTCACAGGATCTTCTAACCGCTCGACAGCGAAGAGGAATCCAATCAGAGAGTTTTTCTGTATCTTTAACAGCCTGCAGAAAACAGGAAACAGGTCAGTCGAACAGGAAGGAAACATCTGTGAAGGTCAGGGGATCCTCGCAGCAGCCGTCAAACACCGCTCCACCTCAGCGTGTGAGGATCTGCTCAGACCTACAGAAGTTTTACTCGTGCAGGACTCTGAGGTCACGATAACAACGATAAAATATTCAGCACTGGGCTGGATTTTCAAAATAAAGTGCAGATAGAGGAGATCCTTCGACTCTCTTTGGAAACAAGCGGACAAGTGTTCTCCTGCAGGGGCGTGTCCAGACCTTTGGACCACAGTGGCCCAACTGTCACTCTGACATGGGTAACCCCCAATTCCCACCACGTCTAAAACGGCGGCGATTTTTCGCTGTGCGCCAATTCCTACTGGAGGTGAATTTCATGGCAGATTACGAACAGCAGGAATCACAAGAACTCGCAGATTCACGTTCAATCGCGCGATAACGAGTTGTCTCTCTAAAGACAGACACATAGACATATAAGCAGTAGATTGTGTCCTTTCAGAGGAGAAAATCTACTTCTAGACTTCTAGAATCAGCATCTCCTCATCCATGGTGTCATCGGGGTGAAATGACGTCTAAAAACCTTTCACTTGTTCGTCTCCGAGTGTTTTATTTTGAAAAGAAGCCGGATGTTTTATTTTGTGTCTGTGCCCGACTTCCTTTCCAGCACGGGTTAATCTGTGCTGAATTTATCTGCCATGCTCCGGCGTCCAGAAAAACTAGAACTCTTGTGATCAGCTGAGGAGTCCGGCGATCCGCAGAGGAACGGAAAGAAGTCGGTGTAAATTGACACGTTAACTTGAATGGTTACGATCAGCTACGATCGGAGGATACGACCTTTTAGGAGACGATCAGGATGAAGGTGGAAGTCGGGGGTCAGGGAAACGTTGACTGTCACCACAGCACTGAAGGTAAAGTTCAGTAAATCTGAGTTTGTGACTGTTTGTCTGAATTTAGAGGATTTTTATTCATAAATAAACTCTGAAGAAAAGAGTTTTCTCCAGATTCTTCTTTGTGGAGCTTCATCTCCTCCAGCTCGCTGATGCTGGGGTGGGTGGATGTCCTGACACAGTTCATCTGTGTTTGTTCTCAGAGCTGACAGGAACCTCTGCGCTCTGTCGTCTCCAACATCCAGCAGAGAAATGTGAGTCCGCCTCCAGCTCTCCTCACTGAGTCCAGACAGCTGCCAGGGTCAGTCAGGACCTCCTCACCGCGTCACAGTCGATTTCCACTCCACCATCTGTCAGCAGACTCTGGGGCGCCCTGCCAAGACCTCCAGCTCCTGAGGAACAGTTTGATCATTGGAGTAAAGTGGCCTCTCCGTCAGGTCCTGACCTGCTTTATAGGATTCGTCTTTTTTACGGATGTGCACTCACACATGAGCAGGAGTTCGACCTGTTTACTGCTGCTGCTGACGTGTCTGAGGGTTTAATCTGCTGAGGTTTGACATGAGAGAGGACCACGAGGGAGAAGGTCAAACAGTCCGTCCTCAAATCAGCCCAGATCTACAGACACCTGAAGGACGTGGAGCGTCTGCCTCACAACCAATCAGGTTAGAGGAGGTGGAGAACGGCTTTGTTTACAGTCAGAAAGAGCGGACCGCTCAAAAATGTTCAAATGTTGACGACACAGACATAAGAGAACACAGAGATATCGATATATTACCAAATAATCAATAACTAATAACTATTGACTGATATTAGAAGATTTATCGTTCATACTCCACAGAGTCGTGTCGACTCCTGCCTCTTTATGAACAGAAAATAAACAAAAACAGTTTCTTCTTACCGGGGTGAAAAAAACGCTCATGTCTGCTGTGAAGTTTGAGATTTAACACTGGACGCTATGGGGGTTGACTCCCTTTAGGAGCTGCCTCTAGTGGTCAGTTAAGGAACTACATTTTTGCTTTTTTCCTGCTTTAACACTGATAGAAAAAGCAGCAAAAAAGCAACAGGTGGATACCTTGCTCCACCCTATATTTCGGAGATGCTCCACCCTCATTGCCCACCCCGACCCCTAAGATCAGCTGATCAGCTTTTACTGACGGTCCCCAGTACTAGGCTGAAGCTCAGAGGGGACAGAGCGTTTGCAGCTGCTGCCCCTAAGCTCTAGAATGAGTTGCCCTTGAAAATTAGACAGGCCTCCTCATTTCCTGTTTTTAAATCCCTTTTAAAAACGCACTTTTACTCATTGGCTTTTAGTACATTGTAGTGTTAATTTGTGTTTTTTATCATCTTAGCACTTGCCGTGAGCCTCCTTATTTATACACTTATTTATTCTTTTGTATTACTGTATTTCTGCTTGCGTTATCTTGTTTTTTGATTGTTTTATTTGTTTTTATGTCACTGTACAGCACTTTGGCTACCCTTGTGGTTATTTTAAATGTGCTATATAAATAAAGTTGATTGATTGATTGATTGATTGATTGATAAAAACGAGTGTAAAAGATGAGGAGGAAAGTAAAGGAGAAAGGTTTTAAATTTTGGAGCTTTTTTACCGTCTGAACATGAACGTTTGTTTGAGTTTTCCAGCAAAGAAGAGTCCAGAGGGTTTCTGAGTTTGAAGGAACGACAACATAGAATAATGAAGCATCAACAGGGTGATAAACAACAGCTGCAGAAGAGGAAGAAGAGTGTTTTCATTTCATTTGTCTTTGTCTGAGTGTGTGTGTGTGTGTGTGTGTGAGATTAGAGCCAGCAGACTCTCAGTTTAATGAAAACATGTTTTAATTCACACACACACTCCCGTATCTCTCTCTCTGAGCCTGAAAACACGTCTCTTTCCTGTGGCTCAGCATCCTCGTATTATTCATCCCACACAGTTACAGTCTCCTTCAGTCTGTCCGTTCACAGACTGGAATAAAAACAACATGAAGACGTGATTTCCTCAGAGAAAGAACTTTATTCTTCTGAGTTACTCTCTTTATTTCTCTTTACTGTCTGCCGTTTCTCTTCCCTCGTCTCTTCTCTTTCTTAAACTCAAACTTCTTCTCTGTAAAGATGAGGAGAAGATTTCAGCTTCACTGTTCACTCCTCATTAAACAGGAAATCAGAGGCTGTAGTTTCTGATGAAGAGGACACGGTCAAAGACTTTCAGGGTTTTAATGGTGTTGTTAACCCTGCTGCTCTTCAGTCACGGTGCTGCAGCTCCTGAAAACGGAGCGGATTTTACATCATCTTTAGATTAAACTACGTCGGTAATGAGAGACTGCAGAGAGAACCGGCTCACAGGCCGGGCCGGGTCAACTCAGCTTCATAATTTCACTAATTTAGAGACTCTGAGCCGAACTCTCCTCTGAGTTTATATGAACACTTGGTCTGCTCTCTGAACTCTCCCTTTAATGCTCTTGTTGTTTCTCGTTGTTTTCCCCCTGAAGTCAGCTCATGAATTCTCTCGTCATTTCTCCAGAACATCCTCCTGCCTGCTGTGATTCCTCTATCTACAGCTCCTCAGGCGTTCTTTCACATGTGCACCAGCTCACAGAGTCTCTGTTCGTTCTGCAGCACAGATACACATGCATGAAACCTCTGTGCATGTTTTTCTGTTGTCATCAGTCTGCACTCCGACTCTCTCTTTGTTCAGCCTCAGCTCTGTCGGTGTCATTTTCTTTTATTATCTTATTTTGACTCAGAAACAGCAGCAGAGTCTGTCTGTGAGAGGACGGCTCTGTGATCGACGACGGCGGAGGAGGAGGAAGTAACAGAGGGAGGAAAGTTGGTTTGGGAGTTCTTCTCTCTGCAGGTGATGATGAGAGTCTTTGAGGTTCCTGCTGAATGAATGAGTGAGTTTTTTTCATGTCTTCAGAAAGACATGCAGCCCTGAACCTCCCAGAAACCCCCCAGAGGGTCCTGCTTTTCCCGTACAGCAGCAATCACCAGGAATAACTCCACAAACTCCTGCTGCGCTAAATGTGTGACTGCGAAACCACAGCGAGGCGAAGATAAAGAGGAGCTGTGGGAGGCTGTGTGTGTGTGTGTGTGTGTGTGTGTGTGCGTGTGTGTGTGTGCGTGCAGCCTGGGCTCATCGCTCAGCCTCACAGTCAAACACTAATTAATTTCTGTGTTGGTTCAAACCGTGTCAAAATTAATTTGTCTTCTATATGTTCCAAAATAATGACAGAGGGCAGCAGCAGCACACTCTTTGATGTGTGTGTGTGTGCGTGCGTTTGTGCGTGTGTGTGTGTGTGTGTGTGCGTGTACATTAATGCTCCACATGGTTCCTCGTTATGGAGCGTAAAGATGTCCCACTTCCTCACCCGTCCCTGCGGCGCTCTGATCGTTCAGTCAAAGTTGCAGCTGCAGAATGAAACAGAAACCGGATCTTCACTGTATTTCCAGCAGAACTGTCATCAGTAAACTAAGCGCCTGCTGAGGGCCTCTTTGGGCCCCCAAAAGCAATAAAAAAAAGTAAAATATTTTTTATTTTTTTGCATGTATTATTGATGCCTTCACTAAGATCAAACATATATGATGTAAAAATAAAATAAAGTAAAAACATTTCAGTGCTGCTGCCCACTGCGACGTCGGAATGACATCTATTGTACGTATTTTTTGACGATGAGGTACAAATGTGGACGTCATTTCAGCATTTAAAAGACGTCCAATAATGTCGTCTTAATCTTGGATCCATTTTGCACGTTGTGCCGACGTCTAGATTCGGTCTTCAGATGACGTCCAAATTCTAAACCTCAGAGCGATGTCTAAAAAAGGTACAATGTGGACGTCGAAAGTTTTAACCTATTTTGCTCGTCATACTGACGTCTAGTTGTGGTCTTTGACAGTCTTTGACAGACCGACCCCACACTGACTTGATCTGCGCGTCTCCTCGTTGCCGATGTTCGGTGGGTGATGTAGGTCTGTGATTCTGTCAGAACTCCGCTGCCGTTCTGTTCCTCCTGCTGTGAACTGAGGATCCTGACATGTGGAACCCTGAACCTCCTTCATCAGTCACTCATTGGTGTTATTGATGTTTAAGGCCGCCTCCTTAAACGTGCAAAAACATGTCAGGTGCATTAAGTTTATACTGTAGCAGGCGTGTGAACGATCAACAATCAATATTATTGGCAGAAACAGAGGGACACCAAAATCAAAGTTTGCTTCGGGCCCCACTGAGGTTTGGTCCAGCTCTGGTTTCAGTTTATATTGAAGTATTAAACGTAAACCACAGAGGTCAGAGGTCAGAGGTCACAGCTTCACTTTCACAGACAGAGTTTTTAGTTTTGTTGTTATTTCTTATATTTTTCTTTGTTTAGTATCGATGAGTGTTTCTAAACTTTTATAATTATCTGTGAGGGGACTTCTTCTCCTTCTTCTTCTCCTTCTTCTTCTTCTTCTTCTTCTCCTTCTTCTTCTTCTTCTTCTTCTCCTTCTTCTTCTTCTCCTTCTTCTAGTTCTTCTTCTTCTTCTTCTTCTTCTTCCTCTCCTCCTTCTTCTTCTTCTCCTTCTTCTTCCTCTTCTCCTTCTTCTCCTTCTTCTTCTTCTCCTTCTTCTAGTTCTTCTTCTTCTTCTTCTTCTCCTTCTTCTAGTTCTTCTTCTTCTTCTTCTTCTTCTTCTTCCTCTCCTCCTTCTTCTTCTTCTCCTTCTTCTTCCTCTTCTCCTTCTTCTCCTTCTTCTCCTTCTTCTTCTTCTCCTTCTTCTTCTTCCTCTTCTCCTTCTTCTTCTCCTTCTTCTTCTTCTCCTTCTTCTTCTCCTTCTTCTTCTTCCTCTTCTCCTTCTTCTTCTCCTTCTTCTTCTTCTTCTTCTTCTTCTTCTTCTTCTTCTTCTTCTTCTTCTCCTCCTTCTTCTTCTTCTTCTTCTTCTTCTTCTCCTTCTTCTTCTTCTTCTTCTCCTTCTTCTTCTTCTTCTTCTTCTTCTTCTTCTTCTTCTTCTTCTTCTTCCTCCTCCTTCTTCTTCTCCTTCTTCTTCTTCTCCTCCTCCTTCTTCTCCTCTTCTCTCTTCTTCTTCTTCTCTCTCCTTCTTCTTCTTCTTCTTCTCCTGTGTTTGCCGTGTTGATCCTCTGCTGCTGCTGTAGCTGCAGATCTTCCCACTGTGGGTTGATGAAGGTCAATCTTCTCTTAATGACTCTCTCCTTCAGTGATGAGGTTTATTTACTGAGTGTTTCCGCTGTGGTGAAGCGTCGCTCTTTAATCTGCTGAAGGTCGTTGGACGTGCGTTTTGATTTTTCTCTGTTTCATGTTCTGTTCTGTCGAACTTCATCATCCTAGTTAAACAGGATGATGAAGCGTTTGTCTGCTGTTTGATCACCAGCTCACATAATGAACCCCATGAATGCACACGCTGGTTCCCATACAGAACTCTTTATTATGCAGCACGACGAGAGCTCTGTCCTGATGATATACCATGAATGTTAATGCTCATATAGGGACCAGATCTGAGTGCAGCTCGGAGATAAAGACCGAGAGAAAATGATGTTTTCTCTCAAAGAGGCTTTATTGATTTGTCCAAATGTGACAAATTGCTTTTTCTCCATGAATAATGTGAAGGAAAACATTCTTCACAGCGTATCTGAGCCTGACAAAGTGCCTCTTATTCCTCCTCCTCCTCCTCCTCTTTAGGGCATTATGGGAAATAAACTGAAGAAGAAGAAGAAGAGAAATGGATGAAGATAACTTCAGACTTTCATCCAGGAGACCAGAGTCGGTGATCGATGTTTGAAAAAGTAAAAAATCAGACATTTTCAGGATTAAGACTCCAACCGTCACAGTCCCGAACCAGAGACCTTCTCCCTGAAGTCCAGTTCCTGCGGTCTGTAGTGACAGACGACCATTTCACAGTCTCTTCCATCAGCTTCATGAAGATGCTGATCTCCGTTAGAACCTGCCCTCAGAACCAAAACTGCTCCCAAAAAATCCCCAAAAACACAGACCAGCTGAAGGCGGCTGTCAAAGTCACCTGGGCTGATCGCCTCCATGCCACACCAGAGGTTCACAGAGGTGGTCTTAGGAAGAGTTGTATGATTTCATCCATGAGCCAAAATCCTCGGATTTAAAACTCAATATTTAGAATAAAAGAACATATGATTTTAGTTATTATTGATGATAATAATCGAACTGAATCTTCCTCAGATCTGTTTTCAGAGCTCTCCTGTCTGTGTCAGACCCTCTTATCTGGATGGATAATTAAGAACCTCTTCCTGAGAGCACGCCCGGCCCCCCGCAGCTCCTCATCCATCACTCTCCTCTGTTTTGGTCTCTCAGGTTACAGCGTTTCGGTCCTTCCTCCTGTAACCTCAGGAACCAAGTGTCTGAGCACTCCCCCCCCCCGAGTGTTTCCTCCTCCTCACACTGACTGATGATCAGATAGAAGGAGCTCCGCGGCGCCTGTCATGATGGAGATTTAGCCCCACACCTTCCTGCTGCTCTGTTAACATCTCACACAGAGCTGAGAGCATCCTCAGAGGAGACCATCAGAGAAGACATCGGAGCGTCTGTCGCTCCACCTCAGCTGACCCCGCCGACAGAAACAAAGACAGCATTTGATTATGTCGGAGAGGGAAACGAACTCATGACCAAAGTCTCAAAGAGTTCAGGATGAATAAATCAGTGAATCCTCACTAACGTCTCTGCGCTCATTACAGCTTCAGTCATCCATCCGTGTTTTTAAAGATATAAATATAAGAATATCACGGACAGGGTTGGACTGGGACGATCACGGAGGACCTGCCTGCAGACGTGGACGGAGAAACGAGAACATGAAGTCATCCAACCAGCAGACGTTGTTCCTGTTTGTATAAAATTTAATTATGAAAAGAGTTAAACTCAAATATAATTCTTAATTGTTGCAGGAGGTCATTTTTTAGTTCATATTTTTGGATTCACAGTAAATCTTTGAACGTTTGTTTTTAGAGGGATGCTACAGCGAGCTCGCTGACCGCTGCTGCTTCTTCTTCGGTTACCACTGACTCTGAACTCAGAGTAATTTTTACTACAATATCAACATCAGTGAAACATGACTGTAGTAAGTCCTCTAGAGTCCGTTATCAGGGCCGTATCCATAGCAACAGTCGGTTCTTTACAGCAACAGTGTGTTGTCAAAGAATAACAGACCATCGCCGTGGAAACCAGGCTGTTTTTGTTTGTTTTTTAGCTAAAACGAAACAGTTTACGTCCTTCTCGTTCACAGTTTTCGTCTCTTTATTTCTTTGTGTCTTCTTTAGTTAAACTGCTCTCTCAGCTGTAACCTGCACTCAGCCACAGAAAGTGAGTTTTCATCGACACTCTGATGAAGTCGGTCCTCCTGGTTCTGTTTCATCTGTCAATCAGAGAGTTTAAAATAACCACTTCAGTTTGACGGACAGCTGTGTGAGTCTGACCGGCTCGACTGTAAGACGAGTCTTCTCTTTAGATCCGACCTGCTGTTTCTCTCCCACACTTCCTCAAACATCTGAACGTTTATTTGTTTTGTCTCTGATACGACACCAGAAATCAGAGTCACCAGGCGACGTTACTGAAGGTCATTATCTGCAAGAGTTTTGTGTTGGATGGATGGATGAAGGATGGATGATAAATGATGGATGGATGAAGAATGGATGATAAATGATGGATGGATGATGGATGGACGGATGGATGGATGAAGAATGGATGGATTGATGATGTATGGATAGATTGATGGATGGATGGATGGATGAAAGATGGATAATGTATGGATAGATCAGTTGATGGATAGAAGATGGATGAAGGATGGATGATAAATGATGGATGGATGATGGGTGGATGGATGGATGGATGGATGAACAATGGATGGATTGACGATGTATGGATAGATTGATGGAAGATGGATGGATTGATGATGGATGAATGGATGGCATGATGGATGATAAATGATGGATGGAAGATGGATGGATGGATGAAGAATGGATGGATGGATAGATTTATGGATGGAAGATGGACCGATGGATGGATGGATGAATGGAATGGATGGATGATAAATGATGGATGGATGATGGATGGATGGATGGATGGATGATGGATGAAGGATGGATGATGGATGATGGATGGATGGATGGATGGATGGATGGATGGGTGGATGATTGATGAAGGATGGATGGATGGATGATTGATGGATGGATGGGTGGATGATTGATGAAGGATGGATGGATGGATGATTGATGGATGGATGGATGGATGATGGATAAAGTATGGATGATAAATGATGGATGAAGGATGGATGGATGTTGACTGAGATCCCAGCTTCTGTCAGCACCTCTCCACTCCTCTATTGCTCCTTCTGTAAAGTTGGATATTTTTAACATGGGGTTCTATGGGGGTTGACTCACTTTCAGACTCAGCCTCTAGTGGACCCTCCAGGAACTGCGTCTGTTTGCAGTATCTTATTTTCTAGCTCTGTTTTAAAGCTGCTGCTTGTTTTTCTGCTGCTGTTTCACGATGTCTGCGCTCACTCAGTCCCTCGTCATTATTTCACACGTCTAACTGAATACGACCTTTGAGATTCAAGGTCAGCGCTTTCATTTGATCCACTACAGAGAGTGACTGCACATACAGAGACACTTTATGCACCACGTCAGGGCTTTGAGCCGGGCCTTTTCTTATCAGAGGATCAGACACCATGATGTAAGTGTCTTTACAGAGAAGAAGCTGTCTGAGTCTTTTCATCTGAACTCCCTCAGAGGAGCAGGAGGCAGCAGGCCTCCGGAGAACCAACATGAGATCTCATTTCATCACTCAGCACACTCAGTCTATTAGAAATGATTTATAACAATAAGAGAGGACATGCAACGCTGCTCTGTGTCCAACAATCAGACAACAATAACAGACACAGGAGGAGGAGGAGGAGGAGGGGAATGATGCAAGGAGAGAGTGAAGGAGGAAGGAGACGAGCAAAGACAGCTGACATACCCCGAACAAAGAGGAGGAAGGTGGTGAAACACTCGAACAAGTTTCCACAGACGTCTGAAGAAATGAAAGTAGGTCAGAGTTTAGAGCGCAGATCCACGCCGTGAGATTTCAGAGCGTCCTCTGAGAGCAGCAGGAGGTCCACCTTTGAGACGAAAGAGACGAACTTTAGTCCTTTAGACACTCAGACACAACTTCACAGTCCAGGAGACGTCCAATCATGTGTCTTTAGAGGGCGTACGACCAGCGACGGGCAGGAGGCTACAGCTACAGCCGTAGATATCTATGAGAACGGCTCGATGACTGCATGGCGGCCATCTTACTCCAGTATACCGTTCTGGGCCCGTATGCACGTTGAAAGCGTTTAGCGTAAAAGCGATTAGGGCTTAAACGCGTTTAGTTATACGGGCCTTAAACGCGTTTAGTTCCTATACGATTTTGGTATGCACAATGCTGTAAACGGAACCGTATAGCTAACCGCGTTTACTGTGTCTTAAACGGGTCGAGTGACGCTCGAGTGACGGTTCGACTGACTGTCGACTGATCCACTCCTACCAACTCCCCACACACGTCTTGGAAAGAAGAAGTGGTGTTGTACCGTAAGGTTACGAGGACTTGTTGTAGTGGAGTGAGGGTGAATCCTCGGTTCGAAAGTTCAATTTTTAGCGGAAATCTCCTGTGTGAGGTCGAGAATATGGTGCCGTCGAAATCTAAACTTACGGAACACTTCGTGGTCGTCATACGTGTCGAAGGGGTGTTTTCTGTCACGAAAAATCCTGTTTCGACGCAATTGTCGCCGCTGTCTTCCTCGGAACAACAAGAGTGCCGCCGTATTTAAACGCGTTTAGACCCGCTATTGGACCCCCAGAGGTGCGATAACTTTAAACGCGAAAATCCGTATAGGAACGGCTATACGAAGTGACGTGCATACCGACATTTTTGGCGTTTAGGAGTTAAACGTTTTGCCAAGCAACGTGCATACGGCCCCAGGTCTGCTCTATAGCAGCTGATGGAGGTGAGTAATCTGATCAAAAATCCTCTAAACTCGCTGAAATATTGACAGATTTATAAACGGTTTAGTTTATTACAGACCTTAATAACGTGGATATGAGTCGAGATGTTTGTACATATGACAGATTTACTTTAAAAAAGACTAAATCATGAAGAACAGCTGTTGTTTGTGAGCAGGGGTGCTAATGGCCGACATCTGAACTTCTTTAAAAACACAGAAAAATCTCTTCAGGGTTCAAACCTGCTGGATCTCCGACGGTCCACCTCTCCTGTCCTCCAGTAAAAACACCGGAAACTGATGGAGATCCAGGGGCTGATCCTGGACGAGCTCAAGTCTTCTGTGATCCATCTTACCAGAGACGTTCAGAGCAGGTCTGGAGCTGATGTTCAGAGACTGGAGTGACTGTGCCCCATTCCTCTTCATCATTGTGTTGGACTACGCCCTGAGGAAAGCGATGGCAGATGGCAAGGAAGAAGAATTGGGCTTTACCATCACCCCCCGCGGATCTAGGAGGCACCTGAAGGAAGTCTTAGCTGACCTGGACTTCGCAGACGACATTGCCCTGCTATCTGACGCCGTGGAACAAGCCCAGGAACTCCTCCTTAGAGTAGAGACTGAATGCAACAAAGTAGGTCTCGGACTCAATGGCCCAAAAACCAAATACCTGGCCTACAACATCGATGATCATCCTCCTCTTGTCCGGCACTCTCCTCTGTCACTCGTAACGGCACCGTCCTGGAGGAGAAGAACGACTTTAAGTACCTTGGATCCTGGGTAGATGAATCCCTGAAGGACATCAAAGCCAGAAAGAGGTTGGCCTGGAAAGCCCTCAATGATTTGGACAGGATATGGAAGTCCAACATGAATCCAGGTCTGAAGAAGCGTTTCTTCGTCGCCACGGTCGAGTCAATCCTCATATACGGGTGCGAGAGTTGGGCATTGAATAATGCAATGGAGAAGTCCCTCAATGGTACCTACACACCAGTGGTGGCTGCTGGTCTTTCAAGGAGGGGAAGCTCATTTTTCTGGCCTACATCATAATTGTATTTGTTTATTAGTATGTAACAGAACAGAGTCGCCAAACACAACGGCAGTCGTTTTTAACAAAGACAAAAGTCGCTGAGGATCGGTAAAGTCTCCGGAGCAGTTAAGAACAACGGAATGAATAACTTGGAAAATGCTCTGGTAGATGTTTTATTCTTCAAGATCGCTGATTCGCTTGTTTAGCTGTCAATCAAAAAAGGATTTCGCCTCAGACAGCTCATCCAATCATGGATGCAGAAGCTTGGAGTCCGGGAGAAAGTCGGGACCGCCCTCTCGCCATAGAACTCCAGTGAAGCTGGGCTTCCGATGGGCGGGACAAAGCCCAGCATTTATCCAATGAGCGTCTAGTTTCGCTGCTGGAACAACCCACTTTGAGCTTCCACATTGAAGTCAGCAGAAGCCCAGCGTCCGGCTGTTTGAAGCGCTGAGGCGCTGCGAGGATGAATGAGAACGAAGTTATGCCGATTACCTGTAATTATCAGCTTCTTATCACAGTGTCTGAACAAAAGATGAAGGCTTTCTAGTGCGTATTTAGTTAATGAAATGTACACACAGCCGTACGTATTTCACCACTTTTTCTTTTTTTTGGGGGGGGTGACATTTTAAGGGAAGCCGAGCTTCCCTTGCAGTCTTAAAGCAATCGCCACTGCTACACACGCATGCTACGCAGGGTCCTAAATGTACACTGGAGCTCACACACAACCAACGAAGTGCTTTACGGCGAACTGCCCGCAGTCGCTGACAAGATAGCAGCCAAGAGACTCCAGCAGGCAGGACACTGTCACCGCCACCCTGAGCTGAGCACCCAGAGAGTCCTGCTATGGGAGCCAAAGCACGGCCACAGAGATAGAGGGCGGCCACGAACATCGTATGTGGATACCCTAAAGAAGGATACTGGAGCGAAGAGTGTCAGCGAGCCAGTGTTGTTTTTGGCAGGCATTTCAGATTTAGTCTTAGTCATTTTGACGAAATGCTTCTTTGTTTTAGTACCATTTTAGTCATTTCTATCCTTGATAGTTTTCGTCTAGTTTTAGTCCGACGAAAACTCAAAAGGTTTTAGTCGACGGAAAGGTGCGTTTTGAAGTTCGTGGTGTTCTTTCCCGACAGCTGTGGCTCCATAACTGTCGTCTGTCTCCCCGTCCCCGTCCAAGACATTGTGTTTTATTGTCACTTGGACTGTATCTGAAGTAGGACCAAAATCATCCCTCTTTTTTCGGCTACCGGGCACCGCTGCTGTGCCTGCCGCCACGGTGTGTGTGTGTGTGTGTGTGTGTGTGCGCCTCGTCCACCTGCCGCTCTGTGTATGTGTATGAGTGTGTGCGCGCAGCTGTGCGCGAGCGAGGCTTTTGGTGCGTGTGTGATGGGGGCGTGACTGTTAGGACAAAAAAAAGCATGTTTTGAAACTTTGTTCGTCCACCTAATAACAATTTAGTCTCGTCTCGTTCTCGTCTGACGAAAATTAATACAATTTTCGTCACATTTTAGTCTTTACAGAGCTTTGGTGACGATCGTCTTAGTCTCATTTTCGTCAAGGAAAAAAGGGGTCTGACGTCGTCATTTAAGTTTTCGTCCTGCCTGACGAAAACAACACTGCAGCGAGCTAGCTTCACTGATGAAGGATTGTGATGTTTGGCGCAACCGCGTTCACGCTCGCCGCGTTGCGACCTAAGTCAAGTAAGTCAAGGAGTGACTGTTTCATTTACAGCCTGTTTTCTGTGAGTGACTGTGAATTTAAAGGTTAAAATCTGAACGTCTGTTGAACTCTCTGTTGGCTCTCAGAGATGTCGGCAGCTCTCTCCGCTCCCTCTGGATTTGGGTGTTTTTATCTCACTTGTATACTCTGTTAGCTCACAGCTGTAACAGGAGAAAAGGCTCATCAGTATTCCCGCCCTGACTCTGGCTCCTCAGACTTATCTGTCTGAGGCAGAGCGGACATGACGGGGCCGACTCGAACTGAGGGACACTCTGATGGAAGAGAGGCGGGAGACACGAGACGTAGAGGCGCTGAACTTTATGAAAATGTTCTGTGAAAACTTTCTCAGTCGCTGCTCTGAGTGTGAAAGTCCAGGACCACCTGAGGACGCAGGAGTCCAGCTGAAGGTCAGGAACAGACCACCTGAATGACACCCTGCTGAAAAACACAAACACCATCGAGTTTGTGCCGTTTCCTCGAAGCGATCTGAGCTGTCGGTTTAAGGGGGAAATGGAGACCCCCCACTGTTACAGGGGAAGAAGGTTTACTTCTAACCAGACAGAAGGAAACTAACACAGCGCAGCCTGAAGTCGACCAGGAGAACTGGTTCCTCTGACGTGTCATTAAAGTTGATCATGTTGAATTTAATGATGGATGATCTGAACTCTGAGGACACAGACGCAGCTTTGTTTTCTTACAGGTTTAACATTTGTCAGTGGGCTTCAAATCGTCTTCATTTATAACTTCTATAAATCCTCTTTTCATTAATTATCATCGACAGAAAGTTCGTTGTTCGTCACGTCATTATGGTGGAACATAAATGTCAGACAGATTTCAGTCTTCAGACGATTTCTTGTTTCTGTTTTTAATCCTGACCTGGAGGAACAAACGTGTCCTGACTCATTCTCACCTCGTTTCCCCCTCACACACACACACACACACACACACACACACACACACACACACACACACACACACACACACACACACACACACACACACACACACGTCTGTGACCGATGAGATTAACATCCCATAATTTCAGCAGGATCACCGTGAAGAAGAAGAAACTCTCTCTCACATTCCTCCATCTCTGTTCCTCTCAGTTCTTCTCCATGATGGAAACCATGACCTGCTGTCCTTCCACAGACCTCCTCAGACCAGGTGTGTCTCTCCCAGCAGTCACTTCACCTTCACTGTTAACTACCCATCAGCACAGATGAACGTGTGAATACTTAAATAACGTCTGAATACCTGATAAAATCTCGATGAACGTCTGAATACTTGATGAACGTGTGAATCCTTGATCTTGAATCTCTGACCTGCAGCTGCAGAATAAAAAGATCTGAGGAGGATTTTTAATTATTTTTTTTCACTTCCTGTTTGTTTGTTTTTTGGTTTAAACTTCGTTTTTATCGTTTTCGACCAGCAGCTGCACAGACGTTCACAGACGCTCACAGACGCTCACAGACGCTCTCGTTTGTGTTTGATCCCAGCGGCGTGCAGAGGCGTTTGGATAAATGACTGAGTGAGTGATGATGGCACCGACTCTGAGCGGCTTCTCAGTCCCTCACGTCTCTGCATCAACCCGAAGAGGAACTGAACGGGTTTTTCTTTAGATCACAGGAACCGGAGCCGCCGTGAGTCACCCTTAAACCGCCATGACTCACAGCTGACGGTTAATTGGCCGAGCCGTGTGGCTGTGAAACTCGTTATTCTGCAGGAGGAGGAGGAGGAGGAGGAGGAGGAGGAGGGAAACTGTTTTTAAAAACCTGGAACCTCACTGAGGAGGAGGGTGAGGAGGGTCCTGGTCTGCAGACGGACTGAGGACAGGTGGTCCACAGAACGGTTTCCTCCATGATGAGCAGCAGGTGTGGCTGTCATGAGGCTGTGTGGTCCAACATCACTTTCCTTCTTCATGCATTAATGATCTGAATGTTCCTCCTCGCTCTCAGACCGGCGAACAGATGCTCGTCTCTCCTCCTTTATTTCACTTCATGCTCAGCTCTTCCTCTCGTTCTCAGCTGGTGTGCAGAGGGGAACAAACGTAAAGATAAATAGAATAGAATAGAATAGAATAGTCCTTTATTGTCATTGTAACCAGTACAACGAAATTAAAAAAGTGCCAGACAGTCAGTGCATCATTAAAAACAAATACGGTAATAAATAGCAGTTCTAAATAAATAAATAAGTTCCGAATAAATAAAGTAAATGAGTAAATAGGTATTCAGTCACTGTTTTCTGGTTTTCTGGTAATCCGGCTGTTTTTGTCCCGATCTTCCCCCTCCTGACCAAAGACAGAGGGCGCTGTTCTCAGAGTGGCTTCACCCAGCGAGGACGCAGACGGCGTCCATCCTACATAGTCTATGATCAGGACCGTGTTTACATCTTGTCACTAACGGCGGAAATGCGTCACGTTGACGTTGGGCACACGTGTGCAGTCAGGTCAGAGAGTCACGATCAGAATCAGTGTTTATTTTGACGTGTTTCGGAATAACGATCGGCATAATATCACAAGAGTTCTACTTTTTCTGGACGCCGGAGCATGGCGGATAAATTCAGCACAGATTAACCCGTGCTGGAAAGGAAGTCGGGCACAGACACAAAATAAAACATCCGGCTTCTTTTCAAAATAAAACACTCGGAGACGAACAAGTGAAAGGTTTTTAGACGTCATTTCACCCCGATGACACCATGGATGAGGAGATGCTGATTCTAGAAGTCTAGAAGTAGATTTCCTCCTCTGGAAGGACACAATCTACTGCTTATATGTCTATGTGTCTGTCTTTAGAGAGACGACTCGTTATCGTGAGATTGAACGTGAATCTGCGGGTTCTTGTGAGTTCTTGCGATTGTCCGTCATGAGAAGAGTGTCCGGTTTGGTGGATGCGGCGAAAATCGCTGCCGTTCCGGATCAGAGCCGTTCAGGATCAGTTCTGGACGTGGTGGAAATTCAGGGTCAGACTTGAGTTAGACCCAAAGAGGAGACCTGGACCCTCTGCTCTCGTCTCTCTGGAGCTCGTCTGATCCTGGACTCAGTATTTTAGAGGACCCTCTTTGTTGTTGAATAAAGTCCACGTCCTGATTTGAAGTCCGGACCTCCGTCCATCAGGTCAGTCTGATCTGGGATGAGGACTGATGGTTCAGATAACCCCCCTCACAGCAGCTCTGGTTCCCCTGTAGAGGAGGTCTAAGCCCCCACTGTGGTTCTGGTCCTCTCGGTCTTTGATCCTTCAGAGTCTTTGGAGGAAAATCTCTCGTCTGTTTGATTTTCTCTGAAAGCGTTTTGATCTTTTCTCTGTAAGCTTCACGGGGGTTTGTGTTTGCAGCCGGCTCCTCCCCTGCTGTGCTGTTCAGGGCTCTTTGTGTGGGCCTGATGGATCTCAGAGACCCTCAGACAGGAGAGGAGAGCAAACAGTCCTGATTGGTTTAATTTTAGCTCCGACTCCATTTGCATTTATTCAGACGGTGACTAAAGGAGCTGAAACACTCTGCTGCTGTAAACTGATGTCGCTCAGTTTGTTTGGTTTATGTGAGGTACTCTAAAACGTTCTGACCTACGATCCCCAAAATAACGGGACCACAGACCCGTGACCCCCCTAACCCCCAACGATTCCGTCCCTCACTTTGAGATTTCACGAACTTCTTCTGTTTCATCCTCACGTCTGACCTTCAGAGAGATGAACAGCTGATTTTAAAAACACTGAAATCAAACGATTTCCCACCATGACCCCCTTATATGTACTTCCTGTGGGCCGTGCTTACCCGCCTGCAGGAAGTGCATATCCACACCTCCTTATATGGTGTTCACTGGCGATTCATGGGCGGGTTTTATACTGACTGACAGTGATGCAGAAATGTGGATTATGTGGCGTTCAGGATTCCTCAGAAGTTAGAAGTCTGAGCTGAAAATGACGTCACACCCGAGTTCCCAGCGTTTCAGTTACCAGAAAGCAGAGAGGAGGTGGAAACAAGATGGCTACATCTATGAACGTTATTTCAGCGCCTGCCTTGTCCGAATATAAGACAAGCGCTAAAATAACTGCAGGCCTCCGATTTTGCTTTTCCGACTTGGTAACTGAAACGCTGGGAACTCGAGTGTGACGCCATTTTGAGCTCAGACTTCTGACTTCCGACGTAACTTGAACGCACCATTAGCTGTCAGTAAGTATGTTTCCACGACACTCGAGAAAACCGAATTATCGCCTTATTCCGATTAAGACCGGACAACTGAAGGTCATGTAAACACTTTAGTCCGACTATAATTGGAGTTTGAGAACTCTGATTAAGACTCCCAGATAATGAGATTGGAATTCGATTTTCTCTACCATGTAACCAGCGTAGTCGGAGTATGAAGCCACGCCCCCGTAAACCCGTAACAAACCCCCAGAGTAGAGGAGTAGCGTTGGTCTCCTCTTTAGAAAAAGTAGCGCGTCCATCATGTCGGACAAAAACAACGCTGTACGATGCTCCATCTTCTTGTTTCTCCAAAATGCCCAGCAGCAGTTGTAGACACTTCTGACGTCTGACACCGACCTGCTGTTGTTGGTGACGGTTGGACGGGGTCGGAAACAGCGCCGCTGAAAAGACCCATATCGCCCCCTAGTGTTGGGGAGGAGGACACGTTCACGTCAATAATTCAGTTTTCTCAGCTGCATGTAAACGAGGACAAGGAGAGAAGTCTGATTCAGAGAAAAAGACGAATTATGAGTTTATTCCGATTAAACTGAGACTGTAAACGACCTGCGTGACACCGTTAACAAAGATCCTGAGAAAAGTCCATCAGAGGAAATGTTTTCAACCAGAATTCAGACGGACAAACGTCGACGCAACCTGCAGATGCAGAGGCGTCATAACGGAGGATCTGAGGGAGGAAATGTTGGTTCAGATTTCAGATCTTGACGGTGTGACTCATCATCAGTGTGTGTTTCTGCTGTCCACAGAGTACAGCTCTTCAAAAAGGAGGAAAAACAGTCAAAGTGAACTTCTGAGGGTCTTTGGTCCGACTGGAACACACCTGTCGGGTTTGACGGTGACTCAGCGGCGTGCAGACGGCGGGTTCATGTGTGTCAGATTACAACAATGAACAACAGCGCTCAGGTTCGGAGAGGAAAGAGTTAAAGACTCTGAGAACCTCCACTGTCTCTCTGCAGGTGTGTTTGTTCATTAGCTCAGGATCTGCACCTGTGTGATTATCTGTTTGCACCAGCAGGTTATAAATGTAGGTCCACCCTCAGGAGGTTCCTGCTCTCCTCTCAGACTGACAGAGAGGTTCAGCAGATTCTAGTTTGAGTTTTTAAAGAACAAAAAAAACAAACTGATTAAAACCTGAACTTGATGTGATCTTCTGAGTCGACCTGATCCAACATCAACGATCAGATCCAAACTGAAGGAAACCAGAGAGGATCTTTGAGTCTCAAAGATCTCGTTTCTTTGAGCAGATGTTGATGATAAAGTCTGTCTCTCAGTCTGTCGTTGTAATAAAAACCTTTATGAAGGTTTTTGTCTCCACTTTTAGACGCCCTCACTCACACAGAGCTCTTTTCTGTCCCTCACAGCAGTCCACTTATTTTGCTCCTCTTATAAAAGTTATTTGTCTTTTTTTTCTCACATCAGTTTATTTTTTTACTCTTTTATCTCCCGCCGAGCTCGCCGTGTTTGGCCCCGCCCCTCTGAACAGACTCTGATTTTGATGTCAGCTGGTTCCTTTAAAAACAGTCAAACACAGAAAACTGTCCAGACTTGGTCCAGGGTCAGACCTGCTCCTCAGGTAAACTGGTCTTTCTGTTCTGGTCTTTAGTTCATGTGCAGAGTTGGAGGTTTGGATCATGTTTACAGTCACAGTTTAATCAGACTAAGTTCATGGAGATGGAGCATCGTACAGCGTTGTTTTTGTCTGACATGATGGACGCGCTACTTTTTCTAAAGAGGAGACCAACGCTACTCCTCTACTCTGGGGTTTTTGTTCCGGGGTTACGGGGGCGTGGCGTCATACTCCGACTACGCTGGTTACATGGTAGAGAAAATCGAATTCCAATCACATTATCTAGGAGTTCTCAAACTCTGATTATAGTCGGACTAAGACGTTTACATGACCTTCAGTTGTCCGGTCTTAATCGGAATAAGGCGATAATTCGGTTTTCTAAAGTGTCATGGAAACGCACTGAGTGAATCAGGATGAAAACCACCAGGTGAGGCCGTCTCAGCTCCATGACAGTCCGGCTGCAGTAATCCTCCGTCCTGAGGAGAGTCGGTCTCCTCAGAGGAAGTTTTCTCTCTGCTTCGAATGAGTGTTGATCCAGACCCCCTACCCCCTTTAAAAAAGGGTCCCTGAAGTAAAACTTATGAATCCTCTAAATCCAGAACTGCAGGTCCCCCCAACAGAGTCTGGTTCTCACACAACACTCACAATCACACACCAGTGGAGGACACACACTGGGAGGAAGGTGGGTTGAGTGTCTCGCCCAAGGACACAACGAACAGACTCGGGATAGGGGGGAATCGAACCGCCAACCTTCCAGTTATTGGACGACTGCTCTACTTCCTGAGGTCCGCCCCTTCACAGCTTCTTTTCATTTTACTGACGGAGAATGAACTTTAGAGTCTGTAAACATTTGGCAGTTTTCAAGGTTTTCTCACCAACCAATCGATTCCTGAGGGTAGAAGCTGGTCCACAACAGAGCTTCACAAACTTACATCTGAACAACAAAATGAGGGTCTACATAAAAATATCAAGTCATCTATATGGTTAAGCAATAGTAGACCTCGCTTTGTACGTCTCCTCACTTCAGCAGGTGTGGCGCCAATCAGGTGAGTGGGTGGAGCTTGGTTTCAAATGCCCCAACTTCTACCCAGTGTGTTGGGTAGTCCACAACAAACCAACAAAACTGTATAGAAACTACAACCCAACAGCTGTGTTCCCAACATGAATAACCTTGTGAACTGTGTTCTCAGAATACCCAACGCCATGAAAATAAATAAACTGACCAACAGACTCAACTGGGTGGTTGGGTTGAAAAACCAACCCAGCATTTTCTGTGTGTGGTTGAAACTGCATTAAAACATAATCTGTAAACCTGAATAAGGACGACATGGTCTAGTATGACCCCGGGTTCAGTGGCGATTGCTCTAAGACTGCAAGGGAAGCTCGGCTTCCCTTAAAATGTCACCCCCCCAAAAAAAAGAAAAAGTGGTGAAATACGTACGGCTGTGTGTACATTTCATTAACTAAATACGCACTAGAAAGCCTTCATCTTTTGTTCAGACACTGTGATAAGAAGCTGATAATCACAGGTAACCGGCATAACTTCGTTCTCATTCATCCTTGCAGCGCCTCAGCGCTTCAAACAGTCGGACGCTGGGCTTCTGCTGACTTCAATGTGGAAGCTAAAAGTGGGTTGTTCCAGCAGCGAAACTAGACGCTCATTGGATAAATGCCGGGCTTTGTCCCGCCCAATGGAAGCTAAGCTTCACTGGAGTTCTATGGCGAGAGGGCGGTCCCGACTTTCTCCCGGACTCCAAGCTTCTGCATCCATGATTGGATGAGCTGTCTGAGGCGAAATCCTTTTTTGATTGACAGCTAAACAAGCGAATCAGCGATCTTGAAGAATAAAACATCTACCAGAGCATTTTCCAAGTTATTCATTCCGTTGTTCTTAACTGCTCCGGAGACTTTACCGATCCTCAGCGACTTTTGTCTGTTAAAAACGACTGCCGTTGTGTTTGGCGACTCTGTTCTGTTACATACTAATAAACAAATACAATTATGATGTAGGCCAGAAAAATGAGCTTCCCCTCCTTGAAAGACCAGCAGCCGCCACTGCCCGGGTTGGTGTCACCGCAGGGACTACATCTAAGGGGGAACCTTCGCAGCACACTCCATCTGAAGACACATTAAACGAGCTGCACACGCCTCGATCTAATCCTCGGGGATATAAAGTCGACCTCATGGTTCTTGGTTTAATATCCTGTCAGCCGCACAGACCTGAGGTGATGAGATTGTCGGTCATGACAGCAGGAGGACCAGAATACCAAGGTACGAGGAGGAGGAGGAGGAGGAGAGGAGGAGGAGTGTTCAGATAAGCGAGTCATTTCCAGAGCTCCTCATGTTAGCTCAGATGATCCATCCGCTCCCACGCCTCATCCGTTTACTGTCTTTATTGATGGTCACTCAGGCGGACTCGGCAGGTTAATTAACAAAGAGAGATAAGGACGGGTGCAGGTGAGCTAACGGCGGAGAAACGCCGCTATCAGCCGGTCGGAGAGAGACAGCGTGGCTGAGCGAGAGTGCTTTAGAGATTAGAGGAGCGAAGGACGGGTCTATAAAAGATGGAGAGCAAACGAAGACGTCCAACCAAACACAATAAAGAGCCGTAAAGGGGCGGGGCCAGACCGGATTACAGAAAACTCTGTCAGGGGTTTCCCTTCGAGCTAATCAGACCAAATCTAGAGTCCATAAACTCTGACTGTGACATTAATTAGACGGTTTGACCTTTGACCTTCACCGCCAAGGGAGGAAGAGCTGCTAGATCCTCTCTGATAGAGGACTTCAGCTGATCCCCGTTTCAGGGTCTCCTCGGTCCAGTTTTTGGTAGACAAAGGAGACCACAGGATGGTATTCCCTCCCTCCTCAGATGATACTTGTTTGTAGAGAGACCTCAGGCCAGTCCATTACAGACTACAGCGGGGTGACGCAGCTCAAGGAAGAACATTTATGATCATTTCTTCATGGAAATACAATCAGACCGAGACGCTAAGACAGAAGAACTACCGCGTCTGTAAAATGATCAATATGGTGATTATTACTTCAAGGAAATGATAAAGAAATGATCATAAATGTTCTTCCTTGAGCTGCGGCACCCCGCTGTAGTCCGTAATGGACTGGCCTGAGGTCTCTCTACAAACAAGCATCTGCTGGAAGAGAGTAGGTGAGTTGTGTTTAGTCTCTCTGATCATTAATTTTCCTTCTAAATGTCGACAACATTCATCTCTGGAGGGGGGGTCTAACTCGGTGTTACGGTGTGTTTGACCCTAAATTAATTTTACAGCAGAATATCCCTTTAAAGAAAATATTTAATTAAACTTTATTAGGAGTAAAAATTCAAAGATGTGTTGTCAGGAAACACTGAAGTTCAGCGTTTTAATGAAGTCACAGACAAACTGTAACTGAAGGAGATAATCCTGTTTTCAGAGCAGAGACCGAGTGTTGACTAACAGACTAACAGACTAACAGACTCAGAATTCTGCTGCTGATGTTTGATCGCTGTGTTTGCCTTCATGTATTTACATCATGATGTTCATTGTTCGCAGGATTAGCTGTCTTGACAGACTGTGATCTGACTGTTCACTCTGTGTGTGATTGAACCGCCTGTCTCATTGTCTGCTCTGAATGAATGTCGTGTTTTAAATGAGAACCTCCTCCATCATCCTGAAAACTGACAAACGGACCGCCGGCGCCCCGGAGACTCACAGCACGTCACGTCCAAGCGCCAGGATTTGATGAAATGCACACGGTCCCCGGAGGGAATATGCATGAAATTGTCCACAGGACTGGCAGCCCTGGCTTTTCTCCAACCTGGCAACTCAACACGGGGGAGAGGCAGCGGTTGGTCTGAGTGCAGCAGCCTTAGGATAGATTCCAACCTGGCAACCCTGACAGGAAGCTGATGGAGGCTTGGAGACAGGCTGGAGTGAAAATAGAGAGAGAGAGAGAGAGAGAGGGAGAGAGAGAGAGAGAGAGAGAGAGAGAGAGGAGAGAGAGAGAGAGAGAGAGAGAGAGAGAGAGAGAGAGAGAGAGAGAGAGAGAGAGAGAGAGAGAGAGAGAGAGAGAGAGAGAGAGAGAGAGAGAGAGAGAGAGAGAGAGAGAGAGAGAGAGAGAGAGAGAGAGAGAGAGAGAGAGAGAGAGAGAGAGAGAGAGAGAGAGAGAGAGGAGAGAGAGAGAGAGAGAGGGAGAGGAGAGAGAGAGAGAGAGAGAGAGAGAGAGAGAGAGAGAGAGAGAGAGAGAGAGAGAGAGAGAGAGAGAGAGAGAGAGAGAGAGAGAGAGAGAGAGAGAGAGAGGAGAGAGAGGAGAGCGAGAGAGAGAGAGAGAGAGGGAGAGAGAGGAGAGAGAGAGAGAGAGAGAGGAGAGAGAGAGAGAGAGAGAGAGAGAGAGAGAGAGAGAGAGAGAGAGAGAGAGAGAGAAATCTGCATAAGAATATTTCTCTTCTGTCTCTAAAGCTAAAATGGGATAAACTGATGAATTCAAACTGAGTGTGTGTGTGTGTGTGTGTGTGTGTGTGTGTGTTGTTTGTGTGTGTTTGTGTGTGCGTGTGTGTGTGTGTGTGTGTACCGAGCACATGAACATACAGTAGCTGAGGGAAAATCTCATTTCCATCTTAATCTAATGTTTACTAAAAGCAGCCGAACCTCTGCTGAATGCTAAAGAGTGAAAACAGACGGTTTATTTACGAACCGTCGTCTCAGACTCCGATCAGCGAAACTCTGACTTTGTTTGTGTCTCTGGAGCTTCTGTTGAACTCATCTCTAAATTTAATCATCTCTAATTACTTTACTACATTATATTTCATCTGTATTAGATCGGAGCTCCTCTGGACTTTTAAATGTCACTTTTTCTCAGTCAAACATAAATAATAGTTTTTAGTTATATATTTATATTTATGTTTATATATATTTATATAAACCTAATTGTCATTTTTAAGTTGAACCTAAATTCATGTCACTTTGTGATACAGGAGAGTGAAGTCACACACTCTATTTTGTCTGTCTATTCATCAGAGCACCTGTGCATACATTATGGTTGTCCCGGCAACAACATGTCAGATTAAAACATCTAAATTGAGATTAAATTAAATCAGTTTTTAAGTGTGTGTGTGTGTGTGTGTGTGTGGGGGGGGGTGTCACAACACTCATGTTTCTGTCTTTGTATTCATACAAGGACTCTCATGTAAAGAGTGTGTTTGTTGGCCCTAAACAATCATAATAATAACTTGAATATAAACGCTGACTTAAATCTGAACGTGTTTGTTTGTCAGAAAAGCAGCAGATGTACACACACGTTTTTGTCTTTATGTATATATGTGGACCCTTGTGTTTGTGCTCCGAGGACTCTGGATGGCCTTAAAATATCAGAACCAAAAACCTTAAATGAAAACCTAAATGTCTTTACTTCCAACCAGCCGTTGTCACTAATACTGAGTGGAATAGTGAGTAAAGTAATATCACACATGTTTTGTCTGTCTGTTAAAAACCGTTACATCCTGGGTCTTTGGGATCTTGGGCCCCCAACGGAAACCACTGATTGCTAAGAGAAGGTCTTCCTCTTATCGGTAAGAATGAGAACCTGAACAAGACTTGAAGACCAAAACTGTGATATTGTGAGACTCTAACAAACGGAGGTAACCATCTAGACATCATCTGTTTGCATGTAGGGCCTTATTTAGACATGTTGGTGGTTTCTGTCTTGTTTTCTGAGACAGGAAGTGGAACTTAAGACTCTTGTTCACATCCCAGTCCTGGATGGTGACTTTGTAATCCCTGGGACTTAAATTCATTCAGAAAATTTTTACCTAGATAATAAATCAAGTCCAAGTTTCTGACTGACTTTAATTCTATCTGGGATCTTATTACAACTTTAGGAGACGCCCCCTGTTGGCCATTTAAAAGAATGCAGTTTTTTTCTTTGTAGTTTTTTTATTTTATTTTAGGGCTTTTCTGTCTTTGTTTAGAGATAATCGGGGAAGAGGGAGAGATGAATGACTTCTGGAAAAAGGGCCGTTGGTTGAATCGAACCGTTGCTGCTGGTTGTTGTGAAGCGTAAAGCTTCTGCACATGCGTTAGTTTCCTCTCCTGGCTGTTGTTCCTGTCTTGTCTTTGTCCTGTTTATCCACCATCCCCCCTCTCCCTGTTCGCCTGATCAGAGCATCTCGGAGCTTGAAAACAGAGCAGCTCGGTCCTGCTGCTCTCAAATCCTTTCTGTGTGTAAGGACGGGGATTGGATGTGGGTTTTTATGCAGGAATCTGCAGGCGTTCGAGCTTAAAGTCGGTCTGTGGCCGACCAATTATTTTTCCACGGAGTTTAGGCCCAAGGGCAGTCATGAAAAAAAAAACAGTAACTTAGGATTCAGAGTCTGTCGGCACAGAGGGGACGCCACGGGATTAGAAAAGTGAAAATTATAATTAAAAATAAAGAGATTATTTAAACTTTGGTCATAAAAGTCAAGGACGTGGAAACACACGCTGCTCTTTCCAAACATCATTACATCTGCAGGGTCTCGTCTGAGTTTAAGGAATCATTAAATGACCTCGTACTTTCTATGGAACATAGAGAACCTCTTCTGAACGTGATCTCTGCATAGATCTACGAACTGCAGAATTCAATGAATATTGATTCTTCTTCATGGCCAACCTCAGTCCGAATGTTAGTGAGAGCGTGGCCGACCATGAAAACATGTAAACCTCCTTCTAAGGTTATTAGAGTCTGACAGGTCCTGGTCTAGCAGCTGTAGACCAGCAGGTGTGTTTGTGTACCTGTAATCAGGTCTGTTATCTCCACATTTTCATTTCATTAGCACACCCAGGTAAACTGCCAATATTTGGAGAAGGCAAACTTCAGCCCTGCTATCAGCAAAAGTACACAAAAAGACAGAAAAACACACGAGTGTCACCCGGGAACCCGAACAGGATGTATCGACTTTAAGAAGTCAGGAGCCACACACGATCGAGGATCTCAGCCGCTCCACAGTTCAGGGTCTACTTGGTCTGGTTTTTGGGGTCATGATGGTCCAAATGTTTCCAAGTCTAAGACTCTTCTCCTACAGATCCATGCTGATGTCAGAACCTAGTTTGTCATTGTCTCGCAGAAATATGAAGACATACGTTGATCCTAAACCTGGAGGTATTGTTTAAAACTGAGGATTCAGCATCTATGATTTCTAGTTCTATGTTGAAAGGACAACTGGAATTTATTAATTCCAGTTGTCCTTTCCAAAAGAGTTCTAGGACAGTTCGTAGACAAGTGACATTAAACCCATGCGGTGACTCCAACTACAGAGTCCTGTTGCTCCTAAACCCGGAGATATAGTTCAGCATTAATGAAGTTTTTAAAGGTGGGATAGACAGGAATCCATTAAAGAAGCTTCTTTTTTGGTGTTTTTACAAAAAATCTTCTAATATCAGTCAATAGTTATTAGTTATTGATGACATTTGGTAATATATCGATATCTCTGTGTTCTCTTATGTCTGTGTCGTCAACATTTGAACATTTTTGAGCGGTCCGCTCTTTCTGACTGTAAACAAAGCCGTTCTCCACCTCCTCTAACCTGATTGGTTGTGAGGCAGACGCTGCTCCCCCGTGTCGTTCAGGAGCCCAAACAAAGTTAGCGTGCTACAATATCGGACAGTAGAAACCAACCAGAAAGTTCGGAAAATTGTCTGAATCCTCCTTTGGCCACGACTGCCGACACAAGCAAGAAAACAAAGTAAATACCGGAGACTCTGGAGGAATAACGGGCGCTTAAAACGGAGGTAGACCGGACAAGAGCTAAAAAGCCAGGTCAACATAAACGATGGGGGACGCTTGGGGATCTTGGTGACCCTGTAACCTTTCTGCTGGACAGGTAAACCGCTTTAACAAAGTAAGACAAGTGTCTGTAACAGAAGTGTTTCTTGTCAAACGGACCTGCTGTAGAGGAATAACGGGCGCTGTTGTCCCATTTGTAATGATCTGAAGTATTTATCTGCATTATATCTGAATTTAATTGGAACGATACGAGCGAGCAGGAGCGTCTGTTTGTGGGCGGGGCTTTACATTCAAGGTTTCTCCCCAAAAACTGGAACTTCCTCAGATCCTGACCACTCCACCTTCAACACGGTTGTGTTTATCATGAGTATTTGAACCTTTACAGAAGATACAAAAGATGTGTTTGTTGGTCCAAACTGACAGTCAGGTAAACGTTTTTCCTTCCCGCTCTTATAAATAAAGTTTTTTTTGGTAAAATAATTTCAGTTTGTGTTCAGGACTATTTGTTTTCCTGTGAAATGATAAAAACTGATAATGTTGTTTATGTCTGAAGATGGATCATCTTCGTGTTTGCTTCAGAATCATAGCTGCCGTTTATTCCCAACGCGTTTCTCTAACTTCCATTTTATCGGCGCACTTTTAATGTGTCTGCATTTACAGAAGCGAACCCGGAGAATACTGATGAGGTTTTTTTTCCTTTACAGCTGATCCAGGTCCAGGCTGTTTGTTTAGATCCTGCAAATATCAGACACGGAGGAGCAGCTGTTCTTATCTGACTGACATTTCACCGATCGCTGATCAATTCAGAGGCAGACATGCTGAGCGATTACAACGGGGGCGACACACACTTGATTTTCAGCTCTGTGGTGAATATTTAAGCGACATTTAGAGGATCAAAATTTAAAAGAAAATCAATATTATCAATCCGTGTTATTTTTCACATGATCGTCTTATACCTGGAGTAGTTCAACGTAAATATGTCAGGTAAACACAGACTGTTTATAAGGCCAACCATGAGGACACTACATCACATCTTAGACACACTCTTTAACCCTCCTTTTATCCTCAAATATTACTAACATGTTTTACCTTTGAGGTCAATCTGACCACATGTATATTTTACATGCAATTGTTGACCCAGATTTTTTGTCAGGTGCTTTGTTTATTTGTTGAGCACATAAATAGCCCCTCAATAATGAAACCTATCAGTGAGTTGACCTGTTCTCTAGCGCCACCAATAGGCCAAACTTTTAGATTAGAATAAATGTGTCTTGAAAAGTTTTCATACAAATCTTCTCAAATTTACTGACAGCCTTTATGACCACAAGAGGATGAACCCTACTGGTTTTGACCTTTCCTGTAGCGCCACCATCAGGTCAAACTTTTAGTTTTAGAGTTTGTGTATCTTGAAAATCTTTCATCCAACATTTTTCTAATCTGGGGTGCACATTCATGTCTCTCAGAGAATGAGGGAATACCCCCCCACCCTCCACAGCACAGGCCCAGCCTACGGTGTGGGACAGTTCTCATGAGAATATTGTTTCCCTCTCTCCCATGTCACAGTAGCACCAAAAATGGAAAATTATGGTTCCTTTACTGACTTCAGCGACAAGGCAGACGTGCTGCTATGAGTGTGTCTCAGCAGACACACAGTCCGCCATGTTGAAGACGTTTATTATTCGAGCTCTTTGTATAACCATCAATTAAAAATATTTTATTTGAGATGATCATTTTAGAGGTGTTTGTAGTTGGAAAGACTTAGGTGTGATCAACTTGCAAACCTACAGTGGCTTCCTCATTTTGGCAGGAGCTCAAGTCAAGTCAAGGATGTTAGGTCACACACACAGACAGTTTTACACAGCCAAAACAGCTTGGGGTCAAATTGATCTTTTTTATTCTTAACTTATCTTGTGTTGGCTTTCATTTAAGTATTTGTTTTTTACTATTACAATTGCTCTGCAACAAATGGGGTGGTGCTCAAATTTCGTTGTACTTTGTACAATGACAATAAAGACGATTCTGATTCTGATTCTGATTCTGAGGAACACGGCTTCATGCAATATGTGTACAACACATTAAAAAATATCATCATGAAAATCTTATGCTAAATCTGTTGTTTTTTCCATCAAATTAGGAAAAGTCATGAAAAATGAAGCAAAAAACAACAACAAAAGTCAACCATTATTTTTTAAACATTAAACATTGAATGGGTTCAAATTGATCCCAAGGATAAGAGGAGAGTTAAAGGTTATATTCACTGAAGGTTTAACCAGAAGGTGTGTTTTTACACCAACTGTAGGAGGAGCATCCACAGGGGGCACTGTTCAGTTGCTATTTACTGGAAATGCATCAAAAGGGTTAATTTTCAATGATTTCTTTTATTCTGGACAGACATAAGGAGGCCACTGTATCTGCAGGAAGGACATTAAGGTGTTTTTTTTTTGACAGGACATCCATGTTTTGATCATTTTAGCTGCTGTCCCGTGTAACTCGCATTAAAATCATGATATAAATAAATATGGCTATCAGTCAAATGAATGAACAGGTGATTAAAATGCAGAAATATGGTGAAAACAATTAAAACAGTTCAAATGAATGTATTTTATTCATCAGGAGTCAGTAAACAACGTTTTGATAGCCCTTTAATGAAAACAGTTAAGAGTCTGCCCACAGAAAATAGTTGTGACATTTCCCCTTTAAGAGACGTGCTGCTCTTAGCTTCGCGGTCGCTCTGAGCAGAGAGAGTAGAAGGAGGAGTAGAGGGAGAACTCGGTGAAAACGGAGTCATTTAAACTTATGAACAGAGTTTATCTGGTCGGCGATTCATGAAGACTTTTTTTCTTTAAGAGCCGCAGCGGTTTTGGTGAGTTTTAACTTCTTTTAGCTGGTGATTTATTTTGTCTTTGATACTTAGATGTGAATGAATGAACGTTGGCGCGAAGCTAAGAGCCGCACAGCAGCGATGTAGCTAACACAAAGAATATGAGGCTTTATTGAGTTGAGTTATATCTACAGAGTTATTAATTTTCTTTTGTGACCTGTCATGCAGGTCGGGCTTTTTTCTTTTTGTGTTGCTAATGTGAACTTGTTCGGAGTTGGACTTTGCTGCGTGTGTGAGAAGATATCCACAAGATGGAGACAAAATGGCGATGGAGACAAGATGGCGACTCAACCTTTAGAACATGTTCCCACCGGCCCTCGTTCGTCGTGCCAGAGAGAGGACCCGCTACATGTAGGTGGACTTGGTGAACTCGGTGCCATAGCGGTAAGAGTGTCTGATACTTTTGGAGGTTTTTTTCTGCTGTTAAGCTAAACTGAAAACAGGAGTGGATTTAGAACTGAACTGAACTTAATCTTGAAACCACTGAACTGGAACTGAGTTTGACACAAGCTGAGTTTGATCTGAGTTAAAAGCGTCATGTTTTGTACCGTGTTCTGCTTTCATAATTGTCAAGTTTATGATTCATGTTGTGTACGTTATCTTATGTTCCACTTTACTTCATCTGTTAAAGAAAAATAAGAGTTAAGTCGAGGAACATAATAAAACCAAACTAGGAACCTTTCACTAGGAACAGCCTGTTCAGGTTTTCCACTACATGCAGCGGTGCACCGCCGCTGCCGAATTATGTGCGCCGCCACTGAAATTTCACATTATTATTAATGTGCCACCAATGATTCAACTTGCACTGTGTGAGCACAACAACACACAACATTATTTCCGACTTGTTGTGAGGTGCGCATCAAATCCTGTCAGACCCTCTTCTATCAATGTAAAAGGTAAGGTTCAAGCTTATACATGGTCTTTATAGCAAGTAGCATTAATAGCATTGCTAGCTTTGTTATCAATGCAGCACTAATGTTTTCTACCCGCACTGTGTGAGCACAACAACACACAACGTTATTTTCGACTTGTTTTGAGTTATCAATGAGTGCATCAAATCCTGTCGGACCCTGTTCTACTTATGTGAAGGGTAATGTTTAAACTTATACATGGTCTGTAGAGCGAGTAGCGAGGGTAATGTAACATGAATGTAACAGCGTAGCTCCTGGAGTGGCAAGAGAGTGGGGGTAACAACGACCCCCCCAACACACACACACACACACCGCCACAGCTGAAAAAACTTATAGGGGAAACACTGCTGTTAACTTAAAGGTCCTCTATTATGAGAAATCCATTTTTAGGTGGTTTTCTACTTGAAGCTGACAACCCCTCCTGACATGAAAACATTTCATTCTCTCCTACTCTTGCTCTCCCCTCCTCCTTGAATGAATGGAAAAGCTGTGTGGTTATGGCGACATAACCCAATAGGCCTCTCCCACATGTTGGTGGCACTGCCCCCGATAATCGTTAGACCAGCCCTCTAAAACGTATTCCCTGAGGTAGCGTCCGCCATTTTTTCCCCTTGCGTACGCTGGTTTGAAACGGCAACAACCATGTCGAAGCTACAACCAAGGCCTGCTTGGTTCTTGGCTGCACAAACGAAGACAGTAGTCTTTTTCTGCCTCCTTCATCGACAGATTTAAGGACCCAGTGGATTAATTTTATTTTTAACGGAAATGTACCCACAACAACTCCGAAAATGTTGCATGTGTGTGCTGACCATTTCACCACCGGCTGTTTTAAACAACGAGGGGCAGTTCAAAGCAGGATATGCTAAGAAGCTGAAGATTAAACCTGGATCTGTACCGACTGCTCGTGTCAGGGACCCAACTTCAAACGTGGAAGCTGTAAGTTTTATAACATTTTATGTTGCTTTACCGCTGCCCATATGACAAGTGCTTTGGCTGCAATCCCGCGGCAGCAGGCTGGTGCTTCCAGCCACCGTGGTCTGGAGATCAGAGGATCGCTGAGGATTGCATGCACCAAAACCCATACAACTCTTATTTGTGGGGCTAAACAGTGATGAGTAATGATCTGAGGGTAAATTTAATATGTTCTTGTGTCATTTATGTGGAATAGACCTTGAGATTAGATGTTTTATCAGCCCAAACATTTCACTGGTGTGACTTTATGTCAATGCGGAAAAAGCAAACCTCTGATGATTGATTAAATTTAACTGTGTTTCTAAGGTGCTCTGTTGCAATCAAGCCCACTGTATTATTTAGCATATATCAAGCAACTGTAAGCAAAGAGTTTCATTGTTAAGTTTTAGTGTAGTCTGCAGACAGTTAATACTAACCTTATATCAGCTGTTTTGCTGTGTGTCGAAATATGCATCCACCCGTTAATTAGATACTGAGACAATAACAAGTCATATTTTTGTAAATATTACATGTGGAAAGTCCAAAAAACAGAAGATGTTGGTGTTTAATCACTGTTTTCTCTATACAGGCAAGCACATCGACTACATCCATACAGATGTCTGCAACAAGGCTTCATGGGAGACCCATTCTGTAAGCACACAGCTGTCTTAGAGGACTCTTTGGCCTAACTTCAGAAGTTCTGGTTTGTGGCTACCTTTTAGTATATTAAGCTTTTGTTTAGATTAGAAATCATTTACCCTTTACAAAATCATGTACTTATATTGTGAAGCAAGTTTAAGTATAGGACTTTTCAACTCCAGACATGCAGCCACCATTTACACCTACAGCCAGGTGATACCAATGACCCCCCCACAATGCTAATGCAATTCTAACCACAATGAGTGGTTAAAATTTAAATTGTAACAAGGTTATTTGTTGACATATTCAAAAGAATGTACATGCATGAATGTACGTGCATTTTCTGATATGATATTTTTGGCGTTTTTGTTGCGGGATGACAGAGCAGTGAGGTTGATGGTAGCTACCACGGGGAGAAGGAGGGCGTGAAGAGGAGTCTGGCATTCTTGAATGCACAGGGTGTGAAACTTGACTGCATTGTCACTGACCGCCACCCACAAATCCAGAAGTTCCTCAGGGAGAGCAATGTCACCCAATACTATGATGTGTGGCACATAGCAATAGGTATATTTCCTGATGTTCATGCGCATCCACATCCTTGTCATCCACACAGTGGTGGCTAATAGAAGTGCATTATTCACAAAACATCTCTATGATTACACATTAAATTGGAGTAACATCAAGGACAGTTGGTGTCCTTAAAGTGGCTGTGAGGGTATTTGAGGGTATATGCTGCACTTGACATATTACTCAATTTTGTGTTATTTTTACTCACACGAATGTATTTTTTTGTGCACTGAAGGAATTCCCAAGAAACTGGAGAAGCTCAGCAAGATCATCACAAAATACTGTTGGCAATAATTATTGCTGTAATGTATTTTAAAGTATACATCTTTATTGTTTGTTGCAACTCCAGCTTTCTACAAGCTTGAGAAGTTGCTGAAAAACAAAAGTATTATGAAGCAAGTCACCAAACTGAGCCCACACCACCAGACATCATCGTTGGAGGCTTTTCACAGTGTCATCCTTAAATTTGCCCCAAAGAATGTTGCCTTTCCATTTCTTGGAATGCTGTGCAGGTAAATTAAACTGTGGTTACTTATAACTCATGAGTGTGTAGTCTGACTTCTGTTCTGTACTTCCCTTATAATGAAAATGCAGCCCGTCCACAAGCCCAAACAGGAGAAGGTGTACCCTGCTTCAAGATCGACTTTCCAAAGGCCTTGATGGAACTATGCAGAACTAAACAACTCAAGATGGAGCTGACATTCCGTAAGAGTCTTTTGTTTCATTTTTTTATTGAAAACATATGTTTTGGTACGAGTGTTTCACAAGAATTCCAACATAAGATAAAACTGAACACCACAAAAAAGAACCTTTTGAAAAAAATAAATTAGATAAATAATATAAGAATTTCAATAAAAAATTACAGTAAATACTAAACACACAACAACATCCTTATAAATACAATAAATTATTTGAATTAATTTCAACAATAAATAATATTGAAATAAGAACTTACAAAAACAATAAATTACATAAAGTGTCAAATGTCAGGAGGTGTTTAGAAGGATGTTTCCAGTTGTTGTGAAAAATATTATAAAAGTTTTTGTGCATGTATTTTTATCAGGGTATGTGGCTGATATGATGGACCTCATATTTGAAAAAGTCATTGTTGACCCGGCACTGTACACAGCTGCAGTATTGTCCATCCCCATTCCAGAGGAGGTCATAACTAGCTGTGTGTCCTGGTTCAACTGAGGGCCAGTTTGAATCCTACATAGTGACCTTCAGCATCAGGAAATTCCCTGCGGATACGAAGGACCACACAAGCTGGGATGATGACCCAGATTGTGCGCCCCAGGGAGCCCCAGCGCCAGCTCAGAAAGCTCTGATAAACTAGATACCTGAAACAACTAGAAGAGATTGAACAGGATTATTAGCAAAAACATTTTTTTTTAAGTGTGTATCACACTTTTTCATATGCACTGCCTGTTAGGCTGGCCCCTTGTAATGATTACCATTGTTTTTGCTGATGTTTTAATTTTCTGTTAATAAATTCTTGAAAATGTCTACAGAAATTGATAAATGATATACACACCACCTGCTTATTGAAAAACTTTACAAATAGAAAAAACTTGCTAAATCAATTTATGGAACTGTATGGTGCTCACATTTGTCACTTATTACAATTTTCTAATTTTGCCAACTGAAGTTAAAGCAGATCATTACATCATGGAAATACAATCAGACCAAGACGCTAAGGCAGAAGAACTTCCACGTCTGTAAAATGATTAATATAGTGATCGTTACTTCAAGGAAATGATAAGGAAATTATCATAAATGTTCTTCCTTGCGCTGCGGCACCCCGCTGTAGTCCATAATGGGCTGGCCTGAGGTCTCACTACAAACAAGCGTCTGCTGGAAGAGAGCAGGTGAGTCCATCTCTGGAGGGGGTGTCTACCTCGGTGTTACGGTGTGTTTGACCCTAAATTAATTTCACACTGGAATATCCCTTTAAGCTAAGCTAGCTGCCAACCAGGCTGCTTGCTGCTGTGAGTATAAAGACAATTATGAGCTAGCTAACGTTAGCTGTCAATATTAACCAGTTTAAGGAACAAACAGTGGCGCTGGAGCAGCAGTGGTGGTCAGTCCTGGAGGCTCTTCTGAAGATGAGGCTGAGATTAGAGATGAGCAAAGACAAGGTGAGATTGTTGCTAAAGTATTCACGGGTGAGCTCCTCCCTCTGAACCCCCCATACGTTGGTATGTTGGTTCACGAGGGAGAGAGAGACAGAGAGCGTGTTAATATGTGGTGTATATTTAATTATGTGTGGATATAAATCAGTGGAAGTGTTTCTGTGATTCATGAGGTTTATATGAGGTGAATAAATGTTGGTTCAGTTGATCTTCAGGACGGCTGCAGCTTTAATAACTTTTGCTTGTTGGATTTTGAGAGGCTAAAGTTTACAGAGCTGCTCCTCTTCCTGGTTGATAGAAAAACAGTGTTTCCCCTCCCAGACCTGATCAGGTGTACAGTCTGAGGATGGGTGTGACCAACGTGTGCTGAGCTGATACTGCTGACTCACATGACACATGTTGTTGAGATCAGAGCTCAGACTAGTTTCACTTCTCAGGAAATTAAACTCAGTCAGTCGTCGTCGACAGCGAGTGTTGAAATGGCGCAGAAAGGAGTTCATCTGGACCGGGAATCTCTCTCTTGTTCCATCTGTTTGGCTCTACTGAAGGATCCGGTGACTGTTTCCTGTGGACACAGCTTCTGCATGAGCTGTATTCAAACTCACTGGGATTCTGAGGTTAGGAAGAAGATCTACAGCTGTCCTCAGTGCAAACAGACCTTCATACCGAGGCCTGTCCTGAAGAAAAACACCATGTTAGCAGGTTTAGTGGAGGAAGTGAAGAAGAGCGGACTCCAAGCTGCTTCTGCGGCTGGACCTGAAGATGTGGCCTGTGATTCCTGCAGTGGGAGGAAACGGAAAGCTGTCAAGTCCTGTCTGCAGTGTCTGGTTTCTTACTGCCAGATTCACCTCCAGCCTCATTTTGAATCTCCTTCATTTAAGAAACACAAGCTGGTGGAGCCCTCCAAGAAGCTCCAGGAGAACATCTGCTCTCGTCATGGTGAGGTGATGAAGATCTTCTGCCGCACTGATCAGAAGTCCATCTGTTCTCTCTGCTCTGTGGAACAACACAAAGGCCACGACACAGTCTCAGCTGAAGCAGAAAGGACTGAGAGGCAGAAAGATCTGGTGGAGAGTCGAGAAAATATCCAGCAGAGAATCCAGGACAGAGAAGAAGATGTGAAGCTGCTCCAACAGGAGGTGGAGGCTATCAAGGGTTCTGCTGATAAAGCTGTGGACCACAGCCAGGAGATCTTCAGCCAGCTGATCCGTCTGATGGAGAAACGCTGCGCTGAGGTGAAGCAGCAGGTCAGATCCCAGCAGGAACGTGAAGTGAGTCGAGTCAAAGAGCTTCAGGAGAAACTGGAGCAGGAGATCACTGAGCTGAAGAGGAAAGACGCTGATCTGCAGAAGCTCTCACTCACAGAGGACCACAACCAGTTTCTGCACAGCTACCCCTCACTGTCAGAACCGGGTCAACCTGCAGACTCATCCAGAATCAACATCCGTCCTCTGAGATACTTTGAGGAGGTGACAGCAGCTGTGTCAGAGCTCAGAGAGAAACTCCAGGATCTTCTGACAGAGACGTGGACAAACGTCTCACAGGCAGTGACTGAAGTGGATGTTTTACTGTTAGAACCACCAGGACCAGCAGAACCCAAGACCAGAGCTGGTTTCTTAAGATATTCGCGAAGAATCACACTGGATCCAAACACAGCACATGGACAGCTGTTATTATCTGATGGAAACAGAAGAGCAACATTTACAGAACAACGACAGTCTTATCCTGATCATCCAGACAGATTCACTGATTGCGTTCAGGTCCTGAGTAGAGAGAGTCTGACTGGACGTTGTTACTGGGAGGTGGAGCAGAGAGGGGGTGGGGTTAATGTAGCAGTCGCATACAAGACTATCAGGAGAGACGGGAGATCAGGGGATTGTAGATTTGGATACAATTACAAATCTTGGACGTTATACTGTTATAAAGACGGTTATGGATTTATTCACGACAAAGTCCGCACTGATGTCTCAGGTCGTCGGTCCTCCAGAGTAGGAGTGTACCTGGATCACAGCGCAGGTATTCTGTCCTTCTACAGCGTCTCTGAAACCATGACTCTCCTCCACAGAGTCCAGACCACATTCACTGAACCTCTACATGCTGGACTGATACCCTGGTCTGTTGGAGGCTCTGCTGAGTTTATAGAAGTGAACTAAAGAGAATTTTGAGTCCATCAGACCAAAATCATGGACTGAGATCCTTGAACTCTTGAAATGTTCTGGTTTGTAAATGTTTGTGGATCAGTCTCACCAAAAACTCTGGGTTTAGTTCTTCATTTCAGCTTTTTGATTCTTTTCTAAAGATGCTGATTTGGTCGCAGCTTTAAGGACAGTGATTGTGGAGAACTTTGATTGTCTGTATTTCTCATGTTGAAAAATCTTGTTGTTGTGAGTTGTGTTTAGTCTCTTTGCTAAAGAAATGAGTCAAAGTTAAAAAGATGTTTGGTGTCTAGTACTATGTCTGTGACCCTATATGTCCTGTTGATGAAGTTAGGTGCTGTTCTGAGCATTATTTGTGGCTATAGAGTGGCGTTTTGGTTGAGGTTTGTTTATGGCTCCTCAGACCGCTGTGTATTGCTGCGGTCGTTACTAAAGTTGGTACAACTAGAGAGCAAGCGGTCGGCAACATTCGTCTCTGGAGGGGGGGTCTAACTTGGTGTTACAGTGTGTTTGGCCCTAAATTAATTTTACTCCAGAATGTCCCTTTATCCTTAGCTAGCTACCAACCAGGCTGCTTGCTGCTGTGAGTATAAAGACAATTATGAGCTAGCTAACGTTAGCTGTCAACATTAAACAGTTGAAAAATCTTCATCAAGTTTGATATCAACAACATCAAGATGATGGTTTGTTCAAATCACCTTCAGTTGGTGCAGATGTTGAAGGTCTGAGACTTTAGAAAAAAGTGAGGTCAAAATCACAGAAAAAGGACGACCTTATTTCCTGTCCCAAATCCAAGCGTCTAAAGTCTTTCCAGTCGTCCCCAAACACAGTCTTTACAAACTGTGTTTGTAAAGACATCTAGAATCAGACTTTGGACAGATCTACATGTTGTTATGAGCTTTTCAATCACTCTAATAATAATAATCACATTTATTAGTCCGACTGTTTTTGTTTCTGACTCAGCAGAGATAGAAACAGAGTGAGAGAGAGAAACATGCAAATATGATACTGACACTGTTTATTCATTATTATCACTAACACTATAATTACTGTTATTACTATTGTTGTTGTAATTATTTTTTATTCTTCTTGTTATTATTACCATTATTTTTGTTACTGTTTTTGTATTAAAATTGTTTGACAATGTTGTAGTAACAGTCATGCTAATAAAGATCATTGAAATAAAAGAGAGTTTGACTGAGTTTGACCTGCAACATGATAATCACACTATTTGTTTGTTTTATATATTTTTTTATAATTACCACTATTATTATTATATTTTTAATTCATTATTATTATTATTATTATTATTGTTTTTATTATCATTATTATTTCATATTTTCATCGTTATTACTATTGTTATTAGTATCGTGATGTCATGCTTTGGTAATAGTGTAATAACAGTCATGCCAATAAAGCTTTTTGAAATTGAAATTAAATGTAGAGAGAGAGGGACTAAACAATCTCCTCAGACTCTCCTCAGTCAGAATCTGGATCAAAATATTCCAGTCTGTAATTAATCCCATTATATTACATGGTAATAATAATATTTTTGATTTGTTAGGGCGCCTTTCAAGTCACTCAAGGTCACCTTACAATATAAATAGAATACCGAACAAAAACAGAAGATTTAAATGGAAAAAGATTAAAACCAAATACAATAGAATACATTAAAACATCATATAAAACATTACAATTAATGAAAATAAAGGAGGGGAGACAGTGCTGTAGGTTAGATGGAGTCAGCGAGTCTGAACAGGTGTGTTTTGAGTTGGCATTTGAACAAACAGAGGTGTGGTGTTGTGGAGGGAAGGGAGAAGGGAGTTCAAGAGCGGCTGAAAGCCCAGGGTTGCCAGACAAGGAGGAGGGACGGAGAGGTGGGTGGAGGAAGATGATCTGAGTGGGCGGGCGGGTGTGGCGACGTAGAGGAGGTCAGGCAGGTATGGCGGGGCGAGGTTGTGGATGGCCCTAAGGGTGAACGCTATAGTCTTGTATAGACGGATTTCTGTGCAACGTCAGCACAGGTATGTGCGAACAGCCAGAGGGCAGAAAGTGGGACATTTCTTATTTGTTTACTAGCAGAGTCAAATTAGTTTAGTTTATTAGTGGAGTCAAAGAAAATGACAAGGAGCTGTTGTGCTGTAAACTGCACAAATTGGTGAAACAAACAATGGGTAACATCACAACCCTGCTCCTGGTATTAGAGAGAACTGCTGAAAATAACCTGAACAGCTGCTCCAGAGTTTTCACTGCAAACATGATGATACTGAAAGCTAAAACAACAGAGCTTATTTGATTTAAATGAATACTTTTGTTTTTTTTTCTTTTTGCTCACGCGCCTCCCACACTGACATTAAAACTGTTCAAGGCCCAGAAGTTGGTGCTACGACCCTGTTTGACTCTGAGATGAGAAAAACGCTAACAGCAGATCATGAACACCAGACCCTTCTTCATCAGCTGTGTATAAAGTAACACCCCAGGCGAAGTCCAACTTACCGCCCTGCCGGCGTCCTGGTTTTTCTTTGGTTTCCTGTTATGTTGTTGTGACTTTTGCAGAGTGCTCACACACACACACAAACACACACACACACACACACAGCCGCAGTGTCCAGAACCAATCTGGGCCCGGTTTGTGGGCAGAGTTTCAGAGTGATGGTTTTGAACCCTGGAGAGCTTGACTCAGAGGAGACCTACTTTAGACAGCAAGAGCTGAGAAAAAGAGCAGGTCCGCCTTCAGCTCCATTTCCTGCTGTCACTCCGGCGGTGGCGGCGTTACACGGAGAGACGGAGAGCGTGATTGGATGTGAGCGCCGTCCTCGCCCTCTCTTTGATTCCTCCATTAGCGGACAAAGACCTCCTCTGACGTTTCTGCCCCTGAAATAAAAACCTCATCTGGCTGAGTGCACAGACTAGCTGTCACTCACCTTTACACACACACACACACACACACACACACACACACACACACACACACACACACACACTCACACAGAGCCTGATTTGATGCTGTTAATCCCTCTGTCCGCTCTGATTATCAGCACCATGGCAGCTAATCTGTGTGTGTCTGAGCCGCCCTGTTGTTTCTAATCACTCTAAATGAAGCAGAATAATTATAATTAGTCCTTTTCATGGAGGAACATCACGGCGGGCGGGACGAGTCTCTCCGGAGGTCGGTTCAGGGTTTCCTGCCAATTCTCATGTGTCACCGAAGACCAGTTTTCGATTCCTGTCTCAGAGGGTTCGACAGAAACTCAGAGAAAGTTCAGCTCGATGTGAGAAACACAAACATTCGTGACTTTATTTCTCTAAAAGGAGAAGAAACTATCGGCAGCTCCTCCTGTGACATTTAGGAGGAAATATTCGCTGTTTGTTTTTAAGATGTGTAAACTTGGAGGGTTAGACTGAACTTTTTCAATGAAATATGAAGATGAAGAACATCAGCGTAAATAAGGCCATGAGGAAGAGAGAAAGAGAGAAAAGAGCTGAAGTTTCTGCTGATACAGAGAGGAAGACGTCTCTGAGGAACATGAAGAATCATGAAGAGGAGGGAGGTCAGAGCGTCACTGAAGGTCTCAGGCTCTGTTAGCTATGAAACAATGATGAGACCAACAATGAACCAAACAATGAGACAATGAAACAATAGTGACAAAACAGTGAGATGAACAATGAGACAACAGTGAGACCTAAAATTTACATGCTCCCTCTAACTCAAATCATAGCAAACAACAAAATATCTTACCATAATTATGCAGACGACACACAGATTTACATAACCATATCGCCAGGCGACTACAATCCAATACAAACACTGAGTCAGTGTATTGAACAAATCAACGATTGGATGTATCAGAATTTTCTTCAACTAAACAAAGATAAAACTAAAGTAATTGTATTTGGAGCAGAAGACGAGCGATTAAAAGTCTGCGCTCAGCTTCAATCGATAATGTTAAAAAGCACAAACCAAGCCAGAAACCTTGGTGTTGTCATGGACTCAGACCTGAATCTTAACAGCCACATAAAGACAATTACAAAGTCAGCCTACTATCACCTGAAGAATATATCAAGGGTCAAAGGACTGATGACCCAGCAGGATTTGGAAAAGCTTGTCCATGCATTTATCTTCAGCAGACTTGACTACTGTAACAGTGTCTTCACAGGTCTCCCCAAAAAATCCATCAGACAGCTCCAACTGATTCAGAATGCTGCTGCTGGAGTCCTCACTAAGACCAAGAAAGTAGATCATATCACCCCAGTTCTCAGATCTTTACACTGGCTTCCCGTCTGTCAAAGAATTGATTTTAAGATACTATTGCTGGTTTATAAAGCACTGAATGGATCAGGACCAAAATACATTTCTGATATGCTGATACGTTACGAACCATCCAGACCGCTCAGATCATCAGGAGCAGGTCTGCTCTCTGTCCCCAGAGTCAGAACTAAACGTGGAGAAGCAGCTTTTAGTTTTTATGCTCCTCATATCTGGAACAAACTCCCTGAAAACTGTAGGTGTGCTGAAACTCTCAGCTCTTTTAAATCACAGCTGAAAACGCATATGTTTGCTGTGGCCTATCATTAAATCAAACCTGAGGCCTTTAATCAACATCTTCATCATCTGCCTGTCTTGATCTTTTTTTTTTCTATCTCTCCAATCTAACCTTTGTTTTCTTTTATCTCCAATCTTATTTTAGCTTTGAATGTAACTTTTAATCTGTTAAATGTCTTTTACGCTGTTTTTACTTTTTAAATTGTGTTGAATGTTTTGCCTGCTTGTTTCATGTAAAGCACCTTGAATTGCCCTGCTGCTGAAATGTGCTATACAAATAAACTTGACTTGACTTGACTTAAAATGAGACAACAATGAGACAAAATGCTGAGGTGGACAGGAACATGATCTGCAGACAGGAGACCAGGAGGACTGAGGTTTAAAATCCTTGATTTTACCTTCGGGCAGATCGCTGAGCGGTCTCTACGTCAGCGTGTGCAGAGATGAGGTGAGCAGCAGGATGGAGCTTGTTCACACTTTGCTCTGCACTGTTAGTCTCTGAGAACCCTGTGGTTTCTGCTCTGCTGCTCTTTAGGGAGCTCATTAACCAGAGTTCTCCTGCTGCCATCTCCTCACGCCTCTCTGGTCGCTCAAAGGTCAGGGCTGAGGACTGTCTGAGAAGGACCGCTGCCTGCACAACGATGTCCTGGAGTATCATCTGTGTGAAAACTCTCAGGATTCCTACAGGAGAGCTGATCTTCAGGGTCTGCACACACACGAAGTGGTTCTGTTTCTGCTCCACAGTGTGAGTTTTTAAAACCAAACTTCTCTGGGGTCGAACTTCCTGTCATCATGAACTCTGACTTTTTGATGTCTGTTACTTTAGGTCTCATTAATCCACATGTTAATAATGCTGTCATCCACAGAGCTGAAGGATCCCATTTAGTGTAGTCATGAAGTGAAGGAGCCTCTGTTTGTTTCATTAGTGGGAAAACCTCGCTCCTGTGGTGATGTAACAACAGGAGGGATTTGTATGACCCCCAATTTCCACCGCATCAGGAACGGCAGTGATTTTCGCCATTTGCCAATTCCTACCGGATCTGTTTGTGAGGCGAATTTCGTGGCGGATTACGGACAGTAGAAATTGTGGGAACTCACAAGAACCCATGGATTCACATTCAATCGCACGATAACGAGTTGTCTCTCTAAAGACAGACACATAGACATATAAGCAGTAGATTGTGTCCTTCCAGAGGAGGAAATCTACTTCTAGACTTCTAGAATCAGCATCTCCTCATCCATGGTGTCATCGGGGTGAAATGACGTCTAAAAACCTTTCACTTGTTCGTCTCCGCCCGTTTGCATGGTGTGAAATACGATCCTCCTGAAACACGGAGTGTTTTATTTTGAAAAGAAGCCGGATGTTTTATTTTGTGTCTGTGCCCGACTTCCTTTCCAGCACGGGTTAATCTGTGCTGAATTTATCCGCCATGCTCCGGCGTCCAGAAAAAATAGAACTCTTGTGATCAGCTGAGGAGTCCGGCGATCCGCAGAGGAACGGAAAGAAGTCGTTGTAAATTGACACGTTAACTTGAATGGTTACGATCAGCTACGATCGGAGGATACGACCTTTTAGGAGACGATCAGGATGAAGGTGGAAATAGAGGGTTAGCATTGTGGCTTAAATATTAACCTTCCCCTTGTGTTAGATTTGACTACGCATCCACCATGTGTCTTAAATCAGCTGTAAATTAAAAATATTTCTCTATCATCCAATTTAGTTCTCATCTCTAGGTTAGCTTGTTCGGCTTCATTATCCATGAAAAATTTGATTATAATATTTTTTGTTTTTTCTCTGTCAGTGTTCCCCTCACACAGACATCTATACTGAACTGATCTCACATGTTCGGACACGCCTGACGTTGTTTTTTGTGCAGAGAAAAACATGAAAAATGAGAATTTCCTAAATCTCACATGATTGGAAGAAGATCTGACTGTCAGTTGCACTTATGATTTCAGTTTTTGCTCTGATTATTAGATATTGATCTAACAACAGCGGCCCTAACACGACAAGTGTCATAATTTTAATAAGAGCGTTTTATTTTAACACAGGAGGAGGGTTACTACAGCTGACTCCTCCTGTTTGGGGTCAGATCCTGGATCACATGTGGGGTGGATTAGTGCATGTTCTCCTGGTGCACTCGCCAAGTTTGTTTTGATCACTGCATTAATAATGAAGCTACAAACTGAGAGGCTGGATGTTTTTTTTTTAGTGTACGTTTTTATTAAATCTTCTCCAGATGACTCTTCTCGTCTGTAATTGACGTCATGTGACCACGCTGAGAGCTGAGGGTGTTTTTTTATGATGTTTATTTTTAGTTCTTTGGATTTTCTGCCAATGAAGGGAAGGGATCCAGGTACAGAGTCACCTCGAGGAGCCGAGCGTTCCCTGTACGAGGTTGAGGATCTGAAGCTGGCGAGACGACATCAGGCTGCCGGCGCTGCTTCTTCTGGCCTCTGATGGTTTCCAACTTGCCTGATGTCAGTGTTATCAGCTACTGCCATTAGCGGGTCCTGTTCTGTACGCTAAACACCCATAATCCCCTCTTAATAGCTTTGTGTTAATGCGGCTGTTTCCGACTCCAAATGAAAAAGGAAACTAATTTCTGCTTTGGTTTTACAATGCTGCCGAACAAATTAACGTCAGAGATTCAAAGGGCTGTGACTAAGAGGGGACAATTTCTCAAGAGAGGCAGACAAAAGCCGACTGAGGGGAAACGAATGAGTGAAATCTGCAGCAGCTGCATGCAGAGAGCAGCTTTTTCTCCCTCTCTGCTCCATTAATACAGAAGTTACATCCAGACTCTCTGGATCTAAACATCTCTCAGAAATACAGAAGCTGTATTTTAGCAAAGATGTACAAATTAAACCAGAGCACACACAAACATTTTCTGACTAATAACCTTTCCTTTACATGTGGACATTCTCACATCACTCAACCGTCTCTTTAACTGAAAGGACTGATCACAGCAGGGTTTTAAAACTTCATTAACACTCACTGCGTTTACAGTCTCAGTTTAATCAGACTAAGCTCATTATTTATCTTTTTCGCAGATTCGGACTTCTCTCCTCGTCCTCGTTTACATGCAGCTGAGAAAATTGAATTACTGACATGAACGTGTCCTCCTCCCCAACACTAGGGGGCAATATGGGTCTTTTTTAGCGGCGCTGTTTCCGACCCCATCCAACCGTCAACAACAACAGCAGGTCGGTGTCAGACGTCAGAAGTGTCTACAACTGCTGCTGGGCATTTTGGAGAAACAAGAAGATGGAGCATCGTACAGCGTTGTTTTTGTCCGACATGATGGACGCGCTACTTTTTCTAAAGGTGAGACGAACGCTACTCCTCTTCTCTGGTGTTTTTGTACCGGGGTTATGGGGTGTGGCGCACGCGCACATGCATTGTCCGATCATACTCCGAATTCCAATTCCAATTGCATTATCTGGGTATCTTAATCGGAGTTCTCAAACTCTGATTATAGTCGGACTAAGGTGTCGGACATGAACTTCAGTTGTACGGTCTTAATCGGAGTAAGGTGATAATTCGGTTTTCTCGAGTGTCATGGAAAGGCTGGCCCAAGGCATATGCCATGTGGCCAGTAGAGGGCCCCCAAGAACAATCAAAAAAGATAAATTTATAATAATTTTTAAAAACGTTTTGCATGTATGAGTGATGCTTTCTGTATGATCAAATATATATTATCGTAAAAATAAAATAAAGTTAAAATATTTAAGTGCTGCTGCTGATGTCGGCCTGTGACTCTTACTGCTGACATGTCAAAGCTCCTCTACCGTTCTGTTCCTCCTGCTGTGAAATGTGCGCTGAGCATCCAAAGGGCAGGTAGTTGTGGGACAAAACAATGTGGCAAAAAAGGAGGAATCCTTCAGGAGCAGAGAAAAGAGAGAGGAAGAGGAGAAAAAACACCAAGATAAAGGTTTGTTTGCTTGTCATGAATGTTAATCAAAAAGATTTGTGAAGGTTTGTGAATGATCAACAATCAATATTATTGGCAGAAATAGAGGGTCCCAAAATCACATTTTGCTTAGGGCCCCATTGAGGCTTGGTCCGGCTCTGCTGTGGGTCCCTGCAGAGAGAGCCGGAGTGTGCAGAGACGTTTTTTTTTTTAGCTTTTTCTAACATTAATCCTCAAAGCTGAGGACAGATATAATTGAATTACAAATGAACATTAGATTAAAGCAGCTCATGTTTATTCTGCCAGTGCAGTTGTACTTCTAAAGTTTTAATTTTAATCTCATATGATTTTATATCTTTCGTTTAGAGTTTTTTTTTCTGCTGTCCACGTCTCTGCCCTTGTAAAGAAACTTGGAACAAAAGTGATTTTAAAACAACCTTAAAACTGAGTTGACTTACTATTGAGACAATCAGTAAATAATGATGAAACCGTTCTCTGACATAAACTCCTGTCATTGTCAAACCTCAGAGTTAAAGTTTAAGAAGCAGTTTTTCTGTTTATCATGGAAATGTGCACTTCAGTAAGGGAGAGCATCTCTTTAAGAATAATAACAATAATAATTATAATTCTTATAATAATACAAAAATTAATTATAACAATAATGAAAATAATTATATTAATGAAAATGATGTATAAAATAATTAAAATAATTATATTATTTATAATAAAAAGTAATAATGATAAAAATAATAAAAATGACAATATAATAATGAAAATAATTATATTAATAATAGTAGTAGTAATAATTATAAAAATAACAATAATAATAATAACAATAATAGCTAAAAATAATGATATCAAAATAATAATTATCATTATTATTATTATTAGTTTAGAGTTGGTTTAGTCATTATCTGTGATCCACTCTGCAGAAACACTGATGTCTCTCTTTATTTCTCTCTATCTTTCTTTGTCTCTCTCTCTCTGTCTCTTGCTCGCTCACTCTCGTCTTGTTTTCCTGAGTTTTGATCTGAAGCACAAACAAAGTCGAGCCGTGAGGTTAGATGATGATTTTCCTGAATGAAGGTAAAAGCTGAAGGTGAAGCTGCAGGAGATATGTCCTCCTCCTGAATGTCAGCGCTGACGGGGAATCTCCTGCACTTTACAGGTGGAAAGGTCAGGGATGTGACATTTCTGCAGGAGGGTTTGTAATCAGCAGATAAGGAGAACCGTCTGAAGGACTGAATGGACGTCTGAATGGACTTTGATTCAGAAGAAAAATCACATTTTTCTTCTGGCACGGTGCAAATGTCACCATCTCGACTGGAGCCTCCACACAAAGCAGTGTCTGATGTTTGCGGTCCACTCTGGAGCCATCGATCCAGGAGATACAGACTCCTTTATCGGCTTTTCTTGATCAGTAAAAAATACAAAAGTATAAAACAGCAGTCTGGAGTTACTATAACAGCCTTTAAACCTCAAACCAGGTTTGGACTTCATGGTGGAGCAGGATTCAGAGGATCTGTGGTTTTACCAGGATCCACCCTCTGAGTGGAAGATCATCAGGTGGACTTCGGTGATGGATCCAGAGTCAGAGAGAGAATATTAATGTTATCATTTGTTGAAGCAGCAGACTGATGCACACATCACTCAGGGAGAAGACAAACAGCTTTATAAATCCAGACTGAGCGGATGATTCATGCTCCTCCACACAGACCCAGTTTACAGGGATTACAGACAGACTGGGGCTTTCAGAGTCTCATGGAGAGGACCGGACTCCAAAAAAAGAACAGGGAACACAGCTCTTCAAATATTCATCCCGTCATTTGGTAAAAGACTCAGAGCGCCGCTTCGGCCGAAGGTTCAGAGGTTACATCTCTAAAAATATCAACCCTGTGTTGTTCTGATGACCCGTACTGGAGGCTTGAGCTGATTGGTCGATATTTTAGTTGTGTTTTTCTGCAGCATTAGTTCACCATCGGTCTAATCCCAACACGAGAACATCTATGTCCACTCTGCTCAATCTCACCTCTTTCTCTCAGCTGTGTGACTCATTATCATCATCTCTGTTCATCCTGGTTTCTGCAGCCTGCTCAGTATCGACCAATCAGGAGTCAGCAGGCTTTGGCCTCTGTATGGGGAGCAAAAGCAGGAGCAACTCAGTCCTCCATCAGGACCTCCAGATCCCATTGTCGGATCTCTGTCTCTGCATGAAGGTCAGCTAACACTCTGAGTGATGCTGAGTCACTGAAGACCATCAGAGTTCAGTTTTACAGACTTCCTTGAATGCATCAGGGAAGTCCGTCCAATGTTCTTCCTTGAGCTGCGTCACCCCGCTGTAGTCCGTAATGGACTGGCCTGAGGTCTCTCTACAAACAAGCGGCTGCTGGAAGAGAGTAGGTGAGTTGTGTTTAGTCTCTATATAGAGTGGTGTTTTGGTTGAGCGCGTGGCTCTCTGTATTGCTATCCTGCGGTCGTTACTAAATTAATTTTACGCCAGAATATCCCTTTAACAGTGAAACTGGGACCCTCCACAGAAAGGTGCTTCCTGATGCTAACTTCAGGTCTCCTTCCGACCACAGCAGCGTGTGTATGTGAGCTCTGACTCTCAGTGAGGACGGACAGAAAGGCCGTTTCTGAAATAAGAACACGTTCAGGTTTACAGGTTTACTCTCCGTCTGAGGAATAAAAAGGAGGTGAAAACACTCGAGATCTGACCGCCGTGACTGAGCTGAGAGAGGGCCGCCATCAGTACAAACAGGAACGTCATGTACAACAGGAGGAGGAGAGAGGAGAGGCACTCTGCTAATGTCCTCTCCACACACACACACACACACACACACATCCTAATAGAACATCCTGGCCCGTCATTATGTGTTCGCTCTTAACGATCTCATTGGGAATGATGTTTTCACTGTAATTAGATCAAACTGCAGGAAATGAAGAGATGCCTCTGTTCTTTACTGAACACCTGCTGCAGCTGGACCACAGAGCTAAAAACAGCAGGTAACCTGAGAGGCTTAATACCTGTACTGTGTTTGTGTGTTTGTGTGTTTGTGAGAGAGAGAGAGAGAGAGACGCCAGAGTCAGGATACAATCCACAACAAAAGCGGAGAGTGGGAGGATCGAGTACAAGAACGGAGACGGGCAGAGAGGTATAATTATGGAGCAGCAAACAACAGAAGAAGAGTTTTATTTTATAACTCTGAGGAGAGATCTCAGCAAAGATGATAAATCTGAGTATTTTTGAGGAAAACCTTCACAGACAAAAGGAGAGAACAGCCCAGACCGTCTCTGCTACAGAGTTAATGGTTTTAATGGTTTGGTGTATCCACAGAGGAGCTCGTCTCTTATGGGGCGTTCACACACCAAGAGCGAGTAAAATCATTCACACGAATGAATCACATGTTCAGTCAACACAAAGACACGATTAGACGCTTGTACTACTCTGCCGACGGGAATCACGCAGATTGAGCAGATGCAAATTCACAAGAGTTAAAAATGTCTCAACTTAAGAGGATATCCGTGTCGTCATAACCAATCAGCAGGAAGATTCCCAGGTGACGTATGAAAACAGACCTGAAGATGTCAAATCCTTTCAGTCACGGTAGACAGACGGACCAACCCTCACCAACAGATAGTCAAATTGGGTTTGAGTAATCAGAGAATACCGCTGGAAACAGCTGTCTTCTGGGCGCAGCTATTGGAGGAGACCCAGACACGGCGACACCAACATCTCCGACGGTTGTGGGCCTTCCACGACAAAAACAAATCAGTGATCCGCTGAATGTGGTTCACTCCAACCCTCTCTCGTATCCACGACTTTTTAAATAAAAACAGGAATGAAAAGAAGTTAGTCTGGAGGAAAGAGAGTGAGGAGGTCGGGTCGTCCGGGTAGTTGTGAAAAAACGTCTATCACTTGATCCCGCCGTTTGAATTGACAAAGATTACTGATGGAATTAACATAAATGACCGTCCACGGCTTTGTTGATGCGCAGATGAAGTGAGTAAATACTTTTTATTCACGTGTCTAAATACGCGTGAATTAAAGGAGTAAATGATGTAACTCATGCTTGGTGTGAACGCCCCATCAGTGGAGAGTCTCAGTTTCACTATTAATAGTGAAATAGTGAAAATGAAGCTTCACTCTGAAGTCCTGCAGGTGTATGACCCTGAACAACAAACAGACTTTCTCGTCATGTTTGGGTTTGAGTTTTTCTGAAATAACACGGTGATGATTGTCTGAACTTTAAGAGCTTCTCAAAGACTGGACTGAGGACAGAGACCACAAGACGGTCCTGAACCAGAGACCTTGTCAGAGGACACAGCACCAAAACTATCCGATATAATAACCTCATCAATACATTATCTAATCCATAATCCTGCTCAGAAGGAAAACTAAAGAATAATCCATGTGGTTGGGGTCAGAAGTGTCTGTGCCTCCTGTCTTATCGAACCTGTAATGACTGTTAGATAGGTCAGAGGTCAGATTGAAGCTGATTTAGAGTCGAATATTAAATGAAAATGTAAGGTTTCCTCCTCAGACCAGATCTGAGCAGAATAATATCGGAGGTTTGGACTCGGTCTTTCTGTAATGACTGTAATTTTCACTCCGACAGAAGATCGATGGTTCGACTCGGTTAAAGAGCTGAGGAAGAACTCTGCAGACGGACAGAGGGACTCGCTCTTCTTCTCCAGAACTGCTGTGTCGGACAGAACCAGATCATTTAATGAGCGTCAATCAACCCCCCCCAATCCAACACCACCTTTATATTCTTCTATTGATCCCAGACCGGATCAATAGACTCATTGTGGCCCCTCTCACTGTCAGCACGGCCCCCCAGAATACAAAACCTCCACAGGATGATTACTGAGACACTCAGGCTGATGACAGAGGGTCTGAGTCCACAACCATGAGAGGAGGGGGGGGATCAGCGATCAATAACAGCGGTCCAGGTTTCCTCAGCAGGGACAGTCTGTTCAGGTTCAGTCCAACCCCTCAAGAGGAGACTCATGTATGTCCCTGATCTTGTCCTGTTGGTGACCCCCCAGAGCTCAGAACCAAAGGTCAGGGTCGGAGAAACTGGACTGACGGGGAAATCAGAGGTTTCAGTACCAGTCCAGGACAGAACCTGCTGATGCTCCCTCACCAGGACCAGGACCAGGACCTTCAGACCTGAGGTTCGGAAGTTGGTTGATTAGAGGGTTCATAGATCAGTCAGTGGGCTGATTGGTTGATCTGTTATTGATTATTTGTTTTGGTTGGTTAATTGTTCTAGTTGGTTGGTCAACTGATTAATTGGTCAGTTAGTTGGTTGGTCGTTTGATTGATTCATTGTTATGGTTGATTAGTTAGTTGGTAAGTGGGTCTGCTAATTATCAGCTGGTTTTTTGGATAACTGATTAATTGGTCAGTAAGGTGACTGGTTGTTTGATTGGTTGTTTTGGTTGATTACTTAGTTGATTGGTTTATTAGTTGTTTGATTGGGCGGTTTATTGATTAATTGGTCAGTTTTCTGGCTGGTATGTTGTAAACATGTAATCAGGTATTCAGACGGTGGTTCTGATCCAGTTCTGTTTGGTTCTGTCCCACTTCAGTTATAATTCAGGACATTTCCAGAGGTCTCCAGACTGTCTCTGTCAACAGGATCCAACTTCTGTCTGTCCCTGTTCCTGTGTCCTCAGAGTCTCAGAGGCGGGACCGAGTCTTCTCACTGCTGAGCTGGTGTCAGACGATCAGAGGTGTGTGTGTGTGTGTGTGTGTGTTCGTGTGTGTGTTCGTGTGTGTGTGTGTGTGTGTGTGTGTGTGTGTGTCACACTGTCCTATCAAAGTGAAACTTTAAAGTTCACTCAGATTTAAATCAACTTTAATATTTGACACTTAAATTATTGGTCGATAAAACCTCAGAGCTTCCATCCCTGAATCTGAATTTCACGACTTTTCTTCAAACTAAATGAATCATTTACAGATTTTTACTGTCAGGATAAAATTTGATTTAAACATAAGATTTAAAAACGTAGAAACACATAAAACCAGCTTCTCAAAGACACACTGAAGGACTTCTTCACCAACACGTCTCTGAAAACACGCAACCTGTCCTCATCAGCTCTGTACGTTAAACCTCTTAAAGGGATATTCCGGCGTAAAATTAATTTAGGGTCAAACCCACCGTAACACCGAGTTAGACCCCCCCTCCAGAGATGAATGTTGTCGACCGCTTCCTTCTCTAGTTATACCAACTTTAGTAACGACCGCAGGATAGAAATACAGAGAGCCACGCCCCCAACCAAAACGCCACTCTATAGCCACCAATAATGCTCAGAACAGCACCTAACTTCATCAACAGGACATATAGGGTCACAGACATAGTACTAGACACCAAACATCTTTTTAACTTTGACTCATTTCTTTAGCAAAGAGACTAAACACAACTCGCCTACTCTCTTCCAGCAGATGCTTGTTTGTAGCGAGACCTCAGGCCAGTCCATTACAGACTACAGCGGGGTGCCGCAGCTCAAGGAAGAACATTTATGATCATGTTTGATTTTGTTTGTGTGAATTTTATGGTAAAAAAACAGAGTCTGGAGTTTTTCAGCAGGAGAGTTGAAGCTGCTGTGTAAGTAGTAACACCCCTGAACCCAGGACCTCTGAATCTCAGAGGAACTGAGAGCAGACGGGCAGATCAGATGGATTATACAGAAACTCCCTAATGTTCAGACCAAACACCCGGACTGAGAGGGGTCGGACTCGCCCTGATCCTCTTTGGGTCAGGTATTTTGGACTGTAGACCATTAAAGTAAAGGTGAGGCGTGGTTCAGCTCGCAGAAAAGACCAAATTAGACCCGTTTGATCGAACCAACGCTCAGCTTTGATTTCTCAATCTCTGTGGGATTAAAAAGTCACACATGAACATGTCCTGGACCAGGGTTAGACCTGTTTTTTTCAGCTGCAGACTCAGACCACAGACTCAGGACTGAACCGCCCTGGTGTTTGTGCTTCTAGAAACATCTCAGACATGCACGGCAGAGGAACATCAGTCCACTTTATGGCTCTCATAAATTATTCTCACAGACGGTCAGAGGAGCTATTAGAGCTGCAGGTTTATTCTGGAGGTTCAGAGAAAAACTGCTCAGTTTTTACTGTTGAGAGGAGAAAATCAAACTCAGGAGGTGAAAATCTGTGAGTCCAGACCATAACTCTAGATATTCTTTATTTTAATTCATTTATTCATTTAAAAACAGAAAGATTATAAAACTGTAAAAACATCAGAGAGCCACAGAGTCAAACCACACAGGACACAGGATTTACCCTTCACCATTTTACAGTGACATCTAGTGTCAGTATGTCTATGATTACATGGATGATATAATAACATAAATACATATATACACCACAGATCCTGCCTGAACTCGCCTGTGAATGACGCTCGGTCCATCACAGTCCAGCTGTCTGATGATCCAGTCGCCTCCATCAGCTGGATCACCTGGTTTCAACTGGGAGTAATGGAGTCGCCCCCCCACTCTGAGCAGGACCAGATGGTTCGTATCCAAATGTTAACAAACCTGACTAAATTGATTAAATGGAGCTAGAGTCGGAGTGTCGCTATGGTTACGGGCAGATTTTTAAACATAAAACTGGATGATGATGGAAAAGAGTCCAGGCGAAACCTCCCTGAAGGGTTCTTCAGGTTCAGAGGGAGATTTAAGGGTTTCTGAAAGGGGGGCAGACGTGGTCTATGTGGGAGCTGATGCTGCCTGTACTGGTGTGAGCCCAGTTTACACACCAGTAAGTTTAGTGAGATGTCCAAGGTCTGAGGATCCTCCATGATGATATGATATCACGCCGTCTGTCTCCGACTTTGACAGACTCGTTTGTTAAGATCTCGACACGTAAACCAGATCAGTCTGAGTCTAGTTATATTTCAGTTAAACTCTATTTTGTAGTTACATCCAGGAACCACCAGGTGGCAGTAGTGATGACTGTTGTGATATTATAAAAAAAAACTGTGGCGTCCCTTTGGTGTTGAAAACTGAAGTTGCAGTTCTCCAAGTGTCCACTAGAGGCTGTCCTCTACAGTTTAATCGGACTAAACTCATAACTCGTCTTTTTCTCTGAATCAGACTTCTCTCCTCGTCCTCGTTTACATGCAGCTGAGAAAACTGAATTATTGATGTGAACGTGTCCTCCTCCCCAACACTAGGGGGCGATATGGGTCTTTTCAGCGGCGCTGTTTCCGACCCCATCCAACCGTCAACAACAACAGCAGGTCGGTGTCAGACGTCAGAAGTGTCTACAACTGCTGCTGGGCATTTTGGAGAAACAAGAAGATGGAGCATCGTACAGCGTTGTTTTTGTCCGACATGATGGACGCGCTACTTTTTCTAAAGAGGAGACCAACGCTACTCCTCTACTCTGGGGAATTTGTTACGGGGTTACGGGGGCGTGGCGTCATACTCCGACTACGCTGGTTACATGGTAGAGAAAATCAGATTCCAATCTCATTATCTGAGTGTCTTAATCAGAGTTCTCAAACTCAGATTACAGTCAGACTAAGGAGTTTACATGACCTTCAGTTGTCCGGTCTTAATCGGAATAAGGCGATAATTCGGTTTTCTCGAGTGTCATGGAAACGGACTGAGTGAGTCAGTCCCCATAGAGCTCAGTGTTAAACATCCTGGTACAAAAACAGTCTGACAGTTTATCTTCAGTGAAAATATAATAATAATAATAATAGTAATTTTATTTATATAGCACCTTTAAAAACAGAAGTTTACAAAGTGCTTAGACAACAGTTGTAAGCACAGAGCATCAGCACATTGAAAATAAAAACACATAAAAACAAAAGCTCAGTTAAAAACAGGCCTCTGAATTGTAGGCCTGTTTCGCTTTTCGTAAGAAACCCAGGCAATACAAGAACCCTACAAAATAAATGGGACCATGAGGACCAAAATAAAAGCAAAAAAAGAAATAGAAAAGGAGGGAAGAAAACAGGCTAGTAAGTATAAAAGAGGATATTAATAATAATAATAAAATCATAATAAAATAAAATGATGGTAATATAAATGATAAAGTGGAATTAAATATATATATATAAAATAAAGGAAAATGAAAACATTAAAATCAATAAAAAGATTATAAGTAAAACAAAGGCTAAAAAGGCAGTAAGTCTAAATAAGAAAGAGGTGAAAGAGGTAAAAGAAAAAGGAGAAAAATAAAAACGGTAAAAGGCAATAAAAGATGAAAGATGGCATCACATAAAGGCAAGTCTGTAAAAGTGAGTTTTTAAAATTGACTTAAAAGAAGTGACTGTCTCTGCACGCCTTATCTCCTCTGGCAGGTCGTTCCAAAGTCGAGGAGCTCTGATGGAGAAAGCTCTATCACCTAATATCCAAACAAACTTCATGTTGGTGAATTTCTTTGAGTCGTCTGGAGTTTATTCGTTTATCCTGATCTGACTCAGATTTAAGAAACCATAATCCCAGTGAACTCCAGTCACACCTCTACTTTATAATCACACCTTTGACCACTCGGCTTTTTCATCGCTCATGTCACCTGTTGGTTTTTGAGTTACTCACTCACTCACTGGGGTTTTAATTGGATTATTTTAACATGGTTTACAGCTCAGAAGTAATTCTGTGCCGAACAGAATCAAAAGTTCTTTGACTGTGAGCGTCCACTTTACGAGATAAGGACACAGCTCCTCATGGAAGCTGGAGGAGACGTTTCCACAGACCCTGGAGAGAAACTAAATTAAAGCTGAAAATGACTGTAGGTCAGTCCACTGTAATGAAGACTGGAGTGTAATAAACGGTCTCAGGTTGGTGTCAGCAGCCGTATGCTTCACCTCTGGCGGAAATACTGTTTTAATTATTAACCAAGAATCAGCGAATGTGAGCGAGCGCTCCGGATGACCTGAATCCTGGTCATTTTTAACATGTACTCAACAGTTTTAACCTTTAAAACAAGATCAAAATAAGATCAAAATAAGATCAGGGGGGAAATTTGCAATTCTATAAAGGAGCATCCTTAAAAGTGAAGCTGCAGTTCATCCAGTGTCCACTAGAGGCTGTGTTCTAGACTGAGTCAGTCCCCATAGAGCCCCATGTTAAAATGTCATGAGTTTCTTTGACCGAATAAAATCTGTTTCTGACAAACTGTAAAACTCTATCAAGAACTTTTTAATGTGTTTATTTAATTCACACATCAGGACAGAGGGAATAAAAGATTTACATTATTAAAGGAAACTTTGAAATGTAAAATAATTCTGTGTTTATTCAGGATTTCAATAAAGAACGGTACAATAATGAGAGGACATATACTCGATTAAAAACACAGATTTTCCAATAATGTTTCCTTTTTTTTAATCCACACTTTAACAGACATTTATCATCCAGGACATGGATCAGAAAAACAAAAACCCAAAGAGCTCCGGGATGAGAACTCTGGGAGCTCGGCGGACGTGTTGGACTGAAACTAAAGATTCAGAGGAGGAAGGAGGTGATGAGGGGGCAGAGCAGACAAACAACAGAGCGGTAATCAGAGTCTGCTGCTCCTGCACACTCAGACTGAACTCCACAAAAACACCTCCATCAATCCTGCGCCGCGCCGCTCCTGTTCAGTGTCTGCAGAGACGCAGCAGCTCACGGCAGCCGTGACAGACGGATTATTCATGTTCAGGGCGGCTCAGGCCCAGAATGGAAACGACCGGAGAAAAGTGAAGTTATAGCCGTGGTGCTGACGTAGGCTCTCTGGACAGAGGGGGATGTTGGGTTTCCCTTTAAGGTCTGGAAAGAAATCAGATCCAGGACTTTAGTTTTAGTCTGTGTCTGAAAGTCCAAGGATCAGAAAAGGGGGTCCGACTCTTTTACTTTGAGCTTCCCTCAGTGAACTTTATGGTCTCGATCTTTAAGGTCTTCTTTGATACATCATGATAGTGGTTTTGTAAGTACTGGTCCCACTCATGATAGAAACCCACTTCGATTGTGTTATGGAGGACGCAGACTCACATGTGTCCTCAGTTTTTGATTTCATAGGTTTGTGGTCTTTCAGTCCGGACTCAGAACCCGGTTTCTCCTCACAGAACTTCCATCTGTTGTCGAGTTCAGATCTACGGACATGCTGAGGCACGTCAAACTTCACAGGAGGTCTTTGGTGAGGACCAATGAGCAGGTTTGACTGATATGATGGCGTCGATAGGTCACCATGGAAACCACAGATGCGTCAGAGTCCTGGGTGCAGGTGTCCTGTAGGTGCGTGTTTGCAGAGATCGGACAGAAATGAGAGTAAATCTCTTTTTAGATGACGTTAGAATTACCAGGGGAGCTCTGCAGGACCACGTCCCTCCTGCACCCGGGTCATTTCAGTCTGTCATCATCATCGTTCATTTCCTGTGAGAAACCAAAGACCTCCTGCTTTTGTCTCGCTCAGCGCAGCAGGACTCAGACCAAGAGGACTTTCTGTGAAACCTGAGTCTGTCTTTCTGTCCCGCTGAGATGAACGTCCCTCTGACCTCCTCTGGGTTTTACAGTTCGCACTAAAAGACAAGAAGAACTTCATTTATTATTTCACTTTCACGAAAAGGTCAAAAAACAGTCATAAAATAATTTTTAACAAGTATTTAGGAAACGGTTAAAAAGGTCAAAGATCAGTCAAAAATTGGTCATAAAACAGTTAAAAAAAACTGACAAAACTGTCACAAAGAGGTCAAAAAAACCAGTCAGAAAATGGTTTAAAAATGGTCAGAAAACAGTCAAGATAATAATGAGAAAAAGTATTTGGGAAATAGTCAAAAAAGGGTCAAAGATCAGTCAGAAATCGGTCATAAAACAGTCAAAAAAAACAGTCACAAAACTCACAACAAGGTCAAAAAAACAAAGATGTCGAGCAAAAACTTTGTGGACTAATTTCATTTCAAACTTTTAAAACCGACAAAAAAATCAAGTTTCTCTTCAGGACTAAACTTTCAGTCTGAGAACCAGAGACCACTAACTTTTCCAACCAGTCTGAAGGAGAAAACAGCAGTGCTTCAGGCCTGTAGGGGGCGCTGAGTGACAGAGGGCAGCAGCAGCAGCAGCAGCAGCACACCTGTCAGGGATCATGGAGGTTCTTCTGAGACCAGAGCTGCGTCCGAATTGCCAAGTAGTAGTCGAAGTAGTATCTAGCATGTCCGAATTGGCCACCGGAGCGAGTAGCATGCTACTTCAGATACTACTTCAGATGCTAGACACGCCCACATTGTAGGTTGGTCTCGGTGCATCCTACGGGCATGCTACTGACCCAAAATGCACCGCGGGCTTCTTCTTCGTCCTCTTAAAAGTTGTAGAAGCGCATGTGATGCTAGCGCCACCAGCTGCTGCCTATTTAAATGTGTCGCGAACGCCGGCTGGCCACAGCAGCGCGCACCATGGCGGAGCAGCAGCAGCAGCAGCAGGCGGGACCGCAGCAGTACAGATGTAAGTTTCATGTAACTTCACACACTGTCCTAAAAAATGTGCGGTTGTATCTCTTTGTCATGTCATGGTGTCATATTTGCCCAAGTAATCATTTTATGAGCAAGTGGCGACATCATGGAGGTAAAGCTCACTTATTCCATTATTGAACTGCACAGCTGCAGTACTACAGCCAGGCCCGCAGATGAGGGGCTTCAGTTACCACTGTCTGCACGGGCGCAGTACCTACTCTCTGCCTGCGGGGGTCGTCTTTCCCCACCGCTCGTCTAGTGTGTCCGAATTGGGCCAACGTGTTTAGTATGTAGGAGTAGGATCTAGCAGTAGCATGTAGCAGTAGCATGTAGTATCCGAGCGGGCAGTTCGGACGCAGCACAGCTGAGGCAGATCAACAATCAGCCGGTTTGAAGGCCTGGAGCTGAACGTCTCAGTCCTCATCTCCGTCTGTGGTTTTGATTAGAGCAGTTCACCTTCTCATGTTGTCTCCTCACTCTCACAGACTCACACAGACACACACAGACACACACAGACTCTCACAGACTCACACAGACTCACACAGACTCACACAGACTCACACAGACGTCATCATTTCAGAGAGGAGCTCCTCTGTCGTTCTCTGGTCTTCACACAGACTCTCAGGTCCTGCAGAAACAGACGCTCTCCTGCAGGTTTCTGCTCCTCTTTATTTTCGGCAGTTTGAATAAGAAATAACCTCCAAACCACGTCTGCAAACCTGTCACTCTGGAGGGATAATTAGGCTGCAGACCAGACTCAGACGGGCCTTGGACCGGGATCAACCCAGAAACCTTGAAAATAAGCTAATGAGACCAAAGATGGCAGAGTCGTCCTCCAGCCTGGAGGCGGAGTGAAGTCATTTACTCTGCAGCTCCACCTGTAAATAAGACCGGGGTGAGTGTGTTTCTGAGGGTCTGAACACACCGTAAAACCAAACCAGGTTCTGTTTGAGTTCTGAGTCTGAGTCCTGAGAGTGCAGATAAGAAGCCTTCAGAGACCCGCTGAGTAAAGACGGGTCATTAAAACGCCTCGTTCGCGGCTTTAATGAGAGCTCAGCGTGAACACAGCAGGAGGTCCTCCACACAAAGACTCGTTAGACGATCCATGAGCGAGGGGGCGGGGCTTTAAATTAACGAGGAGTTTTTTTTACACCTTTTTAAAACGACTGTAAACACCTTAAAAAAAAGATGTTGGAGTCAAACCCAGACCTGCAGACACTCCAGGGTCGTCTCAGCTGTGAGACCACTCCCACTTTCTTCTTCATGAGTTTTCTTTCAGCTGAGTTGGCGGTAAAAAAACCACAGAGGTGAACGATCAGAGTAGAGGTACGCCAAAAATCAATTTACTACGATTTTAAAAGATTGAATATCCGCTGCCTCTCCGCCTCCATTTTGGAACTACACTGGACGTCCTGACGTCATCACGCACCAAAACAAAGAGGGAAATACGAATTTTAAATCCAATCGTGGCTCTAGAAACACACAGGTGTGTCTGCAGGTCTACAGAAGTGTAAACAGGTCTGTGATCGTGAACTCAGGTCTGCAGATCTGCACCCAGAACCCAGAATCATGCATGATCCACAGATGTGTTCCTACGCTCAGAAATGAAAGAGTGTCTCTGCAGGAGAACTCAGAGTCTGAGTCTGTTTACAGTCATTTACTGCAGATGTAGATTTAGTGTCTGAGAGAAGCTTCATAAAACCTCCTCTGAGAGCCGAACATCAATCCACAGGATAAAGATCCGCTGTAATCATCCAAAGAGCAGGATCATCAGAAATTCACTCAGAAATATCTCCAGAGGTTTTACAAGGTTACCTCCTCACTTACTCAAACTCTGCAGAAATCCCCAAAGAGGAGGAGGAGAAGTGAAAATTCACGGCCCAGAGATCCGACGGTGGAGGAGTCTGAACAGAAAGAGTTTGTGTTTTTGAAGAGGAGAAATCTGACGTACACCCAGAGGAGAGACACTCAGACTGAACGATGAACTGGACTCTGTAAGAAAGGCAGGGAGCTCTGCTGAAGACCTCTTCAGACTCTGCGGTGGCCTCGTCTGTTCCTGATGGAGTGGTGTGCTGAAGTAGCTGCAGACCAGAACAGGCTGAAGAAGGACGCTCTTTCTTCTGAGCTGCTCTCTTGACCCCGTGCAGGTGATGGGACACTGGAGGACGACGGCAGCGGCAGCAGCAGCAGCAGCAGCGCTCTCATCCGTCCTGAAGATGTTTCCAGAGACCTGAACACGGAGCTGAAACTTCAGCGACAGACTGATCCATCTGCAGCCTGAAAACCAGACCTGCTCCCTGCAGTAAAAACAGAATAAACCCACTCCTGTCACAGATGAACGTTTATTTTATTTCACTGTCTGTGGAATAAAAACATGACGGCCATGTTTCTGTGTTTGTTGGACAGTAAATGAAACACAGTCAGAGTTTTTACAGACTGTCTCCAAAAGGTTCTGACACCACAAACTCGACTCACCTCACCTGTCACTCAAACAGGCCACGCCCCTCATCATGTATAACCTTTAACATATCAGTCATGATGAGAGACAAAGAGTTACAGCGACGACACAGACTGTTTTACACCAGACTGTCAACATGTTTATTTAACATGGGGGTCTATAGGGATTGACTTACATCAGGGGAACCAGCCCCTGGTGGACACTGGAGGAACTGCAGTTTAGTCCCGTCTGCACTCGTCTGTCAAACTCCAGATTCACCTGTCGGCTCAGCAGAGTGTGGAGCTCTCAGGTGTGACGGCTGATATCTGCAGCCTGTTTCATGTCCAACGCCGTCTGAACGCCTCCGGCACGTTTATCTCTGCCTGTAGAGTTCAGAGCGGCTGTATCAGAGAGAGGGGGCTGATGGGAAAATGTTGCTGCGGGCCATCTGGCTGCTGGAGTGTGGATCCATTAACGGAGTGAACCTGCAGCAGGTAACTAATTCACTTATTTTCACTTCCTCAGTTAATGCTGTTAAAGTACGGCTCTGCTTCTGTTTACAACAGCAGCTCCATACATTCTCACAGACACACTCCTGTATTAGAGTTAGATTATTATTTCTCTTTATTCAATTTGAACTTTTTCATCATCTCTGTCGTGAATTAAGCTGTGACTCAAAGATCTGAAATCCAGAATCTCCTTTTTTCAGATTTCCTCTGAAAACCTTCATTTATACTCGGAGTCCTCTCAGTCATCCATCCAAGTTTAAAAATATAATATGAATATAAAAATATAACTGCAGCTCACACTGGCTCGGGGTGTTACCTGTGAACACAGCGCCCCCTGGATGTCCTTCAGTGAAGTGAGTGTAAATAAAGTACCTTCATAAAAATGTAAACATGCTCTACCACACTGCGTTTTAACGACTCTGTAAGTGAATAAAGAGTGACTCAAATGTAAACAGAGACGTTAACGCTCATCTTGGTTGTTGTTGAATCTTTTCATGATAATTGAAGATTAATCTGATTTTTCTGATCTGTTTATAAATCTATTGATTAATCTTGTAAAACTGGATCAGATGATAAAAATTCGAGCAGCAGCTGCGTTAAAGAAATCACTTTATAAAGTTTAAATCTTGTTTTTGTTGTTTTCCTCTGAATCCTGTTGTTTGTGTGTTTTGTTTCGTTTTTTAAAATCAAACACCAGTCCAGCTTTGGGTTCAGGGGGGCCCTCGTCTCCCCTCTGACCCCGTTTTCATCGGTCCCGGCCCTGCGCTCCTCTGGATTCTGCTTCTGTTCCCTCTCCAGATGATACGCCAGTTCTCTGTCGGCCGCGCGCCTCCTCGTGCACAGGCAGTATATAAAGTTTGCTGCGCGCTCACGGGGCTCCTCAGTGAAGCGGTGACCGGCGGAGGAGAGGGGCGCTCCGGTTCGGTCAGAGCTCCACTCTGCGGGGTTATCATGAACAGCGAGGACTCCGCGCGCTTACAGGCTTCTCTTCTCCGGGAGCGCACGAGGTGATGCGCCCTGAGGGACTCGGTTCGGGTCTATTATCTGAGAGGATGGCGGAGCTGTGGAACCACAACAGCACGACCTCCTGGAACCGGTCCGCGACGGGGCAGGACCGGTTCAGCAGCCTGGACGACATCGACTTCCCGGCGGACGGCTCCCCGACGCTGCGCATCCTCATCTCCATCGTGTACTCGGTGGTGTGCGCCGCCGGGCTGGTCGGGAACCTGTTGGTCTTCTTCCTGATGAAGGTGCGCCGGGGCCGGAAGAAGCGCTCGAGCATCAACCTGTTCATCCTCAACCTGGCCGTCACGGACTTCCAGTTCGTGCTGACGCTGCCCTTCTGGGCGGTGGACACGGCTCTGGACTTCAGCTGGCCGTTTGGGAACGCCATGTGTAAGATCATCCTGTCGGTGACGGTCATGAACATGTACGCGAGCGTCTTCTTCCTCACCGCCATGAGCGTCACGCGCTACTGGTCCGTGGCCTCTGCGCTGAAGGACCGGACACGGCGGCGGGTGTGCCCGGTGCGCTGGGTGATCGCGGGGCTGTGGGTGTCGGCCACGGCGGCCTCTCTGCCCACCGCCGTCTTCTCCACGGTGAAGAGCGTGGCCGGGGAGCGGCTCTGCCTGCTGGGCTTCCCGGACGGACAGTCGTGGCTCGCGCTGTACCACCTGCAGAAGATCCTCGTGGCCTTCGTGTTCCCCATGCTGATCGTCACCGTGTGCTACCTGCTGCTGCTGCGTTTCGTGCGCCTGCGCAGCATGAACAACAACCAGGTGAAGCGGAGGTCCAGGGTCACGCGCTCGGTCACCATCGTGGTCCTCTCCTTCTTCATCTGCTGGATGCCGAACCACGCCATCACCTTCTGGGGCGTGCTGGTCAAGTTCAACGTGGTCAACTGGGATAAGACCTACTACATGGTGCACACCTACGTGCACCCGGTGACCGTGTGCCTCGCGCACACCAACAGCTGCCTGAACCCGGTGCTGTACTGCCTCATGCGCCGGGAGTTCCGTAAGAAGATGAAGGACCTGTTCTGGAGGATCTCCTCCCCCACGGGGACCAACAGCTGCCCGCTCAGACCCTTCTCCGGGACGGTGAGAGCGGAGCCGGACGACACGCAGATCGTGATCCCGCTGAACAACGTGGAGACGGAAAACTACCGACTGTCGGTGTTAACGGACCAGTGCGACACGGAGACTCTGCAGAGGTGAACCTGCGAGACTCTGAAAACTGAGTCCAGCTGCTGAATGAGAACTGAGACCACCGACCACCACAGACCCTGAGGTTTGTCACGGGAGTTTCTCCGCGTCTGTAATTTAATCTTTGGGGGAAAAAACGGCGCAGTCTGTGACCACAGAGAGCTGGAGGCCTCCCCGCAGTCACGTCGCTGCTGTGTGACTGTGAGTCAAAGACTTGTTGAATATTTTGATCACAGATGTGGAACAGAAGGACTGGACAAACGCGCGTAAATGCGCACCGGTACGCCCTGCGTAAAAGCGCCCGGACTGCGCTGGCTGAGGCTGAAACCTCTCTCCACGTTGATGTTGATGTTGCAGAAAACTCATCCTTTACGCTTTTTTAATGTAAATGCTGTTCAGGTTCGATGTCGCTCATTCTGTGCCGCAGAGGACTCGTCCTGCTGCTTCAGTCATCAGTCTGTGGAGTTTTTCACGCTTTTTGCGGCTGAAGTGCAAAAATGTCCACGCTTGAACCATCAGTGAATGTAACCGAAAAAACTGCCAGTTTGACCTTAAAGATGTTTGGAGAATAAAATCTTTGATCTCAGTGTGGAGTCTGTTCGGGTCAGTGGGAGCAGATTTACGGCAGAAAAGTAGGAAGTGGTGTTTACATGCCAGCACAGCCTGTTCTCTGCAGATAATCCAAACAGGGAGGACTTTTATTTGAGCAGACGAAGACGAATGTTTATGTGGAGATGTTTCAGACATGTTTCTGCTCTTAGAGGGTCACCCTGTCCCTCCTGTCTTTGTTTCTACTCAGAATGAAAACAAGAGAAAAAAGATTTCTTTATTTCTTCAAGAGAAGGTGAAAATGTTCAAAATCAAAGAAAATATTCACATTGAAAATAATGAGGGTAAAAAGAGAGAAAGAAAACTCAAGAATAACAACTTTTATATTGACAGTAAATAAATAGATATAAATACAAATATTACATTCTGTAAAAAAAACAAAAAAACATGGATCTGGTTTAAAAAAAAAAGTCCAAAGACTGAGACAAAATTTTTGCAAAGAGGATCTAAGTAGCTGATGCAAGAGGATACGGAATTACATGATATGATTGGAAATTATAGGATATAATACAATATGATAAATTATGATAGAATATGATATGATATGATATGAAACAATATATCATATAAAATAATATGATACAATACAATATAATATAATACGATATGATACTATATGATAAGATACAGTATGATAGAACATGATATGATACAATAAGATATGATATGATATGATACGAACAGTACTGTACGATACGATACGATATGGTACAATATGATAAGATATGATAGAATTGGATATGATATGAAACAATATGATACAATATGATATGAAACATATTATTACTGTGTTCCTCAAAGCGTTCACTTTATGAGAGTAAAAGGAGAGTTTGAGTGAGTCACTGAAAATCAGATTAAAGGTTAGCCCGTCACCAGAGTCCAGGTTCACCTCACAGCCTCAGAGACCACCACTTTAAGTAAATGTGGACTTATGACTGATAAACTAAAGTTCTCATTCTCATGGTACCAAGTATTAACTCATTAAGGACCTCGAATAACATCAGAAAAAAAAACCTATCATGTTTTTAGAATGAGGACATGAGAATGAATTGTTTTCACCTCTCTAACACTCAGCCCCTTTACACCACAGACGCTGTATTATAATAAAAGCACCTGACTGACTGACTGTGATGAACGTTGGATATGAATAAGGCTGAACTGTAGCTGCAGCCTCTTCACCTTTGTCTCAAAGAGTTTATGATTGAAACTCGTTTATTTCAGTTCGTCACTCATTAACTGAACTTAGATCTGTTTTATTGTGCAGCTTCTCCTTGTTGCTCTGTCACTGTCGTCTTTGGCAGACATCGTTTTCCTCGGCTGGCAGGGAAAATCAGGTTGAAAGATGTCGTATGATCCTCCGACTCCGAGGCGGAGACTTCTGCTGGTTTGATTTAACATCAGCTGGATGAAAAAGACAGAAAATGTGCCGCAGAGAGAGCCTGAAGGTGTGTGCATCATGAGACTCAGTGTTGCACAGCTCTTACAGTGTATGAAGAAAGGAGGACAGACAGACAGACAGACAGACAGCAGCTCGTCCTCCATGTCCAGCCTGTAAACTCTGAGCTGAACTTTGCCCCTCCTTAAACCAGCTGCAACAATCCTTCAGCATGTAAAGCTGCAAACAGCCCAGAAAGGAGGAAACTCCAGGTCTGAGAACACACAGCTGCACACTATCACCACACCTGTTACACACACACACACACACACACACACACACACACACACACACACACACACACACACACACACACACACACACACACACACACACACACAGGGACATGAGTTTAATGAGGTCATGGAGCCTCTCTGGAGCCTGCTGTGTGATATCTGCAGATTTAACACACAGAGTCTGAAACAGTCACAGTCCGTTTACATCTGTCAGATTCAGACTTTTGATCAGCTGCTCACTTCTCACTCAAAGTCTGATAAATCGGGCTCTTTGACATTTGAGTCCTTGACATTTTGTTTTTGAAAACTTGTAATTGAGCTGCTGTTCAGACACGTGACGGACATCTGTGTAAGAACTGAAGGTCAGAAAACTCCTAAAGTTATCCGGATTTGAGATGCCTCTGTAAAACTCAAAAAAGAGGATTTCCAGCATCTGAAACAAACTTTTACACCAAAACCAGCAGGGTCTACTGCCCTGTAAAATCTACTACAGGTCTGTTATATCTAATACAGGTCTGTTATATCTACTACAGGTCTGTTATATCTACTACAGGTCTGTTATATCTAATACAGGTCTGTTATATCTACTACAGGTCTGTTATATCTAATACAGGTCTGTTATATCTAATACAGGTCTGTTATATTTACTACAGGTCTGTTATATCTACTACAGGTCTGTTATATCTGTTACAGGTCTGTTATATCTACTACAGGTCTGTTATATCTAATACAGGTCTGTTATATCTACTACAGGTCTGTTATATCTAATACAGGTCTGTTATATCTAATACAGGTCTGTTATATTTACTACAGGTCTGTTATATCCACTACAGGTCTGTTATATCTGATACAGGTCTGTTATATCTCCAACAGGTCTGTTATATCTGATACAGGTCTGTTATATCCACTACAGGTCTGTTATATCTAATACAGGTCTGTTATATCTACTACAGGTCTGTTATATCTGATACAGGTCTGTTATATCTGATACAGGTCTGTTATATCTGATACAGGTCTGTTATATCTAATACAGGTCTGTTATATCCACTACAGGTCTGTTATATCTACTACAGGTCTGTTATATCCACTACAGGTCTGTTATATCTAATACAGGTCTGTTATATCTACTACAGGTCTGTTATATCTGATACAGGTCTGTTATATCCACTACAGGTCTGTTATATCTACTACAGGTCTGTTATATCTACTACAGGTCTGTTATATCTGATACAGGTCTGTTATCTTTACTACAGGTCTGTTATATCTACTACAGGTCTGTTATATCTACTACAGGTCTGTTATATCTACTACAGGTCTGTTATATCCACCACAGGTCTGTTATATCTACTACAGGTCTGTTATATTTACTACAGGTCTGTTATATTTACTACAGGTCTGTTATATCTACTACAGGTCTGTTATATCTACTACAGGTCTGTTATATTTACTACAGGTCTGTTAAATCTACTACAGGTCTGTTATATTTACTACAGGTCTGTTAAATCTACTACAGGTCTCGGGTATAAACTTCCTATGAGAGCATGATGGGAAAATGACCTCACCAATGATCGACCTGCAGACCTGTTTGATAAGCAGTCCCTGTAGAAGGCCGAGGTCTGGGACTGAAGAGTTTTTGGGTCACTGACAGCTCTGTCTCATTCCTGTTTAGCTCTTAAAAATGACATTTTAAACCTAACGAAAGGTTCGTTTGGTTCAGTCTGTCATAAATCGTCAGTATTTGGACTTGCTGCAGCGTCCAGTCAGTGCTGTAAACAGATGACAGAGACCAGGATGAGTTACTTGGATATCTGTCAAACAGTCCTGGAGTCACCACGGCCACATTCCCTGTAATTTCATATACTGAGTGTCCTCCTGTGACCAGTTTAATCAAACTGGTTTTACTGTGCGGCCAAACGTGGCGTCAAATTCTCTGACTGAGTCTTTTTTTTTCTGGCCCTGCTGGACTTGAGCGATCAATCAACCTTAATGAGACTAAAAGTCAACAGGCTGCTGACGCCCTCGGCAGACTGCTGGAGGGAACTTGTTCAGCCTGTTCCTTAAATGATGTGTGAGTCACTTTGAATAATGAAGGCAGCAGAGAACAGCTGCCCCTCAAAGTCAGGTCCAGACCCCCTGAGAGAGGAGTGAAGGCCGGGCTGAAGGACTCATTAAGCAAAGCAAATACCGCAGTCAAGACCTGAAGAGTCTTATTTAACATATCAAACACCTGATCTCACTGCAGAACCAAGGCCTCATATTTACATGTTTTTGGGGTCTAGATGAGGTATTAAAACCGCCCCTGGAGATGGTTTAGGTCTATGACACAGGCCGGGATACAAACCAAGTAGCTTTTCTGCAAAGTCACTTGATCAGTTCGAGGAGTTTTTCAACAGTATTATAAAGGAAACAACAACACTGAGTGAGGTTAAATTCACTGATATAAAAGCTTCATTAAAATGAGGTTTATTTCCAAAGGGGACAGATTTACCCAGAATGCATAGAAAGAGAGGGATCTGAGCTGTGCGTGCTGAACATGTGACTCTCAGTGGGGCCGTAATGGAGACGCAGCTCTGCCTCAGTCATTGTTCTGAAAACGTAAACTCATCAGTAATGTTTGTCTGATATCAAGGACAAGACAGAGAAGGAAAGCTTTTATCAAATAAACGTCAAAGTGCTTCACAGACAGAAAACAGAACATTTATGTACAGAAACAGAAGAGGTAGAAACTGATAGACATCTATATCTATGAATATGTCACTTTAGAGGGTTTTCAGAGATTTCCAATAGGAGGAGATCCTGGGGTTGACCGAGAGTCAGAGGAGCAGGTGACCACTGTTGGGGAGAGGGGGTGTGTCGGGGTCGCCTCTCTTTACCAACTCTGGATGGGTGAAAGAGATGATCAGTGAATGAGTTTAAAGTAGTTTCCATTTCATTTAAAGGCGCTGTGTACAGAATGGAGAGACTGAGCAACATCTAGTGGCAAAATTCTATAAATAAAGACAGTCGGATTCTAGAATGAAACAGTAAGATTCTAGAATGAACTCAGTGAGATTCTAGAATGGACAGTTCAGTTTTAGAATGAACACGATAAGTTTTGTAGAATGTACATATTTTTGTCAGGGGTGTGGATGTAGGACCCAAGTGCAGCACAACAGCAGGTAGTGGTTTAGAAGCTACTTTTATTGCAACAGAACACAGCACACAGGAAACTGAAGATACTGGGATTGATTTAAGCAGTCTCTGTAGAATCTCCAAGTCCAACAGAACACAGATCCACAGGAAACCGATCCAACAGGCAGAAAGGTGAGTGTACACAGAAAACACACTACACCTGAGAGTCTTTGTGAAGTGCAGCGGCACTGTCGAGGGGCAGGCTGAGCTTGTGGTCGAAGCGGAGGCAATGTCAAATCCAGGCAGACAATCAGCGGGGCAGACTAATTCCAGAGGGATCAGACGGAAGGATAGTCGTGGACAGGCAGTAGGTCGGGAAGCCAGCAACACAGCAAAACCTGAAGTTCTCACCGGAGCGAAGAAACTTGACAGGGGATCCAAGGGCTGAGATGATAAGACGTGGTCAGGAGTCGAAACCAAGAAGTCAATCCAAGAAGTAATGCTGGAGAGTCGTGCATGCTGCGAAGACAATCTGGCACTGAATGAGGGACACAGACTGACTTATATACTGGCTGACTAATCAGCAGTGAGGAGCTGCAGCTTGTCACTCACAGGTGTGGGGAATCAGTGCTGATGAGGAGGTGTGGCAGGGAGGTGAGTGAGAAGCTGCGTCCGAATTGCCAAGTAGTAGTCGAAGTAGTAGTCGAAGTAGTATCTAGCATGTCCGAATTGGCCACCGGAGCGAGTAGCATGCTACTTCAGATACTACTTCAGATACTAGACACGCCCACATTGTAGGTTGGTCTCGGTGCATCCTACGGGCATGCTACTGACCCAAAATGCACCGCGGGCTTCTTCTTCGTCCTCTTAAAAGTTGTAGAAGCGCATGTGATGCTAGCGCCACCAGCTGCTCTGCCTATTTAAATATGTCGCGAACGCCGGCTGGCCACAACAGCGCGCACCATGTCGCGGGACCGCAGCAGTACAGATGTAAGTTTCATGTAACTTCACACACTGTCCTAAAAAATGTGTGGTTGTATCTCTTTGTCATGTCATGGTGTCATATTTGCCCAAGTAATCATTTTCCGAGCAAATATGTGGCGACATCATGGAGGTAAAGCTCACTTATTCCATCATTAAACTGCACAGCTGCAGTACTACAGCCAGGCCCGCAGATGAGGGGCTTCAGTTACCACTGTCTGCACGGGCGCAGTACCTACTCTCTGCCTGCGGGGGTCGTCTTTCCCCACCGCTCGTCTAGTGTGTCCGAATTGGGCCAACGTGTTTAGTATGTAGGAGTAGGATCTAGCAGTAGCACGTAGCAGTAGCATGTAGTATCCGAGCGGGCAGTTCGGACGCAGCACGAGTCAGCCTGCAGCAGAGTGTGACAATTTTCATTCCAGTTTATCACCGACCTCTCCTGTCACTGAGGCTACAGCTGCTGTGGAGAACCAGAGGAGATCTACAGGATGGAGATGACACAGAAACAACAGAGTAGAGTCATAATATCGTCATGAGGCCGATATGCCGATGTTTTTCTGTCGTTTCATCGTAATGATGATAGTTCAGTCGAGTCCTCTCAGCAGCGTTCACTCTGCTCCCTCAGCTGTAAACTGTTTTTCTGGCCCTAAAACACAGTCTGGAAATAGAAAGAGAAACAGTCATAGATATTTAAAACCTAGATGTTCTCATTTTATCTGACTTGTTTGGGAATTTCTACATAATTTTACAAATTGATGCCCTCTGGTGAGTTCAGTGATTCGGGGTTATTGGGAGTGACGGTGTGGGTTAATGCAGCGTTCAGCCGGGCCCGCTGTGACGCCTGAATAAACTCTGTGGGCTGAAGTGCTGGATAATCAGTCTGCATTAAAGAGGCGGCGTGCTGGTGAGGCCCGAGGTGACTGTAAGATGGAGGACTTATTCAGCAGACAGTACGGACGACTTCACGCCTCGCAGAGAGACCAGACCCCGCTGAACCCGAGGCCTCAACCAGGAGAGAAAGGAACATCCTCTGATCCACGCCGTGTTTGTACATCTCTGCTCTCATGATGGGATTACATAAGAACATGAGAGACAGCAGCCCGGCTCATGGGTTTTCCATCTGTAACGCTCGGCTAACAGGACATGACAGGACGCTCCACAGAAGAATCATCTCCTCTGTGACCGAGCAAACATGTCGTCATGCCGACAGAAGAGAAAGGCGGGTTTCTGAAATCCATCTAATCCTCAGGACGGCTGAGCGCCTATTCAGGTCCAAGTCCTGAAAGGTTTCTAAAGGAACTGTCCCAAAACCCTCCTCAGACTCAGCTCCTTTAAGGCATCTAGTTTTACCAACTTTAGTAACCACAGCAGGATAGAAATACAGAGAGACACGCCCCCAACCAAAACGCCACTCTATAGCCACAAATAATGCTCAGAACAGCACCTAACTTCATCAACAGGACATATAGGGTCACAGCCATAGTACTAGACACCAAACATCTTTTTAACTTTGACTCATTTCTTTAGCAAAGAGACTAAACACAACTCACCTACTCTCTTCCAGCAGACGCTTGTTTGTAGTGAGACCTCAGGCCAGTCCATTACAGACTACAGCGGGGTGTCGCAGCTCAAGGAAGAACATTTATGATCATTTCTTTATCATTTCCTTGAAGTAATAATCACCATATTAATCATTTTACAGACGCGGTAGTTCTTCTGTCTTAGCGTCTCGGTCTGATTGTATTTCCATGAAGAAATGATCATAAATGTTCTTCCTTGAGCTGCGGCACCCCGCTGTAGTCCCTAATGGACTGGCCTGAGGTCTCTCTACAAACAAGCGTCTGCTGGAAGAGAGTAGGTGAGTTGTGTTTAGTCTCTTTGCTAAAGAAATGAGTCAAAGTTAAAAAGATGTTTGGTGTCTAGTACTATGGCTGTGACCCTATATGTACTAACCTCAGTAGAACATGGTGTAGTTCCGTTCAGTAACAGAACCTCATTGGAAAATTAGCTGATTTAACTTTACTGTGCTCTTGTTCGCATATATTAACTCGACAGCACATAAATCCATACCTGTTAACAAAATCATGATTTTATTGATAATTCGGCTTCAAAAAAACACCTTTACCTTTTCATTTTACTACAGTAGAAGTTTATTGGCCCAGCTTATAGACTACAGAAGTGGAGAAACACTTTAAGTTTGTTTTCTCAGGAGTTAGAACAACTCTGAATATAGTACTATGGCTGTGACCCTATATGTCCTGTTGATGAAGTTAGGTGCTGTTCTGAGCATTATTTGTGGCTATAGAGTGGCGTTTTGGTTGAGGGCGTGGCTCTCTGTATTGCTATCCTGCGGTCGTTACTAAAGTTGGTATAACTAGAGAAGGAAGCGGTCGACAACATTCATCTCTGGAGGGGGGGTCTAACTCAGTGTTACAGTGGGTTTGACCCTAAATTAAATTTACGAATATCCCTTTAAGGTGTTTTTTTTCACCTCTTTGACTTCATCCTTCGGTGAACAAACAGGCGATTGTGTTGTTAACGCTCTCTGCAGCTCCCCGACACTAAACCCAGAACATGTAGAGCTCCCCCTACTGGCTGGCTGCAGAATCACTCATAAGGAAACAGGAGCTTTAAAACTAAAATATGTTTGAAAATTAATCGGATCTCTAACGGAACAGAAACAGCACAAATTACAGTTGAACCACAGATTGGATCAGAAAAACGTTCTTTATTTATAACAAATGAAAGATTTCAGATTCAGCAGCATCGTGACGGACTGAGGTGATGTTCTGGTTCAAAGGTCGTCACTCTGATAAAAACATCTTTTCTTAGTTCATGTTTGGAGGAGCAGAAGTTCAGCTCAGAGACGTCTTCAACGTTTCGCTGAAGTGTGAGTCACCGCTTTAGCAAACTGCTCACAGTAGACCCGCCCATCAGCGCCAACACCCGCCTCCTTCAGCAGCTCGTCCACTGAAAACACAGAGAGACAGCTGTCAATCAAAGGAGGCCCAATGAAACTTGTCCACAGTGTTCAAAGTTGTAACTGTGACCTTTAAGGATTGATTCAACGACAGCAGAGACTGAATCAGACAGAAGAATCATAAATCTGCAGAGCTGAAGAAGTGAGGAGTTCAGGCATTTACTGAGATTGTGTTTCTGTGTTTCTGTGTTTCTGATTAGCAGCAGTAATGTGAGCTGAGCAGATGTGAAGTGGAAGAGGCTGAGATAGTTTCTCCTCACAGATTTAAGCGCCTCGTCCCTTCAGACCGGATTAAAGCTGGAAATGTTTTCTTTGTTCTTCCCTTAAACTCTCCTCTCCTCACTCTGATGATGACAAACCTCTTCAGTTGTGGTTTTACGTAACTGGATTAAAATAAGAGCAGAGAGTAAGCAAAATTCTTAAGGTCACACTTGGAAATTTCAGGCACCTCAGAAATCATATGTCAACAGAAGCGGCAAAAATGTACATGTTTTCTCTTATAATGTCCCATATTAATTATTGTTTACCCGTCTGGTCCACCGCAAACCCCACTACCTTAAACCCATTAATATCACGATACAAACAAGCACTCAAAACTCTGGATAAAAAACCAAGATCTTTTCATCATTGCACAATTCTTCAAAAATATAAGTTATTAAGCTGGAACAATCTTGTACGGAGCCCCTAAAGGGACATGGATGGACTTTTTTTTTTTTTGCGAGATCTCGCAAAAGTTTTTTCTCCATTCAGTGAACCGGAAGTAAAACACGCCTAAAATAGCCTAAAATAAGCCTAAAATAATAATAATAATAAGAAGAAGGAGCAACAGAGCACGGATGATGTGTACCATAGACATAATAAAAGATAGACCCCGCATCGGCCGCTACCACGAATGGGCGCTGTCGAGAAATGCGGCCGCCATCTTGGTCCGGTCATCCGCCTCACTCTGCACCACTGTCTTCCTCTTTGGCCTACAAATGACTCTACAGTCAAGTGTAATGTTGAAAAAACGTGTAATCATAACTGTAAAAAGTTATTCATTGAGCCCTGTTCTCTGCTGTCCGCCTGTTGGCACAGGAAAACGCCGCACAGTGCGCCGGCATCGCTGAATGAATGAATGAATGAATGAATATGATTGACCGGAGCGTATGGGAAGCTTGACCTGACCAAGATGGCGGCCGCATTTCTCGCTGCGCAGCACCCCCAGCGGGGTCTACCCTTTTATTATGTCTATGATGTGTACGCTCCTCCATCATGTGTGTCTGTTTTACTTCCGGTTCACCGAAGTAGGACAGAACTTTGCGAGATCTCGCAAAAAAGTATTGCGAGATCTCGCAATATTTATTGCGAGCGCTCGCAATACTTTTGCGAGATCTCGCAAAAAAAAAAAGTCCATCCATGTCCCTTTAGGGGCTCCGTAATCTTGTCCTTTTCAAAAACTGTTGTCTTACATATAAAATCCGTCATAGGGTAGCTCCGCCCCCACTCTGCAACCTCATACAGTTTAGATCTCCAACAACTAGTGGTACTAGAGGGGCGGCCAGAGGAGACTGCCAGATCCCACTTAGAAAATCTTTATTTGGTCAGTCAGTGTTTTCTTTTAGGGCAGGCAAGGATTGGAACACAATACCACAAAACATAAGAGAGTCCAATTCATACAGAGCATTTAAAGTAAATTTGAAGAGGTGGTTACTTGAAAACCAAACTTGTTACCATTAGTTGGTTGGCGTGCTTTCGGGTGGGTTATGTTGATGTTTTAAATATTGTGTATTATGTATGTTTTTATGTAGTTGCTGATTTCCCACCTTTTTAGGTAGCCATGTTCCTTCTGGCAGGGGGACTACCAATGGAAATTAGCCTTGTGGCTACAATTGGGTCCATTTACATTTTATCTTTTTAAAATGTTCATTAATGTACACTGTCCCTCTTTAACAAATAAAAAGGAAGAAAAAAAAAAAAAAAAAAAAAAGAGAGAGAGAGACGGTCCAAACAGAGGGTTCAGACCCGCTCACCCTCCCGGTCGCTCAGTTTCTCCCCCAGCCCCGTCAGTTTGGCCCTCAGCTCCGACGCCATGATGAATCCTTTCTGCTCCTTGTCCGCCATCCTCAGCGCCTCCAGGATCTCCTCCTCCGGCGCCTCCTGCTGGAGCTGCCGGTGCATGACGCTCAGGAAGGTGGAGAAGTCGAGCTCCCCGAACCCGTCTGCAGAGAGAGATGGTTTCTGATATCAGCGGGAACACAGATAAGACCAGGGATCCGTGCGGGAGGAATGAGGACACCGCCGCGGGAAACCGGAGGAGACGGAGGGGAAGAAAAAGTAATATCTGTCTGCAAATACGAAATCAGATGTTCAAACAGAAAAGCAATTAAAGGGGATGTAAAGAGCGGAGCGCGGAGATAAGCTGGTGACAGTTTAAACATGTTAAACAAACTCCGAGTGGAAACTCTGCGCTCATGATGACTTTCCTCCTCTGATACTAAAACATGTTATACAACCACGACACCGAGACACCGAGAGCGATAAATATCAGCCGGTCCAGGAGGAGCGAGGGAACCGCAGGAGCCCTGATGAGGACAAAACGATAAGAGAGACAGCTTAAAGGGACAGTTCAGAGTTTTAGACGTGATGGATGTTTGAAGTGATGGAAAGAACCGTTCGTTTGACTGTACTGAATCTTTAGAATCATTAAAAGGATTTGTTCAAAAGACTCAAAGAGCCTTTGACTCTTTGTCAAACGGCACACAGCCAGTGAGCGAGCAGTTCCACTCCTGACCGGGGCGTCAGGCTGACGGCTGAGCTCAACTGAACTGAGGAGAGAACCAATCAGGTCTCAGAGTGATTCACTCGTTCACTCAGCAGTTCTTTTGAACGAATCATTCATGAACGACACAACTTTAGACGTTCGTCAGCTCGCCAACTTCAGTGTCGAACTGCAGGGAGGACCGCCACGCAAGCTAGGCTGCAGTTTGTGGGGTCAGGTCTGCTACGAGGTTTAGCGAATTTAGAGACTGAGAAATCCTCTGAACAGGGTCAGGCTCAGGTCCAGGTTTTTGGTTTTCGAAGTCCACCAAACCACCAGACTGGACTGTGGACCAAAAAACACTCACAGCTGATAAAAAGAGGGTCCTCGGGGTCCTCAGGTGGATCATACGATCAGGTGTCCTCGCCAGAGTCCAGCAGGTTTGGTTCAGATGGACTACAGCTGAATCTGGACCCCCTTTACACCCCCACATCTTCACCAAACTCTCGGTGTTTCACAGACTGGGTCATCTTAAAGTCCACATCCAAACCGAGTCCTCCTACGCTGAGGCGCTAACCTTCACGCTCCTGACCGTATCTGCTGGTTCCTGAAGTTCTGAAGGTTCACCGCCATGTTGGAAAAGTTGACCTAACCCAACTTTAACCCTCCAGACCTCACTAACAGAACCAGGAGAAACTGGATCCATGAAGGTTTCTCCCTGTGAACTTTGAGAAGAGAACAGATCTGTGTGTGTGTTTTAAATCTCAGTCCTCGTTTTTAAATGTGAATCTATCAGCTGTGGAGACTAAAACGTCTGTAAACGTCTTTTTTTTACCTTTTTGATTCTGACTGAGATGAAGGCTGTGAAATCTAGAGGGTCTCTGTAGTCCTGGATGAGGTCTGCCTTCAGTGTTTTCTCTCTGATCCTTTTTCCTAAAGCCTGAGATCCACAATAACGATAATAATAGAAACACTAAAGAGGGATGAGATGACGACAGAGGACGGCTGAAATAAGACAGAGTGTCCTCTCTCCGTTTAGGATCCATGATAATCCGTCCATAATCTGTCCGTCTGTGCCGTCGGCTCTGAAAGGATCCAAAGAAAGGTTCGGTTCGGTCCGGGTCAGGAGTGAGGCGACGACATGAGTTTTACAGAGACGAAGGACACAGTCTACTGCTTATATGTCTATGTGTCTGTCTTTAGAGAGACAACTCGTTATCGTGAGATTGGACGTGACTCTGCAGGTTCTTGTGAGTTCTCGCTGTCAGCTGTCCGTAATCCGCCACGAAATTCGCCTCACAAACAGATCCGGTAGGAATTGGTGGACGGTAAAAATCGCTCTGGTGAAAATCCGGGGTAATTATATTTTGGGACTCATCATGAATCTTTGAGAGCTTCTGTTTTCAAAGTGCTGAATCATCAGAAATTTGCACAGGTAGGCGCCGTCTTACCGGTCTGAGATGGTACACCTTGGATGACCCGGCTCGGACCCTTGAGAGTCTTAAATCAAACCTCAGTGTAAAGGTCCTTACACACCGGGCGAGAATTCGCCAGGCGAATTATTCGCCTTTTTTTAAAACAGCTTAAAGTCAATGCATGCTTCCACACCGGCGGCGATTTTTCCGCGGGGCGAAAAGCCGCTTTTATTTTTTCGCTCCTGTGTCGAATTTTTCGGATATTCGCAGGCGAATATCTGGACCTGCTAGACCTCTGGCCAATCAAAAGTCATGTTGTTGATGACGTCACAGACCCATACGGCTGGAGGAGAGGGAGAAGTTTGAGATTATGAAAACGCAGAGAAAGACAGCTGAGGTTCATCCAAAACTCTTTCTAATTACTAATGAAGTAGTTTTCTCACAAGATGACACTCTCTCATGTCTTCCTTAGGAGACAGATGTCATGTGTCATGTCCGTGCCGCAAAGCGACTTTATTAATTCGCTTTGCAAAAAATATACGCATATTCGCGTCGCGGCCGATGTGTATAGGCGAAAGCGATTTTTCGGACCGGCAAATATTCGCAATTTTCGTCTCGCTTTTTCGCTTCGCTCCGCAAATTCGCCGGTGTGTAAGGACCTTAAGAGTTGAAGAGTTTCTGACACTTTTACTCTACTGTGGTTCTTGGACTAGCGGACCTCGTAGACCCCATCTGACCAGGTGATCATCCTGCTGCATTGAAGAAGAGGTGAATCTGCAGTCATCCTGAGGGGGAGAGAGTTTTTTCTCTGTTTGACCCAGCTCTGAAACCATCACAGGATTTGTCTCTAATCCCCAAACAGCTCATTTGTAGTAACAACAGATTAGGATTTACCAATCATCAAACAAACTGTGATAGAGCTGAGGAGAGATCAACAGATCTGCGCAACAATCATGGTCCTCCGATCAGACCTGATGATCCGAGTCTCAGTGACACCAGAGAAAGAAAAGGTTCTGGGTCTAAACTGAGGTGTCAGAGTTTTCATGTTCCTGTCTAGGGATGCACGATATTTATCGGACCGATAAAATATCGGCCGATTTGGGGGGAAATTACGTCATTTTTTATCGGTCCGATAGGTGCATTTTTCCGATAGAAAGATCCGATATATTAATGAAATTACGAGTAACGTTTGCAGGCGGAGTAGCCGCCCGTCGCGCCTTACCCGCAGGTCCCAAGCCTGACCCTGTCACTACCTGACAGATAATAAAATGTCTTCACCAGCATGGTCGTTTCTCTCAGTGGCAGAAGATGACAACAGCTGCTATATGCAAAACCTGTTCAGCGAGGATTCCGAGAGGAGGAAAGAAGACGTCAAGTTTTAACACAACGAATCTGATAGCTCATCTGAAAAGTCGCCATCGCGGCGAAGCGGTAGTAAAAGAATATGAGACAGCCGCCGAAGCTGCTAGTGGTACTAAAGCTAAGACATCAACACTACGGAGGATCGATGTCCCCATTCAGCGGGCGTTTAAAAACTGCAAAAGCTTCTCAAGAGACAGCGAAAAGGCTAAAGCCATTAACGACAAAGTGATGGAGTTCATAGCGGTCGACGACCAGCCTTTTTCCATCGTTGAGAACCCGGGTTTTCGTAAGTTCATAGCACACTTGGAGCCACGTTACACTCTCCCAAGCCGCCGCTTCTTCTCGGATGTGTCTCTTCCTGCACTCTATGATATTGTCGCCACAAACATTCACAACCTGATCGACAAGAACGGACTACACGTGAGTTTTACCACAGACATATGGACGTCAGATGTTAGTCCGGTCAGCATGCTAATCCTAACGTCTCATAATAGCTCCTTTACAGTTTACAGTTCTGTTGAACAGTTCAGGGGATCAAATGAAGTTCTGCTTTTTGCTCTGTTATTGTTATTTATAGCAAATGACCACATTTGAAGAGCCAAAAACTTTTGTTTGTTGTTCTAGATAGGCCAGAGCAACAGAAATATCAGTTTTCAATCACTGCATCCTGCACAAACTGCAGATTATATGAAGATTATAATAAATGTAAAAATATGAATTTATCAGTATCGGCCATGAGAAGAAGAAAATTATCGGTTATCGTATCGGTTGAAATTTTTCATATCGTGCATCACTATTCCTGTCACTTCAGTTTAGAGGAGGTTCAGACTCTTCGTTTTCTTCCTCTTCATCCGGGTCCGGGTCGCGGGGGCAGCAGCTTCAGGAGGGAAGCCCAGATCCGTCCATCTGGTCCTGGACTGACCACGAGGTCTCCTCCTGGTGGGACATGTCTGGAACACCTCTAACAGGAGGCGTCCAGAAGGCGTCCTAACCAGATGCCACCTCAGCTGACTCCTCTGGACGTGGAGGAGCAGCGGTTCTCCTCTGAGCGCCTCCCGAGTGTCCGAGCTCCTTACCCTATCTCTAAGGCTGAGCCCGGACACCCTGAGGAGGAAACCCATTTCTGGACACCCTCCACCCCGGAAGTTCAAAATGAGATGAGATTATTGTCGCTAAGACTGGTTTCTGCAGAGCACCCCCCTACACACACACACACACACACACACACACACACACACACACACACATTGACACCCGACACCTCACTTCGCTGCTTCGTTGGATCTCTTACACAGTCTGTCGTGGTACCGGGGTGTAAAGAGATCACAGACGGACACACAGGTGAGACGGTCTCAGGTGTACCTATGCTGTGGCTCAGCAGGTGTCGTTGGACCTCAGAGGGGGTGGGGTTCGACCTGAGGCACCGCATCACCGTGATCAGCTCCTGAGCTCCGATCTTCCCTTTCCGCTGACGGTCGTACAGAGAGAAACACTCTTTAAACTCTGCAACAGACAAAGAAAGACCAGGTCCAGGGTGACTCCACAAAACCCTGACCCAGATACCAACAGACGGTCTTTAGACCATGACATGTGTACTCTGAGATCATGAGATCATCCATCCTCCTCACAGGTGTGTCTCAGACTGGTCACTATCACAGGTGAAGTTTTATCACACAGAACTGAACGACATAGATGTCAGAAAAAAACTCTGAGATCTTTGAGTTCAGCTCATCAAAAACAAAAACAAAAACAAAAGAGTTTGTAGGTTTTTGTTTTTGTTCGCTGTATCATCTGATCTGATCTGGAGTCTTTGGAAAACACTGATAGGAAAAGGAGGTCTGCTGGTCCAGAGACTCAACTGGAGAGGATGGATGGATGATGGATGTTGGGTGGATGAATGGATAGAAGATGGATGGAATAATTATTGATGGGTTGCTGATGGATAATTCATAGATCATCGGTAGATCGATGGATTATTGATGGATGTTGGGTGGATAAATGGGTGGATGGATGTTTGATGATGGATGTCTGATGGATGGATGGATCATTGATGGATATATGATGGCTGATGCATGGATGATAGGTAGATGGATGGATTGATGAATGGATGAAAGGATGGATGAATATAGATTATTGATGGATTTTGGGTGGATGAATGGATGGATGGATGTCTGATGATGGATTGATGATGAAAAGATGGATGATGGATGGGTGATTGATAGATGGATGGCTGGATGCATGGATGATGAATGAATGGATGAATGGTTTCTTGCAGTCATAATTTCTTCCGTGTTTTTTTCCTTCCGTTCACACATGTCTGACATTCAGTCCAACCCTCTCATTGAATTATATTCTAACACTCAGTTCTGACCCGGTTCTGGCCGGTCCGGCCTCAGAGTTCTGACCCGGTTCTGGCCGGTCCGGCCTCAGTCATGAACGTGAACTGGTGTCACTCTGGGTTAAATTGGGAGCTTCCTCACAGCAGAGGTTTAAATTCTTACATGATTAAAAACCGTTTCAGTTAAACGTGGTCGGTGTTTTGGAAGTCTGGGGTCACCAGAGTTTGGTGAGAACAAAGTGGGTCATGACCCGGTTCAACTTCAACTGTGAGTCCTTTGTTCTTTCAGTCGTCAGAGTGAAAACCTTCGTGTTTAATCACATCAGCAGCTCCAGGAATTCGGTCACCGGGAACAAGAGCAGCCCTGTACGGAGAACTTTGGTCTGTTTTATCTTCAACTATCGCTGCTAAAGATGCTAACTGTGAGTCTCCCTCTGCCACCAAAAACCACCACACTGACAGAAGTAAAGGAAGAGGGTCTTACCGTTGATCTGATCCTGGGTCAGGAACTTGGCCTGCACAGAAAAGAGGAAAACAGCGAGAGTGAAAGAAAGTCCGGAGAGAAATCTGTCCAAGAGATGGTCTCAGCGTCTCACCATCCTGGAGGAGCGTGTGTCCGGGTGTCAGCGGGCGGCCGCTCCGAACTCTGCTGCTGCTCAGGAATCTGATCCCTGCAGCGGCTGTAAGACGAGGACTGTAACTGAGGCAGAGGATGGAGGAGGAGGAGGAAGGCTGGGAGTCCAGGAGGAGGAGCAGGAAACCTCCCCCCTCCTGCTGTTAGCGCTCAGTGTGAGAGCTAGTTTTTCATGTTTTAAAGGTGAAGTCTGCAGGTATTTCACATCCGACGACCCTGACAGACGAGTGAACGAGTCTAAAGAGTCTAAAGAGTCTGAAGAGTCTGAAGAGTCTAAAGAGTCTAAAGAGTCTGAAGAGTCTGAAGAGTCTGAAGAGTTCTTCTTCACCTGCTGCCTTCAGAGGTTCAGAGTCTCAGTGACTTAAGAAGAAAAAAACTCAAAGGGCTGTCATTGGTCCAGACTAAAATAAACGTCTCTGTAGACTAACCCCCCGACCTCAACCTTCACCCTGATCGTCTCCTAAAAGGTCGTATCCTCCGATCGTAGCTGATCGTAACCATTCAAGTTAACGTGTCAATTTACACCGAAATTCGCTTCAACAACAGATCCGGCAGGAATTGGAGGACGGCGAAGATCACCGCTGTTCTGGATGCGATGGAAATCCTGGGTTACTCACACACCAACAAAACTCCTGAAAACTCTCCTAAAAGAAAACATTGTCACGTCTGTTTCTTTCTATGTGGCGTTGATAAAAATGTCCATCCATCAATCCACCATCTTTACGACTCCCTCTGCTCAGAGTCACCTTTTTGACCTTCTTCTCAGCGTGTCGTCCTGCTGCGTTTAAAGAGCAAACTCGATGGAGTTCATGTCCGACTGTTTCCTCTGTTTCCTAAATTTGAAGTGGCTGAAGGTCGATCATCAAACCATAATGTGAACACGTCTGATTTAGAGAGTCTGTTTTTATCTGATCTCAGATCCTCAGCTCCACCTGCAGCCTGAGTTCTCCTCCTGCTGCTGCTGACAGAGATAACCAGATCTTCACCTCTCCTGCTGTTACAGAGAAATGAGTGTTTGTCCTGTCAGGACCTCTCCACACATCAGCTGAAACTGCAGATTAAACCAGAATAACTATCAAAGTAAGAGGAGCGTTTGAAGGTGATTCAGCGTTCGTACCCTCAGGTTGATCCTGCAGCTGCTGAAGAGGACGACTGTTTCCTCACATCAGTTATCTGATGAGCTCCTTAAATACTCACTCACTCATTCTCCTCTGCTCTCTGAATATTGAACCTCAGTCCTGCTTTTAATGAACTCACAGCTGTTTGATGGTTCAGACTCTGATTTCATGAAAGCAGCTGTTTGTGGTCCGTAAACAGAGCGATCCTGAACACACCTCCACCTGAACCCACCTCTGAACCCACCTCTGAACCCACCTCTGCTGAGCTCAGGGTCTCCAAACACAGACTTCCTGACTGACCTCTTTCTGACACCTGATGTAACATGAACATGAGGTCTTTTTGATGCTCTGTTGTAGAGATGGTGTTGTCAGAAGTCCCGCCCCTTGTTGGTTCTGATTGGTCAGTTTTTAAGAAGCGACACTAGCTACGTTTACATGGAGCCAAATATTCCGAATATAATCGGATTAGAAGCCCAATCGGAATGAAAATGCTCCATATAAACACCTCATTCGGAATAAACAGGCCCATTCCGAATGGAATTTCATTCCGATTCACAGGGGTAGAATATTCCTTTTCCCATTCCGATTAAAAGCAAAATCCTGTCATGTAAACGGTGAATCGGAAAGTTGTCAGGCTGGGTTCTGTCTGCGCATGCTCTGTCCTGATGTAAACAAGCAGTGACGTATGACTCACATGGAGACATGATGGCGGCTTCCAAGCAGAGCACGATGCACTGGTCTGCGTCGGAGAGTTTGTTTTTGATACAGGAGGAGGCATGGGCAGAGCGGGCAAACATTGCACAGCACTAACAATAAAGGCTTCTTCTTCACGTCTTCTCCTCTGTAGTGCGTCCAGTAAGAGCGCGTTGGTGGCAAGCTGTTGCTTTAATAAAAGTGAAAAAACAATCGCTACTACTCTGCTTAACAGACGAAAGACCTCCATCTTTGATCAATCACGTGATGTTTGAAGGTATCACGTGTCTGTAAATAGCTGTTCCGATTGAATGCCGTGGCACATGTAAACACCAGATCAGAATAGATCGCTTCCATGTAAACAGTTCGCCTGGGAGCTTCAATCGGAATGATTATAATCCGAATGAGAAAAAAGTCTGCATGTAAACGTGGCTACTGATGAGACACTCATGGGTGTCGAGGCAGTTTCTCTTTGACGATCTCGTCCTGGTCCAGCTGACATCCTGATTTCTAAAATACCATTTAAAATGAGTCCTGGAGTCTTCAGGAGATGTCCTCACATCCTGTCATGTTTGTCTCGTGTTGTTGTCTGTCCTCTAGTCGCTCTTCGTCTTCGATGATAAATCAAACGGTTCATGGTCATAAAGAGCCGAGTGTCATCGGCGTAGAGAGAGATAGTGAGCCTGCTCTGCTGTAGGAGTAAGAACAGATGAAGAAGTCATGGTCCTCAGATTGAACCAAAGTTTACCTCATATATTATCATCATATAAATATATAGATTACCGTATTTTCTGGAGTTTAAGTCACACCAGCCAAAAAAAGGCATCAGGAAGAAGAGAAAACATTTAGTGGTACAAGATGCATTTTTACGGGGGGAAGTTTATTTGACAAAATCCACGACCAAGAACTGAGATTTGGAAGGCAAGTTAAAATAATAACTTATAATATAACAAATAATTTAATAAAACAAAAATAACTTATAATATAACAAATAATTTAATATAACAAAAGTAACTTATAATAAAAATAAAAACAATAGAATAGAGAAGAACAGGCTGGTTTGGTGAACGGTATGTAACGTAACACGTTGATGGTTATTCAGCCACATGAATATAAACTGTGAACTCAGTAGGTGTCTGGTTTGTTAACGTCACATATGAACACTTATTCAGGGAACTATAGTATAAAAAAACAACAAAACAAGTTTAACAAACTCGATCTCACTCCAGGAATTCAGGTGTTTTTGTTTTTAACTCCGTTACGCTTTTAAAAAATTTAATTACAGTAAGTTAAATATTGATTATTTTCATTTATAATCATTTAACACGTGATTAATGTTCAAACAGATTTTAAAGTCAAATATAAATAGACCATCACCATAACATTATCATCAAAATACTCCAGTCCAAACAAGACAGCTGGACCATGAAGCCGTCTGAAGATGTGGACGTCTAAAGACAAAGTTAATGTGTCTTAAAATTATGTCAGTTTAAATCCTGTTTTCTGCTCTGGGACGTCTGAAGACACGGAGACGTCTTCAAACTTTTGTCTTGATGTATAAAAACGTCTTGAGACACTTTGACGGCTGAGGATGAATCACTGAATCTACACAATTCTTTATCCTCCGTGGACAAAGCGCTGCTTCCTCTTCTGTGTGACTGTCGTCAGACTATATGAGAAATTATACATTTTAATAAATAAGTCACACCCGAGTAAAAGTCACAAACCCACCAAACTATTAAAAAAAGTGTGGATAAGTAGAGAGCTGATCATTAGCAGTGATGAAATCCTTCTTTGACTTAAACTCCAGGAGAAAGTTGAACTTCCTGCAGAGATCGTCTTTGTCGTCTTCAGCGGGATCAACATGGAGTCAGATCGAAGAGGAGGGGGAGGAGCTTGTGTGGTTTCGGAGGTGGAGTGTGAAGACGGCCCGAGGCTGAGGGACGTAGATCAGACCGGGGTGTTTCTTTCTGAGGACGCCGTCACGCCACAGACACGCCACCCAGACCGCCACCAGGAACAGAGCGGCAGAGAAACTAACAGAGAGAGAGAGAGGGAGAGAGAGAGAGAGAGAGAGAGAGAGAGAGAGAGAGAGAGAGAGAGAGAGAGAGAGAGAGAGAGAGAGAGAGAGAGAGAGAGAGAGAGGGAGGGAGAGGGAGGGAGAGAGAGAGAGAGAGAGAGAGAGAGAGAGAGAGAGAGAGAGAGAGAGAGAGAGAGAGAGAGAGAGAGAGAGAGGGAGGGAGAGGGAGAGAGAGAGAGAGAGAGAGGGAGAGAGAGGGAGAGAGAGAGAGAGGGGGAGAGAGAGAGAGGGAGGGAGAGGGAGGGAGAGGGAGGGAGAGAGAGGGAGAGAGAGAGAGAGAGAGAGAGAGAGAGAGAGAGAGAGAGAGAGAGAGAGAGAGAGAGAGAGAGAGAGAGAGAGAGAGAGAGAGAGAGAGAGGGAGAGAGAGGGAGAGAGAGAGAGAGAGAGAGAGAGAGAGAGAGAGAGAGAGGGAAGAGAGAGAGAGGAGAGAGAGAGAGAGAGAGAGAGAGAGAGAGAGAGAGAGAGAGAGAGAGAGAGAGAGAGAGAGAGGGAGGGAGAGGGAGGGAGAGAGAGAGAGAGGGAGAGAGAGGGAGAGAGAGAGAGAGAGAGAGAGAGGGAGAGAGGGAGGGAGAGGGAGGAGAGAGAGAGAGAGAGAGAGAGAGAGAGAGAGAGAGAGAGGGAGAGAGGGAGGGAGAGGGAGGGAGAGAGACAGAGAGAGGGAGAGAGAGAGAGAGAGAGAGAGAGAGAGGGAGAGAGAGAGAGAGAGAGAGAGAGAGAGAGAGAGAGAGAGAGAGAGAGGGAGAGAGAGAGAGAGGGAGATCTTTAACAGGTCTGCTCTGGGGGGTCAGTGGAGTCCAGTCTGGAGGTTTTTGTCTCTCAGAGTTTCCAAAGGTCTTTCATTCAGTCCGTTTCCATCACACTCGAGAAAACCGAATTATCGCCTTATTCCGATTAAGACCGGACAACTGAAGGTCATGTAAACACCTTAGTCCGACTATAATCGGAGTTTGAGAACTCTACCATGTAACCAGCGTAGTCGGAGTATGACGCCACGCCCCCGTAACCCCGTAACAAAAACCCCCAGAGTAGAGGAGTAGCGTTGGTCTCCTCTTTAGAAAAAGTAGCGCGTCCATCATGTCGGACAAAAACAACGCTGTACGATGCTCCATCTTCTTGTTTCTCCAAAATGCCCAGCAGCAGTTGTAGACACTTCTGACGTCTGACACCGACCTGCTGTTGTTGTTGACGGTTGTAAAGACCCATATCGCCCCCTAGTGTTTGGGAGGAGGACACGTTCACGTCAATAATTCAGTTTTCTCAGCTGCATGTAAACGAGGACAAGGAGAGAAGTCTGATTCAGAGAAAAAGACGAGTTATGAGTTTAGTCGATTAAACTGAGACTGTAAACGAGCTGAGTGAGACCAAACACAGAATCTGTTTCAAAGGCAGACAGTTTTAATGCTAACCTGTACAGCATGAAGAGACCATTACTGTCCAGAACCAAGCCCCGCCTCCTCTGGTGCATCACTGTGGCGGTCATGGCGAACAAGGTGAAGATGAAGAGGATGAAGGTCTGTCCCTCAGTGATCAGAAACCTGGAGGAAGAGGAGGGTCTGAGGGTCAATTCAACTGAATATTTATAAAATATACTCTGATATCTTAAAGATGTCACGTCAGTAGATCCACAGACTGTCATATTTTATTTAAAGGTTTAATCTCTTTATTCTGAATCTACTTTAATGTTTGCATGAGAATAAATCCACTTCAATCCTCCGTCAGGGTTCCTGGTTTCTGCTCTCAGCCTGAAGTGCTCCTCTGTCAGTAAAGTGATTAGTCAGCAACACCTGAGAACCAGCTGATCAATTATTACTAACACACACACACACACACACACACACGGTCTGCGTCACATTTCAACGTGTGTTTTCTCTGACTGAACACAGGAGTGTGTGTTGTTGCAGTACAGCGCTCTGACCAGTAGTAGGCAGCATTGGGGGCCAGCAGCATCCACCCTGCTGGAGGCATCTTCTCCTCCTGTTTCCTACGACAGAAAGAACCGCTGAAGAAGAGGAAGAGGACGAGGAAGAGAGGGACGTACCTGAAGGAGAGGAAGGAAGGACAATCAAGAGAAACGTCTGAGGAACGGACAACATCATGACTCCAGAAGAAACAGGAACATCCCTGAAGGTTCTCTCACCACAGCAGGTGACCGAGCGTGTCGTCAAAGTGAAGCAGAAGCTCAAAAGTATCAACCTGCAAAATAAAATCATGTTCACGATGAGAGACTCCAAGAGGCCGAGGAGAAGTCTGGGAGAAGTTTTCAGCAGGAGGAGCTGAGACAGTTTCCTGTGGAGGTGTGGATTTACAAACTGATCAGAAATCAATAATTTTAACAGCAGACTATTGCTATCAGAAATCACAAAAACTAGAATAAGAACCTGAAGTTATTCTGCAGCAGAGAAATCCACACACTTCAGTTGACTGAAGTCCTTTTGAAGCTTCAGCCTTTAAGTTCAGAGAAACCGGAGGTTGCTCACGGCGGCTGTGATCACATGTTTAAAAATGCACGGACACCTAAAGCTGAAGAGAAAACTTCAATGAGCACAGAAATATCTGTTCGTCAGCTCGAGGGAAGAAAGAGGAGAAGTTTGATCAGAGCGGATTAAAGCTGCAGCTCCTTCTTCTGTCTGTGAGGTCTACAGCGACGTTCAGACTGAAGGTCAGTTCTGATTGGTTCTGATCCAACCCTCTTCTGTATGTGGATATACACTCACCGGCCACTTTATTAGGTACACCTGTCCAACTGCTCGTTAACACTTAATTTCTAATCAGCCAATCACATGGCGGCAACTTAGTGCATTTAGGCATGTAGACATGGTCAAGACAATCTCCTGCAGTTCAAACCGAGCATCAGTATGGGGAAGAAAGGTGATTTGAGTGACTTTGAACGTGGCATGGTTGTTGGTGCCAGAAGGGCTGGTCTGAGTATTTCAGAAACTGCTGATCTACTGGGATTTTCACGCACAACCATCTCTAGGGTTTACAGAGAATGGTCCGAAAAAGAAAAATATCCAGTGAGCGGCAGTTCTGTGGGCGGAAATGCCTTGTTGATGCCAGAGGTCAGAGGAGAATGGCCAGACTGGTTCGAGCTGATAGAAAGGCAACAGTGACTCAAATAACCACCCGTTACAACCAAGGTAGGCAGAAGAGCATCTCTGAACGCACAGTACGTCGAACTTTGAGGCAGATGGGCTACAGCAGCAGAAGACCACGCCGGGTGCCACTCCTTTCAGCTAAGAACAGGAAACTGAGGCTACAATTTGCACAAGCTCATCGAAATTGGACAATAGAAGATTGGAAAAACGTTGCCTGGTCTGATGAGTCTTGATTTCTGCTGCGACATTCGGATGGTAGGGTCAGAATTTGGCATCAACAACATGAAAGCATGGATCCATCCTGCCTTGTATCAACGGTTCAGGCTGGTGGTGGTGGTGTCATGGTGTGGGGAATATTTTCTTGGCACTCTTTGGGCCCCTTGGTACCAATTGAGCATCGTTGCAACGCCACAGCCTACCTGAGTATTGTTGCTGACCATGTCCATCCCTTTATGACCACAATGTACCCAACTTCTGATGGCTACTTTCAGCAGGATAATGCGCCATGTCATAAAGCTGGAATCATCTCAGACTGGTTTCTTGAACATGACAATGAGTTCACTGTACTCAAATGGCCTCCACAGTCACCAGATCTCAATCCAATAGAGCATCTTTGGGATGTGGTGGAACGGGAGATTCGCATCATGGATGTGCAGCCGACAAATCTGCGGCAACTGTGTGATGCCATCATGTCAATATGGACCAAGCTCTCTGAGGAATGCTTCCAGCACCTTGTTGAATCTATGCCACGAAGAATTGAGGCAGTTCTGAAGGCAAAAGGGGGTCCAACCCGTTACTAGCATGGTGTACCTAATAAAGTGGCCGGTGAGTGTAAATCAGATATGTATCTGATGTGACTGCAGTATGACGCTCAGGTCGAGTTCATCCGACCTTTACGTCATCAATATGAGACAAACGTCACCGTTGTTCGACAACACAAACAGGAGCGGGAAGATATTTGTGTTTTGTGTTCATGCACTTTGGTATGCAGACGACACTCAGATCTACCTTCCAGTAAAGAAAGAAGATGGTAGCTCTCTGAAACGTCGGCTCGATTGTTTTAAAGACATAAATGACTGGATGGCCTCGAGATTTTAAAGTTTTAATGAAAAGAAAACTGAATTAATCATCTTTGGCTCCAGCGGGGCCCAGGAGACCCCTCTCAGGCCCAGGAGACCCCTCTCTGCGACTCGGACCCTCTTCCACCTTATTATAAACCCACAGTTTTAAATCTTAGTGTAAAAGTAAAAGATTTTAAATCAACTATGTAGTTAAATCCAGTTTTTATCATCTGAGGCTTTTCTCCAAAGTTAAATCGTTTTTTATCTTTTAATGATTTTAATAAAGTCCTTCCTGTTTGTATTTCCGCTCTCTGATTGGTCGACTGTAACTCTCTCTACGTCGGTGTTCATCAGGTTTCTCTCTGCTGCTCGTCTTTTAACAGGTAAATAAAAACATGATCACATCACTCAGCTGGTGTGTCCAAAATCACATACTTCCACACTAAATACTTAAAATTTTAACTATACTCAACGCAAAATGGAAAAAAGTATGGATAGTCTGGCAAAAGTTCCCGGATGACGTTCTCAAATCAGTCAAGATTTTGAGTATCTGACTGTGGACTTTGATTTCTTTGATGCTTTTGTGTTTTTGTTTCATTTTAAATGTTTTTTACCTGCTTTTATTTTCTGTTTGTTCTTTTAATGTTATTGTGCAGTAAACTTTAATGTTTTTAAAATGTGATAAATAAAACAGGTTGGATTGATCTGACTTCAGAGCACATCCTGGTCCTTACAGGATCCTTACGGCGGGTTCCAGGCGTGTGCAGAGACAATGAAGAAGGTCTGATGTTGAACCCACCAGTGAGGACGGTCTGACGCTCTTCATCACTGGATTCTCTCTGACCGACAGGTGCAGCTGGTAGCCAATCAGAAGGAGCCGCTGGGTGACAGAATCGGCCACCAGGTGGAGGCTGGTTCCCGTGACGATGGAGATGATGCCGAGGTGGACGGCGATGGGAGGCAGCTTCCTCGGGCTGCGCTCGAGCATCTGTAAGAAAAGCTCAGTCTGTAAATCTGAGAGTTTGATGAGATCGTTAAAGTTTGTGCAGAAATGTGTCCTGATGCTTCAGTTACTCTGAGCAGGAAGAGCGAGGTGCTGATGTTGGACAGGATGTGGAGATACTCTGCAGTGCCTGGACGGTTCAGAGGGACCCAGTCTGCTGAGAGGACGAGCTGAGGAGAGATTTAACAGAAGAAAACACCGATTTATGATTTCAATCTTTGACTCTGGTACCCTCTTTGTCCACAGGGGGCGCCACAGTCAACACAAACCAAAAGTTTAGGCTCTGTAAAAACAGAAATGACTTTGTGGTGACGGTTATCAGATGTGTCAGTGAGTTTGTCTTTTAATTCTCGCTCTAATTTAAACTTATTTTGACCCCCAATTTTCACCTCATCCAGAGCGGCTCCAATCCTGAACGACGGCAATTTTCACCGCCCGGCAATTCCAACCGGATCTGTTGGTGAATCAAATTTTGTTGCGGCTTATAGTAATCGAACTCAAAAGAACCCTCAGATTCACGTTCAATCTCACGATAACGAGTCGTCTCTCTAAAGACAGACACATAGACATATAAGCAGTAGATTGTGTCCTTCCAGAGGAGGAAATCTACTTCTAGACTTCTAGAATCAGCATCTCCTCATCCATGGTGTCATCGGGGTGAAATGACGTCTAAAAACCTTTCACTTGTTCGTCTCCGCCCGTTTGCATGGTGTGAAATACGATCCTCCTGAAAGACGGAGTGTTTTATTTTGAAAAGAAGCCGGATGTTTTATTTTGAAGTCTGTGTCCGACTTCCTTTCCAGCACGGGTTAATCTGTGCTGAATTTATCCGCCATGCTCCGGCGTCCAGAAAAACTAGAACTCTTGTGATCAGCTGAGGAGTCCGGCGATCCTCAGAGGAACGGAAAGAAGTCGGTGTAAATTGACACGTTAACTTGAATGGTTACGATCAGCTACGATCGGAGGATACGACCTTTTAGGAGACGATCAGGATGAAGGTGGAAGTTTGGGGTTTATCCTCCTTTTTTCTCGCCAACAAATAAGAAGTTAATCCTACTGAACAAAAACCTCCATCATCTCGTTACCGTGGCGACAGAATGACCCACATCCAGGATCCAGGTCTGAAGGGTGAAGCAGAGCCAGAGGTCGAGGTGGAAGCGAGGCTTTGAGGTCAGAACCGAGTCCATCTCAGCAGAACCGACGGGCCGACTGCAGAACAGAAACATGTGACACAAAGACTCTCGTCTGATTGGTCCAAAATAAAACACACTTCACAACCAGTGACTCCAAAAGTGACCCAGTAAGACTCTGCAGAGAGGACGAGCCGAAACCTGAATCTGAGATCAGCCGCTCAGAAACCAAAGTTGATGATTTTTTTAAAGTTTCCTCACAAAATTAAGAAAAAAGTTTCAAAATCGTCCATTAAAAGTCAAAGTAAAGTGTTAAAGCAGCTCAGGAGTCAGGATGTGTGAACGCAAATGAGAAAGCTCCTGCATGAAGACAGATGAGAACTTTATTGAACTTTATTTTATTTATTTAAAAATTGTATATTTATAAAAATACATACAGATAAAACTCTTTTTGTTGTTGTTTTTGTCTCTTAAATTTCCCTCATTTTTTCTCCTCCCTCCTGCTGATGTTTAAATGTTTCAGAGTTTTGTGATAAATTAGACTTTATGGTTGATTAAAGTTGGAACTGATTATGAAAAATTAACGGAACAAACCTGCAAATGAAAGCTGCAGAGTTCTGCCTCTTCCTGGTGAGCGTCTGCATCCTCCTCTCTGGATCTCCTCCTCCTCCTCTTCCTCCTCCTCCTAATATTCTGTCTGTTACAGTGAAATAAAGTTTAACCAGCTGCAGTTTCATTTATCTCCATTCGCTCCTCTTCAGGTTCATCATCCAGACTTCTCCCTCCTCACAGTCCCGGTCTGAACCTGAGTGTCGGTCCTCTCGGTGGACTGAATAATTTCATGTACCACTCTGGACTCTGCAGGTCGATCCAGCTGTAGGTAATCCTGTAATCTGGATGAACCTCCCCCCAGGTTTTTGATTAGGCCGCATTAATCTGATCCGGTGTCAGATGGACTCTGAAGAATGAAGGATTCACTGTAGAAATATAAACAGGTTTAAGTGTGAGTGGAGCTGATTAATAAATAAAAAACTCAAAATTTTTGAGGTGCTATACTTGAGTGTAACAACAAAATAATAATAATGATAATAAAAGTTATAATTTACTCTGCTTACTGTTTATATGCACACTGTTTTACTATTTTGTGTTGTATATAGTGTACATACTTGTACATTATCTCTTTATTTTTACTTACTTTACTGATTTGATCTATTATTTATCTCTCTCAAAAAGCTATTTCCCCCTGAAGGATTATTAAAGTATTTCTGATTCTGTTTATGATTTAGAAACACATCAAAAACCATGTATGTTAAACTGGAGACAAAGCAGAAAAGAAATACTAAAAGTACTCAAAACCTACCTTTACTAATTGTAAATATTAAAAAAGAAAAGAATTGAAAATACACATAAGAAATATAAGAAATATAAGTTTACCGTCAACTTTACTCAAGAAATGTTTTATTTTTGTAAAATGTCATTTAAAGTTCAAACTGATATCCTTCACTTTCGTTTTCCTTTAACTCTATTTTCTCTTTTACTCTTCTCATTTCTCATTTCTGTTTCTTTTTTTTTCGAAATAGAAACCTGCCGGTTTTTTTTTTTTGGATGAAACGCTTCAGCGGAACGAATATTAGCCGCAGGTGAACCAGCCGGACGTATTTTCACGCAGAACCGTCACTTCCGGTAAATACCAGGTTAGCCGTGGGCGAAAGTTCGGTTCTGGTTTGTCTTAGAATTTCTGATTTTATTTGATATTTTTTTAGAAAACTGGAACAATAGGGTCCATTTTAACGTCTTTAATCGGGGCTGCGGTGGAACAGAACCAGACTTTGGACTCTAAAGCGTCGGTTCGTTGACAGTTAGCTCACATTAGCACTCGGGCTAACCGGCTACACCGAAACCGGGAGAGGGAAACCGGGAGCCGCGCGCGCTCAGGTGGGACAGGTGACCCGGGTTCGGACACGGTGAGGACGGAGGACCCTCCTGTTTCATGTGGTACCTGGGGCCGGTCTGGACTCTTTAATGGGAGGGGGTCCGAGTTCGGGACTCTGCGGGCTGAACAGAAAGCGGCGGTTCTGGATCGTGGGTCCCGGGCTCAGATGGAGTCTCTGGCCGGGTACGTGTACAAGGCAGCCAGTGAAGGTCGAGTCCTGACCCTGGCCGCGCTGCTCCTGAACCACTCCGAGGGGGAGACCCGGTACCTGCTCGGGTTCGTGACCCAGTTAGCCGGACAGAGGTCCACTCCGCTCATCATCGCGGCCCGGAACGGACACGACAAGGTGGTCCGGCTGCTCCTGGACCACTACAGGGTGGACACGGAACAGACCGGCACGGTCCGCTTCGACGGGTAAGACCTGGTCCACGTAGACCTCCGAACTCCTGATAAGTTCTACTGGTTCTGCTCCGTCAGGTTGGACTGTAAATCTGTGTTTAAACTCTGTTCTTTTAATAGAAACACACAAACTTATTTTAACCTCAGCGGTCAGTTTAGGGAGCAAAACTTCAGTCAAATGAAAGAGAGAGTAGAACCAGAACCATCAGAACCATAAAGAGAGAGTAGAACCAGAACCATCAGAACCATAAAGAGAGAGTAGAACCAGAACCATAAAGAGAGAGTAGAACCAGAACCATCCGAGTCAAAGAACTAAAACAGACATTAATACTAACAGTAGGGGAGACCGGGGCGTGTCATCACATGGGGAGGTTGTAGGGCTTCACGACATTGGAAAAAACTAAGGCTACGTTCACTCTGCAGGTTCTGACCCACAATTCTGATTTTTTGTTAACCCCGATCTTGTAGTGAGGTTGTTCATATTAAAACAACAAATACGGCATCTAAAGTTTAATAGTTTATTAAGGATCCCCATTAGTCTACACTGCAGTGGAGACTATTCTTCCTGGGGTCCAGGCAAAAACATCACACAATCACAAAACTGATCATACAATGCAGTACAGCATGATCAATAATAACATTCTGTAATACAAAAATAGCAACAACAAAAAACAAAAAAACAATAACTTGGAGTTTACACAATAATGCTCATACCAAAGCCTATAATTTACACATTAGTGTAGCAAAGACAAACAATATTCTGAGTGACGAAAAAGTACCATAATGAATAAAATATGACACAAAGTACTTACAAAATCAAGATAATATCAATATAAAAACAACCAGAAACAAAAATGAATTTAAGCAAAAAATAAGTAGAAGAAAAATGAACCAGTCATGACATTCGATACAATCTAAAATAATCTCTTTCCACAAAACTTCTCCTCTCAGTCTGTTCTTAAAACCCACTCTGCTGGTGATGGATCTCAGATATGGTGGAAGTCGATTCCAGGAGGTGATTGCTCTAAACATAACAGTCTTTTTTTTAAAATATCAGTTTGGGGTTTAAGGCGGGTGAACAGAATGTGTCCGTGAAGTGACCCGCATTCGGAAAAGCACAAATATCTTTCCGCTCCTGTTTGTGTTGTTGAACAATGGTGACGTTTGTCTCATATTGATGACGTAAAGGTCGGATGAACTCGACCTGAGCGTCACACTGCAGTCACATCAGATACATATCTGATTTATATCCACATACAGAAGAGGGTCGGATCAGAACCAATCAGAACTGACCTGTTCACACTTAGATGAAAACATCAGATATGAACGTAGACTCAGAGAGGTTCAGAGAAGTGCAGCATAAAAACGAGAGCGCTCTGTGGAGTCTGAGTGGGAGGAACACTTTAAAATGAGGCGTCGGAGGACCTCAGAGACCCGGTCTGTGGTCTACGGAGGAGAGAGACTGTTTTAAAGAGAAACGGAGGGACGGTGAAACATGATCTGTTTTCTGTCTGACAGATTAAAACTCCAACTGTTTGTTTTTGACAAAATAATCAGTGAGCAAACAGGTGAAGTTCAGTAAGTAAAATCAAAAATTATGTTTAATATGAAGGAAATTCTCTCCAGAAGTTCATGAGAAATTGGACTCAAACTTTATTCTAAACAGCTGTTAGAGGTTTTTTTTAGAGTTTGACAGGAACACTGTTAATCTGCCTAATTTAGTGTGTTTCATTAAACAGTTTTAAAGGACAGTATGTAATTTTAAAAAAATAATCTGAGACATAATCTGGTGTTATAATCTGTCCACTGATGGGCTTTAAACTGAAGGGATTCTCATTCAAACACAAACCTGTTACTGTTCAGTTGAAACCATGAACCGGTTTGTAGGGCTGACCACACCCACCCAGTGATGTCACTGACCGGCGAGGTCGTACGACAGGCTCTTTGGTATTTAAACTGTTTGAGTCGTTCTTTCTAATCTGATGAATTATTGTTGTTTTGTTGTTAATTTCCTGAAGTTTCAAACCTTTTGTGTTTTTAGTTTGAGTCCGTTTGGGTTTTTAGTTCGATTTGAGATTCTGGATCACTGAGAGGTTCTGGGTCGGCCCACAGCGCTGAGAGCTGCTGAGAGGGAAATCACTGTAACACCGTCAGGTCAGGGTTGTGGCGCTGTGGGCAGGTACAAAGTCCTGCTGAAAAAGGTCAATCTGGTCTGTATGGAGGGACGACTGAACATCAGCAGAGTTATACTGCTGTCTCCCTCATGACCTTTGAACTCCGACCTAAGAAAGAACTCGTAGCGTGTCGTCTTGGTGTCTGAGTGTCTAAACCGTCTTCTCTCTGTCCTGTAGATACGTCATCGACGGGGCCACGGCGCTGTGGTGTGCGGCGGGGGCGGGGCACTTTGAGGTGGTACGCCTGCTGGTGACCCACCACGCCAACGTTAACCACACCACCATCACTAACTCCACCCCCCTACGAGCCGCCTGCTTCGACGGCCGCCTCGACATCGTCCGCTACCTGGTGGAGAATAATGCCGACATCAGCATCACCAACAAGTACAACAACACCTGCCTGATGATCGCCGCGTACAAGGGCCACACGGACGTGGTCAAGTTCCTGTTGGAGCAGGGGGCGGACCCTAACGCCAAAGCCCACTGCGGGGCCACGGCCCTGCACTTCGCGGCCGAGGCGGGTCACCTGGAGATCGTCAAAGAGCTGGTGCGCTGTCAGGCCGCCATGGTGGTGAACGGACATGGCATGACTCCGCTGAAGGTGGCGGCAGAGAGCTGCAAGGCCGATGTGGTGGAGCTGCTGCTGGCGCACGCCGACTGTGACCCCCCCAGTCGCATCGAGGCCCTGGAGCTGCTGGGAGCCTCGTTCGCCAACGACAGGGAGAACTACGACATCCAGAGGACGTACCAGTACCTGCACATGGCCATTAGGGAGCGCTACAGCGACCCCGACAACATCATCGCCAAGGAGCTGCTGCCGCCCATCGAGGCCTACGGCGGGCGCTGCGAGTGTCGGACGCCTGAAGAACTGGAGGCGATTCGAGTGGACCGGGACGCTCTCCACATGGAGGGGCTGATGATCCGGGAGCGAATCCTGGGCTCGGACAACATCGATGTGTCACACCCCATCATCTACCGCGGCGCCGTCTACGCCGACAACATGGAGTTTGAACAGTGCATCAAACTGTGGCTCCACGCGCTGCGTCTGCGGCAGAAAGGAAACAGGAACACTCACAAAGACCTGCTGCGCTTCGCCCAGGTCTTCTCTCAGATGGTCCACCTGAAGGAGCAGGTCCTGGCCTCGGCCGTGGAGCAGGTTCTGGGCTGCAGCGTGGTGGAGATCCAGAGGAGCATGTCTCGGGTCGAGACGGCGACGGAGTCTGAGCTGCCGCAGGCCATGGACAACTACGAGTCCAACGTTTTCACCTTCCTGTACCTGGCCTGCATCTCCACCAAGACCACCTGCAGCGAGGAGGAGCGCGCACGCATCAACAAGCACATCTACAACCTGATCCAGCTGGACCCGCGCTCCCGTGAAGGCTCCTCCCTGCTCCACATGGCCATCAGCTCCAGCACGCCGGTCGACGACTTCCACACCAACGACGTCTGCAGCTTCCCCAGCGCTCAGGTCACCAAGCTGCTGCTGGACTGCGGCGCGCAGGTCAACGCCGTCGACAACGAGGGCAACACCCCGCTGCACGTCATCGTCCAGTACAACCGGCCCATCAGCGACTTCCTCACGCTGCACGCCATCATCATCAACCTGGTGGAGGCCGGCGCCCACACGGACATGACCAACAAGCAGAAGAAGACGCCGCTGGACAAAAGCACCACGGGCGTGTCGGAGATCCTGCTGAAGACGCAGATGAAGATGAGCTTGAAGTGCCTGGCGGCGCGCGCCGTGCGGCAGCACCAGATCACCTACAGGAACCAGATCCCCAAAACGCTGGAGGAGTTTGTGGAGTTTCACTGAACGGAGCGAGAGGACGCAAACTTTTGACCTTTTAGAGAAATTCTTCTAATTTTCTAACCAATCCAAACGGTGCTGAGGCCGCCGCTCAGAACCGCGAGTTTTTGAGCTTTTTTATAAAAAGTGTTTTTTTTTTTCTATTTAAGTATTAATCGCTAAGAACCAGCAGCTCCGACGGAGATCTGTCCTCGTCTCGGCGAGAAAAACCTTCCAGCTGAGAGACGACGGGAGAGACGCCATCACAGCTGCTTCTTGATTTGCCTTACCTCCTCTCCGGGGAGCCGCCATGTCGCTGTGATCCCTCAGTCTGAGTGAACGAGTGAATGTGAAGGAGGGACGAGGAGACGGAGCGCTAAAGACACACGAGTAAATGAGTGAACGAATGAGACGCCGAAAGACGAACTGACCTCGCCTGCTTTCATGCACTCACATCTCAGATCTTCAGATGATTTTTTTCACGACGAGCGAGAGGAGGCGAGGAAACGGCCCGTGATCCGACTGCTGGACAGGATCCAAATTCAAGGAACAGGTTTTAGTTTCTTTTAAGGAGTTTTAATTTGAAGGGTTTGGGGTGACCATTATCTATTAAAGTGTTTTTATTATTTTAAATCTGTTCGATACGGTCCTCAGTGTGCAGACACCCTCAAACAAACAGCTTTGGGGACTTCTCTTGGTTCTGGTCTGGGGTCTTGAACTGGGAAAATCTTGATGTGGTTTCATGGGTCCAGTTTGGCCTTTTTACGGGTTTGATGTCTGAGCTTTTAAAAAAACGTTGTTAGAGTCAAAATTTTAATCATTTCCCAGAAAAAGAAGAAAATGTTGTCCTGTTTTTGAAAGTTTGGGTGTCTACATACTTTTGGCCAGATATAAATCTTTTCTATTGGTTAAAACAGACGTATGAATCTTAGGGCCTGTGTCCACCAGAAGCCTTTTTCTGTTCTATCAGTGCTCAAGATTTTTGAAGCCCGTTTGTTTATCGTTCCTGGTTAAAAATATCAGACGGAACGTTCGCTGACTTTATTGACTGATTAAAAACACTTAATTTATTTTATTTGAGGAAATCATTAAAAGAAAGTTTAAAAAGGTAGAAATCAAACCCTGATATCGACGAGGACGTTTCGTTTCTCCTCGTATGGACCTCAGCCGCCGTGGTTGACAAAGCTGATATCAAAAGCCCCGCCCCCTTCTTGATTTTGATTGGCGGAGTGCTGTAATCACAAACCTGAATTTGCATCATTAGTAAAATAAAACGTGGACACGGGCCCTTGATATATTTTTTATGATGTTTTTTTTTTTTTTTTTAATCTTCAGAAATGACTTTTATTTTGAAATTGATCTGAGGACAGAAGCACAACAACATCCTCATTTTAATCATGAAACTTGAAAAAGTAAAACCCTGTTTTTGTTTCAGTAAATATACTCACTCTACCTTTATTAGTAAAGACAGACTTTTAGTCACTTTTTAATTTAACTCTTCGGGTTTGAATCCTCCCCGCCTCGTTGGCGTTTCCTCTCTTTGTTGAGTTTCTCGGCTAACGGCGTCCAGGTTCCTGTTTCCTCCTCGTTGCTGAATCACTTGTTAATTTGACGTCAGTAAAAAAGAGACGATAAGATCAGCTGTTTAATAACTCGACATAGTTAATGTTCGAACCTGCAGCTGTTGCTGAAACGGTCAGTGTCGGGTCAGAGCTACAAGTGAACGTCGTTTCTGTCGTGTTTGAGAGAAGAAGCTCCGATTTTAGACTCTTCAGTGGTTTTCTAGAAGCCTCCTTCGCTGTTGCCGTGCAACTCTGACATACGGCTAATTCTCTATTAAAGCTCCTCTTTACTCTCTTATTTCTCCTCCTGACCGTCAGACTTTTGTCTCTATCTGAAGACTTCAATCAGAGAGTTGAATTAAAACAAGTTTATTTTTAATATATTTCAGTAATTTTTAATGTTGTTAATCTAAATTATTCTCAGTTTAGCTGTTCAACATTTCTGTCATGTAAAAAACAGAAATAAGTTTCTAAAAATCTGATTTTTTTTTTTACACTCATGAATTTAAATTTACAAACTTGTTTTTTTTTATTTGTGGCTCTGATCCTCCGCAGAATCGACGTTTCACAGCTTTTGTTTCAATCAGGCAAAAAAACTAGAATGTGTATAAATGATCAGGTGCACATGAAAGAGTCCCAGTTTAGGCCCAGTTCAGGTCCAGTTCAGGCCCAGTTCAGGTCCAGTTTAGAACAAGTTCAGGCCCAGTTCAGACCCAGAGTTTGTCAGTTCTGCGGCCCAAACCCTCCGCCCCTGTTGTAGAGCCGGTCTGCTCCATGAACCGTTTCAGGTTTGATTGTAAATTGATTCCCGTCTGCGCTCTCCTCCGCCGTTTTCTCGCCGCCGCTGCTTCAGCAGGCAGAAAATGTGGTTAAGTGGTCCGGTCTGAGTTTGGAGGATTAGCCGCTCCTCTGAGAGACGATTAAACTTTGCACATAAACAAAAACAGAGCCGTCTGTTTGGTCTCGCTCTTTTTTTCTGACCCGATGAAAACCTGCGGGGAGGAGAGGAGCGTCTTCACAGGAGCTTCATTATCCTGTTTGAGCGAACAGACCGCTCCACGCTCCACGCCGTCTCACCGGCTCGATAAACCAGGCCGTTCATATGTTTTTATCGATAACTCAGGATCATTACCGTCTGTTTCTCTCACTTTACTCGCTGTTTACAGAAACGCTCTTCTGCTCAGACGTTTAACCAAAGTGGTTTTTATTGATCCAGAAACTCATCAGGAGTTTACAAAAGCTTCAATCGACACGTTTTACTTTAGAAACCCGTCTGAGAGCCTCAAAATGTTCGATTGAGAAGTGCAGACGGAGAAAAGTTTTATTAAAGATCCTCTCTGGAGTCACTTTTGGGGAAATCTAACGAGTTTTGGCAAAAAGTTTGAGAAACGGCGAGTAAGTTTAGAGTTTCGGTTCAGTCTGACGGCCTTCAGTGGTTCATGGACAGTATGAATTAATCCCGATCCGTCGCTCTCATTTCATTAAAAGTGTTTTAAACTATTTTAACTCGGCTGGTTGTTGCTTCTCCGCTTTAGTTGCCAGATGTGACTTTTTACATCTCAGGTAGCCCCAGTCTTCATCCGGACCATCATTTACCAGCTGAGAGGACCTGAAACTGGATTTTAGAGCATAAACCCAAACGTGTTCACTTCTGGTTCTGAGAATGAGACGTTGAGGCGCTAAATTAAAGGCATTAAAACAGATGAATTAATCCGAGCAGCTGTTTTTATCAAACATGTGCTTTAGATCAGATTTATTTTCTGTTTTCTGAAAAGCTGCAGACTGTCCTTGGAGTTTAATTTTCAGGCTGTTATTGAAGTCTGGAAAACAAACGAGTGAAATTAGGACCGATCGAAGGAGCGGAGGGCCGCTGAGACTCTTCAAACACCTGATTAAACCGGCGGACGTAAAATCAATCCCAGAGTTTCACCGAGAGGAGGAGAAACAACACAAGCCCAGTCTGTTTCTGTGTTTGGACTTTTCTGTTCCTGTCAACACGGATGTCCGTTTTTCTTCTTCAGATCAGACCCTGTTTCTGTCCAGCAGACCTCTGTGTCTTCACTGATCATGTGGCCAGGGGTTTGGGGGTGTTCTGCGGGTATTTTAAGGGTTTGAGGTGACGATAACGTGCCATTTGGAGTGCTTGTTTGTGTTTGTATTTAACTCTGCAGGAGCGGGATCTTGTTCCTCTTTGTGTGGCTGAGAAGAAGCCAAAGATTCTGCTGGTGTGTGGATGTCAGCTGCTGAATGATTGCTGTCCAATTAAAGCTCCTCAGTCTACGTTCACCCGCCGCCGTCATCGTCTTCTTCTTCTTCTTCTCTCTGGAGGAAAATCACTCAAAGCTGCAGGTTTAATGTGTGCAAACATCCAGGGGTTAATCCTCAGGCGATTGATTGATTTAACGAGGTTTAGACCAATCAGGATCAAGTTTTTCATTTTCATACTTTATTTCATTCAGTTGATATTTAAAACATTCAGTACAAACAAGAAAATTGGCAGGATGGAACAAGGTTTAGACCAATCAGGATCAAGTATTTAAACGAGCTGAACCTCTCGATGTGCCGATCACGTCTGTCTCCTCAAATATCGACTCCGGTTCGCTTCATTTGTTTGTGATCTGCTGAAGCGGTTTGACAAAAAGGAGCCAAAGAAAATCGGACCGGGTCAGAAAAGTTCTGCTGAGAGACGGACAGTACGGAGTACAGAGACCTGATGAGTCGATCACCAAGTGCAGCGGAGTTTCACAGCTCAAGGAGGAACATTTATGATCATTTCTCCATAGAAATACAATCAGACCGAGACGCTAAGACAGAAGAACTACCGCGTCTGTAAAATGATTAATATGGTGATTATTACTTCAAGGAAATGATAAAGAAATGATCATAAATGTTCTTCCTTGAGCTGCGGCACCCCGCTGTAGTCCGTAATGGACTGGCCTGAGGTCTCGCTACAAACAAGCGTCTGCTGGAAGAGAGTAGGTGAGTTGTGTTTAGTCTCTTTGCTAAAGAAATGAGTCAAAGTTAAAAAGATGTTTGGTGTCTAGTACTATGGCTGTGACCCTATATGTACTAACCTCAGTAGAACATGGTGTAGCTCCTTTCAGTAACAGAACCTCATTGGAAAATTAGCTGATTTAACTTTACTGTGCTCTTGTTCAGATATATTAACTCGTCAGCACATATATTCACACCTGTTAACAAAATCATGATTTTATTGATGATTCGGCTCAATAAAAACACCTTTACCTTTTCATTTTTGTGTGCTAATTAAAAAAAACCTGTTTGTTCATTTAAACTCCAGAGCAACATAATTATGTTAATAAAACTCGACATAAACGATGGACTTTATTCCTTTATTAACACAAACAGTATAAACTGTGAGCGCACAACAGCGCCACACTTCAGTACAAACTAAAATTACAGCTTCATGTCAAACTGTAACGTCTCCATCTTTAACAATCAAACACAAAACTATTTACAAAACGTTCAAGTTTATCTTTATACAACAAAAGTGCGTCAGGTATAAATTTAGAAATAATCGACAAGAAGTGTTTTTTAAAAAAGATGCTTTTACACTTTATACTTCAAAAATAAGAGAATCAGCCGTCGTAGGTAGTCTGGTCTCATCACGCTGGTTTTCTTCTCTTCTTCAGAGTCACATCCCTCCGGTCCCACTGAGTTTTCATGTGTTCATCTTTGTTTTCATGTGTTCATCTTTGTTTTCATGTTTTCATGTTTCCTCACGATTCCCTCTCTTAGTGCTGATGAGTCTTGTTCCCGTCCTCTGACTGATGCTGGTTTCATGAGTTCGACAGAAAAGGAGGACAGACGTGAAACCATCGACCCGTTAGGGGAACAGAAAAGTGGTCATGTGATTAGAGGTGTGGCTAATTTGCTAGGGGGGCGGGGCTACAGAATCCCTGAGTGACAGGTGGAGGCTCGTGATGCATCGAAGTGATCCTCATTAACTCGTCAAGTCTGACAGCTGAAGTTTAACGTCGTCAGGATTCAGATTTGATGAATTTTTAAAAATATTTTTGATATTTTGTGCAGAAAAAAAAAATCTGATCCTGACAAACAGCTCAGATCACGAACACGTCCTCCAGTCTGGAGCAGCAACACGATGATTTCGTGAATTTAGGAGTTAACGAGGATCGACCGAAGCCGCATCATCATGGCCTGCACATTAAAGCTCCTCTGCTGCCTTCCCATTGGCTACAGGCTGCTCCTCCTCTTCCTGTCGCCGCCGTCTGTTGAAGAAGCCGAGCTGAGGAGAAAAAAAGACGAATTTAGGAAACTTTAAATCCACTAAGTGACTCAGTGGGTATACTGGTGCGTTCTTGTACCTTCCACAGGGCCAGCACCAGTAAGGCCAGCAGCAGCAGGCCTCCCAGTGAGCTCCCCAGTATGATCCAAACAGGAACGCTGTAATCCTCCTCCTTCCTGAGCTCCAGGATTATCTGCAGAAACACATTCACATCATCCAAACGCTGGAGTTAATCTGCTCCCCTCTGACCCTCGAGTGAATGAAATCCTTTAACCAGCAGTTTGATCCACGTCACTGATCCGCCCTTTATTTATATCAGGATAATATCATCTGACCACTCTGCTGCTGCTGCAGGTCAGAGGAGACCAAGAGTTCAGGGATGGAGAGACGACCTTCATGAAGTTTTCAGAAGAACATTAAACATGAAACTGAGTGATTTCAGAAAAACAAACTAATTAAACGGTTTAATAAGAACTCCTGAGGACTAAAACCAGATCCTCCTCCTCCTCCGTCACTCTGAACCATCTCCTCTGATTTGGACTCTAACTGTTTTTAATGAGAGCTGCTCCAGGACTGACTGTAATAATGAGTCTGAACAGCAGGTGGCAGCAGAGTCCTGATCCTGGTCCAGTTCAGACTCTCAGTTTAAAGTTCATCCTTGCTCTCCTTCATTAGGATCCGGTTTCTGTGGGACCCTCCTGGTCTTGGTTCTGAAGTCTTACCTCTCTGACGGGTCGGTCCTCCTGGAGGAACATGGGACTGGAAGATTCCAGCTGGATGGAGGCAGCAGTCAGTAACTCCAAAGACCTGAAGCTCACCTGAAACAGGAGAAACAGTCATTCAGCTGATGGTCACACAGACTTAAAGGGATATTCTGGAGTAAAACTAATTCAGGGTCAAACCCACCGTAACACCGAGTTAGACCCCGCCCCTCCAGAGATGAATGTTGTCGACCGCTTCCTTCTCTAGTTATACCAACTTTAGTAACGAACAAGCGGCTGCTGGAAGAGAGTAGGTGAGTTGTGTTTAAATCTCCATATATTGTGGCGTTTTGGTTGGGGGCGTGGCTCTCTGTATTACTATCCTGCGGTCGTTACTAAAGTTGGTATAACTAGAGAAGGAAGCGGTCGACAACATTCATCTCTGGAGGCGGGTTCTAACTCGGGGTTACGGTGGGTTTGACCCTAAATTAATTTAAGTGGAATATCCCTTTAAAGAAACAGAGAAGGTGAAGCTCCTTTAGTTTAGAAACTCAGAGGTTCACCTCCAGGAGAGCAGGAAGCTGAAGTTCTCCTCGGAGCGTCACCTTCAGCTCTCTGGACGCCGGCAGGTTCAGTCGACACTGAACCGCCAGACTCTCGCTGTTACTGTGATTCTGCAGAGAGACGATAAAACTCTGAGTCCTGAGTGTTTGTGTTCGACCATCAGTGTGAGACCTACAGCAGTGAGGAGGACAAGCTGAGAGCCAAACCAGGAGAGTCCTACAGCTGCAGTTCTTCTTCAGGCCACCAGAGGGCGACTTCACAGTTTTACAAATGTGCAGAAGTCTACAAGAGAAAAAGTTCTTCTTCTTCTTCTCAGCTGATTTATTCCCTCATTAGGTTCTTACCAGCTGTGACAGGTGAGTCAGGTCCTCTGCAGTCACCTGATTGGCTCTCGGTTGTTGAGGCAGCGTGCAGTGAGACCCGGACACCTGCTCAGAGGAAGAGAAGGACTCAGGATCTGTACCGACCTGAAACCGTCTGTTTACTCTCATTTAAAGGCTTCGATCGTCACCTGCTGGACGCTGTAGTCTGTGATTTCCACCAGCTGGTTCCCCTGTCTGGTCACGGCCCAGATGTCGGTTCTGAACAGGACATCCTGCACTGAGAAGATGCCCAAGTTCTGGATCTGCAAACCCGAATAAAGACACAGACAGAAAACTGAAACCCTGAGAACTGTCTGTTGTTGTTAGACCTGGAGGTGTCTGCGGGTTCGTCAGGATCTACAGGCGATCAGTGCGAAGGACAACAATCCTCATCATCACTGAAGACGCCGCCCACCCTCTGCATCACTCCAACAGAACCGCACCGACCCGTAAAAACATCTACAGGAGGTCATCCATCCATCTGCAGGTAAATAAAGTCCAACAGCAGTAAACTCTAATGCTGTTGTGTTTCTCTTTAATGATGTGGTCTGTGTGTTTGACTGAAGGAGTTTTTAACAAGTCAGGTTTAAAGACGATAAAGTTTTATTTTATTCTATTTAAGGCCGAGATGAAGGTCGACTTTACTCTGCACCTTCGTCCGGATTTTGTTCAAATGAAAGAGAACTTAAATACTTTGAAACTGCCGTCACAGGTCCACCTCACATAATGTTAGTGTTTTCCTGCAAACGACAGAAAACCTGCAAGTCAGATTAAAAAGTTTAAAATAAAATAATTTAAAAAAGTAAAATTAAAGTTTTCTTTTAGTTCAATGAGAATTATCATTAAAATGAGATAAAAGCTCTGAAAAAGGTGAATGAAAGGACTGAAGAAGGTCGTTCTTAGAGGCGGAGGAGGGAATCATCCCTGACATTGATCAGGTGATCAGGTGTGTGAGGGTCTGATTGGTCTGAGTGAGAGCAGGTGTGAGAAGGCTGATATAAACCCTTCAGTCTGAAGAAATCCGCTCACACTGATGCAAAGTTTTTCTTGGTCTGAATAAATGATTTAAATTAATGTTTTCAAAGATAACAAAAGCTGGTTAAAGTGCAAATACGATAAAATCACATTTTTATAGCAGAATAAATCAGATAAAAATGTTTGAACAGAAAAGTCCACAAAAGGAACTCTAACACTGAGTTAAATCCCAAAGTACCGTGCTTCATTAAGAGGGTTTAGGTTGAACGACTCTTTAACTTCTCGTCTAAACAAAAGTGTTTTTTCTGAATCAAAGAAAACTTGATTTTATTGAAACTCACATGATAAGTGAGGTTGAAGGTGGAGGAGCTGCTGTCTGGTTTTTCCCGGGACAAAGAGATGGAGGAGGACCTGTCTGCTCTGATCTCAAAACGAGGAGGGTTGGGGTCTCTGAGGATGACAGAGGAAGAGAGGAAGATGTTATCATGTCTCGTCTCATATATCGTCTCACATTCAGGCCAATATTCAGAGTTAACTAACGTTTATTTTCAATCAAACTCAGTCTTTGTGTTCGTGTCTCACCTGGTGAAGAGGAGGTTGGTTTGGTACATCAGAGGGAGGAAGATATCGTTGATGTTGTCGTCTGGGTAACCTTCTTCTCCTTCACTGATTCACACACACAGACGAAGAGAAAGGTTTGTGGAGACAGTTTGATAAAAGTCCCCAAAGTAGACCTTAAACTAAGCATGTGTGTCCTCATAGTTTTTGTGTCCTAATGTGTCCTAATCCTCATGTTTTCATTCGGTTTCAGCAACAGTCAGTGTCGGAGCTAAGTCTGTACTTTCAGCTACTGAGATGCTTGACCCAGAGTAACCTTGACGAGTGGCGCTACTGGTTTTTTACGCTACCGTGAGTCTTTGATAATCAGTGAATGTCCTGACACTGTTCCTCTGATGCAGCGAACAAAATTAATTGTCATGAATTTTACCAAAATCTATTTGGAACTGACATCGAGCGACACCGAATAAACACAGAAAAACACCGACATTTACTGCAACTCATCTTAGGTCATCACATCCACAGATTTGACTCCTACGGTCAGTTTAAAGGAGTTTCAGTCATGAATCAGCAGGAGGCGCCCCTAATTAGCCCCGACCCCCTGACTCTACGACACGCCCACTCCTCATAATAACCTAAATCAGGAACTGTCGTGTGTGCAACAGCAGAGGTTGAGTCTTATCACTGTTACTGTGCGACAACATGAAAACCAACATGTGTGTAAAGAAGACCTGCAGAAGAATGTGTCTGACTGCTGTACCTCAAAGGTCCCCAAAAGTTCACTTCATCCTATAGTCCTCATATTTACCCTTAAACAAAAATATGTGTGTGCCCCAAAAAGAGCCTGGCAGCCCCCATTATTTACCCTCACTCACTTTAAATATTCAGACAGTGTAACATGTATGAGTGTGAAATTAACACACACACACACACACACACACACACACACACTCGTTTTTAAAGTCCCTGTATAACCCTTAAACAAAAGCTCATGTCTGTCCAACAATGACATATGGGTCCCTGTAATTAAACTGCATGATTATAAAAATAGATATAATTACACAAAGAGAAAATCACGACATCCTCACACAGGAAACTCAGACCTCCAGACTGCGTCCACATGGACTCAAACATCTCCTTCATCCAACAGTCCTCACATGACCCTAAAACAAGACCAGATCTGTGTTCCTGTTCCAACCCTTTACTGGAGCCAGAACGTTTAGAGCTCCACCTGCTGGCCGACCAGAGTATGGGCCATAAAGTCTGTTTCCTCCATGTAAACAGATGGGACATGTGTCAAACCAAAAAATACAAAACATAAGAGACTTGAATGGATTGAAGCTTCCTCAGCTGTCTCACCTGCTGGCTGCCAAGATGATCCTCAGGTGATCCAGGAAGACGGACCGGCTGAACTCAAACTCCAGACGAAAGGAGACCTGAACCAGGAGAGAGACGCTCTGAGGTTAAACTAGAGTGTGGCTGCACTGACATACAAACGGTGGATTTATGTCGCTGTTTTGTTCAGTCGTGTCAGACTGTTTCAGGAGTAGACATGTACGAGCCTTTCCAGAAGGGGGCAGTAATGCGCCTGACACTGCTGTGTTGTGATGGAAGGTTGCTGTAACTTGTATTTCATGGCAGTTGAAATAACATTAAATGTGTGTTCTGGATCTTTCTTGGCTGGAAACCATCAGCTGTCCCCGGATCCTCCAGGAGTCAGATCATCTCACTGAGCAGACTGACGCTCTGTTTCCCTCCTGCTACGTCTCACCTCACTAAAAGGAAGCCGCCTTCAATCTGCAGCTCAGTCTGGACCAATAAACCGGACTTCATCCGAACAGGCAGCTGTGAAGTGGGCCCTCGGGGGCCTCGCAGTGAAGGGCAGGGCCGTGATCATGTTTACAGGACGGTCATTAGGCTAATGAAGGATTAAGTCGATGGTCGTCAGTCTGCGCGGATTCCTCCTCTGTTTAATCACTATCATTAGTCTGACTGTATAACAGCGGTATGATGATGGTCCACCTGTTTCAGAGCCGCCGTCTGCACTCAAAACTCACATGTCTGATTCCAGTGAGAGAAGAACCAGCATCATTTAAGGAGACGGGGGGCCGTACCCTCAGAAGGTTTTAACTGTGGCGAGCTCTTAAAGGGATATTCCGGCGTAAATTTAAATTAGGTTCAAACTCACTGTAACCCCGAGTTAGACCCCCCCCAGAGATGAATGTTCACATAAATGATAAATGTTCTTCCTTGAGCTGCGGCACCCCGCTGTAGTCAGTAATGGACTGGCCTGAGGTCTCTCTACAAACAAGCGTCTGCTGGAAGAGAGTAGGTGAGTTGTGTTTAGTCTCTTTGCTAAAGAAATGAGTCAAAGTTAAAAAGATGTTTGGTGTCTAGTACTACGTCTGTGACCCTATATGTACTAGCCTCAGTAGAACATGGTGTACTTCTGTTCAGAAACAGAACCTCATTGGAAAATTAGCTGATTTAACTTTACTGTGCTCTTGTTCACATATACTAACTCTGCAGCACATAAATCCATACCTGTTAACAAAATAATCATTTTATTGATAATTCGGCTCAATAAAAACACCTTTACCTTTTCATTTTACTACAGTAGAAGTTTATTGGCCCAGCTTATAGACTACAGAGGTGGAGAAACGCCCCCGCTTCAGAGTGGCGTTTTGGTTGAGGTTTGTTTATGGCTCCTCAGACCGCTGTGTATTACTATCAGATACACCCTCTGATTGGTCGAGATCAATTTGAAATCAAAGTTCTTATCTTACCTCTCGTTGTTTTTACACTAACACGTTCACCCACCTGGGATAAGGACTTCATGAATGGAGCGCTGATGTTACAGCTCCTCTGATTGGCCGCTGTGTCCTCCGAGTAGCACTCAATCTGGATATCTGATTGGTCCTGTCAGGGAAGGTCAAACATAAAGTGATCCTCCACCTCAGATCTGACACGAATCCTCGCTCTTTGTGATCTTTGCAGTTGAGGAAAAACGGCGTTTAACTTTAAACGTTTGTGGTTTAATGAAGGTTGGTGACGCACCTTGACGATGAGGCTGGAGAAGAGGAGGTTGGAGGAGGTGGAGATGTGGATGGATGCTCCATAAGCGTTTTCTCCCTGATTCTCTAATCGAGCAAACACCATCACCCTCCTCCGCCCGTTCTCCACCACGTACGCCGAGTTCTCTAGCGCCCCCTCACGGCTGCAGAGGGACCAGGTGGCTCTCTCTCTGGAGCTGCAGAACTGCCTTCAGACACAACAGAGACCGAGACCTGCTTCATGAACCAACATCCCGGTGTCATCTGTGTTTATAGAGACCTGATACTCACTGAACGTCCATGAGGTCAGCGTGACTGTGCAGGATGAGGTCGGGTACGCAGGTTTCCTCCTGCTCACAGCCGTTCCAGAAAGGAAGCTACGGCGACAGACGCGGAGATTTCATCCATCAGACAAATTCAATACGGCAGCACATTCAGTCAAAGCAGGACGCTAATATGAAATGAGTTTATACGAAATAAAGGCAAAAAACAAAACCCCAAAACTGCAGTTCCTCAAGTGTCCACTAGAGACTGTTCCCAGAGCTGGATTAAAGGTGTTGTAGTCAGGATCTGAGTTAGTTCCAGTTTTTAGGAGAAATCTTGAATGTAAACTCTAACCCTCCAAACCAGTTTTCCCCTCAGCTCCTCCTCTCCCTCTCTTAAGCCCCGCCCACAAACAGACACTCCTGCTCGCTCGTATCGTTCCAGTTAAATTCAGATATAATGCAGATAAATACTTCAGATCATTACAAATGGAGCCCAGTCAAGGTGAAAGTCAAAAGCATTGGTGCTACTGTAGATGCCAACAGACTACCAGCAAACACAATGTTTGCAGGACTTCTACAACGAGGATAAAGTGACATAGTCCAGGACCCGAGGGAGGACAGTTTAGCGATGGCGCTACAACACGCTACAGCAGGTCCGTTTGACAAGAAACACTTCTGTTACAGACACTTGTCTTACTTTGTTAAAGCGGTTTACCTGTCCAGCAGAAAGGTTACAGGGTCACCAAGATCCCCAAGCGTCCCCCATCGTTTATGTTGACCCGGCTTTTTAGCTCTTGTCCGGTCTACCTCCGTTTTAAGCGCCCGTTATTCCTCCAGAGTCTCCGGTATTTACTTTGTTTTCTTGCTTGTGTCGGCAGTCGTGGCCAAAGGAGGATTCAGACAATTTTCCGAACTTTCTGGTTGGTTTCTACTGTCCGATATTGTAGTACGCTAACTTTGTTTGGGCTCCTGAACGACACGGGGGAGCAGCATTTTCTTGCTGACTGTTTTCTTGCTGACTGTTTTTTTGTTGACTGTTTTCTTGTTGACTGTTTTCTTGTTGACTGTTTTTTGCTGACTGTTTTCTTGCTGACTGTTTATGGTTGACTGTTTTCTTGTTGACTGTTTTTTGCTGACTGTTTTCCTGTTGACTGTTTATGGTTGACTGTTTTCTTGCTGACTGTTTTTTGCTGACTGTTTTCTTGTTGACTGTTTATGGTTGACTGTTTTCTTGTTGACTGTTTTCTTGCAGACTGTTTTCTTGTTGACTGTTTTCTTGTTGACTGTTTTCTTGCTGACTGTTTTCTTGCTGACTGTTTTCTTGCTGACTGTTTATGTTTGAGTCTTTTCTTGCTTGTGTCGGCAGTCGCGGCCAAAGGAGGATTCAGACAATTTTCCGAACTTTCTGGTTGGTTTCTACTGTCCGATATTGTAGCACGCTAACTTTGTTTGGGCTCCTGAACGACACGGGGGAGCGGCGTCTGCCTCACAACCAATCAGGTTAGAGGAGGTGGAGAACGGCTTTGTTTACAGTCAGAAAGAGCGGACCGCTCAAAAATGTTCAAATGTTGACGACACAGACATAAGAGAACACAGAGATATCGATATATTACCAAATAATCAATAACTAATAACTATTGACTGATATTAGAAGATTTTTTGTAAATACACCAAAACAAGATGCTTCTTTAACAGACTCCTGTCTACTCCACCTGTAACTCCCACACATAACTGAATTATTTTAGGCTGTATTTATTGATCTTATCTCGACCTGTATGTGAGGACAGAACCTTATCTTCCTACTCTGTTGTGTTGCTCAGCCTGCTTCAGTATCTGGTCTAGTGTTGTACCAGTATCTTTATCTGAACGGAGGACATTCTGTATCTGACCAGCTTTATGGTTTTTTTTATTGTGTTTCGTCTTGTGTTGCTGGTGGTTAGCCGAGCAGCTTCAAACGTAAAGTCAGACAGCTCTGTCGTCGGCCATGTTTGTTTACTCTGATGTCACTTTAACCACGTCTGATCAGGTTAGAGTTCCAGATTAGTCTGAAGGTCTCAAAAACGACAGATAGACCCAAATAAACTCTCACCTCAGCCCTGAGGACGGTCGGCCAATCAGGATCCAACACAGGACCCTCGTCTAGGTTCTGCAAACCCGTTTCCAGGGCGACAGTGATGGGACGTCCATAATCTGGTGTCTCCTTGAGAAAAAAACACAGAGCAGCGACGTTTTAGTTTCGAGTAATTTTAGAGACCGGGGCGAAATCGAACTCCGTCACCAGTCCAAACATTTTACTGTTTTTTTTTTTTTCACGTGTACCTGTAAGAAGATGACCTCGACTCATATCTTAGAAACACCGACCCAAATACAACAAAACACCCTGAATGACTAAGAGCTGCAGAGAAAACACAGGTCTAAGTTGAGGGAGAACGCCCGTCTCAGTTTCGTGGTTTGGGGGTGTTTTCTGACCTGGATGGAGAAGCCCAGACGTTGGCAGCGCTGACCTCCGGCCTGCAGAGACAGAGTCCTGGGCTGCTGCCTCGCTGATTCGTCCAGAACAGCTCGAGGAGGAAAACGCCTCTCATCCAGGACCAGACTGAACCACACGGCTGGGACCGAGAGGGGGAGAGAGAAGAACAGAGCGGTCTCATCCAGCACAATGAGGCTGTAAAGAACTTTACGGGTCTTCCAGGTGGAATGAAACAAAGTGAGGTCACCTGGACGGCTCGTCAGCGAGACTACGACTTGTTTAGTTTCCAGTTTCTGAGATCTTGGCCGAGTAAACATGAATCACTAAGAGTTTCCATTCACTGTTGTTTGTGAATGTTCTGATCTGACAGGATTGTGTAACCGGGTCACCCTGGTTCCTCTCTTTCTCTACAGAATATCTCTGATCTTCGAGGTCTTCAGGTCTACGTGGTCGATATGAACACGGAGGTTTTCAGTGGATTCTTTTAGCTAACACAGTGAAACAGACGGTGATGGCTTCAAACAAAACCGTCAAAATTAAACTTTTCACGGTGATGTTAGAAAACTTGTTTTGTTCATGATGAGTCCTTCAGCTCTTTTGTCTCGTAGGTTTCTCTGGATCAGGCAGCTTCTAATACAACTCATCTGTCCAACAAGCGCCAAGCGTTTTGGCGTACACTTGAGCACAATCCATTCCTGCCTCACAAATACTATCAGTGTTTATTTAAGCTGTATTTATTCATCAGTGTTTAAGTCAGCGGGTATCATCGGCAAATTGAATTTACAAACGAATGAAAATTTAATGACATGAATAATAAATGACAGAGGTCCTGATGTGGATCCTTGTGGTTCACCTTTCTCTTTACATCCCTCTCTCTCCTCTCTAAACCCGGCTCAGTCAGGGTGAAGGTGGAATAAAAGTGGGTCTGATTCTACCAGATGGGACTTACCCCAAATTTCCACTGCCAACGACAGCAAAAAGGTCATTGGCGCTGATCGTTTCGATTCAAATTAAAGTCCTGGTCGACGGTTGAAAAAAGCGTCCCGCCCACGATAACTTGCCCCCTGGACCTGTATCGCCCTCCCTACGACACACCCCCTCTGGAAAAGCAAGAAACCGGCCGCCAGAAGATCCTACGCTAGATCCAAACAGGATTCACCATGTCGGATTGTTAGTGACTAGCGGCAGTAAACGCCAGCTCTGCTAGCGAGCGCCATCTGCAGCTGCCTGGACAGCTACCGTGTTGACATGTCAGAGACTAAACAGAGTTATTTATGTAACATGAGATAAAAGGAGATAAAAATGACCTGTTCAACTAAAACTCTGCTGTCTCTGCGTCTGTTTTCACGACCAAATCCTGGCGGAGCTTTCTCCAAGGATGACCCGATGTTTATTCACGTTAGATTCCAAACTTTCCATTCAAGTTAATGTGTCAAAACTCTGAATGGACACAGTCTACTCCTTATACAGTTATGTGTCTGTCCTTATAGAGACAACTCATTAACTCGTTATCGCAGGATTGTATGTGAATTTGCAGGTTCTTGTGAGTTCTTGCGATTCCTGCTGTCCGAAATTCGCCTCACAAACGTATCCGGTTGAAATGGTCATACAGCGAAGATTTCTGCCGTTCCGCAGTGGTGGAAATTTGGGGTTAATCTGTCCTGATGTTGGACTTTGTAGATACAACAGAGAGTCAGGTCTGGATCATCTTGAGGTCAAATCTTCACAGAGCATGTTACAAACGCCACGTCTGCACTTCCTGACTCTGAACAGGAAGTCAGGATCCTCAGCCATGGCTCCTGTCCACCATCATCCACTGAAGCGTGTTTGTTTGATACCATGTGGCGTGTTGGCGTGTGTATACAAGCTCTCTCTACGTACGTGTGATTGTGTCTAATTCACTCCAGATGATGGAAGAGAGGAGGAGAAGGAGGAGGAGGAGGAGGAGGAGGAGGTCTGAAAGTATGAAGTGATGGAGAGCGAAGGAGTGACACAGTTTTAAGAGAGAGAGAGAGAGAGAGAGCGAGCATGTTAGCGAGGTTTCCATGCAGCCGGCCCGAACATCTGCAGCCGATTAGAGAGACACGACAACAGCTTCAGAGAGGAGGACCAGACCAGGAGGAGACTTTCCACGCACAGAACCATCAGAAATCAAACATCTGGATGACTCTCATACTGTCCTCACAAACGTACACACAGCTGGACGAGCAAACAGCTGTCAATCAAACCTCCAGATGGAGTTCTGCGTCCATTTTCACACCAATAAACCAGCAGGAGGGACTGCAACCTGCTACTGAGCAGCCACAAGTTTAAAGGACCATTACAACATTTTTAACCTCAAACTTTTGGACCAAAAACCAGGACTGGATCTTCAGGGCATCAAAAACAGACAAGACTCTGGAGTGGAGATCACAGCATGGACTCAGAATCACTTAAAAAACCATCGACTGTGAACAAAGGTTGGGCGGTATCCTCATTTTGATACCGTCTCCATATTTTACCACGACTGATTAAAAATGATGACTTAAGGCTGAGACAGCGTCACCAAACTGTTGGCTTGGGCCTACACCGTTCAGAAACTGAATACTGAACACTAATAATGAAACAATAACAACACGATGTGAACAATATTAACAACTTTGATGATTGATTAAATCAACCCGACCATCCAGGACTGTTTTTGCGCAGAATGCTTCTTGTAAAGAGACCGTTTCCTTCGCCGAGTATTTTGTCGCTGCATCAGTTCAGGTTTGCCAACAATGTAAGACCCCCTTTACTGTCGGCTGTGTTTAAGTGGCGGTGGACTTGGTTGTTGGTCCTGCGTCGGTATCAGTGCACTGAGTGATCTCGGGGACAAATGCGTCCTCACAGCAGTGAGCGGGTGACTGATTCAGAGATGTGTCCTTAGGTTAGAAGTGTTTCCATCTCTCGTGGTCGCCTTTTTATTGCTACTCTTTACTAATATTTATTAGTGTATTTCTAAAAAAAAGTACACTACTTTGCAGTTTTGTGGTACCGTTCAAGATTACCGTAATATATACCATACCATAAAAGCTCAGATACTCAGCTGTCTGTCAGTCTTGGAATTTTTCAGATTGAGCAAATTTTCAAGGAGTTACGGTATCGAGAAGCTGTGTAGCGTTCTGCGGCTACATCCTGTGTTTTGTAATGACTCCCTACCTCATATGGTTACGACCACCGTTGAAAATCCTATAAAGGTGCGTGAACACAACTCTCAGCTTTCAAACAACGTTGACATTTTTCTGATCGGACAAACTTTGACAGAGTTACAGTAATAATACTTCGGGCAAACAAGACAAAGCGCCGGCGCTGTGACGGTATTGGAAATGATTCTGTTACTTTTGAAAGACATCGCCGGTTTACCACCAGAGACTTCTCTGGACCTGAGGGGGACACTGTCCTCAGGTCTGATGGATCAAAGAACTGGAAATCATAGATGCTGCATCCTCAGTCTTAAACAACATCTCCAGGTTTAGGAGGAACATCTGCGTCCATCCAGACAAAGGACCTTCATAAGATCCCAAACCAGATTCTGACGACAGAGTCCTGAAAATGAAGAAATCCGTCCGTCCGTTTCCCACCTACCAACATCCGCCCTGGTCTTGGTCTTGGTCTTGGTCATGGAGTCCAAATGTAGACACACAATGACAGACATGCAGGTGACCTCCTTCCCTCCTCGCTGACAGTCTTTGTTGAAGATGTTGACCTTCTCGGGTTCAAAGGTCAGCTTAGCCTGGATCCGTACCACACCACGAGACCTGAAGGGAGGACATATCTCACAATCAGGGACGACTTTGACTTTTCACATCATGGAGAAGATAAACCTGATCTATAAGAGGACAGATGGTGTGTGTCTGTCTGTGTGTGTGCGCCTGACCAGATGATGACGGCAGCTCCCAGCGCTCCCACTGCAAGGTCAACCAGTCCATCTCCGTTAACGTCCAAAACGCCGTGAAGACTCTGACCGAAGTACTGCAGACCAGCCGAGAAACCGGCCGCAGACAGACGCTGGAGAGACGGAGAGAAACGTGAGCGACCTGGAGTGACCTCCGTTATTGACAGAGGTGAGGTCATTCTGAGGCGTGTGAATGTGTGACGTCACATGACCCTCGTACCTGATCGTGGTATGATCATGTAAGAGCTCACCTGTCTGTACTGCCGCTGGATACTTTTGTTCTGGCCGTGGAAAACATAAACCGCCCCCTGGTGGTCATCCTCCAGCGGCGCTCCCACCACCAGCTCTCTGAACCCGTCCCCGTTCATGTCAGGTATCTGGGCCAGAGCTGAACCCAGCCTGGAGTTCTGAGAGCGGTCGGAAACCTCCAGCACCCCCTGCAGGACGAGGGAAGTCTGCGGAGAGATTGGTCAGAGATGTTCCCGTTTAAGAACTTCCTCCGTCTGTGTGTGTTTGTGTGTTTTGTGTGTTTGTGTGTTTGTGTGTACCTGCGGAGTCACAGTGTAGATGTAAACCCTCCCTCTCTCCCAGCCCTGGCTGTAATACATGGGTGCTGCCACCAGGAGGACGTCTGTCAGTCCATCTTCATCCACGTCCATCGATAATAACTCACTGCCGAAATACGAGCCGATCTGAAGAAGAACACGGAACAGAAACAGGTCCAGTAGGTTCTGAGTGTTGGAGAGGATCCTGGTTCTGGTTTCAGATAAAGAAACTGAACGTGATGCTAGTTCAGGCAGGTCAGAAGATCAAGTCCAGACTAGAGAACATCTGCAGATCTAACTTCTTACATGTAGATGATTTTGGACCAAAAGTTCCTCATGGAGTCACTGTTTCATCACATCTTTATGAACACATGAAAAGCTGATCTATCTACACGTGTCTATGCGTGTGTCACCTGCTGATCTATCTACACGTGTCTATGCGTGTGTCACCTGCTCCCCCAGCAGTGCCTTCAGGATGTTCAGGTTCCCGCTGTTTTTCAGGGTGAAGAGGATGACCTTCCCGGTGTGGTTGAATCTCGGAGCTCCGGAGACGTAGAGCTGAGCGCCACGAGAGGAGATGAGTGAACCCACAGAGTATCCTGAGACAGAGAGAGAGACATCTACTCACTCTGTTTCTGATCCTGATAACAGCCCAGAGACCAAAGTCCGGGTTCAACACAGCTGACCTAAAACTCTGAAGAACCTCCTGATAGAGGAGGAACCAGAAGGAAACATCTGTTTGTTGTTCATGATTACCCAGGTAGGCTGCGTGGTTCTTCAGCTCCTCTGGAAACTCGTCTTTGTAGGATGATTTCGGAGGAACCACCTTCCCATGTTTGGTCTCTTTCAGCACAGCACCGTTCCAGTCATAGGCGCCCACGGCGCCGAGCAGAACGCCATCCTGCAGAGAGAGAGAGAGAGAGAGAGAGAGATACCACAAACAAAACCAGAGGATTATTGTTGTGATACGACACGTACCATCAGAGAACTCCTACAAACGGTCCACTGCCCCGTCTGACACCGACACCAACAGACTTCTGAGGGACTGAGCTGATTGTGGGGTCAGAAGAAGTTCGGCGTGGTTATACTCTGTTAGCTGAGGGGGGGTCAGGTGAGTTTGAGGAACAGTCACCTTCAATCTCCACCTTCATCCTGATCGTCTCCTAAAAGGTCGTATCCTCCGATCGTAGCTGATCGTAACTGAAACTCAGAGCTTCAGTGTTTTCAGGGTTTTCAATCATGGGTCACCTCTTCAGGTCGAAAAATCTGGATTTGGAGAAAATCCAGCAGACAGTATCTACAACAAAGACTCGACTCTTCTCAGTGACTCAGACTCGGACTTGATCACTGAGGATTTGACACTTGACCCGGTCTCGAGGTTTGGTGACTTGACTACAACCCTGCTGCACCAACAAAGGAACCCCTCAGGTCTCCAACCCAGAGTCTCTTTTTGGTTCCACCTTCAAAACTTAAACCCACAGAGGACTGATCTGCTCTCTAAAGTGGTTTTTATACGGAGAACACAGTTCCTGGTTCATCGTCTGCAGCTACGACTCCAGGACTCGCCCCCTTAATGCATGTCCACCTCTCTCTCTCTCTGTCTCTCTGTGTCTCTCTCTCTCTCTCTCTCCCTCTCTCTCTCTCTCTCTCTCTCTCTCTCTCTCTCTCTCTCTCTCTCTCTCTCTCTCTCTCTCTCTCTCTCTCTCTCTCTCTCTCTCTCTCTCTCTCTCTCTCTCTCTCTCTCTCTCTCTCTCTCTCTCTCTCTCTCTCTCTCTCTCTCTCTCTCTCTCCCTCTCTCTCTCTCTCTCTCTCTCTCTCTCTCTCTCTCTCTCTCTCTCTCTCTCTCTCTCTCTCTCTCTCTCTCTCTCTCCCTCTCCCTCCCTCTCCTCTCTCTCTCTCTCTCTCTCTCTCTCTCTCTCTCTCTCTCTCCTCTCTCCTCTCCTCTCTCTCTCTCTCTCTCTCTCTCTCTCTCTCTCTCTCTCTCTCTCTCTCTCTCTCTCTCTCTCTCTCTCTCTCTCTCTCTCTCTCTCTCTCTCTCTCTCTCTCTCTCTCTCTCTCTCTCTCTCTCTCTCTCTCTCTCTCTCTCTCTCTCTCTCTCTCTCTCTCTCTCTCTCTCTCTCTCTCTCTCTCTCTCTCTCTCTCTCTCTCTCTCTCTCCCTCTCTCTCTCTCTCTCTCTCTCTCTCTCTCTCTCTCTCTCTCTCTCTCTCTCTCTCTCTCTCTCTCTCTCTCTCTCTCTCTCTCTCTCTCTCTCTCTCTCTCTCTCTCTCTCTCTCTCTCTCTCTCTCTCTCTCCCTCTTTCTCTCTCTCTCTCTCTCTCTCTCTCTCCCTCTCCCTCTCTCTCTCACTCTCTCTCTCTCTCACTCTCTCTCTCTCTCTCTCTCTCTCTCTCTCTCTCTCTCTCTCTCTCTCTCTCTCTCTCTCTCTCTCTCTCTCTCTCTCTCTCTCTCTCTCTCTCTCTCCCTCTCTCTCTCTCTCCTCGGCTGTTTCTCCAATAAAGTAAAAAAAAATCTTTGAGTTAAAGTTGAAGAGACGGTCTTTTCTGTGGGAATCTTGTCCTGCGTCTCAGTTTCAGTCCTCGGTTTACTGTCATCGGTTATCCCGTCACCGAGGATCACGGAGGACAGGAAAGGTGAAGCTTGTTTTTGTCGTTTGTTTGAGAAATAAAGTTGGGCCTGCAGCAGCTTCTGAACCGTCATCAGACTCCGTTAAAACACATGTGAGACACTCATGAACTCTGGCAGTGATATAAAGGTTACTAAAGCTCTGAGTCACGGTCTCTGGAGGACAGTAAGTCCCGGGACACACTGAATGACCAAATCTTTGGCGGCAGGAGCGTCACAAACGCCTTCTGGACCTGCAGGCTCACAGTCAGATATCGATCCAGGAGGAGGAGGAGGAGGAGGAGGAGGAGGGAGCGCGCTCAGATCGTACTCTGACCGTCTGTTTTCCACATCAGACCTGATTTCATATTTTTACCTTTTAAACCTGAGGAGCAGGAAACACTTTACATATTTGTCTGTGGAGGTGACGGCGCGTGTGTGTGTGTGTGTGTGTGTGTGTGTGTGTGTGTGTGTGAGAGTGTTTTCTTGGCAGCTCGGCGTTCAGGAAAACCATCTGCTCTGAGTTACACATACAGAGTTTCCACGACAACATTTTCACTCCCTCACTCCGGCTGATGAGATTTTTCTCTGGATGAAAAACAACAGAAATATTTCCAGAAGCTTCTGCAGCTTCAGGAATCTGTCAGGATTAAAAAAGTCGGAGCAGCGCTGAGGACGATATCGACACCAGCGTCAGAGAGTTTCGTCTGATGTGGACTTTGTTTCTGTTGGACTGGAAATCATCAGAGTTAAAAAAAAAGAGCTTTTGTCTGCTGCTGGTCTCACTTACTGGAGAAATTGGTGGAAAATATCATTGTTTCCAAAAAGAAGCAGAAATTATGAGTATTTTCATCTGGAGCGGGTCGATTCTGGATAAAAACGCCAAATAATCCCTTTAAGAGTCCGGCCAGCGGAGCCGATTCTCCGGTTTGTTTTGGTTTTATTTATTTAAAGTGAAATCAGATTTTCAGACTTTCTGCACCGGATGACCCAAAAACCACCGAGAGGAACCACAAACAGAGGAGTCTGAGGGTTTTATTTATCATTATAACACGTCATGAACTAGACTGAATCTTTGAATCCCAGTTTAAAGAGATAAAAGTTAAAATCAGAGACTCACTCTGACTAAATGAGAGGAGAAACCAGCCTGAGCCATCTGCAGACCGAAGCCTCGACCCTGACTGCTGGTTCCTGGAAAACAGACACACAGAAATTCAGACTCCAGCGTCTCCGTCTGAAAGGATGAACTGTCGGGGGTTCAGCAGGTGGATCAGAGAAAATTAGAGGTTAGATCAAACAATCAACAATGGAGCACAAAGTGTTTCACACAGAAGAAGGAAATAAAAGAAACCAAGAATATCCAAATCTACCCCGACCCCTCATTCCCACCCCACCATCTTAACGCCACAGAAACAGGATTAACATGCATGAACGTAAAAAAAGCTCGATTTCATGGAAACGTCATTTTAAAACTCAGGATAAGAAAACACCGGAGGTTTAAAATCTAAAAACAAAGACACATAAAATGAAATTTAAGAAATGATAAATAAAATGAATTAAAAACGAACGTCCGACCTTCCAGAGAGAAAATCCGTTCTCCCAGAGCGTCCACGATGTCTTTGAGCGCCGACTCGTCCGTCACGTTGAAGAAGTGCTTCTCGTCCGGGTCGCTGGCGATGAACTTGATCTCCTTCAGGAAGGCTTCGGGGTTGATTCCTCGGCGGTTATAGTAACCTAACACCTGAGCGAGACACGGAGGAAACATCGGGTTAGAGTAGGAGGAGACAAGGCAAGGAAACAAGGACACTATGAAAGGGAAAGAAGTAAGGAAACAAGGACACTATGAAAGGGATACAAGGACACAAAGAGCAAAAGAAGGAGGGATACAAGGGCACATAGAGGAAAAGAAGGAAGGAGACAAGGAAACGAAGAGGACAAGAGGTAAGAAGATGAGGACACAAAGAGGAAAATAGGTTAGGATACAAGGACAGGAAGAGGAAAAGAGGTAAGGATACAAGGAAACGAAGAAGAAAAGAAGTAAAGATGCAAGGACACAAAGAGGAGAAGAAGTAAGGATACAAGGACACATAGAGGAGAAGTAAGGATACAAGGACACATAGAGGAGAAGTAAGGATACAAGGAAACGAAGAAGAAAAGAAGTTAAGATGCAAGGACACATAGAGGAGAAGTAAGGATACAAGGACACATAGAGGAGAAGTAAGGATACAAGGACACATAGAGGAGAAGTAAGGATACAAGGACACATAGAGGAGAAGTAAGGATACAAGGACACATACAGGGAAATAATTCAGGATACAAGGAAACGAAGAGGAGACATTGAAAGCAAATGAAGAGGTAAGGAAGTAAGGATACAAGGAAACGAAGAGGTGATGGCTCAAGACTTTAGATTTACGAGGCGGGTTCAGACGGAGGTTAGAGTCAGGTCGGGGGTCAAAGGTGAGGATGGGCAGACTCACAGCGATGGCGTACATGGTGATGTTGTCCTTCTCGCTGTCACCTACGGCCTCTAACAGCTGCGGACTGTCATGTGACTCTCCGTCTGTGATCACGATCATCACCTTCTGAGCTCCGGGTCGACCTCCACGTTTGAAGGCTTCAGACCTGTAATCAATAATAACGATTATTGATTATCACTATCATGATCAGACCGAGCTCGGCTGACTCAGACGGACCCCCTGCTGGTCTGAACGCGTCTCTCAGGTCTTACCTCGCCACGTTGATACCCAGAGCCGTCCTTGTCTCCTCCCCGCCGCGCTGATCGATGCTCCTGGCGGCCTCCACCACCTCCTCCACCGTCTGGTACTCTCCTAGACTGAACTCGTGGACCACCGTGGTGCCGTACTGGATTACACCCACCTGGATGGATGGATGAGAAACGGATGATGACATGAACGACGGATCAGGAGGAAAGACGAGGAGGTTTTCTCCTGGTTTGGTGAATATTTGATGTTTTTATTTTGAGGAGGATTATCTCGGGGTGAAACTCTGATATGGTAACGGCCACCGTCTGGACCAGCGTCTGGACCAGGACTTGACCAGAATCCCACAAGTTTCAAAGCCAAGAGCCCACAGACCGATCCTCGGCCTCCTCCGTTTGGATTCTGGAAAATTAACTTTTGGATTCTTGAGAGGCAGACGGTCGTGGATGGATCGGGAAGATGATCGAATTTCTCCTCAGGGATCAATAAAGTTCTCCTGATTCTATTTCATCTTAAAGTTCAGTAAGAGAAGCTCTGATTGGAGCAGACGTGCACACGCAGAGTTTGGCTGAGTTCACTGAAGCTCTGAAGTGGATCAGATCAGATATTTTTGGAGTAAACTTTTATTGTCCTCTCGTTGGTCTGACCGGCTGCAGACTCTCCGTGACGGCGTGCTCAGTGAGATGATTCGCCGTGGACTGACACACATCATCTCAGCGATGGACGTCTGCACGCTCTCTGAGCCGTTTCTGACGCTGGTGTCAACGTTCCCAGAAACAGAGACGCGTTTTTCCAGCTCAGAAATCTGGAGCGTGAACTCGTAAAGACCCGGCGTTTCCTTTTTCTAAACACCTCAAACTGTCAATCATGGGTCATGTGACCTGCTCCTGACCATAAACGCTAACGGGGACGTGACACTCAGGGTGAAGGCTTTATAAGGTCAAGAGGTCAGCTGCTGTAAATGGAGAGAAACGACAGAAGAAGACGACCGTGGTCCTGCTGAGAGGGGAGAGATAACTCCACTGACCACAAACCTGATCCAGAACCAACAGAAACCAGAGAAGGTCTGAGGTGAGAGCAGATATCTTCACAGTTTTCAGCAACGAGCCAAAGAATTCAGAGAATTTCCAACAATAAACAGACGAGTGAGAAGATCAGGACTGAAGATCCTCAGACTCTGAAAACTAACAGATGTTCTGAGAGCTGAACCGACCTGGGTCTGACCTGGGCCGATGTAGAACTTCTGAAGGATGTTGATGAGGAAGTCCTGGACCTCGTACCAGGGGTAGATGGAGTTAGAACCATCCAGAACGATCACAATGTCCATGAAGGTCTCACATCCTGCAACACCACAGAAATCCAGGAGAAGAGGGTTAGAGATGGAGGGATGAACAGGTGAATGAATGAATGAAGAACACTGGGAGAGGGATGGATGGATGGATGGATGAAAGCAAAGATGGATGGATGAATGGAAAGTGGAAGGATGGATAGATGGAGAATGGATGGATGAATGGATAGATGATGGATGAAGAATAGATGGATGGATGGATGGATGAATGAATGCAAAGATGGATGGATTATGGATAGATGGATGGATGGATGGATGAAGAATAAATGGATGCATGCATGGATTGATGGATGATGGATGAATGAATGCAAAAATGGATGGTAAATCAATGACTGGATGGATGGATGGATTATGGATGGATGAATGAATGTGAAGATGGATGAATTATGGATAGATGGATGGATGGATGGATGAAGAATAAATGGATGCATGCATGGATTGATGGATGATGGATGAATGAATGCAAAAATGGATGGATGGATGAATAATTGGAGCAATGGATGGATGAATGGATGGATGAATGGATGGATGGATGGATGGAAGGATGAATAGATGGAAGCAAAGATGAGTGGATTATGGATGGATGAATGAAAGATGGTTTGATGGATGGATAATTGGAGCAATGGATGGATGAATATATGCAAAGATGGATGGATGAATGGAGAATGGATGGATGGATGGAAGCAAAGATGGGTAGATAACAGATGGATGAATGAATGAATAACACTGAAAGGGATGATGGATGGATGAATGAATGCAAAGATGAATAGATGAATGGAAAATGGAAGGATGGATAGATGGAGAATGGATGGATGAATGGATAGATGATGGATGAAGAATAGATGGATGCATGGATGGATGGATGAATGAATGCAAAGATGGATGGTAAATCAATGACTGGATGGATGGATGGATTATGGATGGATGAATGAATGTGAAGATGGATGGATTATGGATAGATGGATGGATGGATGAAGTATAAATGGATGCATGCATGGATTGATGGATGATGGATGAATGAATGCAAAGATGGATGGATGGAAAGATGGTTGGATGATGGATGGATGCATGGATGGAGAATGAATGAATGCAAAGATGAATGGATGATGAATAGATAGATGATTGATGGATGCATGGGTGAATTGATGAGGGATAAATGGATGGAAAATGAATGAATGAATGCAAAGATGGATTGATGGATGATGGATGGATGAATGAATGCAAAGATGGATGGATGATGAATAGATAGATGATTGATGGATGCATGGGGGAATTGATGAGGGATAAATGGATGGAAAATGAATGAATGAATGCAAAGATGGTTGGATAGAAAGATGGTTGGATGGATAAATAGAGGAAGGATGTCTGAAGGATGGCGTCGTTAAAAGAATGAGTCAATTTCTCCACTTCTGGTGAATTCATTAATGAAAACATGAATTTTTCAGTGAATGGATGAAGATCTTGAGTTTAATGGAGGACAAACAGAAACATGCAGAGACAGACAGAGTGATGAATGAATGAGTAGGTGACAGAGTGAATGTGTTACTCTTCAGGGCTGGAGCGATGGTGTGGGACCGTCTGAAGTTCTTGCTGACTCTGGAGCAGATCCCGGTGCTGTACAGAGAACTTCCACACTCATGAGACCAGAGAGGACCGCAGGTCTGAGGACACACAACAGGGACAAGGATGGACTCAAGACCACCACAGACCTGAACAGACCCACCTGAGGACCAGACTGTTGGACTGATTCTGGGGTCAGACTCACCACAAAGCTGCCGTCTCTAGGGTTGGAGGTCAACGTCATTCCCAGACGCATCTTCTCTTTCCTCTCCGACACGTTGTCCAGAGAAAGTTCTCCTGATGGGAGAAAATCAACGTCATTATTTAACTTTATCAGATCTGAACACGAAGAGGACAGTCAGACATAGATCTGTTCACTCTGAGGGTAGATGTCCCTCCTGTTACTCTGAGAGGATCCTGACCGCAGTCTCTGCTCTGATCTAAGATCTGATGCTGGTTTCACTGAGGTCTCCTGATCTTCAAACACTCTCATGAACATCTACATGCTGTAGATCCCATCCTCACCCAGGTGGAGTCTGGAGCAGTTTGTGGACTTCCTGCTGTCCAGAGGACATCTGTACACGTCCCCGGTCTGCTGCTTCCCCGTGGAGTCGAAGGGCGCTCCGACCAGCAGCCTGGAAGGAAACACATGGAGGTTTATGAGCGGTTTGTCAGAGCGTGGTGTTCAGGTGGAGAGGGTTAGATGTTCTCTGAGCTCCATATCTGAACCTCTGTCCCCTGACATGTGAGTCCTCCTTTATTGACTCAGATTGTCTGTCCCCCAGCGTCTCTCCGCTCACAGCCGTAAACAGCAGCAGCAGCAGCAGCAGCAGCGTGGCGCCTCAGACAGCAGCTCTGTTCTGGGAAGACCTCTGACTCACAGACCAGAGGAGATGCCGTAGTAGAGCGCTAACCCTCAATCTGCTAACACGCCTCCGTCCACATCAAACACACACAGACAAACCACATCCTCTGATCCTCTGACATCACTCCATCATGAGGGCGGTTAAACCCCCGTACCTGCCGCCGCCGCCGCTCTAATGACCCCTTTGTTACCTAATAATCACTGATTTCCTGTGACGCCCCGCGGCGGTTTGAGCCTGTGGAGGAGCAAAACAAGATGAAGACGGAGCGAGACAAGATCACGTGTTCTGAGTTAGAGGATCGATAACAGTCTGCAGGTTTAATGTGTGAAAGAAAACACACAAACACACACAAACACACACAAACACACAAAAACACACAAACACACACAAACACACAAACACACACAAACAAACACACAAACACAAAAATACACAAAAACACACAAACACACAAACACACACAAACAAACACACAAACACAAAAACACACAAACACACAAACACACAAACACACACAAACACACAAACACACAAAAACACACAAACACACAAACACACAAAAACACACAAACACACAAACACACAAACACACAAAAACACACACACACACAAACACACAAATACACAAACACAAAAACACAAAAACACACACACACACAAACACACAAATACACAAACACACAAAAACACACAAACACACAAGAACACACAAAAACACACAAAAACACACAAACACACAAACACACACAAACACACAAAAACACACAAACACACAAACACACACAAACACACAAACACACAAACACACACAAAAACACACAAACACACAAACACACAAACACACACACACACAAACACAAAACAAACACAAAAACACACACAAACACACAAACACACAAACACACAAAAACACACACAAAAACACACAAACACACAAAAACACACAAACACACAAACACACACAAACACACAAAAACACACAAACACACAAACACACAAAAACACAAAAACACACAAACACACAAACACACACAAACACACAAACACACACAAAACACACAAACACACAAACACACAAACACACAAAAACACACAAACACACAAACACACAAACACACAAAAACACACAAAAACACACAAACACACAAAAACACACAAACACAAAAACACACAAACACACAAACACACAAAAACACCCAAACACACAAAAACACACAAACACACAAACACACAAAAACACACAAACACACAAATACACAAACACACAAAAACACACAAAAACACAAACACACAAAAACACACAAACACACAAACACACACAAACACACAAACACACAAAAACACACAAACACAAAAACACACAAACACACAAAAACACACAAACACACAAACACAAACACACACAAACACACAAACACAAAAACACACAAAAACACACAAACACACAAACACACAAACAGACAAAAAAACACAAACACACAAACACACAAACACACAAAAACACAAACACAAAAACACAAACACAAAAACACAAACACACAAACACACAAACACAAACACACACATAATTACCCCAGGAACAAACAATTTCAACCACATCCTGATCGTCTACGAAAAGGTCGTATCCTCCGATCGTAGCTGATCGGAGAACACTCTGTGTTTCAAACGGGCGGAGACGAACAAGTGAAAGGTTTTTAGACATCATTTCACCCCGATGACACCATGGATGAGGAGATGCTGATTCTAGAAGTCTAGAAGTAGATTTCCTCCTCTGGAAGGACACAATCTACTGCTTATATGTCTATGTGTCTGTCTATAGAGACAACTTGTTGATTGAACGTGAATCCACACCGTGAAATTCACCTCACTGACAGATCTGTTAGGAATCGGCGTATGGCGTACATCTCGGGTAAGAAGGCCGACAGGCTGCACTCACACTCCTCTGTCTCTAAACATGCAGCGCCGGAGATTTGACCCCAGAGGTCACCACAGGTCAACGGGTCTGACCTCCGACAGACACAAAAACATCCCTGACCAAACAAACACGCAGAGGTCGACACACGGAGGTCAGAGGAGTTTATTTACAGAGACACCAGAATCAGACCTGATGTTTTATCGTCTGTTTTTTAGTTTAAGTTTTTATTACTTAAAGAGGTCAAAGGTTCTTCTTATAGAGGAACAACCAATCAGGTCACAGCTGTTCACTCCTCAGGTGTTAAAGTCTCAGAGGTTTCTGAAGACAAAGATAACTCCATCAGTGTTGGTCTGTCTGCGCTCAGCAGCCAAACACCTGAAAGATTCATGTCACCATCAGGCCGTGCAGAAAAACAACTCTACAGAAACACACACACACACACACACACACACACACACACACACACACACACACACACACACACACACACACACACACACACACACACACACACACAGTGATGGGCTTCCCAGAGGGAGTCTGGGGAATAACAAACCGCAGCACATAGTTTCCAGATCCCCAGCTCTGCCTCGGGACGCAGGAGAAGACAAATACTTTCCACTCGCTTACCTGAGACTTCAAAGGCAGACAGATTTTGTAATCCTGGAAGAGCGAGCGGTATTTATCAGGACTGAAATGTTTCCAGATTGAAGAAATCTCCACAGAGGAGCAGGAACGCTGCTCAGCTCACCTGCAACCGCAGACAGACGGTAAAACGACGACAAGTAAACAGACGAGCGATCTCTGCAGGACGCTCCTCCAAACACTGAACAGACCAGGACAGAGGGGTCTCAGATAAGACCAGGACAGAGGGGTCTCAGATAAGACCAGGACGGAGGGGTCTCAGATAAGACCAGGACAGAGGGGTCTCAGATAAGACAAGGACAGAGGGGTCTCAGATAAGACCAGGACAGAGGGGCCCTGAAATAAGACCGGGACAGAGGGGTCTCAGATAACACAAGGACAGAGGGGTCTCAGATAAGACAAGGACAGAGGGGTCTCAGATAAGACCAGGACAGAGGGGTCCTAGATAAGACCAGGACAGAGGGGTCTCAGATAAGAACGGGACGGAGGGGTCCTAGATAAGACCAGGAGGAAGGGGTCTCAGATAAGACCAGGACAGAGGGGTCTCAGATAAGACCAGGAGGAAAGGGTTCAGATAAGACCAGGACGGAGGGGTCTCAGATAAGACCGGGACAGAGGGGTCTCAGATAAGACCAGGACAGAGGGGTCCTAGATAAGACCAGGAGGAAGGGGTCTCAGATAAGACCGGGACAGAGGGGTCTCAGATAAGACCGGGACAGAGGGGTCTCAGATAAGACCGGGACAGAGGGGTCTCAGATAAGACCAGGACGGAGGGGTCTCAGATAAGACCGGGACAGAGGGGTCTCAGATAAGACCGGGACAGAGGGGTCTCAGATAAGACCAGGACAGAGGGGTCTCAGATAAGACCGGGACAGAGGGGTCTCATATAAGACCAGGACAGAGGGGTCTCAGATAAGACCAGGACAGAGGGGTCTCAGATAAGACCGGGACAGAGGGGTCTCAAATAAGACCAGGACGGAGGGGTCTCAGATAAGACCAGGACAGAGGGGTCTCAGATAAGACCAGGACAGAGGGGTCTCAGATAAGACCAGGAGGAAGGGGTCTCAGATAAGACCAGGACAGAGGGGTCTCAGATAAGACCGGGACAGAGGGGTCTCAGCTAAGACCAGGACAGAGGGGTCTCAGATAAGACCGGGACAGAGGGGTCTCAGATAAGACCAGGACAGAGGGGTCTCAGATAAGACCAGGACAGAGGGGTCTCAGATAAGACCAGGACAGAGGGGTCTCGGATAAGACCAGGACAGAGGGGTCTCAGATAAGACCGGGACAGAGGGGTCTCAGATAAGACCAGGAGGAAGGGGTCTCAGATAAGACCAGGACAGAGGGGTCTCAGATAAGACCAGGACAGAGGGGTCTCAGATAAGACCAGGACGGAGGGGTCCTAGATAAGACCGGGACAGAGGGGTCCTAGATAAGACCGGGACAGAGGGGTCTCAGATAAGACCGGGACAGAGGGGTCTCAGATAAGACCGGGACAGAGGGGTCTCAGATAAGACCGGGACAGAGGGGTCTCAGATAAGACCAGGACAGAGGGGTCTCAGATAAGACCAGGAGGAAGGGGTCTCAGATAAGACCGGGACAGAGGGGTCCTAGATAAGACGGGGACAGAGGGGTCTCAGATAAGACCAGGACAGAGGGGTCCTAGATAAGACGGGGACAGAGGGGTCTCAGATAAGACCAGGACAGAGGGGTCTCAGATAAGACCGGCCAGCGTGTGCACATCTTAGGACATGAAGGTTTGTCTGGGTCTGTCTGAGGGGACAGGTGTCCATAAAACTCTGGACTTCAGTTGGTCTGGGTCGTGGATCTAAATCAGACCTGTTTCAGGGTTTGAGGTTGAAGGTCTGAGGACTGGCGGTCTGTGGACCATCAGACCAGGAGGCGCCTCAGGGTGGAAATGGTCCTGGGCGGCCCACTTGAAGACATCAGCCTCCTTATGTGGGACCCCCACTGACATGATCAGACCTGTGTCGCCCCAAACACGTTAAAGAGGGTTCAGGCAGGCGGTCTGAGTCCGTGTTCGTAAGAACAGGACATTTGATCATCCAGATCCTGATCCTGATCCTGATCCAGATCCAGACTTTTTTAGACGACCAGCCCGACTCTTGATCGGTGAATTTAACATCGAGTCGAAGGAAACCATCATTAAAGTTTCCTCTAAAAAGTCTCATGAACTCTGAACCCGAGTGATCGGACTCAGACTGTTAGAGTGGATTGATTTTATTAATCGGTGAACCTCAGGGGTCGACACCGGGTCCTGATTCATTTATAAATAACTGGAGAAATTTATGCAAAGATTCATTTTTAGGACTTTTTTTTTTTACTGTTTTTTTTTTACGATCATGTTAAGTTTTTATTGTTGAAGTCGTTTCTGTTAACGGTGATTAAACGTCTGTCATAAGTCTGCTGATGAATAGTTATATAGATTTACGGAGGTCCTTCTAACAGTTCATCCAGTTTTTCCACTAATCAGGGAATTAGTGTTTGACAGCAGTTGTCCAAGCAAGTGGACCCAGATAACCCAGTTTTCCATGAGGGAGGGGGGCCGACATAGACAACATGGGATCAATAATCCCCTCAGCGGACTCTGAGCCTGCCTTTCCCTGGATTTCCACCGCATCCGGAACGGCTCCGATCCAGAATGGTGGCGATATTCGCTGTACGCCAATTCCTACCAGATCTGTTTATGAGGCGAATTTCGTGGCGGATTACAGACAGAATTGCGAGAACTCACGTTCAATCACACGATATCGAGCTGTCTCTCTAAAGACAGACACATAGACATATAAGCAGTAGATTGTGTCCTTCCAGAGGAGGAAATCTACTTCTAGACTTCTAGAATCAGCATCTCCTCATCCATGGTGTCATCGGGGTGAAATGACGTCTAAAAACCTTTCACTTGTTCGTCTCCGCCCGTTTGCATGGTGTGAAATACGATCCTCCTGAAACACGAACTCTTGTGATCAGCTGAGGAGTCCGGCGACATGTTAACTTGAATGGTTACGATCAGCTACGATCGGAGGATACGACCTTTTAGGAGACCATCAGGATGAAGGTCGGGGGTCGGGGGTCAGTCTGCCTGAAGGTAGGCCACTAAAAGGGGGCGTCCAGGAGGCGGTTTTATCCAGTGTCTGAACCACGTTAACTGACCTCGATGTTTCCATCGGTTGTGTAAACAGTAACACCCCGACCTGCAGCCACACCTGACCCTGAATCTGTCAAACTGAGACTGTAGGGGGTCTCAAACCCGAGTCTTTAGGGTACCTGGTATAAACCGGGTGATACAGACTCCTCTGCTGATCACATTTCTATAACTGTTCAGAGTAAAAGATCTCCTCCTCAGTTTATCGTTTCAGCAGGAGGAGGAGGAGGAGGAGGAGGAGGCGGCTGGAGGTTCGAATGTGTCTGCTGAGGATCGGACAGCAGGAGAGAGCAGAAAAACACTGAGCAGACTGGTGCGGTGCCAAGGACAGGCTGTACAGGAACATGTGAGAACATGTGAAAACACCGGAGCCGTGCAGACATGTGATTAGATAGACTTCATGAGAGACCCTCTGAGAGACCTCCAAATAACAGTCTGTAGAAACGTTCCACTTATCAGACTCATCCTGACACGCTCCTGACGTCTGCCATGATTCACTGACCTTCAGCACGGCGAGGAGAGAGCGTGATCACCGACTGTCCTGGAAACATCTCCAGATCAGGGACTCTGGAGTTTGACGGGCTGCTGGGTCCAATAAATCCTAATGTTTTTATTTCTAAACAGACGGACAGACAGACGGACAGACAGTATTTATTCTGTCTTTACAGGGAGGTGGACAGACAGAGACGTTCAGCTCGCCCTGAGAAAACTGTGAACTCAGAAAGTAAGAGAGCTGAAGGTCCAGGTCTGACCCTGAGGCCCCAACATCAGGGACTCATCAGGTCAGTCAGTCAGCTTCTGGGTCACCACAAGACCTGGTTTAAGGAGTCCACTGAGGTGGAGACAGAACTTTAATCTGCTCTACTGGACTAACCCGTTTAAACCGGGACAGCGTGGATACGTCATTTTTAACCCTCTGTAGTTTTTCTATCATTTCTGGAGTCGTCTGCCTCTGATCGGCTAATAAAGATCAATAAAGTGATCAGATTCAGGCTCTGATCTTGATTCGTGCTTCGTGAGGAAAGTAAAGACTGACGGAGGCAGAGAGCAGCTTCAGAGGAGAAACATCCAGCCTTAGAGAAGGTCGAGATGTTCTCCCTCTCCTTCTCCTCCTTCTCCACCTGCTCCAGTGGAGCCACAACTCCTCCAGCACGACTAAGACTTTTCAGAGGAGAAGGTCTGCAGAGAGTCCACTTCTCCCTGAAACTGAGAGACCAGGTGGACCTCGAGTCTGTGTCTGTGAACAACCTCTTCATGTTGACGTCTTTGACTCAAACTATCAGTGATTTCTGTGAGTCTTCATGACTTTGGGTCCGGGTACGATACGAGAGCAGCTGTTTCACCACCTTCTGTTTCATATTTACATTTGGACACTTTATCACGACCAGAACCAGAACTCTGGTTTAGGTTCTGGTGGGTAGATACTGGACCGGGTTTCTCACCATTGGCGCCCTCCGGCCTCGTGCTGCTGGACTCTGTAGCCGAACTGGATTTCTTCAGGACCGGGGAAGATCTTGAAGTTCTTTGTGTCGAAGTTGAAGCAGAGCTGAAGATCTGAAAGAAGAAGAAGAAGAAGAAGAAGAAGGTTAAACCGGGACCAGAGGGACCATCACCGGGCTCAAGAACCCATCAGGACCTGGACCTGAACTTCTTAGAACCAGTATGACAGTAAACCCTTTGTGAAGACCTAAAGGGACATTTCACCGTTTTAAAGATCACTCTGACCTTTCACCTTTAGATCCATCCTCCGAAATTTGAGTTCAACTACGTCTAAAACTACACCAGTGAGCGACACCTTCAGGACTGTAGGAAATCAAAGATCTAAAACTCGTTAGAAAATGTTGTTTTTCCAGGTCCTGATGTTACAGGTCTGCAGGTCCTGATGTTACAGGTCTGCAGGTCCTGATGTTACAGGTCTGCAGGTCCTGATGTTACAGGTCTGCAGGTCCTGATGTTACAGGTCTGCAGGTCCTGATGTTACAGGTCTGCAGGTCCTGATTTTACAGGTCTGCAGGTCCTGATGTTACAGGTCCCGTCCTGGTTCATCTGACTGTTTTTGTTTGTTAAAGGTGTTGTAGTCAGGATCTGTATATCTTGAATGTAAACTCTACCCCTCCCAACCAGTTTTCCCCTCAGCTCCTCCTCTCCCCTCAAGCCCCGCCCACAAACAGACGCTCCTGCTCGCTCGTATCGTTCCAATTAAATTCAGATATAATGCAGATAAATACTTCAGATCATTACAAATGGGACAACAGCGCCCGTTATTCCTCCAGAGTCTCCGGTATTTACTTTGTTAAAGCGGTTTACCTGTCCAGCAGAAAGGTTACAGGGTCACCAAGATCCCCAAGCGTCCCCCATCGTTTATGTTGACCCGGCTTTTTAGCTCTTGTCCGGTCTACCTCCGTTTTAAGCGCCCGTTATTCCTCCAGAGTCTCCGGTATTTACTTTGTTTTCTTGCTTGTGTCGGCAGTCGTGGCCAAAGGAGGATTCAGACAATTTTCCGAACTTTCTGGTTGGTTTCTACTGTCCGATATTGTAGCACGCTAACTTTGTTTGGGCTCCTGAACGACACGGGGGAGCAGCATTTTCTTGTTGACTGTTTTCTTGCTGACTGTTTTCTTGTTGACTGTTTTCTTGTTGACTGTTTATAGTTGACTGTTTATGGTTGACTGTTTTCTTGTTGACTGTTTTTTTTTGCTGACTGTTTTCTTGTTGACTGTTTTCTTGTTGACTGATTATGGTTGACTGTTTTCTTGCTGACTGTTTTCCTGTTGACTGTTTTGGTGTTGACTGTTTATGGTTGACTGATTTCTTGTTGACTGTTTTCTTGTTGACTGTTTTCTTGCTGACTGTTTATGGTTGACTGTTTTCTTGTTGACTGTTTTCTTGCTGACTGTTTTCTTGTTGACTGTTTTCTTGTTGACTGTTTTCTTGTTGACTGTTTTCTTGTTGACCAGTTTGGTGTTGACTGGTTTGGTGTTGACTGTTTTCTTGCTGACTGTTTATGTTTGAGTGTTTTCTTGCTTGTGTCGGCAGTCGTGGCCAAAGGAGGATTCAGACAATTTTCCGAACTTTCTGGTTGGTTTCTACTGTCCGATATTGTAGCACGCTAACTTTGTTTAGGCTCCTGAACGACACGGGGGAGCAGCGTCCGCCTCACAACCAATCAGGTTAGAGGAGGTGGAGAACGGCTTTGTTTACAGTCAGAAAGAGCGGACCGCTCAAAAATGTTCAAATGTTGACGACACAGACATAAGAGAACACAGAGATATCGATATATTACCAAATAATCAATAACTAATAAATATTGACTGATATTAGAAGAGTTTTTGTGTTTCTTTAACAGGCTCATGATCCCAGAACTACTTCAGGTCCTCAGAAGTTGGACTGAGTCTCTGCAGGTTTGAGGGTCCAGACTCTCTGAGACCTTCTAAACTGTGTGGATTAAAGACCTGTTTTTAATGAGATCCTCTTTAGGCTCCTCCCCCCTGAGACTTTTGGCGAGGACAAACCCCTGTCAGGAGGAGTAGGTCAGTCCTGGTTCAGGATCAGCCATCATGTTGACCTCGTCTCTTTTCTAAACTTTGGATTTGTTCTCCAAGGATCTGTCCTGAACCAGACCGGAGGTGTAAAGACGGCAGAGCCTTCACCTCCTCTTTGTTAGTCTCTCCTCTCCTCCAGGAGGACGAGGAGGACGGCCTTGAAACGCCGCAGAGAAAGAAGTAAATGAAAATGACGTCATGTTTGATTTTTCCAGGACAGGAAAGTGAGAGCGGCCTGGAAGAGAGAGGAAGGGTGATTTCATCCTTTCATCAGGAGTCCAGCTCTAAATCTTTAACATCCGAATAAAAACAGAAGAAAAAAGAGGAAATAAATCATCGTCATGGAGGAGCGTGTTTCTGACATGAGATCAGACTCTTCAGGGTGGAAAAATCACACAGACTGATCCATCCTGAAGAGCTGCACTTCTGTGAGTGTCCACTAGAGGCTGTCTATCTGACTGAGCCTCCACACACGGACGTTTCTGCAGCTCCGGGTCAAAACTTCATACCAGCCTGTTACCTTTTGACCCCTCTGTGACCCTCTGTGAAGTATTTCCTCTGAGCGCGCCGCTGCGTGTCCTCCAGCTGTGTAAATGAGCGACGCACTCGGAAAAAACTCGGCGTGCCGCGGGTCTGTTCGCCAGCAGGCAGCCCAAAATAACGCCGGAGAAGAGGGGGATGATGGGTAATGGCCTCTGTCTTTCAGGTGGGTTTTTTATTCTCACAGCTGAGAGGAATCTGGTTCTGCTTCCAGGGACCGGCTGGATTTATAGCAGCTGTTGGATGGAGATGGAGGGGGACTTGGCGGAGACGGGATCCAGATCCAGGACCAAGTCTGAGAGTCTCCTCTCGCTGCCACTCCATGATGGGCCTGAAGATCTGGATGATCCTCTTTGGCTCTCCTGACACATTCTTCTGGGTTTTTACACAGAGGCTCCTCTCTGACTTCGGTGTGTGTTCATACGTAGGTGAATTTTCCAGATGGGCCTGAGCGGTTCTGATAATTCAAACCAGATCCAGATCCAGCTGCAGGCCCGGGATCATGGAGGAGAATATTTTTGTCGCAGGAGAAATGAAGTCGGAGATGTTTGAGCAGAAAGTTCAGACGTGACACCATGAATATAGCTCACAGTTTCTCAGGATCTAAACCGTGTTTCTCTACGGGATCAAAAGTGTTGAAAAGTTTACCCTTTAGTCGATCTATCGAGGGTTTCCAGACGTTTCTACACCCGCCACAAGGTTTACAATCCAGCCACAAATATAGGTGTTTGATCAGAGGGATCATATGAAGGTCGTCCCTGAAAAAGTCGTGTAGATGTTCCTCCTAAAGCTGCAGATCTTGTTTTAAACTGAGGATGCAGCATCTATGATTTCCAGTTCTTCATTGAAAGGACAACTGGACTTATTTGAGACGTTTCACCTCAAATAAGTCCAGTTGTCCTTTCCAAAAGGGTGTTAGATTTTGATTCATCAGACAAGTGATATTAACACTTCGAACTCCGCCGTCGATCCCACGTAACTCCATGAATATAGTTCACAGTTTCTCAGTAACTACACCGTGTTTCTCTACGGGATGAAAAGTGTTCAAAAATTTACCCTTTAGTCGATCTATCGAGGGTTTCCAGACATTTCTACACCTGCCACAAGGTTTACAATCCAGCCTCAAAAATAGGCGTGATAAAAAAAGATCACTATCTCTAAATGCCACTAATGTCCCCTGGGTTTGACGATCTGTTTTGATGACGTCTTTTTCTGTCAAACTTTCGACCAATTGCACGGTCTCATATTCTTCTCTAAAGATTCATAAACTGCACTTCCTCCCTCGGTCAAATAAATGCAGGTTTATTTTAACATCTGTTTGATCAGGTCTAAGCTCTTTGGCCCTCATCTTCTCCTGCAAAGATCAGGTCCAAGCTCTATAACGTTCATCTTCTCCTGCAAAGATCAGGTCCAAGCTCTTTAACTCTCATCTTCTCCTGCAAAGATCAGGTCTAAGCTCTTTGGCCCTCATCTTCTCCTGCAAAGATCAGGTCCAAGCTCTTTAACTCTCAGCTTCTATTGTTCCCTTGACGGTAGTGTCCAATAAGAGACATGAAAGTTCCCTGCTTGTCTGTAAAATCAGAAATAATGGTCCTCAATGTTTGGAAACAAGTAAAGAAGAGATTCTGAGCAGTCTGATGTGGTCCTCTGTCTCATCCCAGACAGGAACTGAAACGCCTGGAAGAATGAGTGTAAATATGTCAATAGTTTCTGTTGTGTGTTTGTTAGAATCCCAATATTTCTGCTCCTGATAGACTTGAGAGAATGATGTTCAGGTGAGAAAAGACTTGGTCACTGTAGATTTATGTTCTGTTGGGATCAGTTTCTGTTTTTGTTTCTTGGTCGACTTTGTTGGTTCTGAATCTACTGTCACATTAATTTAAACAGACGCAGCAGCTGAGAGGAGTCCAATCAGGTCAGAGATGGGAGGGACTTACTGTCACCGCCAAACGTCGTCTGTGTCACTTCCTCCAGGAGGCCGACAGACGTCTCTGCTGGATCTGCGTCATGATAACCCTGCACCTCCGTGACGGGCAGCACAGGTCAAAGGTCACAGCGGGTTCGGAGCAGATGTAGTGACCGTGCATGTCGTTATCATAGATCTGTAGAACCAGGTCCAAAACCAGGTTTTTCTGGTTCCTCTGTCCTCAGACCGACACGTGTCCTCCTGTCATTTTTCAGTCCTCGTCTGATTTTCTTCAGTTATATAAACTTCGACCCGACGGTTCTGTCCCTGATCAGAACTGCGTCGTCTTTGTTTCAGACCAAACAGAACCGTGGATGTCTGTGGTTACGGAGGAGCTCAGCTGGGACGGCGAGCTGGCAGCCAGAGACGTTTCTAATTCGGTTTCTGGAGTTTAATACGAGACAGATTAAAGACAGAGAGACACACACACACACACACACACACACACACACACACACACACACACACACACACACACAGACACACACACACACACACACACGTGTCTCCAGATGTGATTAACTCCACCTGTCTGAGACGTAAAGGAGGTCAAATCAAACACTCACTTGACTGATTTCCAATGATCATGTGGCAGCTGGTGTGACCGACCAGAACCAGAACCAGAACAACAACAACATGGCGTGTTGATCAGACACAAACAAAGATCTCAGCAGAAAAACAAACCCGGGTCCACTTTAGAAGATGTTCGCCATCAAAGAGACGCCCTCGACCACAACAACCACCTTCTTTTTATTAAACAGCTGTTAGATACTTGATCCTGATTGGTCAAAACCAGATATGAACTGTGACACTAAATTAAAACAGGAACCGCCTCTCTGATCTGAGCGCCGCCTGTCGACTCTGTGGCTAAAACCTCAGTGATGAAGAAGATCAGAGACTCTGTTCTTACAGGACGACACTGAAACAGACTTTTTAACGTCATAGACGATAACTGTCTTTAGGAGCAAACATGCGGGTCAGAGTGGTGGTCCTCTGCAGGGGTGGAGAGATGAAGAAGAAGCAGCTGATCGTGAGCCAGCTGATTTTATTAAAGGTTATAAAGTGATGTGTCGCTCTTGTCTCGACTTTCCTCGTTTTGACTGAAGGTCCGAGACGGTGAAGAAGTCGCCCGAGGAGAGGCTCAGTGAGGAGCTTCAGGCAGAGGTGGAGAAACATCCTGTCCTGCAATCTGTGCACCAGCAGCAGCAGCAGAGCTGGTGAGAGACTGAAACCACGACGACAGTGAGGACAGAAACGTCCTGCAGAAGTCCTGCTCACCTTATGGAGATCGTGGTTTTCATGAGCACCTGTTCAGGAAACGTCACCCTTTCCTGGTTTGTACTGAAACAAAATAAAGGTCCTTTCACATCATTTTTTTCGTGCGATTATTTCGGACGTCAATATTTTTTTTCGAACCCGTATCCTGTCAATACAAGCGTTCACATCAGCGACGTTTTCCCGTCCTGCGATATTAAGGCATTTATTTTTTTGGATCACGGTCGATTTTTCTGGAGTTTCTCATACTGTGTGTCCACTGCTCAACCAATCAGATTTCGTGTTGTTGCGACGTCTGATTCACCGGTATATCCAACATGGCCGACCGGCTGATTGTTTCTGTGTCGGAGAACAGAGTGATTTTTGATAAAAGACACAAACATTACAAAGATAACGACCTGAAGGACAACTTGTGGAGAGTCATAGCGTCGGATTTCTCATCTGACGATGGTTTGTGAGCTTTAACAGTTTGATAAACGTCTTTGTTTTAACTTTCATCTGTGCTAACGTAACTTAAGCTCATATGCAAACCTGTTCAGATACAACATACCATATGTATTTTCACTGTAGACTCAGTCACAGCGTTGCTTTCACAGCACCATCAGGTCTCGGTTGTTCCCTTACGTTTATGGATTATAGTTTAATGTGTTCATCTAGTACTGGCCCTGACCATAAACTGTATATAGAATACACTCTGAGAACAGCACCCTCTGGTGACTGGCTGCAGTATAGGTCCTAAACCCCGCCTCCTTATGGAGCTGTGGACAAACTTTCTAAATGAATGACACAGAATATAAATGTTTCTCCCCCTGGTTGTGATGTTGACATGTAGTTACTGTCAGACTGGTTTGTGCTCAAGTCCTCTTTTTTCTGTACAGCTCCATTTTTAAAAGTTATTAGGGGGTTCATGTTTTCTATGATTGACACCTGATACAGCCTATGGGAGGACAGAGATTGAGTAGATCACCGAAGGATACGCTGTTTGAGCCGAGTGTCATCACAGCCGAATGTGTACAATGCTACTGCGCAATGTTGGTTTCAGGAAATGAAGAAAAATCGCAGAATTACCGAGAACTTTTCGGCTTCAAATCCGTAAACTGGCGAGAGGCAGAACCAAGTTGTCCAGAGTTTATACAGTCTATGACTCAGACTCAGTACATGCTATCATGACAGACAGACATCTCAACACTGTCAGCCCCCCCCTCGAAAGTCGCAAAATCACATCAGGCTTGATGTTTATAGTCAGGCGCGTCAAAATTCACCTCTGAATATTTCATAATTTGGCGTCGTATATTTACGTCGGTCCCGGTGTGTGAGGACCTTCAGTGAGGCAGCAGCAGACCGTTTTTCTCTCGGAGGTTAAATTAGAGTTTTTTCCTCTGTAGTTTGGTGCTGGTGAAATAAATCCCTGCAGCTGTTAAAGCCTGTTTCACTGCTGCAGGACAGAAAAGTTGTACTTTGGTCGTTTGAAGTCATTTGAAGTCATTTGAAGTCATTTGAAGTCGTGTTGAACCTCAGGGGAACGTCGTCTGCTGTTTGAATAAATTTAAATAAAACATTGAAACTGAATTTCTTTTCTCTAAAGGAAGTGAGAGGACGGTTATTTAGGTAACAGCTGCTTTACTTCCTGCTCTGGTTTCGATGGTGAACTCTCAGTAACTCTGACTGTAAGAAAGACTCGTTCCTGTTTATAGAGTCGAACAGGAGCTCATAAACTTTATGATGATTCCTCTGAACAAAAACAGAGTTTCTGTTTTAGAGATCTGTGCAGACAAACAGAAACACACACACAGACAATGAGCTGCAGGTTTTCAGATGATGATGATGATGATGATGATGATGATGATGATGATGAGTGTTTCTGCAGCTGTCGGCTCTCAGACTGAACATGGACGTACGGAAGCCCGGAGAGACAAACGAGCTTCAGCTGTGCGCAGAATCAAAGTCAGATTTATTTCAGCAGGTTCACTCAGTCATGGTGGAGATTTCATAAATCCACCTTCTTCTTATATTTAGAGCAATATTTATGAACGTGTTAAAAATCTATTTTTGTCGTGAAATCATTATTCAAGGTGACAGCACTCTCAAATTTAAGGTTTATTATGATGAATTCAAGTTCAGTCTAAAATCTAAAAGTCAAAATGTTTAAATGTAAATTCAACAAATATTTAAGATAACAGTAAATATTAAAGGTTTAAAAACTTCATTTTTAAAGCTCCTGTAAGGAACTTTATGTCTGTGTCCACTCTGGCGCCCCCTCTGGACAAAAAAGATACCTCTTCCTCATGACTTTTGACGGTCAGTTTTATTATTTCATTAACAGTAAATCTAAAAAATAAACTCTAAATCAGTTTCCCTCTGTGTTGTTATGAATCTAAATGTTGAATTAAAAATTTTGTTTTCACTTTAAAAAGTTTTAAAATCTTTTATATTTTTATTTTTTAAACATTTTGAATTCTCTGAGGATCATCCGAGGGTCAGAGGTCAGATTTAATGATCAGTTGACATATTTTCTAAAACATCACCGCTCATTTTTGATCCTTTAAGTCTTTATTTTGCACCTGAACCCTCCCCACCTGAACCTCCCTCCCTCCCATCGCCATGGTAACAGGAGGCGTCCTATCAGCAGTTCTGATCTGGAGAGAGAGCGAGGACTCACCTGGCAGGAGGCTGCAGGTCCACAGCAGCAGCAGCAGATGAAGGTAATAATCCATGAGTGTGTGTGAGAGCGTCTGAGTGTGAGGAGCTGCTGAGCTGCTGAGGCTTTACTCTGATGAAGACGAGGAGGAGGAGGAGGAGGAGGGGCAGAGTGAACGCTCCTCCTCCTCCTCCTCCTGCCTCCTCACACACACACACACACAGATCTCTGCTCTGACTGGTCTGACTGGTATAATCAGTGAGGAGTTTTTTTCAATCGTCCTGTCATGAAATATTCTGTTCATTTTGTTTTTCACAGGTTTATAAATGTGTATAAAAGTGTGTTTTCAATTAGTGTTCCTGTTCCTGTTCCCCTGTAGTCCAGTCTCGTGAGTTTTCAGTCTGACCCGTATTCTCTCCTGTTCTCTCTGTTTTATTCTTTAGATCAGTTTTCAGTGTTAATTTTCTGTTTTATTTTATAGGAGTTCATTCCATCTTTTATTTTGTAGGAGTTGATTCCTTGTTTTTTTCCTTGTTTTATTTTGTAGGAGTTGATTCCTTGTTTTATTTTGTAGGAGTTGATTCCTTGTTTTTTTCCTTGTTTTATTTTGTAGGAGTTGATTCCTTGTCTTATTTTGTAGGAGTTGATTCCTTGTTTTATTTAGTAGTAGTTAATTCCTGTTTTATTTTGTAGGAGTTGATTCCTTGTCCTATTTTGTAGGAGTTGATTCCTTGTTTTATTTTGTAGGAGTTGATTCCTTGTTTTTTTCCTTGTTTTATTTTGTAGGAGTTGATTCCTTGTCTTATTTGTAGGAGTTGATTCCTTGTCTTATTTTGTAGGAGTTGATTCCTTGTTTTATTTTGTAGGAGTTGATTCCTTGTTTTTATCCTTGTTTTATTTTGTAGGAGTTGATTCCTTGTTTTTTTCCTTGTTTTATTTTGTAGGAGTTGATTCCTTGTTTTTTTCCTTGTTTTATTTTGTAGGAGTTGATTCCTTGTTTTATTTTGTAGGAGTTGATTCCTTGTTTTTTTCCTTGTTTTATTTTGTAGGAGTTGATTCCTTGTTTTATTTAGTAGTAGTTAATTCCTGTTTTATTTTGTAGGAGTTGATTCCTTGTCCTATTTTGTAGGAGATGATTCCTTGTTTTATTTTGTAGGAGTTGATTCCTTGTTTTTTTCCTTGTCTTATTTTGTAGGAGTTGATTCCTTGTCTTATTTTGTAGGAGTTGATTCCTTGTCTTATTTTGTAGGAGTTGATTCCTTGTTTTATTTTGTAGGAGTTGATTCCTTGTTTTTTCCTTGTTTTATTTTGTAGGAGTTGATTCCTTGTTTTATTTTGTAGGAGTTGATTCCTTGTTTTTTTCCTTGTTTTATTTTGTAGGAGTTGATTCCTTGTTTTTATCCTTGTTTTATTTTGTAGGAGTTGATTCCCTCTGTTTTTCCCTCCTTTGTTAATCTCTCGTCAGTCTCTCCTGTGTCTCGTTCACCTGTCTCTCTGTGTTTATCGTCTCTGTCTTTCCTTCTGTTCTTGTTGTTTGTTTGAAAACACGTCCAGAACTTGATTCTCAGTGTCTGAAGTCGACACAGTGAAGGATGAATCTGAGTGAAACACGTCTGACAGAGTTTATAAAGAATAAAAGAAGAAGCCTGAAGATCTTTGACAGACTGAACGTTCATTTAATCTCCAACTCAAAGCAGCGGTAAGAAAATGTTTCATGTTGTTGTTCAGATTCGTACAATAAAGACCAAATAAAGTTAATATATGATGTACTTTAGTGTTGCTCAGACGCCCTACACACCCGATTTTATACACTGGACTGTAAAAAAATCACTCAGCAGATGTTTGTGTTTGTGAGGAGTTCGTCAAAGTTTTATTTCTCTGAGTTTGTTGAGTTTCAGGAAATGAAAATCTATTTTTAGATGATTTCTTCTGTGGTTAAAATGAGATCAGGGAAGTTTCTTCTCTTGGCTGAGTTTTTCTCTGATTTATTTTGGACCTGCTCGTCTCCACCTCTCCATCCAAAGAGTCAAAGTGAAGAGTTTATTTGACAGTTTTTGTTTTTTGGAGTTTGACTAACTCGGGTTATAACTCTCAGCCCATTTCACAGTCACCAAACCTCTGAAAAAAAGGACACGCCTCTTTATTAACAGGTAAAAAGACAGAGAGTGTTCATCTGAGTTTATCTGAAGTTCTGTTTAGAAATGAAAAACATCATTTATACAGACATGGAGGCAACACTTTACAATAACCATCACTTATAAATGGTAATCAGATAGTTTATTAATTTATAATTTATATTTGGTCTATATGCTGTTTTTAAATGATGATTAAACATTAATAATCTATCTATTTACCATTTCTAAAATATAGTTATTGTATTTTGTTACTGACACGGACACAGACGGAGGTATTTATGTTTTTTCCTCCTGTTTTTATTGAACAAAATTACTTTAAAATTGGTGATTATCGGATGAGTTTGCATTTGATATAACAGCCTAATTCCCCAAAAACTGACCTGGTGGTTTGCAATTTTTTTTAATTTATAGTAAAACAGAAAAAAAGACAACAAATCAAATGTTATTTGATGTTTTTCTTAATTTGATAAAAGATATATTTTTTAAAAAGTTCTAACGAAGACAAAAAGGAAGAAAAGTTTTGTGAAAAAAAGAACTCTGGAGTGGAAATCACCGCAAACAAAGGACAACTGGACTTAGTCGAGACGTTTCGCCTTTCACCTGTTGTGATGATGTTGTCCCTGTTCCTGTCGTTGTTGTTGTTGTAGTCATTGTTGTTGTTGCTCTCGGTTTGTTGTGTAAATCCTCCTCTCATTAAACCGGTGCAGCAGGTCTTTCCTCTCCTGCCTCTGATCTTAATAAAGTGAAATGTCGTAAAACCAGGAAGGACGACTGCTCTCCTATAAACCTCGTCTGCTCGTCTCACAGAAAAAAAACTCCAATCAGGTTTTTATTCCTTGTTTTCTGATCTGAATCTGCAGGAAAACAGTCTTGAAACGTGTCAAGAGTTCATCTTTAAAAACACACAGACTAATGGTTCCTGTGTTTGGTGTTCTGAGGGGAGCTGGTCCGGTTTACGGGTACAGACGCTGGTTAACTGTTCCCACATGGTCCGGTTATCCTGGCCCGGGGAGACTTCCAGCAGGGCAGACTGACGCTGTAAAAGGGCTTTTCCACGGCACGTAGACTGCAGGTTTACTCCACATACCGTCCTTACAAGCAGAAAAATTAACATTCCTCAACTCAAAGAAGGGCTTCCCGCCACAGCGAAGCACCTGGAGGCTGGGAAAAACTCAGTCCACCAGGTCCACCGTGGACCAGAACCTAAAGTCTATCTGTTGGTTCTTCTTAAAGGTGGGGTTGGCAGGAGTCCGTTAAAGAAGCGTCTTTATTTGTGGTGTATTTACAGAAATATTTCAAGAGGACATCATTAAGGGTTTTATAAACTCGACAGAAAACCACGTTGTGAACCCGTCCGCCAAATACTGAGGTGACTTTTCAACCTGTCAGGGATCTTCGTTTTTCTACAATTTTGGCCAAAATCAGACGATCCGGGAGAAAAAGACTGTCAGATAAAAACTGGACGACCTTTTTGGATACAGGGGGGTCACAAAGACCTGGTCCTCTATCAGAACTTTGGACCTGTTCGGTTGTTCCTCCATCAGAACTTTTTTAAACATGAACACAGAACTGTTGTTGTTAAACAGGACACACACACACACACACACTCCTACAGTCTCTCCTCCTGTAGAGCCTCAGTTAGTTTATATTTACTGCCCCCTGGTGGAGAAGAGACAGTTTGACTTTTACAAAGATCTCACCTTTGCCTTTTTAAAATACTGTCTTGTGTCTCCTTGTAATTACTGACAGATGATTCAACATGAGAAATACCTGCTAAAGTGCTGCTGAGTCTCTGAATCAGTCACATAGAGGCGTCTCTGGATCTTTAAAGTCACTGGAGTCATTTTGGTAAAATAAGAGACGAAGAAAAACAAACAAGTCTTCATCAAACTGGTGCAACATGGTATGTTTTTTTATTTGAAGACTAAATCTGTGTTTAAGAAAACAGCATCCAAGTTTTTTTCCAAACTCAATGTGTCCACGTTAATGATGGAAAATAACAAACAGCTGCTTTAAAAAAAAAAAAATCATTTTATTAGATTAAAATCTGAAAAACTACAGAGTAGACACAAAAGCTCCTTAAACACTCACAGCATGATTCACCTGTAAGGATGGAAAGATTCAAGGCAGAGAGGTTTGATAAGTCAGTGAAGCAGCGAGGAGGAAACGCCTGAATTTAAAAAGCTGCAGTACCTCAAACATCCACTGGAGGGTGTGTCCAAAAGTGAGCCGATCCCCATAGAGCCCCAAAGTCAAACATCACCCATAAATGTAAAAGTCCAGAAAACACTGAACAGTCAGTAAAAAGTTGAAAACCTGTTTTTGACGTCTGGAACCTCGACTGTTTTTGTTTAAATTAACTCAAAGTTTGTTTTTATGGAACATGAACCAGATCTGAGGAGGATTTCAGGTTCAGGATTCTCTGTCCGCCTCCTCAGTCGTGTCGGTCCTGTCGGTGTCGATGTTACTGCTGCTCGTCGATCGCTCGCCGCCGCCGCCGTCCACAGCTGCAAACTTCACCTTCCTGTTGGACCTCTGCGGACACAAACACGCAGGAGTTCCTCGAGTCTCTATGAACGGATCAGCAGCTTCTGTTTTCACCTGATGACTCACCTGTTTCTGAGCGAGTCCTCGGGGGTACCTGGAGATATCGTCCCGCCGTCGCTCCGCCCTCTCCCAGTCATCCAACCACAGCTGGCGGCGGTACTCCGACTGACGCGCCGTGATTCGTTGGTAGATGGCCTGATTCTGATGGCCAACCAGCATAAGCTCCTCCCTCCTTTTGTCGGCGTTCAAACTGAAGAGAAGGACGAGAGGTCCATCAGTCTGTTTAGTTTTCTTGTTTGAAACCTGCACATGAATCCAGATTTTCTTCTTCGTTTCACATTTTAACAGTTCTACAAATGAAGTCTGACTGATATTGATCGAACACTTTCAACCTACAGAAGCTACAGAGTGACGAACTTTTATGGAGAGACCATCTCTCTGATCTAATTTCTCCATCATCTCCTGAGTAAAGAGAGATTCTCAGGATTTCAAAGACACCTTCAGTACCAAATATCGTCTTAAAGGGACATTCTTAATTAATTTAGGGTCAAACACGCCGTAACACCGAGTTAGACCCCGCCCCTCCAGAGATGAATGTTGTCGACCGCTTACTTCTCTAGTTATACCAACTTTAGTAACGACCGCAGGATAGTAATACAGAGAGGTCTGAGGAGCCATAAACAAACCTCAACTTAAAGCGTTTCTCCACTTCTGTAGTCTATAAGCTGGGCCAATAAACTTCTACTGCAGTAAAATGAAAAGGTAAAGGTGTTTTTATTGAGCCGAATTATCAATAAAATCATGATTTTGTTAACAGGTATGGATTTATGTGCTGTCGAGTTAATATATTTGAAAAAGAGCACAGTAAAGTTAAATCAGCTAATTTTCCAATGAGGTTCTGTTACTGAACGGAACTACACCATGATCTACTAAGGTTAGTACATATAGGGTCACAGCCATAGTACTAGACAACAAACATCTTTTTAACTTTGACTCATTTCTTTAGCAAAGAGACTAAACACAACTCACCTACTCTCTTCCAGCAGACGCTTGTTCGTTACTAAAGTTGGTATAACTAGAGAAGCAACATTCATCTCTGGAGGGGGGGTCTAACTCGGTGTTACGGTGGGTTTGACTCTAAATTAATTTTACTCCAGAATATCCCTTTAATCAGGCTACTTAAAACGTAAACAATCCAGCCAATCAACATGACCCTTACTTATTTTCTCGTTATCTTTCATTTGTAAGAAATCTGAAGACCCGGTCCAGTTTGATGACTTTGGATCATCGAAACTTTGTTGTCGTGACGATGACCTGAAGACAAAGTTTTCTGAAAGTTTCATGACTCTAATTTAAAGAACAAAGATTCATCAGTCTAGAAATCCCAGACCACCACCCCCCCCACACACACACACAGACGGATCAATAATTCAGCCCCGTAACCGAGCAGGACCGCTCACATCCATTATTTAAAGAGAGTCCAACAGGAGCTCCTGAGTCCTCATGGTCGTGTTAACGAGCTCTGAGGGAGGAGGAGGAGGAGGAAGGACAAACAGAGAGGTCTGTGTGTGGTCAGGGTCTCACCTCTTCAGGTGGTACTGGTTTCTGTGGTCCACCAGACCCTGAGAACGGACGATAGAGGCCAGTCTGGAGGCCAGGAGGCGGTTATCTCTGTGGATGATGGACAGACGCTCGTCCTGCAGCTGGATCAGAGACAGAGACGGACTGAGGGACGGACTGAGGGACAGAGTTCACTTCAGGAACCAGAATGAAGATCAGACACTGACCTGGAGTTTCTTCAGTTTGAGCTGGACGTGAGCAGGTGTCTTCATCCCTTTGGTGTCCACTAACGGCAGGGCAGTGCTCACCTGGACAGGTAAACACGGACACAGTGTGGAAGTGAGCAAAGCAAAGACAGAATGAAACCCTGACCCAGTGGTCTCTGTGACGTCCCCCTCATAAGCCCAGAGGACGGGGGGCCAACATGTTGGAAACTCAAACTGCACTTTCTTCTGATTTTATATGTTTATATATAAAATTAATCTATTAGTGGATGATGTGGTTCTTCTAACTTCGTCGAGCAGTGACCTTCAGCTCTTGCTGGGGCGGTTCAAGTGTGAAACGGCTGGGATGCGAATCAGCACCTCCAAGTCCGAGGTCATGGTCCTCAGTCTGAAAAAGGTGGATTGTCTCCTCCAGGTCGGAGGGGAGGTCCTGCCTCAAGGGAAGGAGTTCAAGTATCTCGGGATCTTGCCGATCCTCACCTATGGTCATGAACTTTGGGTAATGAGCGAAAGAACAAGATCGCAGATACAAGCGGCTGAAATGGGTTTCCTCCTCAGGGTGTCCGGGCTCAGCCTTAGAGATAGGGTAAGGAGCTCGGACACTCGGGAGGAGCTCAGAGGAGAACCGCTGCTCCTCCACGTCCAGAGGAGTCAGCTCCAGTAGACTCAGCTGTTATATAAATGAATATGACACGGTGAACAAACACTGGAATAAAAAGGATAATACATCATTCTGGAGGATTTAGAGACCAAGTCAACTCCTGGTCCTTCCACCTTGGTCCACTTTCTTCCATCTCTCTTTGGACCAGTTCTGATGTTCTGTACCAGGAGTTTGACTCAGCATGGACACCCTGACACACGGGTCAGCCTCCAGGCCTCACATGAGTCCAGAGGTTCTGTTGTTGGTTCACTGGGTTTCTCTACGTGAAGACACACGATCCTCAGACTCAGTGGACAGTTTGGTCTTCGTTAAAGTCGATCACACGTCCCGCCCATCACATCATATCTAAGTCTAGTCTTCAGCCTGACAAACCAGAACCAGTACCTGTCTGTAAAGACCTCAGACCCCCCCCTCACCTTCCTGCGGTGGTTGTCGAAGTCGTTCTGGTCCCATCTCTGCTGCAGGAAGCGGTTGGTGACGGGTTTCAGCGGCTGGTACGACCTGTGCATGATGATTCTGCTGCTGCTCTGCCTCCAACACCGACCTGCTCACCGTCTATCAGTCCGACCGGGCAGGAAGTCTCTGTGTTTGTGTTCAGTCCTGGGGGGTCATCGCCATGGAGATGTACCCCTCTTCATCTCAATGCAGCAGATAGAGTTTCTATTAATTGTTAATGAGCTGAGGAGGCGTTCACACACTCACACACACCGATCTTCATCCAACTGCAGCACCGACACTCTTCATCAGTTTCTCTTTAATAATCAGACGACTGAATATTCAGATGAAGGTTTTTAAAAATCTGTGAAACATGTCGGTTAAACACAGATTTTAATTGTTTTAAAACTCAAACCCTCTGGAGGAACATCTCTGACCAATGAGGCGACAAACCTGTCAGACAGGTTAGTCACATGACTGCGTCGAAAAATGACTTTCAGAGAGGCGGAGAATCTTAGACGGAAAGAGGGAAGAGGTTCACCACACAAGGACCAAAACAAGGACTGGATGGTCCAGAGACAGGACTCTGGAGAGGAAATCACCGCAGTCCAATTGTCCTTTCAACAAAGAATTAGAAATCATAGATGCTGCATCCTCGGAATCATCTCAACTAAGTCCAGTTGCCCCTTTATCGAAGAACTGGACATCATAGATTCTGCATCCTCAGTGATGTCTCTAGTAAGTCCAGCTGTCCTTTCAATGAAGAACTGGAATTCATAGATGCTGTATCCTCAGAAACATCTATATAGTCCAATTGTCCTTGGAACAAAGAATTGGAAATCATAGATGCTGTTTCCTTTAGCGACGTCTACAACTAAGTACAGTTGTCCTTTCAACGAAGAGTTGGAAATCATAGATGCTGCATCCTCAGCAATGTCTCTAGTAAGTCCAGCTGTCCCTTCAACAAAGAGTTGATCATAGATGCTGTTTCCTTTAGAAACGTCTCAAGTAGGGCAAGCTGTCCTTTCAACGAAGAACTGGAAATCATAGATGCTGCATCCTCAGAAATGTCTATATACTCAAATTGTCCTTTTAACAAAGAACTGGAAATGATAGATGCTGTTTCCTTTAGAAATGTCTCAAGTTAGTCCACTCTTCCTTTCAATGAAGAACTGGACATCATAGATGCTCCATCCTCAGAAACACTCTATAGTCCAGTTGCCCCTTCATCGTAGAATTGGAAATCATAGATTCTGCGTCCTCAGAAATGTCTTAAGTAAGTCCACGCTTCGTTTCAACGAAGAACTGGAAATCATAGAAGCTGCATTCTTAGTTTTAAAGAGTAGAAGAAGAGATAAGAAGTGGACCTCGCCAAATTAAAGTCATCTTTTTTTTCTATGACTCCTTGTGAAGCGATAAGTTGGTCATTCTGGTGATCATCAGAACTTTAATCTAACAGGAGAGTGGAGCTGATCGGATCAGGAAATAAAACTTTTATCGACTGTTTTATCTTCACTGTACTTCATTTTAAGCACCATGCCCCGGAGTAGACACCACAAGAAGGACAAAACCCAAAGTCAAAGTCGTAAAGTCTGCGCTCATCCATAAAGATGAAAACCTCTGCTTGTATCAGAGACTTCAGGGAAAACCCCGAACTTTCCCCGTGAAATTCAGAGTCGTAAATATGTCGAACAGGAAGCTAAGATTAGCTCCACACTGACTCCAGCTGTGTCCGTTAAACAGAGAGAGGGTCCCATTCAAAGTCTGACCAGAGTTAATGCACTTTTCTGACAAGTCATGATATGATGTATGCAGACGACTCCGTTCCCCCTCGAAGGAGAAGTCCGGAGGCCTCATGCAGACTCATGTAGACGGAGGAAGGCGCTCAAAATAAAGAAGAAGTCATCAGCTCATCTCTGACACGTCGTTTTCTGAGTCTGACTGTATCTAGAAGAAGTTCTCGTTCAGCTCTGAGTGTTGAATCGTCTCCGAATCAAACAAACGACAAGAATATCAAATCGTCTGTTCGACTCCGTCTGCAGACGCTCCTCTGAATGCTGATGAAACCGGACGCCAGAGGCAGATTTCAAAGAACAGTTCAACATGCTGCTCAACAATTCAGGACACCATGTCCTCTGATTTCAGCTGAGAGCGTGTGTGTGTGTGTGTGTGTGTGTGTGTGTGTGTGTGTGTGTGTGTGTGTGTGTAATTGTGCATGTTTTGCCTCTGAGTGGGTGTGTGTTTTCTCCTCTCGCTGTGATGAAAAGCCGCGGGGAATCCATTTATTGTGAAGTCTGCTTGTTATTCTCTTCAGCGCAGAGAGCGGCTCAGGAGTGGAGGATGAAGACGGAGGTTATATTGATTATTTTGTGTCTTGATTATCTTTTATGGATGGAGTCTGATGGTTTCCAGCTGCAGAGATGTTGAGGGTTAGAGATGGAGTGTGATTTGATCTCTGCTCCTCTGTCTTCATCCTGACAGGCTGTCACTCTAAATCACTCCGCTAACATAATCCTGACTGAGTCACGCTCTCATTTCAGGTGGCGGGCGATTACCTTGTCAATCAAGTCTTCCCACACAAAACGTTTGATGGAAACTCATCCTGTTAGAGACCGCTCTTCACACCGACACTTCAGAGTCCTCCGCTGAGACAGAGTCCAGCATGTAGAGATCTGGAAACTGATCACAGGAAAATCTCCAGGGTTGATTTCTGGAGTCAGTCCAGTATAGCTACTGCATCCTGCCAAATAACCAACAGGGGGCGACTCCACGGGTGCAACAAAGAGTCTGAATGTTGTAATTTAATCCTGACTGCTGTGTTCAGTAAAATACCTGATCTCATTGGCAAAAATAACAATACAATGGATAACAATCCATTCAGCGTCTACTGGTTATCTGGAGTCGGGTCATGGGGGGAGTCCAGACGTCCAGCTCTTACTGGGGGACCCTGAGGCATTCCCAGACCAGCTGAGAGTCAAAGTCTCTCCAGTGTGTCCCGGGTCCTCCCTGTGCTCTCCTAACATGAAGACCTCACCAGCGAGGAGTTCTGGAGGAATCCTGGTTCGATACCCAAACCAGCTCATCTGACTCCTCTTAAAGGCATGCTTGACAATTTTAGAGGTTGTTAATCATTATGAACCTCGTTTCTATGGCGATCATGGTCCTATAGTGCGATCTCCACAAAGTGAAGAGAAAAAAGATCGGAAAAAAATCTGTTTATCGCTGCAAAAACATTGACCGATGGGAGCCGTCTGTCCCGGACAGCTCCTATTGGTCAATCTCCTGCTCTGCCTCTCCATCCAATCACCTCGCTGTATTCAACACACCCCTCTCCCGCAGTTCCGACTCGTCCCCCTCCCATGGAGCTCTGAGCTCTGACTAAAAGTAGCGTAGCAGCTTAGCTACAGGAGCTGTGATGGAGAAGGACGCAAAATAAAAAAAACACTTCTGCTGCTCGCCAAAAGTGGGAAGAAAACGCAGACAGAAGAAAGGGCGGAGTCAAAGAGGACATGTGACCAAGTGAGGAATCTAAGGCTGTGTTCACACTGCAGGTCAATTCTGATTTTTTTAACCATCTGTGACTCATATCTGATTTTTTCATCTAAGCGTGAACAGGTCAATTCTGATTGGTTCTAATCCGACCCAGGCCTCTTTTGTACGTGGATTTAAATCAAAGCTCGATCTTCTTCTTTGGAACCACCATCAGCTGGATCACTACCTGAAGATCTGAAGTGAGACGGCTCATCTGGTGTCAAAACTTCACCACTGTAACCCGGGTCCAGACCCAGGGTGAGGCAGAGGGCTTTAAAGAGCTTTGAGAGTCATCAGTGAAATTTCAGAAGCAATCCCAAAATGCACCGGGAGCCAGCAGAGGGAGGCGAGGACAGGAGTGATGGGACATTATCTTTTAAAACCGAAAACACATCACTGATATTAAACGACACAGTTTTGGGCAACTGACAATATGCTTTGAGAAAAACAACAGACATCACAAAATAGGTCATGTATTTACCACAAAGAATATTTAAAAGACCACACAACCATGACAAATATCACAGTACAAAGAAATAAATGTACAAAGATATCATGTCAATCTTATAGTTCGACTGTTCACGTGCCATATGCACCTATTTTACAGACTTGTTTTAATGTGATGCCGTCTTTTCTCTTTTATCACTTTTACCTCTATATTATCTTGGCTTATTGTCTTTTTACCCTTTGTTTTATCATTATTATTATTATTATTATTATTATTATTATTATTATTATTATTATTATTATTATTATTATTATTATTATAGTGTGAATCTAAAGCGACGCCCATTCGTGTGACTTTTATCCACTGAATCCAGATCCACTGTGACGATGATCCAGTAAACCCAGTTCAGGTCCATGGAATCCGTTGATCCAGTGTCCGTGTTTTGGCTGTATTGTAACCTAACAGCCATTTAGCCTCACTGAGCTGTTTGTCTGTCTGTTGCTGTCTGCGTGTCGGTTAACCGGGATAACGCCGAACTGGAAACTCTGGGAATATCACACCCGGTCATGGAATACCTGGAAGTAGTGTTACTTTTATCCGGGAATCGGCAGTGACTCCAAAATGTCGGTATTTTCCGTTGTTTTCCCGTTTTCTCCGGGATGTGACCGTGTGATGGCTGCGGTCCAGTGAGCTGGGAGCACGTTGACTGACTGACTGCTCTGCCTGTTCGAGCCCCAGTTTGTTGGACCTTTTTTTGCTCTTTTAACTGGAATAACTGGACCTTATGGAGTGCACATGAACATTTACTGGACAGGGATCACACACGGGGTGAGTAAACACACCTGGGCAGGATATGTCGTTGGGATTCGGATCCACTTTTTTAGAAACGCGGGCTAGCCTTGTAGCAGTCCCGGGGTTAGCCTAGCAGGCTAGCTCCTGTCTTTGTCTGAGGGGACCGGGGAGCTAAGGAGCGTGCGTCCATTTTCGGACACGTCCCCGTCTGACCCGCTTGTTTCTTTCTGTCAGAAACGGCCGAACCGCTTTATTAAAATCTATTTTAAGCATCCGAACTGAACGGCTTCACTGCCAATGAGGCGCACAGATCCGTTCTGAAGAAGCCCCCACACAGCGACAGTCTGGTGTTTGTTAAACCGACCGTTAAAACAGACAGTTAAAGAAGAATCATCATCAATCTAATCAATAGGACATGATCCGGACTTGGAGTCTTAAGATATGTGTAATTCTGTATGTAACAGTCTTGATGGGAACTACAGGTAAAACAATAAGATGCTTACATTGAGCAAAAATGTCAACCCTTGTCCGATAATGGACGCACAGCTCTGACAGGGAGTCTGAAAGCGCCGCATCGGTAATTGTCCATCACACGACAAATAGGACGTTAGGTCAACAGTTATATAAACCATCGGTGCAGTGTTGTAACATACTGTTTCATTTGGGTTACAAATATGAAACGTGGTGTCAAAATTACTGTAGGTCTTATCTATTAACGGCTTTTCCCTGTGAACTAACGCAGAACACAGAAATCCAGCCGCTTAGGCTAAACGGCTCACTGTCCGATAATGGACCTCGTTAGCTTTGTAGCGGGCCACAGAGGGCCGCGAACTAGTTGCACAAGTTTAGCCAAAAATATTTCATCATATACAGTTAGAATGTTTGTTAAATAGTTAGGTCTGTTATGTAAGTAGTTTGTTTAATGATAGCCATTGTAAAACGTTTTCAGTGTGTGTTAGCTTCGTGCTACAGAGCAGCAGGGTCGAAGGGTTAGCACAGCTAGGTAGCTAGCCTAACTGTAAAGTCAGCTAATGTAGTTTGATAGCAGCGTTTAGAGGCTCGTTGGGGTTTTACAAACGGTTTCTTTCTTTACTGTTGCAAATATGTAGTTAATACATTGAGTACAGGAAAGGATTACAGTAGTTTGACAAAGACAAGCGTCCATAGAGAAGCTAACGAAGCTAACGTTAACGTTAGCTGTTTGATATGAAAGCGTCCTGAGCTGGGTTATCAGGTTCACTCTGCTTTAGACATCAAAGTTAGTTATTCTCTTTAGAAGACTTTCAGTAAGTGTGAGGTCTGTGTGTGAGCAAGAATCTGCCAGAGGACTATGATATGATATTTTCAGTATAAAGGGGTAGTTCAGTCAGAGCAATGTACTCTGATTTTTTCCCAAAATAGCTCAATTATGGAATATAACACACAGAAAATACTCAATTTTACATTCGTGTAAATACATTTTGTTTATATGAATTGACTCTGAACAGGTTGACCTGCATTTGCAGTTCATCCTTTTTGCACTAATGATAAACAGCTTTATGATTGAAAACTCTATGGCTGTTTCCAACATGAATCACTCAACCCCTAACACCCATATGGAGTTTTGCTATATAGCTGACTTAGGGCTGGGCGATAAAACAATAACAATATATATTGAAAATGAATTTCCCTCAATATCAATATAAAACATGGTCAATATGCTTTTCGATTGTCTGCATCCTGCCATGTTCTGGTAAATTATACGAATACCCGATGAAAAGGGGAGCTGCGCCAGGTCCACTTCACGCTGAACCGCTTTAACAGGTGAAGCCGACAGCACTGTTGGTGAGAAACAAAGAAAATGAGTGCTACCCCCGACAGAAATGACCATGAAGGCTCAACAGATGACCACATCAATGTCAACCACAACACTGGCGTTAGGAAAACGTCGGTGGTGTGGAGGTATTTTGGTTTTTGGAGGTCGGACATGAAGCAGAGTGATGTGGACTGTAAATTATGTCGACTCTCACAAAGTCGGGGAATACCTCAAATCTTTTTTCACCACCTGAAGCAGCGCCACGCCGCAGAGCACGCACAACGCAAAAGGTTACAAACCCCGAGAGGAGCGAGGAGCCCATGGCGCCTGAAACAGACGACCATTCAGTCCGCTTTCTCTAGAGCGACGCCTTACGACAAAACGCCAAAGAGACACAAAGACCTCACAGACGCAGGAGATTATTGAAAAGACATGAGACCAATAAACACTGTTACATTTCATTTTATATCCTGATATATATCCAGTTGTCCTTTCTATGCAGAGATTTGGACATAGTTGGTTTGAAATCATCTGAAAACCATAAAAATCTGTTTTATTTCTGATCATTTTGACCCTTAAATGTCTTTTAAACTTCGTCCCTCAGAGTTCAGAGTTCTCAAACTCCGATTATAGTCGGAGGAAGGTGTTTACATGACCTTCAGTTGTCCGGTCTTAATCGGAGTAAGGCGATAATTCGGTTTTCTCGAGTGTCGTGTAAACGTACTGAGTGTAGACGGACTCTCTTCTCAGGATGATGAAGTATCGTTGAACGTGTCGTTGAACGTGTAAACATACGGCCTGTATGATCCAGAGAAGAGGACCTGGAGATGAACAGCTGCTGAGTCTGACAGGAACTACAGTCTTCTAGAGATGTTTCTCCTGACTACACTTGTGAAAATGTAAACACAGCGGTCAACCACAAAAGGCAGACGGGGTTGTCTGAGGTTTTTCACGTGACTTTGTTAAACCTACCAGAGAGGGGGATGAGCAGAAAAAGTCCCTGAGAAAAAGCTGGTGTGTGTCTCGGATTGGTCTGATTTCTAATGATGTCTGACCACAGCTGACTTTTGGACTCTGAGCTCTGAGGAGGAAGTGAGAGTACTGAGAATAGAAAGAGGTGAAAATCTGATTAGTTGAAGATGTGGGCCGTTAAATTTCTGCTTTCCATTACTGATGACGGATGAGGTCACTCCGCTTGTCATGCAAACTGTCGCTCAGCCCGCTGCTTCACGATAAACAGAGTGTGAGTTCTGGAGAGGGATACTCCTGGAAGATAGACCTGTTAAAGTCTAGATTTCCTTTTATTCCTTTTTCAGAGAAAGTCGATAAATATCCCAACTCTTCACTTTTGTGTGATTGGAGCTGAAAGCCTCATGTGGTCCATTTGGAGCGAGTCTGTGATCCTGTTAGTTTTCTCGAAAGCTCTGAGCTGTTTTAAAAGAAGTAATCTCTGTTCATGTGTTCATCAGAACTCTTAATCATAATTGAAGCCTGTCTACACTGTCACACCTAAAAATACACATCATATGACCATTTACAAACACACCAGTGTCAGCCAGCACTGGTTTTCTCTCCCAGAACAGTGGAGCTCCTTGCCGACAGTCCTCGGTCTGTAAAAAGTCCAGTTTGATCGTCTCGCTGCAGTTAGACGGCGAGACACTGAGGTCAGCTGTAATCACTAACACCTAACCTTTACTGAACCTGAGATCCTCAGCTCTAATATGTCATATCAGATATTTGTCCGATAATGATCCAGGTATGATCCAGCTGCATCAGTATTCTGAGTTTACGGACTCTCTTCCTCTTCTCCTGTACCTCTCGGTGGTTCCTGGATCTCTGTTATATTTCTTTGCTGTGGTTTCAGAGTCAGAGTTATTTATTATTGCTGGAAAAAAAACACATTTGAAAGTATTTGTGAGAGGACAACAAAGAGAGACAAAGTAAGTTACATAGAAACACAGAATAAGGTGAGTTAAAATTACAGTTAAGGTCTTTACACACCTGGGCCGATGTGAATATAGAACATGAAATTACAGAATATTCGGAGGAGAATTTTGACGCGCCTGACTAAACACATCAAGCCCGGTGCAATTTTGCGACTTTCCGGGGGGGAAAAGACGCATCCCGGAGTAGACTTTTCTCAGGGAACGTCCCGCCTCCTTCACTCTGATTGTCTCGTAAAGCTGGAAACGTCACCACACGCTCATGCCAAACGGTCAGCACTCATAGCCAATCAGAGGCGATAAGATAACTATGGTAACAACCGTTAGCTTACATTAGCACAGATGAAAGTTCAAACAAAGACGTTTATCAAACTGTTAAAACACACAAACCATCGTCATATGAGAAATCTGACGCTATCACTCTCCACAAGCTAGAGGTTATTCAGGCTGCATTTGATTGAGCGGTACGGTCTACCGGAAGGGAGAAGGACAAAAAGGCTGGAGGTGGGGTGAAGCCCGAGTCAGGAGCCTTGAGTTATAAAGTCCATCTAGTTTAGACAGGTCAGTACCAGTAATTTTCTGGTCTGAGATTTTCAGTCCTGTACAGTGAGGTTAGTAAACCAGACTGTGGTTGAAGAGGTAAAACTGCAGTTCTGTTTTTGTGTGTCACTCTGTGTGATTACAGTTAGGATTTTGTGTGCGCAGTAACTCGTGTTATGTGACCGTTTGTTGGTGGTAACTGCTCTCCACGTTTGGTGGGTCACATGTGAGTTACATCTGTGGTGTAAGGTGGGGACATTTGTGTGTTGGTGACTGCTATGTGACCATTTAGTGTCGTGGTTTACAGTCCACGTTTGGTGGGTCACTTGTGCGTTACTGTATGTTCTGTTTGTTTGGCTTGTAGCTTACCTTACCACAGTAACTTGTATGAATACTTGTGTCCATTTGTGTCGTGAAATCTTCGTGTTTCGTTCCTGATTTTGTTGTTTTGTCACAATAAATCACTCGTTAAACTTTTGAAGGTGTTTCGTTAATTCAGTGGGCAGAGAGATAAGGATAGTTGTTAGCCCCATAGGGCCGCTTTCAGGTGGGGCGTAACAATACTTCTGATGATACACCAACAAAAGTTCATTAAAATCTGACAGAGGAGAAATCTTTGATTTTACAAAGGAAGAAAAGTTGTTGCATAGATTTCTTGACGATGATACCGTTGTTAGGGTGCCAGCTTAAATTGTCTGTAATAGTGACACCAAGAAATATGAAGCTCCTCACCATGTCAACTTCTGTGTTGTTCATAATGAGAGGGAAATGGGGTTGTTTCTCCTGCATAAGTCAATGATCATCTCCTTGGTTTTGGAGGCGTTTACTTGTTTTTGTTCAGAAACTCAGTGATAGTCAGGAGAACGCTTCTTAGAGAGGACAGTTCATTTAGTTGAGTTTACTGAGTGATGCTGACACCACCGCCTGTGGACAAACACAGTTACTCTGCGCCGCACAGACCCCTGTGTGCGTGTGTGTGTGTTTGATGGTCAGGTCGAGCAGGTCCGCTCTGCAGGAGGACTCAGACAGGAAGCTGAAATGAGCCGATCTGTCTGCTCCTCCTGAGGGGGGGGGCAAACCAGACAGGAAGAGAGCACCGCTGAGTTACATGACCTGCCGTCACCCTGAGCAGGCCACCCGCCCGCTCAGCGCTCTGCCACACACAGCCTGGAGGTCCCTCAGTGGAAGTCTGCAGTGTTGAATGACTCTGAGGGATTGAGAGGAGTTACCTGAGCTGATAGAACATCTGCAGAGAATCAGAGACATCCATCGAGGAGGGATCAGAGAGGCTGAGCTCCGTCTGCTCACAAGTGTCAGAACTAAAACTTGTACTGAACCAGCTTTGCTCCAATCCAAGACAGCAACTCCACACGTCTGAACACAGACCTCCGAACATGGAACCACAGGTTACAATAAAAACACATGATCCTCCTCTGAACCCCTGAACCTTTCTAGAAAATTCAGGACCTTCCCCTCACACACTCACAGCCCTAACAGTGTGAAGTCCTCTGATGATCGATGTGTGCTTCAGGAGTCCTGACGTAACATCTAAAGCCGAGTGTGAAAACCACAGTGTGATCAGGGTTCGACTCTAACTTTGTTCACATGTTCTCCTGAGTTAAAAAAGTAAGAAGCACAAAGAACTTTAGGGGCACAATGAAAACTGATCAAATAATGTTTGTCTTATTGATCGACCTTAGTAATATTATTAGAAATCAATTTTAGGTCTTTTGGTCACATGACAGTGAAGCTATTGAATGAAAACAGCCTTTTCTGAGAACATCAACCGGTAACTTATTGACGGTCCCTTATTCAACACCGACGTTGACAGTGAGGGTGTCGAGTAGATTTAGCCGCGCTGCTGTTGTTATTCCCGGTTATGGAGAGTGAGAAGACACCGGTAGATCCTCAGAGAATGTCCGTCAGATATCCAACCTAAAACTAACTTCACCGCCATATTTACAGTAAAATATATCCAACCTGAAACTAACTTCACCGCCATATTTACAGTAAAATATATCCAACCTGAAACTAACTTCACCGCCATATTTACAGTAAAATATATCCAACCTGAAACTAACTTCACCGCCATATTTACAGTAAAATATATCCAACCTAAAACTAACTTCACCGCCGTATTTATAGGGAAATATATCCAACCTAAAACTAACTTCAGCGCCGTATTTACAGGAAAATATATCCAACCTGAAACTAACTTCACCGCCGTATTTACAGGAAAATATATCCAACCTGAAACTAACTTCACCGCCGTATTTACAGGAAAATATATCCAACCTGAAACTAACTTCACCGCCGTATTTACAGGAAAATATATCCAACCTAAAACTAACTTCACCGCCGTATTTACAGGAAAATATATCCAACCTAAAACTAACTTCACCGCCGTATTTACAGGAAAATATATCCAACCTGAAACTAACTTCACCGCCGTATTTACAGGAGAATATATCCAACCTGAAACTAACTTCACCGCCGTATTTACAGGAAAATATCTCCAACCTAAAACTAACTTCACCGCTTTCTGATTTGGTCAAATATTCATCATAATTTTTATATTGATGGACTCATCAGTCATCAGCACATCTGCTCATCAATCATCCACATTGATAAACTGATATCAGTTTTATATCAGTAATCCTGAGGTCGTCATCCAGCTCTTCTTCTGCTTCTGTTTTGGGTGTGATGACCACAGTACTGAGAGTTTTCAGGGGTTTGAACCCTCATCTCTGCTCAGGACCAAAGTTTGTTGGAGTTTGTTCATTTCGTTCCTTCAGGGCCACCGTAGTGTGCAGCTGATTTCAAACATGCCTGTTGTGTTGTGTTGTTGGTGTTGAGGCTGTGAGACACTAAAGGCGTCCTCCTCTCCTCTGTGGTCTCCTTCTCCTCCTCCTCCTCTTCCCTCTTTGATAATGAGCGTTTGTGTTTCCGCTCTGACATGTGGGAGTGAGCAGGAGATAAGGGTTGGAGCGGTGCAGCTCTCTTAACTCCACCTCAGCTGCTCCACCTCCTGACCGCCGGCTGAACTCTGCCTCTGAGACAGATAAACGCAGATAAAGACGGTGATGATGGCTGTGGGTTAGTCCTCCACGCTCTCAGTTCTCATCAGACTCGTGTAGACACAGCAGAGTCTGAGAAGGAGTCCACTCCAGAAGAGTCAGGGTCCGGTTTATGCTGACGTGGTTTAGACCATCCCTAAGATTTATTTAAACCATTAGAACAAGAACTGAGCTGTCTCATCGTTTCTCATCATTTCTCATCATTTCTCATCGTACGTTTTTACTCCTTCAGCCTCCAACACTCGACCAAATGCTGGAAGTGAAACAGGACGTCGTTGATTTCCTCGATCAAACCTCCATGATGTTCAAAACGCTCACAAAATCACAGACTGTAGAGGTCTTTGTTAAATTCAGATTAAAGCTCCAAACCCAGACGACTTGATCCATGACCTTTATATCAGCACGTCAATATTTCCGCCTCAAAGATCCAGGTTATAGTTGTTAAACTAATTTGAACTCGTGTTGGGCGGTATGAACAAAATCTTTTATCACGGTGTGAGTAATTTTATATCTCGGTATGTTTTTTTTACTCCTGTAAATTCAATTATTGTCTTAGAAATAACCGTATTATCACATTTGTTCATTTTTATTTTCAAACTCTGATTTTTATACAAATACAAACTAAATGTCAGACCAGTCTGGTGGTTTTTTTATCATATATCGTCCCTTTGGTGAAAGACTCTCTCATAATAGAGCTCGGCGTGTTTCATCTTCAGGTGGTTAAAGAGGTTTCTGATGTTTCCTCCTCCGTCAACGACAGACACACGACGCTCTTTGAATAGTTTTTTCTTGATCGTTGTCGGATTTTCTAAATCCGAAGAATCTCCAGACAACCGATGTCTCGACTCACACCTTTTTTCCGAAGAGTTCCTCCTCCTCTTCCTCGTGTCGGGTGGGTCAGGCCGCCTCCGTTTGCTCGTTACTGCCATTAATCTCCACGTCCGCCATGACCACCACCAGAGAAGCTGATTCTTCAGTCTGCTGGACACGCTGGTGAATATAGGGAGCGCACCCAAACCTGACCAATCAAAGGGACCGAACAAACTCTGCACAACACGCTGGTGAATATACGGAAACGCACCCAAACGGACGCACTCTGGCTTTCCTGTTGGCAAGCGCAGACAACCTCACACTAACTCAGAAACGCAGCAGACATCTGCTCTCTCTCTCTCTCTCTCTCTCTCTCTCTCTCTCTCTCTCTCTCTCTCTCTCTCTCTCTCTCTCTCTCTCTCTCTCTCTCTCTCTCTCTCTCTCTCTCTCTCTCTCTCTCTCTCTCTCTCTCTCTCTCTCTCTCTCTCTCTGGTATAAACAGTAGAGCAACACTTCTACAGGTAGACACTTTTATACCGTCATATCACCCAACACTAATTCAAACCTTTCCTCATTTTTCATTTTAAACTTAAAAATGTAATTTTTTCTTTTTCCATTTATGCTCATGATCGCCACAGCCTCTCCTCCTCCTTCTCTCCTCCTCCTCCTCCTCCTGCTCCTCTCTTCTCTCTCCTCCTCTTGTTTTATTCTGGTCTGTGCTGTTTATGTTAAAGTGACAGTCGGGGTTGTTTGAGGGGCCGGGTCCACGCTCTGAACAGAGGGAGGGTGGGTGTATTTCATGTATTGGATGTAACAGCAGAATAATCGTACAGTCTTAAGGTCCTTGCACACCGGGACCGACGCAAATGCACGACGTGAAATTATGAAATATTCAGAGGCGAATTTTGACGCGCCTGACTATAAACATCAAGCCTGATGTGATTTTGCATCGATAAGACTGAGCCAACAGCAGACTGAGTGTTTCTCAGTTCTGATTAGACTCTCGTGTTGAGATGGAGTTTTATGGAGGTCAAAGATGATCAGATTGCTTTCTTTCTTTGTCAATATCTGTACTACAATAAAACACAAGAGGCTCAGACCTAGGCCTGTCACGATAACAAATTTTGCTGGATGATAATTATGCTACAAATTATCGCCGATAAACGATATTATTGACACCGTTTTTTAAATTATAGATAATGATATTAAATGGCATAATAATGCGAGTACACCGTGTCAAAAGTGATAAACTTTAATTTTACCCACGACGAAGACGTAACGTTGACGAGCTAAACATAAGTCGGAGATGACTAAAATCTGACGAGACGAAAGTGCGTTTACGTTGATGGGACGAGACGAAAATGACGAACAGAGTTTCAAAACTCAGTCAGTTAAACGCTAAACATACAGGAGCAGCTTCAGTCCGCTCTGACAGCTCTCATCAGCCTGCTGTGCTCCTCAGACAGTGTCCAAAGACACTGAATGACTGACAGGAGGGTTCACTAACTCCGTTCATTCCGCTATAGAGCCAACGCCCCCAGGTGCCGAGAAAAATGCGCAGAGTGAGACCTCTTCTCTCATCCAGCGTGTTTGGTAGCGAGAGAGGAGGAAAACAAACGCACGTCAATTATCGAGGCTGGCAAAATGACCGACCTTGTTTTTATTTACCGAGCGATAAGGCGATTTATTGATTATCGCGACAGGCCTACTCAGACCTGACCACCAGGGTTCAGGGGGGGTCTAAAGATCCAGACTTGATCATGTGGAGTTCAGTCCCAGCAGAGCTCCACCAGCAGCTCCAGTCTCTGTCTGTCTGCATGTGTGGGGGTGAACTGCAGTGAGCTGAGCAGCTGACGGAGCCACACACCTGCCAGCCGGCTAATCAATAAGATGGAGAGAGAGAGAGAGAGAGAGAGGGTGATGGATGCAGGCTGAACACGTCGCTGCTGAGACCAGCAGTCCTCCGTCTGCTCCTGAAATACAGTCAGAGAGGCAGAGACCTGCAGACTCGGCTCTTTCCTTCAGACTTTAGACCGTCAGGATCCTTTTCTGATCGTTGGACGTTAGAAATCACAAGAATGAAACGACCTCATGAAACGACCTCTGTCTGTCGTGTGTGTGTGTGTGTGTGAGTGTGTCATGTTTGTCGCTCAGCTCTTGAGCGGAGCGGCCAGTAAACACCGATCTGAAGTTTCACAGTATTAAAAACATCATGGTTTTTAAGTCTGACCCTCTGAACCGGATCGGGCAGACTGAAGGCCCTCTTGTTTTGGACCCAGCAGCTGACAGCAGATCCAGACTGAGAGGATGAGAGCGCTGAGACAGACCCGGTTTCCTGAAGGCTCCAGGGCCTGAACATTAGAGCTCTCATTGTGTCCCTGCTGGTGGAGTCTGTGGGTTTGTGTTGTTGTCACGCCTGTGGAAGGTTTCACATTACGAGGCGTCCTCGTCCAAACTGCGTTCAGCCCAGAGAGTCTGTCTGAGGAGGGTTACAGTCGACCCGTGAAGGCGCGCTCGTCTCGTTTTCATGAAGTCCGAAAAAAAAAAAAAACTCTTCTCTTCAGCCTCTTATCGCACCATCATGTGTGAGCTCTGAAACAGGATGCGGGTGTTTCCACTTGAGGCTCTGACAGCTGCGTGACAGTCGGCTCTGCTGCTGCTGCTGCATGTGAAGGTCTTTGTGTTTGAGAAAAAAACTGAGTCAAAGATTTCCTCTTTCATTCACAGGCTCAGGCGTGAGGGTTCAACTTTCACTTCCTGTAGCCTCCAGGTCTCTGCTGCAGTAAACATGTTGGAGCGGAGCGAGGGTGTGTGTAAGTGTGTGTGTGATGCTGCAGCTGTCAGTGTCTTTACCTGAGAGCTGCAGATCTGTGAGTGTGATCATATGATGATGATGGTGATGATGATGATTTCATCCTCCTCCTCTTTCTCCACCTGTCTGAGTCTGCTGTCACTCTTTGTGTTGGAGCTGATGGTGTTTTTATAACAACCATCTAATGGATAGTGATTAACGTCACCATGAAACATCTGCAGACCTCCACAAACGTTCTTCAGAGATGTAGGTGACTGTTCCTGTGCTTCTGCTGCAGTTTGGTAAAATAACCCTTAAAGGGATACTCCGTCGTAAAATCAAGTTAGAGTCAAACACACCGTAACACCGAGTTAGACCCCCCCCTCCAGAGATGAATGTTCGACCGCTTGCTTCTCTAGTTATACCAACTTTAGTAACGACCGCAGGATAGTAATACAGAGAGCCACGCCCCCAACCAAAACGCCACTCTATAGCCACAAATAATGCTCAGAACAGCACCTAACTTCATCAACAGGACATATAGGGTCACAGACATAGTACTAGACACCAAACATCTTTTTAACTTTGACTCATTTCTTTAGCAAAGAGACTAAACACAACTCACCTACTCTCTTCCAGCAGACGCTTGTTTGTAGAGAGACCTCAGACCAGTCCATTACAGACTACAGCGGGGTGCCGCAGCTCAAGGAAGAACATTTATGATCATTTCTTCATGGAAATACAATCAGACTGAGACGCTAAGACAGAAGAACTACAGCGTCTGTAAAATGATTAATATGGTGATTATTACTTCAAGGAAATGATAAAGAAATGATCATAAATGTTCTTCCTTGAGCTGCGACACCCCGCTGTAGTCCGTAATGGACTGGCCTGAGGTCAAATTAGTCAAAGTTAAAAAGATGTTTGGTGCAGACTCCCCCCACATTTTCATGTTTTCCTCATAATCTCTCCGGAAGAACTTCAAATAATTAAACAGATGTGTTGTGTTTCCGATCTTTAAGGGCACTGACCGCCGACATACCTTACACATTGGCATAATTACTCGACGTCACTTTGGAGATACCCGAAACCACCGCCACACAACCTACGTAACTTTTCTTTTCAACAATGACAATTTTGGAGGATGACTCAAAGTCACGGCTGACGTCTATTCTGCTGCCCTCAGCTCCTCATTTAGCTCCACGTTCGGTCATTCTGTTCACTTCTCCTGTTTACTTCTCTGGTAACTTACAGAAATGAGCAGGAAAAGCTCAACTCTGATTGGCCACTGTGTTTGATCGAGTAAATAAGCTCACAGCTGATCACCGTGATCGAAATGAAATTTATCATGATCATATAATCGCCCAGTCCTACCTCCGAGTTAATATTTTTACAGACAGGTGGTCCTGTTGTTAGTTCAGATTTCTGCTGACTCTGACAGTCAAACCGAGACTCAGTGTTGGTTCATCACAGCGTCAGTAAAGCGGCGAGCACTGGCAGCAGGAGGAGGAGGAGGAGGTCATCCAGACCCAGTTTAGGGTTTATGAAGTGATCGGTTAATGTTGTTGGTGTTAAAGTTTGGTGTCGTTTAGAGAAAACCTGAACAGTTGTTGTACTTTAAAAAGAGTCGTCCTGCTCCTTTAAATCTCCTCCAGCTGTTTTCCAGCTCCGCTCTTTTCCTTGAACGTATATTTTTGGACTTGGCAGGTTCTTGAAGTGTGTTAAATCTTGTCTTTCTTTTCGATGACTGAAGCGCAGACATTCATGAGTGCGTATAAAACCACAGAGGAGGTGTTTCGTATTTATAGACCGCCGCCGCCGCCGCCGTCATTTCTCTTCATCCCGCTCCTCCTCAGCTGTTTATTATCCTCTCTCCTCGCTGTAAACCTGCACCGGGTCTTTGGCAGGGAGGCTGAGTCCAGGTAACAGCCAGCGGACTTCATGTGGTGACGGGGTGTAAACAGCCAACAGGGGGCGCTACAAAGAGGGTTTACAGATGTTCTTTAAGGACCACTAAGGGGGCCAGTTTATCCAACCCAGATCCAGAGAGGGAGGTCAGTGTTCAGTCCTGAATCAGAAGGTCTACTTACATCCTCCCGACCTCGTTTGACCCGCCCATGTTCTGATATCTAATGTCTCTCCTCTGATTGGTGAACTCTGTGGTTCTATTTGACGCTGTTTTCTGTCACGTTTGAAGAAGATCGTAGGAGTCGGTTTGACCTGAAGACGTTTGTTCTCATAGAAATCACGTTACCTTCTTCAGTGTGTGTGACTGTTGTTATGTTGTTCCTCACCATCAGTGTTGTATCCCACCCCCCGCTCCTCTGCATTGTCAGAGGAGGTCAGAGGTCACACGGCTCCTTTCATATGATAAGAGGCCGTAGAGGAGGACGTGTCTGCTCTCAGTGACTGACTGTGATCCTCATCAATACCTCCTTTATGTCAGAGTAATAAACGTCCTCCTCCGCCCTCTTCACCAGAGCGTCTGTCTGATCAGGACCTGCAGACTTCACCCCACAGACCACATCTACAGGTTAAACAGAGAGTTAACGTCTGAGAGTGAACATGGAGTCAGTGTTCTGTTCAGAGAATCAGACAGAGGAGGTGTCTGAAGGCTGAGCGTCTGCATGTTTGGTTTCATATCCAGTCAAAGTTTCTGATGGTTCGACTCCCTTTAACCCTTCAGTGACCTGAGTGTGGTCATTATGGAACTTTCAGAATGTACCCGCACTTCCTGTTTAATCACTAAAATTAAAATCAGATCTGTCGCGGGCGTCCGGTTCAGAAATCATGTGGCAACTCTAACTGGGAAACTAAACCCATCAAAGCTCGAGGAACGGTTTCAGGAGGAGCCGTCGTATTGTCGATCACGCTTGAAAGCAAAACAACGCAGTACCATGGAAACACGACATTTATGCGTAGAAGAAGAGCGGAGCGGCCGCTGACATCACTTGTGCGCGCCGCTTGCGGAACCGATTTGAGTTGTGTTATATTTTTTGCGGGTGGACATGAAAATGAAAACGGCCTCTTTGGTTTCTATTTTGAATTGTGTTTCAAAATGTGCAGCTCAAACAATAAAACTGAAAATACAGTTAGTTTTATTTATTCTTCGTTTTATTTCTGAGTCAAATTCTGCAGGTTCGACTTTGGAACAGAAAAGTCAAACTGCATTTAGATTTTCAGATCTGACATTTCAAATGAATTTGGTTCATATTTGCTGGAGCATCTTTAGAAAATTAAATCTCTAATGGATTTTTCTTTTGCAGTTGAATGAAGTTACAGAACGATCCGTTTTGAAAAAGAAATTGTATTTCAGATTATTTTTAATTTTCTTTATGAGTGAAGAAGTGCAGGTCCATCCTGACATTCCTGTTCTTCTGTTTTCACTGTAATTATGACACAAATTTACTTCCATAGTTCATGGCTGTCGAACTGAGAACTGATGTTATGTTCATTCATAGTGTCGTCCTCACAGCGACGCAGAAACACTGTGTATTTGTTTATTTATAATGATGTGAAATCCAAACGCTGACCTCTCAGTGTTTGTCATGATGTCATCCCGCAGCGTTGAGTTGTTGACGTTTCCTCTCTCTGTTTTCCTCAGGAGGAGGAGATGTGGGGAGCAGGGTGGAGGTGTAGGGTCCTGCCCTGAGGAGGCGTCCTGCGGCTGGGAGGAGCAGAGCCCTCCTGAGGCCCTCCTGCGGCCCTCCTGCGGCGCTCCGGGACGCTCCTACTAAGATGTCCCTCAGCAGCGGCCCTGCAGGCGGGAAAGGTGTGGACTCCAACGCGGTGGACACGTACGACAGCGGCGATGAGTGGGATATCGGTGTTGGGAATCTGATCATTGACCTGGACGCCGACCTGGAGAAAGACAAACTAGAGATGTCGAGCAGTAAGGAGGGAGGGGGCATGGCGGCCCCTCCCAGCGCCGTGGCGGCTCTACCTGAAAATATCAAGTTTGTTAGTCCTGGAGCCGCGGCGCAGGGCAAAGAGAGCAAATCCAAATCTAAACGTAGTAAAAACTCTAAAGAGAGCCTGAAGGCCCCCGTCTCAGACGGAGCCAAGAAGGAGGTTCAGGGTCGCCCCCCTGGTGACCCACCCCCCCAGAACCCCAGCTCCACCCCCACCAAAGGAACTGACAAGTCCAGTAAACCCTCCCGAAACCTCCCCACTGTGAAAAAGGACAAAGACGGGGTGTCTGGGAAAACCAAGAAGGAGAAAATGGAGGGAACCGGAGCGGCCAACTCCGAGAAGGAGGCCGTGGCCCCCATCCTGCCGCTGGGGGCCCCTCGCAGCGGCCCCTTTGAGGGTCAACAAAACCCAGAGCTGACTGCCGCCGAGCAGCTTGGAAATATGGCACTGGACTCGACAGGGATTGGCCAGCCCGTCGCTATGACAACCGAGCCGGAGGAGATGGATAACAGTGAATGCAGAAACCTGAAGAAGGCGGTCAATGTGAAGGTAAGACGCCCGCCGCCCCGCTCATGGGTTCAGACCGGGCCTGTCCTCACTTCCTGTCCCGGTGTGATGATGTGAGAAATGTGGAGTCATGTGTTTTCAGGTCTTACCGTCATGAAAACGTTCCTCTGGTTCAGATTAAAAGTGAAAATGAGATTCTGGATCAGGACCTCCTCAAACTGAGACCTCCTCCTCTGATGTTGACGTGGACAGTCTGAGTCTGAGGAGGTCAGATCTTTAAAGAGAGAGGACTAGAGTTCATGGTAGGGCTGCATGATGTTAGAAAAAATCAACATTGGGATTTTTTTCAGTCGCCATGACGATGCTTAAACGATGTGTGGTGCAGCCCTGGTTCATGGTTTGGCGTCTGGAAGTGAAGCTGTGGAGAGTTCAGGTTTGAGCTCCGTTCCTGCTGGCGTGCAGCAGCGATCACCCGCTCAGAGCGCTCGGTTCCCCCCCTCTCTGCCAAGTTCCACCTCCTCCTCAGCGGTCCGTCACTCAGCCTTTACTGCGGTCACCTCTGAACCCTCAGTCAAAGCAGACGCTGACCCGGCCACCTGCTGGTGTCAGAGGTCATCGACCTGCTAATGGCTCAGCTGCTCGAACCTTTAAAGGGTCGTCTCTCCGACTGAAGGAGATCTGCTTTAGCTGTGATGGAAAACCTCCGTCACACCGCAGAGAGACTGTGAGGGGAGACGCTGCAGCTGCCCCTCTGAATCTTTGATTGGTTTTTATTTTTTACATATTTTTGGATTTGATGGACATCTAGGTCCAGTAAGGTGTTAAATTTCTATGGTAGATGTCCTTCATTTAAACAGGCTGTAAAAGCAGCAGTCACTCCGTCCCTCATGGAGACGTATCTGCTGACTCAAAGATCTTGTTTTTGTCTCTGACTGGTTCAGATGTTTAGTTTCTGACATTATTAGAGTAAAGGTTCTAACGCACAGAGACGAACCTTTTAAAATCTGTAACCATGAACCTGTGAGGACGAGCAGCACCATCAGCTGAGATCAGACCTCTGTCCTAATGATCGTCACAGATAGTGTTTGTTTCTATCGGCCTGTTTTAATTTGAGTTTTAGTCTTTGTGTCAAACTGATATTTCAGTTTTTATTAGTTTTACTTCAAACTCAGTTTTTGTTTAGTCAAGTCTTAGTCGATGATTTTAATCTCGTTTTAGTAATGTAATTCTGTTTAACCCAGTTAATACTAGGGCCTGATGTCGACTATTAAGGGGGGGGTCTGATTACCAATTAATCGACCGATTTTTAAAATTTTTTAATGAAGTTAAAAATATATATATTTACATAAGATATCTACATTATTCTATATACTGTAGGTTACTGCTCTTCACGCTGACAGGAAGACCGACTGATCAAACTCAGACCAGAAAAGCGTTTTCAACTACAGCGAAAATCGGCGAGTTTTGGCCGATTACCGATGAGTCTCAAACGGGCTAAAACTGGCTGACTTAATTGGCTCGGGTCTAGGGTCCGACGGACCCTGGCTCATACAGTATAATTACCTATTATATTATTTTTCTTTTAGTCAAACCCATTTCACAAATCAAACACAGTTATCTTATTATATTGTTACCTTATTAACTGATATACATGTATGTGTGTTGATGTGGATACACAAAAATATCACAGTTTCAGCAGATATTTTGGATAAACCCACTTCACACTCTCTCACACACACACGAGACACACACACACAGGCTATGAGCTAGACACAGACACACACACATGCTTGCTGGACACACACACACACACACAAACACACACACACACACACACTTGGCTGGACAGTGTAAACTATAAAGTGTCGTTACATCCATATCTTAACTTTCCTCGTTCATCATTGAAGACCCTCAGATGTCTTTTTAGAATCGTGGTGTTTTTTTCCTGGTTATTTTACGGTCATTTCTCCCTTTTTCTTTTTCCGCGACACATTCTTGTTTGTTTTCCACGTGTTTGTAGTTGAAGTGAGTTCAGATATCATTTCTTCTTTTTCTCCAACTCGCCCAAAAACATCTTTGCCCACCGCATCTAAAAATACCGTGACTAAACAATTTTGCCTCGTCTGGTTTTAGTCAAGGAAAATGAAGAGACATCTTAGCAGCTTTTATTTAGTGAACCACATTTAGTCTCGTTTTTATTCGTCAACAATATTGTATTATATATTTATAGTTATTGTCACGAGACCATCAGTTACGTTTCGTCTCGTCTCCTTTTTTGCACATGATAAAGGTTTGATGATATTTGGTCAAAGACAAAGATCCTGGTTTTAATTTCTTTATTTTAAATCACGTTAAATTGAAAGGTAAACTTGTCTCCTTGTTTGTGAATGACGTGGGTGTAGACGGTGTTCAGTCCCTCTGTGATCTTTATCCCACTCACTGCTGCTGCTGCCGTCCAAGTGTAGGTTTAACAGGCCGCCTAATCATAGCAGCTTTTCAGAAACGAGCTATTTCCAGTCCTCTAATCTGAACCTGTTTCTGTTGGAAGACTGTGGAGCAGCAGGTCCTTCAGCAGGTCCTGGAAACTTCACCTGACCTCCTCTGAACTTCAGCACCTTAGAGCAAACATCTCAGCTTTTACCGTGCTGCTGATCCAGGGTTACAGAGGCTTTAGATCAGGATCTACCCGTCTGTTTGTACACACATGAACAGGCTGTAAACTCACTGATCAGGCTGTTGATAAATCTGTTAAAATGGTTGAAATGACCTTTAATTCAAGGTTGACAGGCAGCAGATGAAAACAGACCTCGGATGTTTGTGTCTCTCTGTGTGTGAACGTTTTTAAATGGTCTTTATTAAATTCAGTCCAAAGGTCTGTCGGCTGTCCTCTGTGTTCAGTCTGACAGTAAAGAAGTCTGAGAGTTCAGAGGACGACACTTCAGGAGAACGAGAACTGATGAACCGACGAACGAGAGTTTATTTCAGCTGGAGAGACAGAAACAGATGTCAGCGTGAGGAGTTCAGACTAAACAGAGAGAGGGAGAGAGGGAGAGAGGGGGAGGACAGTGGAAAAGGAGTAAAGAGTTCTCTTCCTGTTGGACAGACAGCAGCCAGATTACAGGGAGAGAGAACAGGAGAGAGAAGTTTCTATTCACTTTGTCTCTGATAGAAAAACTCATGAATGTCCAACTTCATGGACAGAGAGGACGAGTGTCTCTGCAGGTCCAGAGTGTCTCTGCAGGTCCAGAGTGTCTCTGAAGGTCCAGAGTGTCTCTGCAGGTCTAGAGTGTCTCTGCAGGTCTAGAGTGTCTCTGCAGGTCTAGAGTGTCGCTGCAGGTCCAGAGTGTCTCTGCAGGTCTAGAGTGTCCACTGCTGTCTCATGTTGTCTGTGTTTATGTTGGTCTATTCAAACCCAGACCAGCTGTGAAACCTCTTGGTTTAGAGCTCCCCCTACTGACCAGAGGAGACAGTGTAGCTCAGACCAGAGTCACCCAGGACCTGAACATGGAGAGTCAGGTCCAGCTAGGTGAGAGTTTAGACCGGACTCCTATTCTTGTTGAGGAGAGAGTGGACTGACTGACTGACTGACTGACTGACTGACGCATGTTTACTCCAGTAGGTGGAGACACGCCCCCTTTTCCACTCCTTCCTCCTGGATCCTGGTTTTTCAGCAGGTTCGGGTTTTATTTAAAACCACATTTGTCTCTTCAGTTTTCCAGAGGAGTCCCGGTTTTAGAGGAGGACCTTGGTCCCCTCTCACTTTTTACAGTCATGTTGATCAAACTCTGAGAAGGTCAGATTAGTGCCGTTTCAGTCGAACCAGAATCTGTCTGCTCTTCTATCAGCCCGCCCTGTGTGTTTGAATCTGAAACTGATCAGGACTGATCAGACTGTAAATCAGCTGATCAGTCGAGGTCCTTCCCGCCAATATTTACTCACTTCAGTTTTCTGAACCTTGTTGGCGTTAAACCCCACTTCCTGCTCAGGTCTGCAGGTCCTAGAATAATGATCGTCTCCTGTTTAAAAACCTGGTTCCGCCTCCATAAACGAGCTGGGCTCACACACTGATCGGACTGATCGATTCCAGGCCGTATTGATTGAAACGTGTTGAGATGATTTCAGCCCCTGAACACTGAGATGTTCGTCACTCACTGCTTTGGTTTGGAAGCTGCTTGTTTCATTAGAAGTGGATCAGTGAGGAAACTGAGTTCATGATATCTGCAGAACCTGATCAGCCATCTTCTGGAGGAACTGGAGTGAGATGATTCCAGCCCTGTGGTTTTAACATCACCGTAAATATATCTGACTCTTTGTTCATGCACCACTGCTCCACCTCCTCCCTGAGGTGACCGTCTGAAAGGGTCCAGATCCTGTCCCTCTCTGACGAGGGTGGAGGTGAAGCTCCTCCTCAGAAGACCCTCTCAGCTCAGCTCAGCTCAGCTCTGAGACTCTGTCCCCGAGGTTTCTGGGAAAGTGTGTTCTCTGAAAAAGAAAAGCATGTAGAGAAGAGAAGGGGCCCCGGCACCCCCGCTCTGCAGCTCCATGTTCCTGGAAGTGTGCTGAAGAGAGAAGGTCAAAGTCTGATGAGATGGTCACGTGTCATCTTAGCAGAAGGTTAAAGGTCATCATGAACTCTCCCACTGTTGGAGACCTGACAGTTTTCGCTGCTCCTCCAGGTTTATCTCAGGGTTTCCAGTTCTCCTCCTCCTCCTCTCAGACCTCACAGTGGTTCTGGTACTCTTGAGTCCTGGACCCCCTCCAACTTGATTTCTCTCCAGGTCTCTTTCTCTCCGTCCCAGATGTTGTTTCATCGTCTCGGCATCTCATGGAGTAATAACTCCTGACCGGTTCCTCTGAGTCTTTGTGACAGCAGTGAGTGGACCAGGAGGACTAGAGGAGTCCCTTCAGAGTTTTTCACACTTGTTGTTGTTGTTGTGAAGGTCCTTGAAGACGTTTTTGAGCAGGTTTGATGGACTTCGATGGTCCTTGAGAGGCTCTGAGGGGCAGCGCGGTTAAATCTACTCGACACCCTCACTGTCAACGTCGGTGTTGAATAAGGGACCGTCAATAAATTACCGGTTGATGTTCTCAGAAAAGGCTGTTTTCCTTCAATAGCTTCACTGTCATGTGACCAAAAGACCTAAAATTGATCTCTAATAATAGAACTAAGGTCGATCAATAAGACAAACATTATTTGATCAGTTTTCATTGATCCCCTAAAGTTCTCTGTGCTCCTTACTTTTTCAACTGAGGAGAACATGTGAACAGAGTTCGTGTCAGCCCTGTCAGGTAACGCCGGGTCCTGAAGAGGTCAGGAGGTCGTGTGTGAAGGAGCTTCAGCGCTGTCTGAGAAATAAACAGACCGTCATCATCAGTGTTCGGACCGCCGCCGCCGCTGTAGCTCCAGTAACCTCTCCTGATTGACCTCCGAGAGCAGACCTCAGCACTCTGACCGCAGAGGAGGAAGTCTCTGTCTCTCTCTCTCTCTCTTTCTCTCTCTCTCTCTCCCTGAGTGAGCGAGTGACCTTGAAAGGAATGTGGCTTGTTGTTGTAATGAATACCTCCGACTGAATGGAGAGGAGGAGGAGGAGGAGGAGGAGGAGGAGGAGCAGAGGGGGAGTCGGTGTTTCCCAGAGCTGCTGTTTGTGTGTGTTTGGTTAAAAGTCTCTGCAGCCAATAGAGGAGGTGTAAAACTGACCCCTCCCCCTCCTCAGGGGGTTTCCCAGCATTCCAGGCGGCCATGTTTTTTTATTCTTAAAGAGGAGAAGTAGAGGGGGCCGCCGCGGTAACACCCGACCAAACCGGGCGGTAAAACCGGTCAGCTGCAGAGCCACCATGTTTCCCCGCTCTGAGAGAACGTCTGCAGGGAGGACCGAGACGCTCTGGTCCATGAGAACCAGGTAAACTCAGACCACCTGAGCAGGACTCAGTCTGAACCTCTGCTTCTTTCAAACGGTGGTCCTCTGTTGATGGTCGTGTCTGAGTGTCGGTGTTCTTGTTTTGTTTTTATTAGAGGATTTCTTCTGATTTTGTTCCGTGATCGTAGTTTGAGGATTTAGACGGTCTTAAACTTTCAAACTGAGTCCCAGAATGAAGCGAACGAGGATCAAAGATTGAAGTCAGACCTGAATCATGGACCCTGAGCAGCGTGGGTTTACAAATGTGATCCTACAGTGTAGAGTTTTAATAGACCGATTATGGTTCCTACAGAGATGATTCAGCAGAGTTCAGGTACTTTATTAGATCTTAAGAAATAAGGACAAACATGATGACGGGTTTACAAGAAGGAGAAGAAGATTAACTTGACGTTCAGACAGCTGCAGTGAAGAAATAAGAAAAAGTCAAAGTAAAGAGGATTGCGACGAAATGTTTGAGCTGTCCATCATGATGTTTTAAAATTCCCCTGAAGTTTTGTAGATATGACCTCTGCAGGACCAGGGAGCTCATCAGCGTGTTTGTTTACTCTCCTGTTGTGATCGACTAAAGGGGACCTTCTAGATTTAACGGTCCGGACTTTGGTTCCTGATGAAAACAGATCTAGTGTGTGGAGAACCACACCACTCAGGACAGGAAGTGAAGGGTTAAATCTGTCATCATTTGTCTCCATGAGTGAGGTCGTAACACGCTGTAGCCAAGAGGTGAAACAGGCTGATTTGTACTCATATACAGACAGATAGATAGATAGATAGATACATAGATACATAGATAGATAGATAGATAGATAGATAGATAGATTAGATGGATACATAGATAGATAGATAGATAGATAGATAGATAGATAGATAGATAGATAGATAGATAGATAGATAGATAGATAGATAGATAGATAGATAGATAGATAGATAGATAGATAGATGGATGGATGGATGGATGGATAGATAGATAGATAGATAGATCATAAAGACATTAAAAGTGTCTAATTGAAGTTGGGAATCTCTGAACCTCTCCTCTCTGTGTCCCCCTTACAGATGGAGTCCCCGGTCTCCACCCCTGCCCCTCCTCCCCTCCACCTCCTCGCTCCCGTCACCAACAGCGACATCTCATCCCCTTGCGAGCAGATCATGGTCCGCACGCGCTCAGTAGCGGTGAACACCGCCGACGCCGCGCTGGCCACCGAACCGGAGTGCCTGGGACCCTGCGAGCCCGGCACCAGCGTCAACCTGGAGGGCATCGTGTGGCAGGAGACGGAGGACGGTGAGAACCAGAGCGTAGATGTGAAGCACATAGAGCTCACAGTGTAGACTCAGAGTGTGTAGAGCTTCTAACACCAGTGTGTGTGTGTGTGTAGGTATGCTGGTTGTAAACGTCACCTGGAGGAACAAGACTTATGTTGGAACTCTGCTGGACTGTACGAGACATGACTGGGCCCCTCCGAGGTACGTGGTCCCTACAGACCTCTTGGTTCTCCTGTCCCAGGTCGGCGGCGGTATCATGTTGTCATGGTGATGTCAGATTAACGATGATGCTGTTTGTGTGGTTCAGGTTCTGCGAGTCTCCCACCAGTGACGTGGAGATGAGGAGCGGCCGCGGTCGGGGGAAGAGGATGCGCCCGGGCAGCAACACGCCGCTCAACGACAACAGCAACTCCTCAGACAACAAAGGCAGCGGCAGCAGCAAGACACGTGGCGCAGCGGCGAACAGCAAAGGGCGGCGAGGGAGCCAGACAGCCGGCGGCACCGAGGACGCCAAGGCCAGCCCGTCCTCTGCCAAGAGGAAGACCAAACCCGCCTCAGACATGGAGCCCACCTCCAGCTCCGAGGACACCAAGGCGTCCAAAAGGATGAGGACTAATTCCACCGGCGCCGCTCTCCCCCTCCCTGGAGGGAAATCAGAGCCCCACCCACAGCTTGACCGCACCTGCCCCTCCCCCGTGCTCATCGACTGCCCCCATCCAAACTGCAACAAGAAGTACAAGCACATCAACGGGCTCAAGTACCACCAGGCACGAGCCCACAACGACCACGACGTCCGGTTGGATCAGGATGCCGACAGTGAGTACGGCGATGACCCCGCCCTCCACCCTGACCCCACTTCCTGCAACGGTGCCGCCATCTCCCCAGCCCGCTCCACCACGCCAAAAGGACGCGTTTTCGATGCCCCTTCCCCGTCTCCAGGAAAACTGAAGGGAAAGAAGAAGGCAGGAGAGGCGGAGCTTGAGGTGACGGACGGCGGCGAGGAGGGGGTGTGTCTGACCGACGAGGCGAGCAATGACGGGATGGACGATAGGAAGGCAAAGAAGATGACGGCGGGGGGCAAACCTGATAAACTGGCCCAGAAAGGTTTAAAACCCGCCCGCCCTGCTGCCCCCGCCGCCCCCGGAGCCCCCTCCCCCTACGCTCTGCAGGCGTCCTCCCCCGCCCTGGGCTCAGTGGTCCAGTCCGTCCCTAAAAGCCCCCAAATGAAGAGCATTCAACCCAAACCCCCGCCACTGGCTGACCCCGCCTCTAGCCCCACCCTGTCCAAAGACAAGAAGAAGAAGGACAAGAAGAAGAGGGAGGGGGGGAAGGAGGGGGACAGTCCGAAGGCCATGAGTAAGGGGGGGCGGTCCGAGGAGGGGAGGAGCCCGTACTCCGAGGACGCCATGCTCAACGGCTCCTCAGAAGCTCATCAGAGCCGGCTCGCCAGCATCAAGGCCGAGGCCGACAAGGTCTACAGCTTCTCCGACAACGCCCCCAGCCCCTCCATCGGGGGGGGCAGCAGGATGGAGGGCGGCCTGGCGGCGCCCATGCACCTCAACCAGAACGGAGCCGACAACGCCTCCGTCAAAACTAGCAGCCCTGCCTACTCCGACATCTCAGATGCAGGTGAGGACGGCGAGGGGAAGACGGAGGGGGTGAAGGTAAAAACAGAGCCGGATCAGGGGCCCCGGGATCCAGGGGCCAAGAAGGCGCTGTTCCCCCCTCAGGCCCCCAGCAAAGACTCGCCGTACTACCCCAACTATGACTCCTACTACTCCCCCAACTACCCCAACCCCAGCCCGGGGGCGGCCCCCTCAGCCCCTCCCCACGTGGAGGGGGCTCAGGTGAAGGTGAAGAAGGAGGAGGAGCCTGAGGTGGGGGAGGAGTCCAAACTAAAGGTGGAGCCTCAGGAGGAGAGGAAGGTGGAGCCTGGCCCTCAGCAGCCGTCAGTCATCCAGCAGCGCTCCAACATGTACACCCAGCCCCTTTACTACAACCAGTACTACGTCCCCCCCTACTCATACCCCCCCGACCAGGCCTACCACGCCCACCTGCTCGCCTCAAATCCCGCCTACCGCCAGCAGTATGAGGAGCGGCAACGCCAGGCTGACAAGAAGGCTGAGAGCAAAGAGCGTGAGGCGAGCGCCAAGGAGGAGTGGAAGCAGAAGGCCTCGGTGCCCCCCACCCTGTCCAGAGCCCCCAGCCTCACTGACCTCACATCGAGGGGGGGGCTGAACCCAAACAAGCCCAAAGAAGCCCCGCCCTCCTCGGAACAAGCCAAGTCTGTCATCATGGCGAAGGGAGACGACCCCAAGGCCACGGCTGCCCAGCCTGAGGGTCTTAAGATGAAGCTGACTGAAGCAGGGCATCATGGGAAAGAGGACGCCAAGCCAGGGGTGGAGTCAGGTCGGCCGACAGGTGTAGAGCCCGCCATGTGGTACAGACAGGTAACTGCAGGGAGACGCACGACAATTGGAAAATACAGCTTTGTGTTTTAATTAGAAATGACAGACAATGACTCAGCAGAAATACAGATGATGACTCAGCAAAATGAACTCAGCAGAATGACGGATGATGACTCAGCAGAATTACATATGAGTCAGCAGAATGACACACAATGACTCAGCAGAATGACAGATGATGACTCAGCAAAATGACAGATGATGACTCAGCAGAATGACACACAATGACTCAGCGGAATGACAGATGACAACAGAATGATAGATGATGACTCAGCAGAATGACAGATGACTCAGCAAAATTACAGATAACTCAGCAGAATGACAGATGATGACTCAGCAGAATGACAGATGACTCAGCAGAATGATAGATGATGACTCAGCAGAATGACAGATGATGACTCAGCAAAATTACAGATAACTCAGCAGAATGACAGATGATGACTCAGCAAAATGAAAGATGACTCTAAGATGACTTAAAGTCAGCGATGGTTGAACCTGCGGTCAGAGTTTTCAGTCTCTGAACCTGATCGGACCTCAGAACCAAAGTTTAAAAAGAACTTACTTTATTCTCAGACTGGACCAGAATATTCTGATGTTTAGAGGATTCAGTTGGTGTTTTAAATCAAAAGTGCAGAAACTTCAGGATCAGTTAAGAACTGGATCAGAACCACTTTAGCTGAAGGTGTTTTTTGTTCCACTGTTGATTCCTCCTTCAGAGTAGAAACCTTATTTCCTCTCCCTGAAGTGTCTCCTGGTCAAAAACAGTTTAATTAGTTTATAAAAAAAAGACAGCAGCAGTTTATCATATTTTAATCCAAATCAATAAAATGAAGATCTATTATTGATTAGATGCAGAATGATTAAATTGACTCTTCTAAAGATTCTGCTTAGAGCAGCAGGTGGAGCAGCAGCAGGTGGAGCAGCAGCAGTCTGTTCCTCCACCTGCTCTCCTCCTTGACTCTCACACTCCTCCTCCTCCACTCTGTCCTGTCACCTTCTCCTGCTTCTCCTGATGTTTGACTTCCTCTCCTTCCTCTCCACAGGAGCCAGACTCTCGCTTGTGGCCTTACGTCTACCCCAACAAATACTCTGAAGCTCCTAAACCTCAGGAGGAGGAGCGGTGGAAGGAGGAGAGGGAGCGAGAAAGGGAACGAGAGAGGGAGAGGGAGCGAGACCGAGACAGGAAAGTAAAGGAGGAGAGGCCACGAACGAAGGAGGGCCTCGTGAAAGAGGAGGTGAAGGAAGGGGGCGAGGGCAGGACTCAGCCGCCTCCAGAGGAGCACAGAGGGGGAGGGAAGGAGACGCGGCCCCCCCACATGCAGTTCTCCTCCGCCCTGGCTCAGCATCAGGGATACATGCCCTACATGCACGGACCCTACGCCTACAGCCACGGGTACGAAGCCAGCCACCCCGGGTACAGAGGCGTGCCCTCGGTCATGATGCAGAACTACCCAGGTGAGAAAAGAGGAGGAGGAGGAGGAGGAAGAGGAGGAGAGAGGGTCAGGGTTCGAGTCAGTCCAGATCAATCACTCTAACTGTCCATGTCTGTGTTGTTCAGTTTGTCTCTCCTCTCTGTCCTCTCTGTCCTCAGGCTCGTACCTGCCGCCAGGTTACTCCTTCCCCTCATACGGCGGGAAGATGGCGGCGTCAGGTGAGGAGGGGGAGAAACCCTCCAGGTCCAGCCCCACTGTGAGGCCCCCCGGTGAGGCCAAAGCCCTGGACCTGCTGCAGCAACACGCCAGCCAGTACAAGAGCAAGTCCCCGTCCATCCCTGAAACCAAACCCCCCCACGAGCGGGACAGAGAGCGAGAGCGGGACCGGGAGAGAGACAGGGACCGGGAGCGAGAGAGAGACCGGGAGAGGGAGGGTGACCGGCCGCGCTCCTCCCCCTCACAACGTATCCTCCCCTCCCATCATCACCTGGGTTACCCGCTGCTGTCGGGACAGTACGACCTGTCCTACCCCTCAGGTGAGACACCTCAGGCTGTCAGCTGACCCCTCCCCCCTCCTCAGACACGCCTTCTCAGTCTTGTTCACGTGTCGGCCATGTTGGATCTGTAGCTAACTCCTCCTCTGTCCTTCAGGTCTCTCCTCCTCAGCCATCGTCGCCAGTCAGCAGGCGTCCGCTTCGTCCATGTACCCCCCCGCACGGAGGTGAGAACGGTAAGACGACACGCCTTTAAAGGTCAGGGACACAGTCCAGGTCTACAGTCCAGGTCTTCATTTAGGCTGGACTTCAGTTTAAGACCCAGATCCTGAACCTGAAGGACAGAGGGATCACTGAGACACACTGAGACAAAAAAAACACAGACACACACACACTGCCCCTTCACTCCCTCTGAACCTCAGGTAGACTGTCAGTGTCAGTGAGGATTCTTAGTCTCAGCCTGCAGTGCCCCCTGGTGGTCTCCCTCAGCTCTGTCACTCCTCAGTCTCATGAACACATGTTGGCCTGTCGGAGGTTCTGTTAAAGTTCTCCTGGTTTTAGTCGTTCTGTCTGGTGTTTTTTGTGTTTTCTTTTTAAAGACTGCCGTCTTTATTGAAGGTCACTGACTCCGCCCTCTCACCTGTCTCAGGCACACCTGATTGGCCAGCCTCCACCCTGCCCAGAGTCATGTGATGGGATCACATGAGGAAGTCTTTTGTTTGAACATCAGTTCAATGGTGTTTGTGTTCGTCTCATTTCTCCGCCCGGACATCCAGCCGGATGCTCCGCCCCCCTCGCTGGACCGCCGAGACCTCAGGAGGATTAACGGGTCCCGATCTGCTGGTTCTGCTGGATCCGGACGGGACCTTGGTGCTTTGAGGGACGGCAGCAGAGGTTTGGGCTCACAGATGACTGACAGCGGAGACGACCTGGTGGGCGGAGACTCCTGGAGATACTGCTGGTCGTTTAGGAGGCGAGGGGGTGAAGGACGGTTCCCGGCAGCGAGTGAGCTGTGACACCTTTCCAGAGACTCCACCCACAGTGACCTCTGACCTCTCTGAGACCAGCAGACGTCGTCACACTTTGACCTGGAAGTCTCTGAGCTTCACAGGAAGTTCAAAATACTGTGGAGGGAGGAGGACGGACCAATCAGAGGACAGCGTTTGGACTGATGCCGCGTCCTCAGACTCCTCCTCCTCAGTGTGTAGCTGTACTGTACTCTGTGTATGTGTGTGTGCGTGTGTGTGTGAGGCTGTGTGTGTGTAAATACTGTACAGAGGAATTATTTTAAAGAGCCTGTTGGATGCTGTTGGATTTCCTACTCTTCTTTTTGTCTGGTAGCCTCTGCCTCTGTTTTTCTACTGTTGTTGATCTGATATTAAACCTGTAGCTGGTGGAACGGCGCCCGACCTTCGAGTCCTCATTCTTACCAACAACAAGTACATGTGTGTGGACCCCCGAGTCCTCATTCTTACCAACAACAAGTACATGTGTGTGGACCTCTGCGTCCTCATTCTTACCAACAACACGTACATGTGTGTGGACCTCCGAGTCCTCATTCTTACCAAAAACAAGTACATGTGTGTGGACCTCCGAGTCCTCATTCTTACCAAAAACAAGTACATGTGTGTGGACCTCCGAGTCCTCATTCTTACCAACAACAAGTTCATGTGTGTGGACCTCTGAGTCCTCATTCTTACCAACAACACGCGCACTTGTCACTCATTACATTTACATCCACAGTTTAATCGGACTAAGCTCACTTGTTTTCTCTCCTTGTCCTCGTATTCATGCAAGTGAGAATTGAATTATTGACGTGAACGTGTCCTCCTCCCCAACACTAGGGGGCGATATGGGTCTTTTCAGCGGCGCTGTTTCCGACCCCATACAACCGTCAACAACAACAGCAGGTCGGTGTCAGACGTCAGAAGTGTCTACAACTGCTGCTGGGCATTTTGGAGAAACAAGAAGATGGAGCATCGTACAGCGTTGTTTTTGTCCGACATGATGGACGCGCTACTTTTTCTAAAGATGAGACCAACGCTACTCCTCTACTCTGGGGGTTTGTTCCGGGGCGTGGCTCATTGTCCGATCATACTCCGACTACGCTGGTTACATGGAAGAGAAAATCAGATTCCAGTCACATTATCTGGGTGTCTTGATCGGAGTTCTCAAACACTGATTATAGTCGGACTAAGGTGTTTACATGACCTTCAGTTGTCCGGTCTCAGTCAGAATAAGGCGATAATTTGGTTTTCTCGAGTGTCATAGAAACGTACTGACTGATGCAGGACTTCATGGGAAAGGCGTCCTAAGAACAGTTTTCAATATTCTGTATTTTAAAATCATTGGTATTAAAATTTAAGTGCAGATTAAAGAAAGTTTACCTTTTTTAACTGAATCAGAGAAAACTTTAGTTTCTAATTTATGACCAGAAGAAGAAAACTCAGTTTAAAGAGTTAATATTTAATCTGAATATAATTACAGGTGGATGTAGAACAAGGTCAAAATGGAAAAATAGACTTCAGCCTTTAAACTTCCTCCACAGGTGTTTCAGAGAGGAGTTCTCAAAATGACCACTAGATGGCACCAAAGTCCTCATCTTCTCATCATTTGTCTTTAAAGGAGTACAGTCCAGAACCTTGTCCCCCTGCAGAGTGGCTGTTTGACCACAGAGGGGCGCCGCTGCACTGTCATATAAAGAAGAGGCTGAACTTTGACGTCTCTTCTCTTAACAGTGAGTTTAAATCAAATATGAGCTGAGGTTTGATCAGGAGTTCACCAAAAACACAAATACGCTGCAGCTCAGAGACTCTGCTGGACTCTCAGAGACCCCGTTCAGGTCTCAGAGACTCTGCTGGACCCTCAGAGACCTCGTTCAGGTCTCAGCTTCCTCTTTTCAAAGTTCAGTGACTGCAGGATGTTACACAGCAGATCTGTTATCTCGAACCGTAGGAAATGAAGAAACTCACGTCTTAATAATTGTCTATTAACGTTTAAAACTCTTCAGATTAGTTTCTTCTTTTTATTGAATTAATTAGTTTTTCAGTCAAAGTCTTTTAACCCTGTTAAACCTCTAACATTGACAGTCCACCCTGGTCATTATTCTCTTTTTTTTTAGCTGTAAATGTGTCTAAAAATGTCTGTTGTGTGAAATCTTTTGCCATTTTTTTCAGGATCAATTCAACTTTTAAAATCTCTCAAGAATTTTACATTTTTACATCTTTTATACATTTAATATCGTTTTTATTCCACATTTATTATTCAGATTTATCTCAATGTTGTTTTATATTATATTTGTACAGACAATATTAAAGTAACATTCAAATACATTTATTTTTAATACACCTATTTATTAATTAAAATTAAGACATTAAACATATTTATTTGTGAATTTGTTTTTTTTTTCAGAGGTTTTTAAATATCTTTCAGACATTTTTAAGACACTTTTTTAATTGTAAAAGTCTTTAAATGTCAAAATGAAAACTTCATTGTTTTTCTGTCTTTTTACATTTCTTCCCTCACACTTTCATCGTGACTTCCCCCTCAGGCTCTTTTATTTTGAAGCGCTCTGCCGTCATTTCCGGTTCCACCTGTATTTAACACTGTGAACTTGACTGTGGATCTATCAGCAGCTGCGGCTCCGCTTCAGTCAGTGTGTCGGTGTGTCGGGGGTCTTTACCGGACTAACAAAGGGTCGAACCGGACCGAACCAGTGCTGAGGTGTGTCTGCGGACCTAAGTGTAAACACGGGGGACATAAACAGGTGAGACTGAGAGTGTGTGTACCTGTGAATGTGTGTGTGAGGACACGCTGTTGTGACCATCAGTGATGCTGCTGCTGTGTGTGTGACTGTGTGTGTGTGTGTGTGTGTAGTTGTTGTTTATTGTAAATCTGTTAGCTCTGAATTAATTTATTTCTCGCAGCTTCATTTTCAGATTTAATAATTCCAATTAAACAACGTTGATTTTAAACTTTATTTTAAAACTGAAATGGTGAAAAGTCTGTAACAGGACTGGGTGATTTGGCCTAAAAAATGATCTCGATATATTTGGTTGTATCGTCCGATCTCGATTATTATCCCGATTTTTTTAAAACTGCCAATTTTAAAGCATCTGTACTCGAAACTACAAAGTAAATAGATAAATACTAAATAAGACGTTAAATAACTTTTCTTCTCGACAATAACATCTCTGGACGATGACTCAAAGTCGTGGCTGACATCTATTCTTCTGCCCTCAGCTCTCGTTCGGTTACTCGGTTTACTTGTCCGGTAACTTACAGAAGTGAGCAGGAAAAGCTCGACTCTGATTGGCTGTTGTGATGCACATTTTCGCCATGTTTGATTGAGTAAATAAACTCACAGCTGATCACTGTGATCGAACTGAAATGAATCCCGATCATATCCCAGTCCTGGTCTGTGATCGGGTTAAATCAGTAAAAGTGACTTTCTGTTGGTGTTTCCTCTGGAGGGAATCAGGATATAAACTTTGATTTGATCCTCCAAGGAAGTTTAGGACCTCCTCCTCCAACACCAGACTGAACTTTTCTCTTGTTCTGAACTTTTCAAGGTATTTTTAATTTTTTTACTTCTCAACATTTCCAACAGGACGGCTTTAAGGACATTTTTCCTCCATTTCACTGACTCAGGGAACCTTTTTATGTTCTAATTGAATAAATGATTTTATTTATTTCGGTATAATATGACCTAAGGGGTCTAGGCCAGTGGTTCTCAACCTGTGGGTCCCGACCCAAAAGTGTGTCATGGACACATTCTGGATGGGTCGCGAACAGCTGGTCAAAAAAGTGAATATCTAGTGTGCATCTAGTGTTTGACGTGTTTTATTTTGAAAAATATCTCCTTTTGAAAGGCAGGCATCATGTCCTGGTCCTCCTCAGTTTCTTATTAATGCTGCCAGAATGCAGTAAAAATACATGTTTTTTTTGTCTTTATTTAGTGTAATTTGATATTTATTCACTTTTGTCCTCCTCGGGTTCTTCTGAATCTGCTCTGAATGCAAAGATGAATCTAACATTACATGAATAATCAGACATAATTTTCTCTACAATATTGAGTAATAACATTATTCTACTAAAGTCTCTGAAAGTTTACCAGAGTACCACATTTCCTCATTTCTACAGTCGGACAGTCGTTCCATATTTTCACAGAAAGTTTTTACGTTTGTTCGCGCTTTAGTTCCAGAAATAATCCACAGTCTCTTCAGTTGTAATTAGAGTCCCTCAGTTTAGATTAGGTTTTTGTATTGTGGTTTAATCTACTCAGTCTTTGAATTTCAATACATTTAAGGAAGTAAAAAGGGGACGAGTTGATTCATGTTTTTTGCAGATGACTCTTACGGCTCGCTTTTGTTAAAGAAATATTGGGTTTGTCTTTGTTTTTGTTTCCCTAAATCTCAATAAAATCAGTCAAAGAGGGAAATTTAACCAGGTCAGATTCTCCAGAGGGTCTTCTATAATATTTGATCCCGTATAGAGGTGTGTTTTTTATCATTCAGACCTGGTGGGATGGTAGTTCTCCTCCTCAGACTGCACTCTGATTGTTTGAGGGTCATATATTACAGTCATTACGGCCTTCAAAACTTCCTGTGGGTCTGTTTCAGAGTCCGGGTCCTACCATCAGGAACCGCGTCTGCAGAGTCTTTGTGTCTGTTCGCTCTGATTTAGCGCGGCCCCCCGTCAGCTCCTCGTCCTCCGTTCGCTCCAGCGGCTCTGAATACCCAGCAGCTCCTCTGTTTTGGCTCGACCCGCTGTCCTCTCTCTCTCTCTCTCCCTCTCTCTCTCTCTCTCTCTCTCTCTCTCTCTCTCTCTCTCTCTCTCTCAGGGCGGTTAAACAAAACGCCCCTTTGAGAGAGGAGGCGCAAGAACTCCCAGGAGCTCTCACAGACATCCAACAGGAGGGTCCTCGAACCCTGTTTATAACCGTCATGATCAAATCAGACTGGATTCATTAAAGGGATATTCCAACAAAAAATTAATTTAGGGTCAAACACCGAGTTAGACCCCCCCTCCAGAGATGAATGTTTGCTTCTCTAGTTAAACCAACTTTAGTAACGACCTCTAGAGGGGGGGTCTGACTCGGTGTTATGGTGTGTTTGACCCTAAATTAATTTCACTCCAGAATATCCCTTTAAAGTGTTTGAGTGACATGAGCGGCGTTACGAAGAAAGAGAGGAGGATGAATAAAGTGACAAAGCTCGGTGGAGGAGCTCTGACTCTTCACTCAGGATCTGGTTCGTTCTGGATCTGCGTTCCTCTGGAGGAGGTCTGACGGATCGTTTAGCGTTGGTGACCTTCGTCATTTTCTTACATTTGCATGAATTTTATTGTGGAGGAAACAGTCCGACCCTCAGGAAGAAGCTCAACCAGCAGCTCCAGAAACCAAAACCAACACCGGAGGGTCAGATATCATCTGGGTTTACCTGATCCAGAACCACCAGGAGTGGGTCCACATGTGCAGAAGTCCTGGTCCTGTACATGTTGTCACACACACACACACACACACACACGTGTCACTGCAAACATTGAGTCTCCCTGAGGGGCCGCCTGATTTAATCATCATTCCCTGAGAGGAAACCAACACGTCTCCATGGAAACCAGAAGAGGAGAAGGAGGAGGAGGAGGAGGAGAGGTACCTGATGTCAGCCTGTCACCATGGCAACTGCGGTTCACTTCCACCTCTGGTCCTTCAGGGTGGTGCAGCAGAATCGTCTGTCAGAGTGTTTGTGTCCCCGTGATAACACGACCACAGACCGCCACATTTGAATAAAGGCCGCCACAGTCCGCCTCTGCGGCGTCCTGACATGAACAAACAAGGTCGTTTTCACACGCCACGGCTTCAGTTCCTGTTAGGAAGCATGAAATCAGCTGATCAGAGAACAGGAGGATCAAACAGACGATCTCCTCCTCCTCCGTCTGTTTGCATCAGTGTTTTTCATACGAGGCGTGTCTGTAGACCTGGACACGAGGACCCGGTCTGTAACTGTGCGGCGCTTTAAAGACATTTGTTTGTCACTTCCACGCCGCGCTCGCCGACGTTTCAGAGTGAAAACAAAATGCAAAACAGTTTCAGGAGGTCAGAGCGGCAGGACTCAGAGAGGAGCGCTCTGAAAAACTGCAGACCAGGAGAGAAACGCTCCCGATCCAAAGACCCTCTCTCTCTCTTTTTAGTGCCGTCGCCATGGCAACAGAGGGGAGAATATCCGGGGCTGCCATGTGTGGCGTTCGGCACGTGTCGGA